TCCGCTACTAGCCTGAGCATCCGAAGAGGGCTCTGCTGGGGTAGTGCCAGAAGATGAATCAACAACGGTAGCAGACGCATCAACGAGTTCGGGCGTCTCTGTCGTCGGAGCCGTAACAGTCAAGGATTCTTCAACACCTCCCTCCGTTTTACGTTCGCCATCTGCCTGCAGGTCCTGATCACTGCCCGCAGGAGCGACAGCCTCATGCTGTGAAGGGTCCGAAGCCTGTTCCTCCCCTACATCGGGAGCGCTCGAGACGATTTCTTTCGGCTGGTCAGCAGGCGCCGCCGTCTCGTCCGCGTTCTGGGGTTGCTGAGGTTGAGCAGTGGTCGGTGTAGAAGTAGTAACGTCAACAAGGATGGGAGCATCGGATTGCGAATGCGACGAAGTAACATCGGGAGTAAGGGTACTATTGCCCGAAGGCTCCGAGTCATTTAGGCTTCTTTCCTCCCCTGGGTCCCCCCTGTTGCCATTGGGAGTTGCGCGCCCTTCTTTTGCGCCGCCTTCTTCTCCTGCTGTCGCTTCCTTTTCTGGTTTTCCTTCTTTGTCGGCGCCTTCCCCGGTTTCTCCGGCTCGTCCTTTTCCACCAGCGGCATCTCCAGAACCGGCGTCTCGACCACCGGCGTTGGCGCCGACGGTGTCTCGACCACCGGGGTTTCGACTGTTGGCGTCTGCACCGCCGGCGAGGGTGCCCGTGGCGGCGGCTCCAGCGGAGGTGGGTGTACCGTTCCCTGCATTGGAGCAAATACAGAGTTCAGTCTCCCGCTGAGAATAGTAGGGGAAGAGTTCGAGGCGAATTGACCTGGGGATTTTGCTGCATCCTTAGCAGCCGTGACGGTGGGCGTCGACGACGGACCGAAGGTCGAGTCAACCGCCGTCGTTGCTGCGCTGTGAGAAGGGGCGGCGAGCGTAGGCTTCTTGGGGGTCGTGAAAGTACGGTTCATGCCGTTCATAGCAGGGATCGTGAAGGCGGACGCGCTCCCAATGTTCTCGAGCGGCGTAAGGGAAGGGGAGGGCGGGCCCGCAGTGATGCCAAAAACATCCTTGATGATGGAGACCATATCCTCGCCCCCGGCAGTCACGGGCGAGGAGCAGAGCTGACCGGGGCTGCCCGACGGCCTACCCCGCGCGGACTCTCGGGCGGTCGCCAGAAGCAGCGCTGTCTCGAGACCGAGCTGGCGACCCTCCTTGATGGACAGCGGCTCGGGCCGCATGCACATCGCGATGTACGAAGGGATGAGGAGCTTCTTGTCCAGCTCGTACGCCTGGTAGAGCTCGATCTTATGCAGCGCCGGGATCTCGAACTTCTCGAGCTCCCGTACGCAGAGCTTCTTGACTTCCGCGAACCGCCAGTCGAATGCCAACTTCAGGATGGCTGACCAATCTTCAACGGTAGCGTCGTAAATGGAGTATTTCCTGGCACACGGCGTGAGGTGGTGCAGGAAACAACTGGGATCGACTCACGGGTTGTAGAACACCCAGAGAAATCGTGCAAAGTCGTTGGCCAAGACATCCTCCAGAGGGAATGCGTGCGCGTCTGTCGAGCCCTTCGGCTGCTGCCCAGGAGGTGCAGCGACGGCGAACTTCTCGCGGAAGAATGCCGACTCGCGCTCGAAGAAGTAACGATGTACACGGAAAAGGTAGTTCTCAACCTGCACCGCCGTCGTCAGCACACACGACGACAGTCCAAGCGCAGTCAGCGATACGCACCAGGAAATGAATGTCTCCGCCGGAGAGATAGTACTTCGGATGCCGCTTCACCTTCTCCAGCGAGGTGTCGACAGAAATGTTGTAGTTGTGGGCCATTGGAGGCTGAAGCATACACTGCGGACAACCCGGATTGTGCGAGGCGCTTACATGGGCCTAACATTGCAAGAGCGTGTATATTAGTAAGCCACTAAGTGAAAATCCCTAACATGGGAAGTACATGCCTAGAACATGACGCGATTTCGGAACATAGGAAGAACATAGCACTTACATTCCCGATTTTGGGAACATTCGAAATGTTAGCCCGAACAAAGGAATACCATTCCCTATGTTACGAGCTCCGACTTAGAGCCGTAAAAATATACACGCCCTTACAATGTAAGTACCATGTGAGCGCTTCGCACAACGCGGTTCGTCCGCAGTGATAGGGATAGCGGTCGTGATGATGGGCGGGGCCAAAGATATGAAGGGCAAAAATCCGAGCCTCTTCACCGCCGCACACGTGTGGGCCTCATGTCGGGACCCGACACATCAGAATTCGAAAAGGCACATAGCCCGTCGCCAAAGATCGGTTTGTTCATCGTGGAAAGAGGAATACACGTTGCAGAGGCCGAGACACGGCGTCTGCACCCTCTTTACGTCCATTACAAACCGCAAAGAATGGATTTCTGACTGCGTTAGTATAGCGAGTAACAACAGATCTAGTGGTACAAGTGAGCGTTAATTACATAACACAAAGGCGACCCATTGTTTATCAAACAACGCAGAGCGTCTTCCACTGACCCGGACCATGGACAATCCTGCGGAGCGTGGTCGAGGCATGGATCACTAGATGTGAGCATCAGCACATAGCCAACGATGAAGGGCTGGTATCGAGGACGTAAGATGAGCGTAACAACAACAGTGTACATGTACGACTCATCGCGAACCCATCAACGAGCGAATTTGACGACAGGTAGATAGGTCTCGCTTTTAGAAGTAATACAGAGGAAGGACAACATTCGTGTGATGCCATGCGTCCAACAGCAGGAAGATGGTTAAGGTTGCTGTGCACAAACGTTCCCTACACCTGGTGGTCGGAACTAGGTGGTTTACCTATGGACCAGGTGTGCGACAGTTCCGCCTGGCCTCCACAGGCCGCAGCTGCATCATGATATGGTCCGGTATGACAAAGCCTGAGCTCGAAACGCAGATGCGAGCGCTGAGCAAGTGGGACTCACGATAGAACACATCACCACCGGGTAAGGCAACCGGAGCTAGCGTGTAAACAAGGTCCAGGCGTAAGAACAGTGTTTAAAGTCCTTGAGCGTCCAGCAGTCAATCAAGGTTCGCACACAAGTCTTCTGCAAGCGGTCGTCAGGAGGACATCCACAGTATACTGAAAGTGATGACGGCGTTGACGCTGCTTGCTGGCCTGTATGCAAGCCGACGTTGAACAGGGTGGGCATGGAAACACGGAGTAGCTAAGGGCCCAACAAGCCACAGAGATGAGGAACATATGTCGAAGTTTGCAGTGGACGGCAGATACGGGCGAGGGGAACAGAAGACGAGCCGTGGTGGTTCAGGCATGATGAACGATTGTGGGGAGACAGCATCCCCCAGGATGCCACGGTCACCACAAGTCCACGAGTCTGACCCCGACTAACACACATTCCGGCGCAGACGACGGAGGCAAGTGTCGCAGATGAAGGTACAGTAGGTTCCGGTGGGGTCCATGGCCAGAAGCGCACCGTTGGGTTTCGCGCATCGCTCTGTCGCCTCTGCGTGGCCCGTACAGCAAATGAGACTGTCAGTGACTAATGAGCAGAGATTCCCTATGTGACAAAACTGCTCTCACTTAGCTCGGTGTCATGTCCAACCTTCCTGTACAACTTGAATGTAGGTTCCTCCTGTGGTAACAACAGTCGGCTTCAGGTCGTATCCGGCGCCACGATTGACTATAGCGCACAAAATTAATGCACATAGATGCAAGTCAAGCGATTATTTTGCGAAAGGCGCGAGATATCCAGAGGCCGTAGGACAGCGCCTCGAGGTCGGAGGAAGAGGAAGGAGGAAGAGGAGGAAGATCAAGCGCTCATGACAACTCTGTACTTGCCTCTTTTGCCACATCTTTGCTCGTCTGAATCTCCGTGCAGTTGGCTTGGTTGACAAGTTCTCCCTTTCCCTCTCAAAATGTCGAAGCAGGTCTCCATAAAAATTGAATTCAGTGGAGGGCTCGAGCTGCTCTTCGACAACCAGCGATCGCATCGCGTCGTCCTCCCTGCCCGCGTCTCCGCCACACCCGCGGACGCGAAGAGGAGCCTCAAGGACGACGCGGGGGCAGCGGAGGGAGACGGCCGGCCTGTGGACGTGGCGTATCTCATCCTATGGCTGAAGGATAACCTGCTGAAGGAGAGGGAGGAGCTGTTCGTCGAGAGCGGAACCGTGTACGTTCTTCTAACTTACCATGCATCTGGTCCGTCGACTGAAGGAAGGGCAATGTCGGCCGTTCGTTCGTCAGGCGACCAGGGATTCTTGTCCTCGTGAACGACACGGATTGGGAGCTGGAGGGTGAGGGGGATTACCAGCTCAAAGACGGAGACGAGATCGTATTCATCTCGACGCTGCACGGAGGATGAAGACATGTCGGATCCGTGGCGACCATATGTGAGCCATAAATTGCAACCGTGAGCCCTTGGTTGATCTGCCTGTTTTGCTCTCAGTAATATAGGCATCGATCTCGTCCGTTTCAACATCGGAACGAGCGAACACTGGTACGACTCACACAATATAGCCTGGGACTCGGCGGCTCAGGCGTGTAGAGGGTAGGCAGGACGAGGAAGGGGCTGAACAAGGTGGCAGATGGAGATACGAGGGTCCCTTCACATGGTCAAGGAACACAGAGCGGGACAGCGGGTGCAGGCAAGCAGAGGATTGAGAGCGTTCGTTGTCTCAGGTTCAGCGAGTACTGACATGTATGTAATTGCATCTGCACGCTACTGGTAACATCGTGGTACAGTAGAGGCTATATTCTGTCGTACTGCCTACATCGATCGTCGACCGTCTACGCCTGACTGGAAGGAGACTAAGGCCATGCCGACGGAACGCACGTACAACGGTGACATTAGCTCGTCGCCTGCGCTTGTAACGGTGATGCAGTAGGATGAAGCGAAACGATGAGGTGGATGAAACCGTGATGGAACTTAACGATAGTATGAATGCGCACCGTCAACCTTGACTACGATACCATCCCGGGATCGTCGAACACGATACTAGAGCAGACCTCATGCGCATAAGTTGGATGGTGTCAGGATTCACGACCACCAGTGCTCAACGGCAGGAGACGGCTCGCCTCCCGGGCTGCCGTTCGCACTACACACCATCCCGACGCGCGTTCCACTAGCAGTGAGAGTAGGGAAGCACGCCGACATGGTCTCGACCCAGTCCACGAGACGTTCAGCAGGACATTGCGCGTTGAAGGTGATCTTTAGCTCGGGGTCCTCCGCCGCGAGACTGGCGAGGGCCCCGTCCAGACCGGCGCACTGCTCCGGGACGGCTTTCTCGGGTTCGAGCTCACCGAGGAGGAAGCGCATGCGGGGCGTGAGCAGCATCCTCCAGCGTAAAAATGCCGTTAGGCACTCCGAGACGCTGGTCTTCGATTGCAGGATCGAAGGAGCATCGACGTCCACGCATTTGATGTTCAAAGTAGTAGTGGGGACGGCTGGGGTAGCAGGGGTGGTCAAACGTCAAGGTCAGGTTTGTCCGAATCCCGCGGGAGACGTACCACTGTCATCCCGGACATCAATTACGAGTCTTTTCTTCAAACCCTGGAGCCCCCACTTTGTGTCATAGAGGTACCCCGCCAGCAGAGAGAATTCCGACTGGAATCCGAGACGCTCAAGGGTGTGATTGGTAAGAGTGAGCCGGTCGACGATGACCGCAAAGGGCCAGCGTAACGCATACACTTGCCACATGGCGACGTAGAAAATCTTGAACGAGTATAAATTGGCTACGAGCTTGCCAATTCTAACTTTCTTGTAGATCGGCTTCCACTGCCGCTCAGTCCATTCGACGACAGTGCCTTGCGCATTGTAACTTGAGAGGTGGAAGGAGGACCTTCGAGGCGACGGGGACAGAATATCGATCAAGTCTGATTTAACCTGTCCATATCCGGTCTCGGACCAGTGCAGGTGCAGGTGAGCCACCTACATAGACGCGACCAGTGAGTAAGTAGATGTATATGCGATCTGCGAAGCCCGAGTAGCACGAGATCACCCACCTTGCTCGCGAGCACTGTGACTGCGTTCTCTACGGCGGGAACAGTGGCGATCGGCCGAGCGAGATTCTCCAGCCGTAGGGTCTCCACCGCAGTGAACTGCTCGAGCAGGCCGGGCAGCCTGGCATCAGCCAACAGCGACGGTCCTCATGCCCAAGCATCACGGCATATTTTTCGCCCAAGCAGAGATCGCGGACGAGACTAGGGATGCAACTGGATCCCGGTAACTCGGAAGAGAGCAAGGCTTGAAAGGTAGTCATGTCCTCGTCTTTAGCGAACCTGATAGACGAGAATATGTGCTTGCGAGACGCAGGAAACTATGCACGCGACACACGACTGCATGCCCTCAGCGTAGAGGGGTCCTCCCGACATAAGTCGATTATCGCCTCGCAGAGCTCCATGGGAAGAGTTTGCGAGCCAGACGGGCGAGGTTGCATCGGGCAGAACGTATCACGGACTCTGACGACGGAATGTAGTCGCGACGAGGAAGAGGAGAAGGAAGAAGAGGAGGGCCTCAGGAGGGGATGAAGTACTCAGTGTACCGTGGGACTCACGCGCCACATCGCGTCGCGCACCGTCTGAATCGAAGCGTTTGTACCCTTCTCTTGTCTCTTCATTCTTCATGATACGCAAGTTACTCAACATCAGTGGTCATATTAGCCGCATAGTTGCAACCGCTCGCGCAGATAAGCATTTCAAAATATCTACCTTACACCAGTTGGTACGCTTACTAGACCTTGCCAGGTTGGTGAGTATGGCATTCGCATGCTCTATACCATTCTCCAGGTCCTGAATATAGAGCGTTAGATTTGCCTGGCTGTAGCCTGGGCCCAAATTTGACATTCTCGTGGGACGGGCGCGCCGAACTTGCACGTACATTCCTCATCGGGGCTATGACTGATGACGAACGAATATGTACCCGCAACCCCTTCAAAGGCGTTGCTTATGTCGTCGACACGTCGTACGTTTAAGCCATAGATGGTCGTTAGGCAGGTTTTTAAGTTCTAATGTTAGATCTACAATCGACTGTACGCCGTTCGTCCACACGCTATCCCTGTTCTGTCTGTGATCGAAGTGGCATCCGCAACCATACCGAATGTCCGAGTCGATAGGACCTCAACCGGAGCGAAGCAAAGCGTCAATGGGCTCGTGAGTACCACTTCCTTTGTGTCGTCGCCACAAACGAACGCTTTGGCCAGAACTCAGGGGTGCCACGACAACGCATGTGGTCACACTGCATAGCAACCACCATGGTTCGCCTAGAACGGGGATGTGTGGCCATAGGGGAGGAGGCTCCGCACGTATAAAAGCCCGCGGAACCGCGACAGTCGACCAATTCACCAGCCTATTCCGACATCCCCGTGTCTCGTTCAACCGTCATGCACTACTATCAGCCTCGTCGACGGTGCAAACCGCGCGGCCGTAGTATGCTCTTCGAACTTCCTGATTCAATCGTCAACAACGTGCACCCTGATCGCAGCTTTCGTATGTCTCGCTTTTCAGTGCTCCCTCGTTCTGCTCGCTGACCCCTCTTACAGGGCGAACACGCTGTTCAACAGCAGCCTCGTCCACGAAGAGCAAGAGGTGGCTTCAATCACCCATCGGTCGTCGCGCGGCGCGAGTGTCTTCTGCCAGTCGGGCCCGTGATCACACATCCAGGAGCGGCGCCGCGGTTGGGTGTTTCTCAGTGACCAGACCTTGGTTTGAGGCCTGATCTGGATCTGCTGGAAGGGGAATGGGCCGTCGGATGTACGTCTAGCACTCCCTTGTTCCGTGCAGTTGTTTGACTCACACTACGCTTAGACCTCCAACGGAGCTCGTGCGATGGTCATCGAGATCGAGCCTGGGTGGCTATAACCCTCAAGCATGCCTGCGAGTCGCCGTATCCAACTATCCTATCAGGGTGTTCCCCGTTCTCAAACAGAGAACAAACATAACGCGGATGCACCGGCACCGAGTTGAGAAGCTCGCCAGATGGTTCCGGGAAAAGCCTTAGCACACTCTACGCCATCCGTGAACAACGTCAAGCTTCACTGGGCTGAAGTCAATGGTCACCCCTGCCTTGGTTCGCCTCCGTCGTAGGCTTGCGACGCCACAATGGCCTCGCCGTAGACGTGGGACGCGCCATCCCGCCTCAAGACATCATCCACACCCCGAGAGGTCAGAGCTTCACCTGTCCGGTCACATGCCGCGGAGCCTGCGTCTGGGACGGTGGCCATGACCTCGAGCGGCATCTACGGACTCCCTCGCAAATGCGTGAGCAGGAGATGACGCATAACACTGACATACCTCCTGGACTCGAGCGATAATCACCGGCCCGGACTCGCGGCACTGTATTCTTGGGGCTCTCTTATGCAGCTCTCAGTTGAGCTTGACGAACAGCAGATGAGCTTCGTTGTAATCTGGGGAACTCGGACATCAGTTATATTAGTCGTAGATTAGTACCGTACCACACCTCCATATCCAATGCATAGTACTTGAACTCAATATTGAGGTTACCTACCCGCGCGTACAAAGCAATAGGTCGTGTGCACTTGCTGATGTCAGTAATGTCGCAGCACGAAGGCTGATTGTGGTATTACAGTACGGTAATAGGCACTAGTCTTTGATTCCTAGCACTAACCGCATGAGACATAACATAATGAAAGAAGAATAAGCAGCCAGCATTAGTCCAGGCAAAACAGGGATCTATGCGAAGCAAGATAAGCAGACCTAGATGAAATCGAAGCAGACGAAGTGCACGGCTAGCATGCAAGAAGCCGACTGTATAGTGTACCGACAACCAGCGGGAGGAGGAAGCAGCATTCGCTCGCATATCGAGGAGAGGGGAAGAGCGCGAGGAGAGAGGAGAGATACAGACAGACAGCATGCACGCGTACTGTACACATTTTAGCAGTCCCGGCACGGGCCGGCCTAAGGTAAGGAGTGTGGGATGTACAGGCGTTGCGAAGGAGGGCAGGGAGCGAGTGGATGTACAGTTGGAGAGGGGGAGAGGAGGATACAGCGACATACAGTACAACGCTAAGACGGTGAATCTAACGCGGAGTCAAATAGTGACAGTGCGTGGAACACCGAGCAGCGGTGGATACTCAGAGGTGGCCCAGAGAGATGGAAGAAGCAGGGCCGAACGTGTATTGGTCATGATGAAGATGAATGGGAGATGCAGAGATATGCAGAGAATACGAGATGGAAGATGGTCGGAGCAACTGAGCAATAGTTACGACTAGTAAGGTAACGAAGTCCGCATGCAGAACGGCCCTTTGGACGTCTTCCAGCGGCGGCGAACAAGAGATAGCCAAGCGACAGCTCAGCGACCAAGCGTCTGTACGAGCGCGCACGTAGACAGAGTCATCGTTGGTGACGAGTCGTGAATCGTGAAGTCTTGACGTTTGAGAGGATTTGAATGTGAGGTGGTGAAAGACGGACATGCGCAGCGGGAGTGCTGCGAGATAGACGACTGGAGTGCGCGCAGGCTGTCGCACCGACGATCTATTCAACCCCGACCCGCAAGCCAACCCCACCTCATCGAAAAAGGCTTGCAACCCTCCTTGAGAAGCTCTTCTCTCTTTTCGGCTTTTCATCCTCGCCCTCCTCATCTCTACACCTCTTCGGGAAGAAATGTACCGAATCCGCAGGATTCGGCGGCTCGCGGCTGAACAAGAGCGGGTAGCCGGGCACAGGCGACGTCGGGCGCATATTAAACTGCACACGCTGCGGTAGTGCCACCTGCTCCAGGTCTCCCTTCTCCCGCCCGTCCGCCCTGCGCTGAGCGCCGAAGTCGAGATGCAGCGCGGTGACCTTCTCCTCGACATCCGCCACGGGCACCCACATCTCGTACCCCGTCCATACGCGTGGAGGCGTCCAGCCCCGAAGGCCTAAGTGCGGGTCGTTCATATGCCCGTAACCCCCGTCGCCCTCGTCGTCTGCATGCGCTCCGTCATCGTCTGACTCGGACGTGAGTGGGGACTGCGAGCGAATGGTGTCCAGGGAGAAGGGTGCACGACGGGCACGGGGAGAAGCGAGCGTCGGCGTAGAGCGTGATAAGGAAGGGGAATACGAAAGCGGAGGAGAGGAAGGGGAGGACGGAAGGGGTGGCGGGGACACTGGCTTCGCGGTTGTGTTCGGCGCTGTAGATCCGAGCGTGCACGTCGACAGAGGAAGCGGAACGTACTCGATCACGGAGTGGCCCGTGTGCGGAGAGTGAACGCGGCTCGCGAACGCATGCCGACTCTCAGGTCGTTGAAAGTGTGGCGAGTCCTGTCCGGCTCCAGTTTCGTCGTCTTCACTAGCATTATCTTCCAGGACCGAGTCGGCATAGCAAACATCTGCCCATGCGTCGAGGGGTGAAGCTACAAGGTCGATATCGAGGCTGCCGAGGAATGCCGGATCCACAGGTGAGAGCGTGCTGTCGACAGCTTCTGTGGGGCCGAGTTGTAGTGTAGGACGCACTTCAGGTAGCGGCTCATCGTGTAGGGTGACATCTGAATCCGGATCCGAGCCCGAATTTGAATCTGAATCTGAATCCGAGCCCGAGGGGACGAATGAGTATGCATCATTTGGCGGTAGGATCGGGTCTGGGGCGTCGTCGTCATACAGAGCAGCGAGGTCAATCGGCGAACTCGCAGGCCTAGGTGACTGTATCGGCGACAGTATAGAGGCGACATTAGGTGGCCGGGGCAACGGTCGAGGACTGTATGGCGGCGAACAGACCGACTGTTGGAAAGCCGAGGCTTGGGAGACGGCGTACGCCGGTGGCAGCACAGACTCATATGAGTCGGACATTAGTGGCTGCGCAGAGCCATCATACACCTGCAGAGCAACGTTACAGTCAGACATCCATCCGACACGACCAATAGCAGTGTCAAGGTGGAGTCGTGATAGAAATGTGAGACGAGATGATAACTCACGTAGGGGAACGACATCAAGTAGGGCGTGGAGATGGACATCGACACGGAGAGGGAAATGAAGAGAGAAGAGATGAAAGTCCAAGAGAGGCGCAGAGGAGATGGCGACCGCTAGCCTCAGTGGCAAGTGACGCACCGCCTCCGTGAGCGTTCGAGCTAAGAGCGAACGAGCCTGATGATATGTATGAGCCTGACGGGCGGGCGTGTCCGAGTCGGCCTCGGCGCTCGGAGTCGGAGAACGTGCGTTGATTTTTCAGGGCGGACTGGCGGAAGTAAAGGATCGTCAGAGCAAAAAGAATCAACCGCGCTGGGCGGTGAACGACATGGGCATGAGCGAGGGGGACGAGGACATGGAAAGCAGGAGACCGCGATTTATGTGGGGCGAGATGCAATTGTTTCGTCCACCGTCACGAGCTTAGACAAGGCGACCATCGCCGCCGTCAGATCTCGGTCGGTTGCGCCGGCGTCCACCGCTGGCGGTCCACTTCAATGCAGGGATTGCAAGCCAAAAGACTTGTTCTCTACTGCGCATTGTTTCCGTGCTGGGATAGCATTCTTCAGCACGATGTGAACAGCGGAATGGACATCGTTCAGACTCGTCTGAGGGATATCCGAACGGCCCGGGACTCACATTGCCGCCCTAACCAAATGGGCGCTTCCAAATGGCCGGGTCACTACGTCCTCGCTTCCTCCTTCCTCCTCCTCCGTCTTCTTGATGGAAACATTCAAAAGGCTGCCACTGGTAGCTCTATGTAGGCTGAGCAACTAGGAGGCTCGCCTACGAGCCTCCACGCGAAATCAAGTCGCCCGCTCAATCACTGCTCAGCCAATGGGAGACGTGAATTGATGACCGTTTTGATTCAGGAGAGCGTTGAAACGTGCCTTTTGCATACGCAATTACACGACAATGCAGATTTAAAGTGAGCAACTTGAATGCAGTCATGAATCGTCCAGTACTGACCAGCTCACGCAGGCAGCTATATCTCGCAATTGTCCGTCAACCCAGGATAAGATAAAATTGCTATGAAACGCACCACTGGCATTTTACAGTAGCCCACCAAGTCGTCAATAAGGAGCGAGTACTCACCGCCATGAGTAGTAACCTGTATGCACACATGCTTGGGTGTCTTGCACTGATCTAAACCTAATTCTCGGCATAGTGCCTAGTAGTCAGAGAAGCTGGAAGACAACAACTGCCACACTCGTTCCGAGATGATTCAGAGCATTCTGAACCTCCTCGAGGTGAGAGTTCGAGATCAAGAGGTGATCCATTGTCCAGGACGCAGAACAGTACTCTTATATACGTACCAGCTATGGTTGACAGGCAATGAGCTACCATAGAACCGTCTATATAGAATTTCAAAGAAAGCAGCCACTCAATTTGACTCGACGCAGTCACAAAATCGCTCAGGAAAGAAATACGATCAACGAGAGCAATGTAGATGTGAGTATGGCATACCCAATGAAAAACAATTATTAGCTAGATTAGCTAGGTGTGATGGGGGTATGGGAGGATGTATGAAAACAGGGGTTTGATGTAACCGACGATATACTGTAGTGTTCCTTCCGTTTGGTCTATTACTACTCTCCGAGAACGACGTAATGTACTGTACTGCAAAGCAATTAAATGAGAGGTGTCCGTGCAAGTGGTGTCGGGCGAGAACGAACGGACAGATAACACGGCTATATGGTATGGTGGTATCGCGGCGACGCGACTGTTAGAAGAATGTATGATACTTTGACGTGAATATGCAGCGAGCGGAGTGTATGAAATGAGTAGCGCGAGGAGAGGAGCAAGGGACAAGTAAGAGGCGAAGAAAGCATGAAACGCACGACGAGAAGTCCGGTATACAACCACCAGCAATCTGGGACACCGCCGGGTTACCGTGATGCCCCCAGCGCCATCATGCTCCTTCTCTTCAGCTTCCTCGTGAACGTCTTCGCGCGCGAGAGCCATTTCCGCTCTGTCTTGGCCTCACCGTTCGTCCCGGGCAACGACGCTCTCGAGCCTTTTGCCTTTAGCTCCGTAGGCGCAGGACCGCTCGAGGTTCCCGGCCCCGGTGTCAACGGACTCCCTGGCGGCGGCCCGTTCCCAGCGTAGACCACGCTACGGCTGGCCGCCCTGGCGCGTCCAGCCCTGCTCTCCAGCCCTTCGACCGCCAGCGAGGATGCTGCTGCCCCCGCGCTGCTAGGGCCGGCCTCCTCGGTGGCATCGCCCTCGTCAGAGTGGTGCTCCACGGTGGCCTCTTCGACGGACACGCCGATGAGCACGCCCTCCAGGCCGGCTCGCGACGGCGTCTTGCTGCGCGAGAGTCCGCGCGTGAACGCGCGCGAGAGCGACTGCCGCCCTGCGATGGTCGCCATCTGCACGATGGACTCTTCCTCGTGCGCGGGCGAGCTAGGGGAATGGGCAGAGACAGGGTTGGCTTCGGCGGTGGAGGCGAGCGAGTCCGCGGAGCCGTGTTGCTGGAAGAGGGTGGGTCAGCACCGGGCGGGAGATGAGAGGAGGCGGAAGAGACTGACGTGGTCCTGTACGGCGTAGAACGCACCTTTGTTGACGACGTACGCTGCCGCAGGCGTCGGTGTCTCCGCGCGGGACGCGTCGCCGTTCCTGCTAGCAACGGAGCCCTGCATCTCGCGTCAATGCTGCTGACCACAGCGCGACGCAGACGAGACGTACCTGCCCAAACCTCGACACCGACACGCTCCCCCGTCTCCGATCTCCAACGACCGGCCTTGCCGACGTCACAGCGACGGGTGACGACGTGCTGGTCCCGGACGTGTGTGACGCTGCGTCGTCCGGGAGTGTCTGCGACAGGCGCGACGCTGCACGCGTCTGCTCTGCTGCTGCAGCGGCCTGTGCGCGCCGCTCGCTTTCCTCCTCGACGCGTTGGAAGATCTATCGGTGTATTAGACATGGACGCCGGTCGCAGCGACCATAGCAATGAGACGCACCTGCTCAATACGCGCATGGCGATCCTCGCCCAAGTCCGCCTCTTCGTGCACGCTCATCTTACCCACCAGAACAGCCTAAGCAAGGGACGGAAGTGAAGCTCGAGGTCGAGCTCAGTAGCACGCTCGTGTATGCCAGCAGAGAAAAGGCGGCACGCGTAGGCTCTACACGTATACGACCACGCAACTGCGAGCGATGGTGCTGCTGGAAGGCTTGCCGAGAGCGTTCCGGTGTACGAGCTGCCAGGGCGCGGCGGGGGTGCGAGCGGTGTCCATGGAGGGCGCGCGTGCAGTGACAGCGGTGAGCGAGGGTGAGCGGCGGGTTGGAGAAGGGGAGTGCGGCGAGCGCGGTGCTGGCGGGGACGTCGTCGACGAAGAAGCGACGCAGGTCGGTGTCGCCCCCTCGCGACACTCGAACGCGTTTCGGTTCATTGCACTACTTACCGATCGCCTGCCCCGATCCGCCTTGTGTACCGTACATATCGCGATGGGTGGAGACGGAGGTCGTGATCGAGCGCCGGGGCGTGGGAGCGCGCGCATTGGCTGCGGGTGCGGCGTCGGTGTCGCGCACGTCGACGGTGGAATCCTCTCGGAACGTCCGCCCGTGTCTCCTCTGCGCTCTCCGCGTGCTCGTCTGCGCTGCTCTCGTTCGTCGCGCCCGCTGCCCTTGTTCGTCGCGCTCGCTGCCCGCCGCCGCCTGCTCACCGCGCCCCTCGCTGCCGCCGCGTCCTCGCTGCCCAATCGCAGCGTGTCCAGAGACCGGGCAGACAGCCTGAGTATGCGTCCTATTTACTCGCTGAAGGGCGACACCCAGCTTTTCCTCCATGGTGTGCCCTCCAAGCGCGCGCGCCTGCGCCTTTGCCCATTCACTGCACTGTACGGCTACTACTGTACTGGCTAAGTCCCTCCTCTAGTCCGCTTCCTCTTCCCTCGTCCCTCCCCTCTGCGCCCTCAGATGACGGACGGATGCGTGTCGAAAACGCTCCCTTGAACCGCTCGAAGCTGCGGATGCCGACTCCCTGGGCTGCAAGAACGCTTCGTGCGTACTAACGCGGCAGACGAGTCAGCAAGTCGTGCGAACATCACTCTGCGATATATGTAGACTGACCTTCCAGCAGACAATGTGGCCCCTACGTGCCAGACCGGAAACGCGCGCCCGCCCTTCGAGCTGATCTGCACATCAGACCTGAACAGGACACCGACAGACGAGTAGGGTTGCCAGTAAGCACCACCCGCTCGGTCTACGAAAACGGCAGGCTCACCGAGCCGACTGTTGCAGCAGACGCAGATCTGTGCACCACTGCGATCTGTAAAGCAGAAGACGCGTCAGTAAGTCACACGGAAACTGCAAGGTGTATACACTTACTGACTCATTGCTCACGGTTTCGTCTCGTCTGCGTAGTACGAGGCCCCTACCGACTTGGTCAAGAACAGACGAGACAAACGAACAGCACGTACCACATCATCGCCAAGCGACTGTTCGTCGCGCTTCGTTGCGCCCCGTCCGGTCAGTTTGCTTCCTTGAGCCGCGTACCATCCGAGACTTACCCTTGAAGCAGACAACACCCCGTCTTGTCCGTGCGGTACGTGCGATCTGCCGTCACCGACGATCCCCAGGTGCAAGGTGCACGTACCAGCTGACAGACAGCTCGTTGGACCCCACCCGGTCGTCCGCCTCCACCGTCCACGCAGCATCCGCGTATCGGACACACGCTGCCGGTAAGTACCGTCGACTTGCCCTGGAAAGTGTTGACCACACGGCCTGGGTCTTTCGATACACGTCCGTGCAGTGCGGGAACCTACCGCCGACCCGGTCAGTGAAGAACATGCAAAACAACCCGACAACACGTACCATCCCATTGCCAAGTCACTGCGCATACCGGTTGATAACGCGGCAGACGACCGGAACTCGGCACACGAATACGATCGCCCGTCAAGACTCACCTCCGGCGCCCCGGACGGCGAGCACGACGTCTTCCCAGGGTGAGCAGACCGGCCGGAGGCTCGCAAAACGCAACCGTCTGCGGTGCGTACCAGTTGATAACGCGGCAGACGAGTGCTCATCAGCACGTTGCTGTGCACAATAGCACATCCACGACGTCCCCGAGCCACCGTTGCCGACCTCCGTACGTGCTGGCGGTCAATTCTCGAAGGCAGAACCTGCATAGCAACGCGGCAGACGAGTAGGGTCGCACGGTCAGCGGCCGTCTCGATGCCGGGTGATTAACAGTGCTTACCTGACGCTAGCACCCGGCCGAACACTCTCCCCGCCGACGCACCCACCGTCCCGTCCACCCTGCTCGCCGGACGGCGATACGTCGTGCCTTCATCGGTCGGGGATGCGAGCCGGGTCGACCGGCAGACCGCGGGAGGTGACGAGTCCGCGACGACGAGAGAACCATACCGGACGACGGCGGCGGCGGCCGTCCAGCAGACCGGACGGAATGTTTCGGACGGCGGTCTCATACCGTCGTTCGCGTCGGACTGCTCCACGGGTGCGGGGGAGATGAACACGGTTGGACGGGGAGTGTCCGAGGTCGAGTTTCGTAGCGGACGGGAGCACGCTCACAGATGGAGGTGAGGAGGTGCGTTTCGAAGCTGCCCGGATGCAAGACGTGCTCGCCCATGCGGGCCACGGGACGCACGCGGGGATAGAACGACGTAGTCGTTCGGACGCGAAACGTCGAGCTGCGGATGCAGGTAAGCATTACTGCGAGGAACTAACTCTGCACAGGAAACGTACCTTCCGAGCACAGACCGCTGCGTACGCGCACGCACGGCTGCTTGGCCAGCGCGGAGCGACTGCGAGACAGCCGGGCGGCGACCAGTCCCGACGTCGTTCGTCCGGTGGGGCGTGTCGGGCGCAGAGATGGGAACGGTGTGGTGGACGCGCCTGCGGCGCGTGTCCTCGCCGCGTACGTGTACCACGGAGGTTCTGTCGAGTGCCGGTGGGTCTTGCGCCCCGTTGCCAGCGACCGGACGTACTTGCTGGACGGCGATCAGTTCCTACGTCGCTCGTCTGGCAGGTCGTTCGTCCTCGACACATGCCCAAGTGTGCGCAGCACGCCGTCCTGGTTGAGAGGAAACGGACCAGTGCTGCTGGTCGATGGAGCCGAGACTGGGCTGCTCGGAAGAAAGGTCAGTGATGGCGGTGAGGATCGCGGGAGCGACGCACCGTGTGTGTCGTTCCGTGCGTTGGAATGCATACCGCGAAATACATGCTCGATGCGAGCAATCGGGTCCGTGCGCCGGAAGACCAGCGCGCCTCCGGCGCGCGTTTCATCCGTGTGTACCGGATGTTCACTGCGAAACAGAAGGTGAGGACTATGAGAGGTGTGGACGAGAGGGCCGCGCGAACCTGTTGCTGTCGACCGGACGACGATCAACCGCTCCACGTCGCTCGTCCGGTGCATGTCGGGCATCTTGCGGGGCTTCATGGTAGACCCGCCGTGGTTTACGAGCCCGAAGACGACGCGGCACGCTGTGTGAGAGAACAGGTAAGCTGTGGTATGCCAGGCGCGAATGAATGACGTACCGTGAGTGTGCTGCGTAGGACGACTGTGACATCCGTGTTTGTCGCGGGCGTGTACGCTCGGCCGGCGACGACTGCGGGTCCATGTCGAGGATTGCCTGTCGCAATCAACAAGTGTCAGTACGGCTCGATAGCAAACTTGGATGGCTAGGGAATATCCACCCAGCTTGTCCTTCGACCCAAGCAGCCCAGAACGTGTGACGTGCGGTGTGTATGGGCGTGTCCGCCACGCGCTCGGTGAACTGAGCGAGAGTGAGCACCCGGAATGTAAGAACAGTGAGCTACACATACCTGTCGGGCACCTCCACTGTGCGGGAGTGTTGTGTGTGCGCGGAAGGAACCTAGTAGTGTAGAGATTAGTATGGATAACAAAAGGAAACAATACAAGGACTTACCATGAACATAGCTTCGGCTTTGAGGGAAAGGGCTGACCCACGTCGAGCCCACCTATTTAAGCCGGAATTAATCCTGAAAGCCGCGGACACTGGTCTCGGCTCAGGCAGTTATTGTCCGCCGAACTAGGCAGGTTCCTGGCTGATGCAGCATTAGTGTATTAGTGTTTCAGGCTATGCATTGTCCACTTTTCCTCATTATTCCTCAGGCTCAATATCCTCAGACTCAGCTCAAACAAATTAAATCACCTCTCAGTAATTTTTGAAAGCCATTCAGGTTGTCATAGTTCAGTTTCCTCAGGTTAGTATGTCAGATTGGACGACTTTTGGAGATCTGAGATCTCAGCCATCAGACAACATCTGTCTGACAAATTCAGAAACCGCCTCCCGAGTCAACCATCAATTTTCTAACCTTGCGACCGGGGATAATCCCCACCCGGGCCCGAGACGAAGGACTTTGTCTGCCCAAGGCTGTCAGCCAATTCTGAGAGCCTCAGTATTGGCAGGCACCCTTGTACAGATAGTGTCCTACAGAGCCCATGATAATTCCAACAAGACACTCTATTATCCATACAGTAGTCCATAGTGTACATACTATGTCAATTACTTCACCCAAAAATTGTCGCCATGTATGCCAATCGTGCACTCGGACTTCGACTTCCGAGTCGGCATTGGGGATGCTCCGGGGCATCAAACATTCGGCTTCAGCGGGTTGTGCCTTGTGCGGCATAACCCCTTGCGGAATCGGATCAATTGGCGCAAGCGAAGGCGCTTAATAATCCGCAGCCGAGCACGAAGCCCGCGTACATCGCCGCGAAGGGCAGCCCGAAGCTTACTAGAGCACCCATTGCCATATCTGGCAAGGGCTAAGAGAGCTATGTGCTCTGTGTCGAGAAGACTGAAATGAGGACTTACCTTGTATGTGGGAACAGAGGTGAGATCCAGTGCATCCAATGAGTGAGCATGTCGAGAGGTGAGCAGGAGACATGTGGGGCAGCAGACTCGGAGGAGGATCGCTCGCGCGGCCCAGATTGGCAAGAGATCGTGCGAGCCGATCGCAGAACACGAGGCTCTCAACCGCTGCAGGTGAGCGTCTATTTCCGCTCCTCTGTGCGATCCTCTTTCCTGCTGCTCCTAGGCCATGTACGCTCGCCGTATACATTCTGACCGGGACTCTGACTGCGGGAGCTCGTCCTGGTACGTCACTTGGATAATATTAATGCATAAACTCTGCTCACAGAGTGCTTAAATAGATGCACTGCCAAATTGTACAAGGAGAAGATATGTGCAGCCAGGTCTCGTCCTGCGGCTGCTGTAGCGCGGTCGGCGTACCGCGCTCACTCGAACAAGGACAAAACTGGCACAAACAATCTGCGTTGCCAGTGGTAAGAACTAAGTACATGAGCAGAGAGCGGATACGTACCTGCGTTGCCAGTGGTAAGAACTAAAGAGTGGGCAACGCAGGACGAGCGAACATGAACAGCTGCCGAAACAGGAAGGTGACCCAAACAAGGCACGCGGCGCTAGTAGCGCCGCGGAAGCAAATACAGTAAGTCGCGAGACGGAAGCAGAATGGGATGGAGGTCGTAATACCGAAGCGGTGTTACACTCTCCCCCATCCTGAAAAAGACTATCAATCAGTAGGTAACGTAATAGTCCGTGTGTACAGTAAGTAGTCCATTGAAAACAGTTAATCAGTCAAACCATTCGAAGTGAGGTAGTCGTCGAGCGCCGCGCACTCAGCGACCAAAGACCCGGCAAGCCAGCAATCGCTTTCGGGGCCATAGCCCCGCCATCGAACAAGATATTGGAACCCACGCCCGCGACGGCGACGGTCCAATATCCGTTCGATCTCCCACTCTTGCTGGCCAGCCTCCGTGACCACCGGACCAGGGCGAGGAAGTTCGCGACCCGGGAATAAAACGTCGTCGTTTTTGTGGTATGGACGAAGCAGCGAAGCGTGGAAAGTGCTGAAGATATTCATCGACTCGGGCAGATCGAGGGTGTACGTCGAAGAGTCGGGCCACGCCTGTATGACGTTGTAAGGCCCATCATAGCGAACCATGAACTTGGCGACTCGGTGATCACCGCGTTGCATGTAGTCGCGTCGGCGATGGAAGGTTGACAAGAGGACGGGGTCGCCGACAGAGTAAGGAATTTCGGGCGACCTGTGAGCGTTAGCCGAGACAGCCTGCGACGTTTTGGCGAGCAGCAAGTTGTCCTGGGCTTCCATGCAATAAGTCTCGATGCGACCGATGAGTTCGGCAGCTTGCTCCGCGGAGAGACCAAAGTCCGCGGCCGCGCCTTGAACTGTATCGTTGAGCAACGGCGGGATGAGGCGCGGTGAACGTCCGAGACGGAGCTGGAACGGAGTGAAGCCAGTGGAAGCGTGCACCGAGTTCATGAGCTGGAAACGAATGTGAGGGAGCGCTTTCACCCAGCCAGTTTGCTGCCGAGTAACATGGAAGCGGAGCATCTGGATCAAGGTACGGTTGGTGCGTTCGCTAGCGCCGTCGGTCTCTGGGTGGTAAGACGAAGAAAGTTTGATCTTGACGCCAGTGAGCCGATGTAGCGCTTTCCAGAATCGAGAGACGAAGAGCTTGTCTCGGTCAGATATGATGTCCTTTGGCAGCCCATTCTCGCAGTACCAGTGGATGAAGAACAACTCAGCGAAGTCCTCCGCAGAAACATCGGTCCGGCAAGGAACGAAGCGTAAGTCCGAGCCCAGCCGGCACGTCATGGTGGCGATGCAGTCGAACCCATGGTCGTCTGGCAGCTTCCCGACGAAGTCGATAGTGACGCTTTCACCACGGCCATCCGGGACAGGGAGCGGGTGTAGTGGGCCGACAGGCTTGACGTTGAGTGACTTGTTACGTTGGCAGGCGTCGCAAGACGGCACGTAGAGGTCTTCGAGTTCGCGACGCATGTGGGGCCAATAGTAGGCTCCACGAAGGGCGCCGTACGATTTATCGAAGCCCATATGCCCAAGGGCATCATGCGCGAGGCGGAAGAGACTCTCTCTTATGTCGGCGACACGAGGGATAACCAAGCGGTCGCCAACAAAGAGCAATTTGTCGCGGACGGACACACCGGCCAGGGTGCGTCCATCCAGCGAACCACTTTGCAGTAGGCGTTCGGGCGGTCCCGACATGCCTTGTGCTAACGAAGCTAGAAGCTTCGTACACCACTTGTCGGACGCATATCCGTCCCTGATGGTGGTCAGCCATGCAGGGTCGGATGAAATGCGAAGTCGACCAGGTACAGCGGCGCAGGTAGGTAGCGCAGTCAGTGGTCGCGCGCGCAGAGCAAGCGAAGCGTCACGTAGAACGCGAACAGCGGCAACCACTGACGCGTCCACGACCGTGGCGTCCGGCGCGAGTCGGGACAGAGCGTCCGCAACGCTGTTATCCTCGCCTCGGACGTAAGTGATTTCAAAGTCGTACTGACTCATAAATTCTTGCCAGCGCGCTTGCCGACGAGAGAGATGCTTCTGCCCAGCGAAGTTCTCTAACGTTCGGTGGTCTGTGTACACGATGAAGGGCACACCGACAAGATCGGTGCGCCAACGCTTCAAGGCACGCACGATGGCTAGAAGTTCTTTCTCGTGCACCGGGTAGTTCAGTTCGGCACCCTTCAGTTGGGTGGAATCGAAGGCGACGGGTCGCGCCGTCTCCAACGATTCCCCATACGAGAGAACAGCCCCGGTGCAGAAATCACTAGCATCCGTGGAGAGGAAAATCTGGTTCCTCCCCATGTTCGTGTGGTCGATAACGGTGAGGCACTCACGACTAGTAACTGTCGATTTGATGGCGTCGAAGGCCTCCATATGGTGATCAAGCCATACAAAGTCCTTTTCGGCCTCTTTTGTCGTTAGCGGGGTGAGCGTGTGGGTGTGTGTTGCCAGAGAGGGAAGAAAGCTCGAGATGTATCGCACAAGCCCGAGGAAGGAGCGGACATCGGAGGCAGAGCGAGGAGTTGGCCAGGATAGGATCTTATCGACTTTGGTTCCATCAGCTTCGATGCCGGCGCGAGAGATGCGGTGTCCGAGGAAGGTGAGCTCAGTACAGAATAGGTCGGTTTTCTTGGGGGAGCAGTAGAGCCGGTGGTGTCGCAGAGCTGTGAGGATAGTTTCAACGTTTCGTCTGTGTTCTTCAACCGAGTTAGACCAGATAATGATATCATCAAGGTAAACATGGCATATAGAACCGATGTACGGGCGCAAAGCTTGGAACATACGGCGTTGATGTGTCGCAGGTGCGTTGCGACACCCTTGAGGCATCACGGTCCACTCGTAGAGTCCATACGGTGTCGCCACAGCCGTATATTTCACGTCGTCTGGGTGTACCTTTGTTTGAAAGAAGGAGTTCGTCATATCGATCTTCGCCCAAATCTTGCCTTTGCCGCAGTCGGACAAGATCTCGGCGATGCTAGGAAGGGGGTGCACGTCGGGGACAGTGTTAGCGTTGAGCAGACGATAGTCATTAACCCATCGAGGATCGGCCGTGGGATCGGATTTGGGAATGAGGAAGCAAGGAGACGAGTACGGACTACTCGAAGGACGCAATCGCCCCGCAGCGATATGGTCTTCTAGTAGCCGTTTCCAGGTTTCACGGTACTTCTTAGGTGATTCGTATTGGCGTCGCTGGATGGTCATGTTGGCGTCCTTCAGCACGAATCGATGGTAAATGTCGTCAGGAAGATTGTCGACCGGAGGTAGCTCAGAAGGGAAGCAATCGGCAAACTTGTCCCTCATCTTGCGGTTTTCCTCCGCGAGCTGGGTCTTCAAGGCCTCTGCCGCCGCGAGAGCCTCTACATGCTCGCGTACAGCAGCAATCGCGCTAACGCCTTGGATCACTGTGGAGACGTGAGCAGGGCACGGCTTACGGACCAGTGCGAGTTCCCGCAGAACATCGCGAAAGCACGCCGCCGCATGTGCTCGCTCCAAGACGCGCATCTCGCGACGCTCCGGGATAGGCAGAGGAAGAGGGGGCGTCGGTCGCGGTTTTGGATCCAGAAGGTCTACGTCGTGTCGTTTGTCGCGCAGCGTGTGATGTTCGGCGTCGAAAACCAGGCGATTGATACGAAGAAACGGGAGACCTAATATTACAGGTGCGCACAGGGACGGAACGATGACGGCACGACATGAGACGGAAGACCATTCGAAGGAGGGTGTTGAAACCCGCAGCTTGACCCACTCTGAAGCCTCGCTTCTCTCTCCATTCCAAGCGGAGCCCATGACGAAGGGCACGTTGAGTTTATATCGCCGGAGGTTGAGCTCCTTGGCAAGGTCGTCTCTAATAAGAACTGTAGACGACCCGGAGTCAACGAGCATGGACAGAGGAGTAGAGTGGCGCGAGGGGCCATGGATAACCCCTCGCAGATGCAAGAGAGAAGAGGAGAGGGGGGGCTCCACGTACTCATCGGACTCGGAGTCCGTTCCGGACCCGAGAACGTTGCTCAGCGAGGTCGCCGCCGGCGATCCGGCGTTGACCGCAGCGACAGTGTGTACGGCGTCGTCGTCGACATCCATTTGAGTAGATATCGCGGCGACCACGGACTTCCCCTTAGACTTGTGAGCATCGATGTCGGCCTGGGTGACAGGCTTGAAGGTGCGTGGGTCGGGGAACCCGAACGGGCAGTCCTTCGACCGGTGATTGACGAAAGGCCGACGGCATTTGAAGCAGCCGTCATGCGCTTGTAAAAGCTGACGTTCGTCGCCAGTCATTGCGGGGACACGCTGCGAGGTCGAAGCCTTGGCCGTCGAAGAACCGGAACTGGTGGTGGCGGTCGAACCGGAGTTGGACTTGGTAGCCTTCTGCGTTGTCTGATGACTGGCCAGGAAGCGTTCGATATCCTTGAACCTTCTCGCGCGTTCCGCCAGCCGTTCGTCATCGAAGACCGACAAGGCGTCCTTCCATTCCTTGAAGTCTACGATATCTTTGTAGACCTTCTTCGTTGCGGCGCGGCGGACGTCGACCCAGGCATTCGCGGTGATTTGAGCCTTCAGCGCCTTCTCGTCCTTACGAAGGTCACTGCCTCGCAACAGTCTGTTTTGTTTCTCGACGGCGACGACCCAGTCCGCGAAACGCTCGTCCTCCTTCTGACGCATCCGCAGTAGGACGGTGGACACGTCGTCTTCCCACTCGTGTGGTAGGTAGCGAGAGCGAATCTTGTTGACGAAGTTCGGGAAGGTCATGGCGTTGATGTTCTCGGAGTCGTTGATATACCAATCTTGGATGAGCTCGTCTTGGAACCCGAACGCGACCTTGGCGACCTTATCTTCGTCCTTCACCTCACGTTCTCGAAAGAAGGCAGTGCAGGCAGCCTCCCACTGTAGGATCAAGGCGGGTGTCAGCTTGCCTGCGCTCACGACCGGTGCATGCTTCTGAGAGACTTGAGTGACAATGGAGAGCGGGCGGGCATTGGTGGTCTTGGAGTCGACAGACATAGTGGGCGGCGAGAGTATGAGGTACGGGATGTCGTCCGACGAAGAGGAGGAGGTAGATGAGACCGAGGGAGACGCTTCCAGTGACTGTATGCGTGGTGATTCGGGCAGAGGAGCCGGTGGTAGACGCGAGGACCCGGCGGCAGTCGAGGGCGCCCCTTCAACAGCGGGCGGCTCTTGTTCGGCGGCTTCCGCCAGAGCTTCTATCAGTTCGTCCACGCAAATCTCGGACAGGGATGACAGTGGGGTGATTGAAGAGGAGTCCGTTGGCGGTGCGGCTTCCACTTCGACGGTGTCGGTGTCGGTCTGGGCGGTGGCGGTATCAACGGTACCCGTTCGCGCACGCGAGCGAGTGCAGAGCGGTATCGGTACGGAGGGTGCCCGTCTGGACGACAGGGTGGGCAGCGCGGGTTCGCTTCGGTTAGCGGCAGTTGTGTGCGAAGTTTAAAAAAAAGTGTAGCGCGGTCGGCGTACCGCGCTCACTCGAACAAGGACAAAACTGGCACAAACAATCTGCGTTGCCAGTGGTAAGAACTAAGTACATGAGCAGAGAGCGGATACGTACCTGCGTTGCCAGTGGTAAGAACTAAAGAGTGGGCAACGCAGGACGAGCGAACATGAACAGCTGCCGAAACAGGAAGGTGACCCAAACAAGGCACGCGGCGCTAGTAGCGCCGCGGAAGCAAATACAGTAAGTCGCGAGACGGAAGCAGAATGGGATGGAGGTCGTAATACCGAAGCGGTGTTACAGCTGCGTCTCCAATGCGAAACATCCGACCGGCGTCTCGAAGGGCGCCCGTACAAATTTCATCAATCAAGAAGTCCGCGTTGCCTCCCGGCAACTGGAAAATCGCCAGGCAGGAAGTAGCACTGGGCACCGATGGATTGACAGTCCCAACGGAAGCGCCCAGGGGCGGGTGCCGGGAGCGGATGGAAGACGGGAAGGAGCCGGTCTGGGCACGCGCGCTCCGTGGCGCGGTGGAGCAGGGACCCCGGGGCGCGCGACGAGGAGGAGAGGAGGGGTTGCTGGCTGTCGCGCCCGGCGGGAAAGGGATCAGCAGGTACGGCCGAGGACGCAAGGCCAATGAGAGCCAGGTAGGCTGGTCGAACGCGAGGGAACGGCGCGCTGTATGTCGTAGCCAGAGTGCCAGAGTCTCTGAACGCAGTATACACGCTCGATTCGAGACCCAGGATTTCACCGCCTCCGCGAGACAGAGAAGGCCGCCCGCCCTGCGCCTTGAGGCCATAACCGACAACGAGGCAGGCCGCTTGGACAAACAAGGCCGGAGGCGCTCATCCCAATTGGGCAGGCGCTTGAGACCGCAAATTTCGCACCTTGGGACCGCAAATTTTCCGGTACGAAGAGCGCTGCGAGGTGGGTCCTTTTTCGCGGGCACGTCCGCCATATGCCCCTACGAAGCTGGGGCGAACTGCTCACTTTACGGTCCCAGATTTGCGGTCCACCGGCAAGCCTAGCAGGCAATGGCGATCCCGCTAGTAGCCGCCGCCGCCGCCGCCATGCTCTGGGGTGAGTTGCTTCCGCGTCCTATGTGTAGCGACGGTTGTTGACGGCGTCGTTTGTCCCTCTCCGACGCTCAACTGCGTGCGACACTCTCCAACTCGCTCAGCGACACCCGTCCGACACGTCGTACGCCGACTCGTGCCGCAAGCAACAGGAGCCAGTACACCCTTCGTAGCTTCGTTCGCCGCGGCGATTACCACAGGAGGACAACCAACATGGGTGTGCGCGGGCTATGGGAGGTATAGTTCACATCTCGCAGGTGCTTCATCACGACTAACAACCGCTGGTAGGTACTGCAACCTGCGTCGACAGTCGAGACAATGGAAGACTATTTCATACACGAGGGATTTGAACACAGTCGGCGAGGAGAGCGGCTCTATAGGCTCGGTGTAGACGCAAGGTACGTCTGTGCCTACCATGGATACAGCTACAGCTAGCTAACTGCACGAAGCATCTGGTTCCATCAGATACAGAACACCTTCGCCATCGGACATGCCCAGTCAGGTGAAAATCCTGAACTGCGCACCCTTTTCTTCCGGCTGGCTCGCCTCCTCCGTCTGCCCGTGCATGCGATATTCGTTTTCGATGGACCAGATCGACCAGCCATGAAACGAGGACGACGGGTTGTACCGACAGGTCATTGGATGGTCGGCGCGATGAAATGCTTCATTGAGGCGTTCGGATATGGTTACTGGCATGTACGTGTGTCGTGCATCCTTCACTGATAGTATTCTCATTGCTCCCGCATAGGCTCCTGGTGAAGCCGAAGCTGAACTTGCGCTACTCAATCAGCTCGGATTGATCGACGGAGTCCTGACAGATGACAGTGACGTGTTCCTCTTTGGAGCGCGAACTGTCATTCGCAAGTGAGTAGTGTCACTGTCATGCCTCTTTGAATCGTAGTTGTAACACATTGCGACTATATACAGCTATGAAGCCAAGGCGAAGATGCTCACCGTCACCCATGCCTTCTCGGTCTCGACGCACGAGAGCGTGTTGCTTAGCCGTTCGGGGATGATACTGATGGCATTGCTGATGGGAGGTGACTATGACGAGGTATGATTGCTCGCTCATATGCAGTACCAACACTGATACTAGAGGCTACAGGGTGGTTTGCCAGGCTTCGGGCCACGAGTTGCTCGTGGCTTAGCACAATATCAATTCGGCGAAGCCTTGTGTCGGGCGGTCCGCGAGCTACATGCTGATGCACTGCCCGACTTCTTGTCTGGCTGGCGCAATGATCTGCGACGCACGTTGTGCACTGATGACCAGAAACAGCTTGGACGACACTACCGCAACCTGTCAAAACAAGTCCCAGATTCCTTCCCCAACATTGACATCGTCGACTTGTACGTCAATCCCGTGACATCACCGCCTGAAGATTTCGAATTGGTTCCCCCCCAACCGCCTGACATCGCGAGGCTTGGCCTTTTGTGCGAGCGTTATTTCTCGTGGGGAACAGCTCCGGGGATCATCGAGCGTTTCGGCAACTGCATACTACCGGGTGTGGTGGTACGCCTCCTTGTTGATCGAACGGCGAACCAGGATAGGCTCCTTGGTGCAAAGAGCGCACTCGAGGTACGTCTCTCCTGACTGATGTAGCTGTTCAAGATCATTCACAATACATACATAGAGTCCTCTTGAATCTCTTCTTCGTGTCGAACCCGACGGCTCAAAGCCACGGCGCTGCTCGAGCAACACACGACTTGTTGCTGTTGTTGATACGGGCTTCGCCGCTCTTGCCACTTCAGCCCTATTTGGCTCGCGACCGGCTGACAGCAGTCTTCGCCCTCGTGATGCGCCGCAACGACTGCCGATACATTCAATAGTCGTCCAGCATGCGTGGGACTTGGGTGGTGAGGCTGTGGCGGGTAATTATGTTTGAGTCTGCTGTGGACGTACTACGAGCTGACTCCGATCACCTCAGATTCACCAGCCAGCTGTACTGCGGGTCCGTCAAGGCATGCAAGAAGAAGTGGCACACGATCATCAAAGGGTACCCCAGCCCACCCACGCAACAAGGTTACCTGCCAGAACAGTGCAACGAGGCAATCACAACGTATATCGACAGCTTCCGCGAAGGGTACCGCACGATCAAGGCGGATTGCTGTGCAGTCTCGGAGTCGCGACGCACTGCTGCTGTCCGAGTCAACATCGTCAACGAGCATGTTGAGTCGCATTGCATCGCCATCTACAGGGTCAGTGAGCCCATCTGGTAACCGTTTATTCCTCTTTACTAACTGCAATATGAATAGATTGTTCGACGACAGCTATGGCGACAGCACTACAAGCGTGTATGGCCTCGCGGAGCAGGCGGCAAGCATATTCATGGGCACGTACACGAACGTGGACTCAACCTCGTCCGCATTGAGCACGGCGATATCTGTGGGCTCGTCAGCGACGTCTGCAGGCTTGTCCGCGACGTCTGCGGGCTTGTCCGCGACGTCTGCGGGCTCGTCAGCGACATCCGCGGGCTCGTCAGCGACGTCCACGAGCTCGTTGATGATGGCGTCGAGTGGGTCCGACCAGAAGAGCGGTGTGCCGAGGATGACTGACGCGCCTGATGTCCCTTGCGAGGGTGCACACAGTGCGCCGCGAGTCAGTGATGGCATAAGCAAGCCATTCAGACATGTGACAGGTGAGTCATTCAGCGAAAGTGCGTTGCTCGTCTATGTATGCTGATGAATACCAAAGCAGTGTCGTCAGAAATTCAGGCCGGGTTACTGTCGCATGCGGGAACAGGGGTTATTGATCTCACACGGGACGAAGAGGACGGCAACGTCGTCACGGTATGTTCAGATGATGTTATAGAAATCTCGAGCGACGAAGAAGCATAGGCTGTAGATTAGCGAGTCCGAGTAATTTATAGACTATCTATTCATGATCCCAACTATCTATGCGCAAGGACATGTTCGTCCGCACTGGCTACAAGGATCACTGGCAGCCCTGAAGGGGTTGAAATAGTCCTTTCTGTCGACGAGAGGGGCATCTACCGATGACAATAGGTACTTGAAAATCGTGCCAGGATTGTCGAAGTTCTCTGCCCAACCTCCCCAAGTGCATATGTCGCGAATATGCCATCTCTTGACCACAGCGAGATATTGACAACCACCGCGGCGGAATGAATGTGTTCCGTAAGGCCGTGGATCTATGGAGATGTCGAGGAGATTATTCCGAAAGCACTCAACATAGCTGTCGTACGACTAGTAGTAGTAAGTCCGAGTCAATATGTCATCGACATTTAGATATGCTGAGCACGCACCATGCCATCTGAAGCTCTGACACTTATGTTATCCAACCCGACGCGCTTACGAAAGATGTAGCCTGCACGCTCTATGTTCAAATCCTTGCAGATTTTCCACCACTCCGCGAATGCTGTGACTGGGCATAGATGTCGGTCTTGTACATTCGCCGGATACAGGTAAAACGGTGCAATCCCTACAAATAATGCAAGATATGGTAAGCAAGGGACAGTACACGGCAGATACTTCTGTTGGGGCTCACCACCGTATTGGGCTGTTTTCCGAAAAGGCAAGTCGAGTCGGACACAGTGGACCTTGCCCTTGCCGGCGATGTCCACAACGAGCATTTCGATGTCCGTCCACATGATCCGTAACGCTTCGTCCACCCGGAGTAAGCAGAGCATCGAGATGACATAGAGGAGATGGAGCATGCGGCGAACCCGGTGCCCCGCCCATTGCTCAGGACACTCAGCCTTTCGCTTCCGCGAGGTTGTTTGGCTGCTGTCGGTCAGCTGGAAGTCGATGTTAAACTCCCAGAGCCTCTTGACGATTTCTTCAGTGATCGCGCGTGCACTGGTCACGTCTTCTCCGGCACGGATCTATTTGAGTTCACGAAATCACAATTAGTAGACTGGCATAAATGTGAGAATAGAAGACAACTGACCTTGCGTCGTTGGAGACTAACCATGTACTGTGAAACGACAACAGAGAGAGAGGGATTCCCGCTATATTTGCCAGTGAGCGGATTCTGGCCCCATGACTGTTCTCCAAATCCGAAATCACGTCCAAACTTGTGGCTGATCGCTGCACGCATCTTCTGTGCCGTCGCATACTTGACGCGTGGGACATCTGGATCCTTTGGTTTACCGGAATGGATATCAAGTTCGTCAGCTCTAGATGGGGTAATGTTAGTGTGCACGACCGTAAGATGTGCATATAACACACTTGTCCATTATCCATACTGCCACCCACGACGGCAACTCCTCTGGTATGCACTGATTGTACATCTCCATCTTCTGCTCTTCGTCAACAAAACCCATCTCGACGCAGAAGGTCTTGAAGTGTTTCCATTGCCTAGTACATATGATCATTTAATCGTAGCTCGCCTGCACCTGTGTTGATCGCATACCGCTGATATTCACTAATGGTATTGTCAACCACAACGTTGGCCGACGCCTTTTTTAGATTGGTCTTCATTGCGCCCAGATCAAGCTTCGGCTTCTTTGCCATGGGTACAGGTTCACTGAGGTGGTATATCCCGGAGATAGGCTGAGACTCGTCTGTAAGGTTGTCACTGAGGTCGTCGCCGAGATTGATGTCACCGCCAGAGTCCCCTATTATGAGCGACTCGACAGCATCCTCTTGGTCATGTTCGATATCTTCGGTGTCAATAGACTGGCTATCCATTAAGCACGAGAGGGCGCCATCAGGAATTGGTGACGAGGGCATTGTGCAACTTTAACAAGTGAATACGAGGCAGAGAAAGGGAGCCTACAGCTCAAGCCCCTGGTGTGAATATTCCCGGAGGCTCCGTTCGTACTGCCGAACGCCTGTTCAGGGTCATCCGCCGATCACTCCTCTGGCCCGCTTTGTCGCACAGAGACGGCGACGTAGCACGCATTTCATTCTCTAGCTAGTCTAGTACTCCATGTCCATGCATAATGGCCCAGTGCCAACACTTGAAGTGCTTGCCAAAGACGGACCTGATATTCTCAATCTTCCACGTCCTGGACAGCCACTGCGGGAAGATCGCAATATCGAGACAGTCACTTTCACAATGTGAGTACTACGACTAGCAAAAGCTGGCAGTAAGATCACCCACTTACCTGTGGACTATCCCAGTACGAAGAAGACAACGAAACAACAGCTTAGCGAGAAGCTCAAGGACTATGGGCTGTCAATGAGTGGGAATCGAAGTGATCTAATAGAACGCCTACGTCAATTCGCACAAGACCGGACACAATGGGCTGCGTACGTACCATCAAACCTTAAGGCCTTATGGCCTACTGGTCGCTAACTCCCTGGCTAGTTTATTCAGACCCGCAGTGAAGCGGAAGCGCGGCGACATCTCTGCAAGTCGATCTACAAGTCATTCAGCAAAGCGGATTCTCACCCAGTTCGGCCCACGAGAACCTATCACCGAATATCAGAGCAGGCGCACCGGAGATCAACGGGCACCACGCCCCATTCAGGAAGGAGTGGTTGTCGGAAACGATGCCTGGGTACATGCTCCGTTATAGACCGTGCTGCAGATCACAAGTACTAATGCGTACCTTCGATGACAGGCCGACGCAGTTCTGGCTGGGTACTCGGTGGCACCAGCTGCACCTCCAAGCTGTATGCTCCCTACTACATCGCCAGATGTGTGCATGAGACATCCGATCCGGATCGATGGTCCTCCGCCTAGCGAGCGACTCCGTGAAGACCAACCTGAGCAGGATGAACCGGAGAGTATGGGAGGATGTGCTGGCAGTGCATCTGTCGGCGAAATCAGTAGTACAAGCTATACCGTAAGTGGAAAAGTCACCGGCTAAGGCCCACCGATACCGTGATAGGTATTCCTAGTATGCTCTCCTGCTGACTCATGTTCCGTCTCTGGTAGGGTGTTCGTCTTCGTCGAGTGGAGCGTGGATTGCTCTCGATGGGTACGAAGCAAGACTGGGTCGCGGTCAACGTCAAGGCACTCTGCGACAAGTTTGATCACTTTCTCGACACCTTCCCGCAAGGCGCCTCATCTCGTGCCTCAGCTGCGCAAGGCCCCGGGTATGTGCCGACTGGCAGCGGGGCCGACAGTCAACACATACCAAGTTCCATGGCAGCTGCCACCGTACCTCCCTCTGAAACTGCATCATCTCGTATGCGTTCGGCACTCCGAGTCGGGCCTCCATCATGCACTCCACAAGTCGTACAAGAGACAACTCCCGCAGATCGCTGTGTATGTGTGAACCTCGATGGTCGGGACATCTATTTCGAGAAGGCGGACTTGCCTGATCCCCCAGCCATTCACTTCTCCGACGACATCCCAGGACTTTTCCTTGAGTGGCATGCATCGCGTCGACTGATCATTGCTGGACATGGCATCCCCATCAAGCACTGGGACAAGCTGTACAAGAAACGGAACAAGTTGGTCGAGACGGACGCATGGAAAGCGATCAAAGTTGAATGGGGCAACTGGAAGGTACGAGCGAGTCGTGGCTGCATCATCTGTGACTCTGTGGGCTAGCTGCTGACTCGGATACGACTCACACAGTTCTTGGTGGAAGAACGCGAGCGGTTCCCGACAGAGGATGCCTTCTGGCATGCGTACAGTGATGAGAAGGGTGAGCGGATGTCGTACCAGCATATCCTCGACAAGTTGCAACAGGGCCGAGGCTGTACAGACGACGCAGATTACGACGCCGCGATGAAATACTTCGAGGGAAATCTGGAGCGCGCCGACACTCGTGGTCTCTTCAGGTACCGGAAGCGAGGGATCTGGCGAGTATGTAGCAAGAGGCTCACAATCGCCAGAATATGGCGCAAGTTGCTGAGCGAGGACCCGGAAATTCAGGCGAACTGGGCAGCGATGCAGTCTGCCAATACCTCCGGCTCAGGCGAGCCTTGAACCTTCTGGGCTTTAGTAGCATCCTTGGCAAGTGGCCGATATTCACGTCCCTACCTATGACCGTCCTCGTGTATCATTGCTCTCGAGTCAATACAGTAGAACAATCGCGGTGTCATGTTTCATTCGCGAGCTAATTGGTTCTGGTTGCATGTAATACTACCCTACGGTCGCGTAAATACAATGCCTCAGCCGCACGGACGGCGATGTTTCTATGAGTGCGACAGAACGGGCGAGTCGAGCAGCAGACGAGAGTTACAGGGGCCGAGCGAGGCGCGAACGGTAGCTGAGAACGCCGGTGGCTACCGGTATCCGGATATGGAAGGTGGGACCGTCAAGCGCTGAGACCAGAGCGTGACAGGACCGTGAATCTTTCGGAGGAAGAAAACGCGGTTGCGTTCGCTCGGGAGCAGGCTACAAGCGACGCCAGGGCCTGTGACAAGTACGGGTATTGTAGGCCGCACTGGGACAGCGCCGAGACATCGTACGAGATGCGGAGCGCACGTGCAGAACGCACGGACCATCCCCTGCGAAGTACGACGTATAAGAGTCGTCGATCTCACTGGTCTCTGGTCATCACCTCTCCCTTCCCTCGCTCTCTAGCTCCCTCGCAGTCACGGGTCCCTCCACCACTGAGTCCTCGTCTGAGAGGTCAGTTAGTGTTGCTCGTCGTTGCCAGTAGCATCCGCTAACATCTTCTCTCGTTGTCCCACTCGCCTTTGACCATTCAATTCGGCCAATCGTCGGGATTAGTCCGTCGCATTTGTTGAGTCGCAGGTATTTTTATATTTCATTCTACTAGTTTGTATTCTAGCTGACTATCCACGTTTACGGTTACTGGTACAGACTGCTCGGTGCGTTGCAGGTTATCACGGCATAACACCGAGGCAACAATCGACGGAAACGGAACCAGTATGTAGCCCTCGATCATCTCTAACCCATCCACGTTTGCTTGAACTGATCTGCACTTCCGTAGACGATGGTTTCCCGACCCCATCTCATGCACCATCCAGCATCACCGGCCCTCAGAGTCAACACGTCACCTCGACACGAAGCGATTGCATCCGCGCGGGCCCCTCAAGTCGGGTGGTCGGTTCTCGGTGTTAACGGTGTGCTTGACCATCAATGATGACGTTGCGGCTCGTGTAAGTCGGTTACCATTTCGAAGAACTACGCAGCTGACCTGTCTCGTCTCCGGTCTGCCGTGCCATGCGGACGCAGACGATGTCGACACCGCGCTGCCTGCGCTCCTGCATCGGTCCAGCGACGAGGCCTCGTCCAACTGTTGACCCACGCCATAAGCGGTACCGACGCGAACGATCGCTTCGTCGGGCTCGCCGGTAAGTAGGTAAATGAAACAAGTGTACGCACCCTCTGGTCTACCCTCTCGACTCCGAGACCTCCCGCTCACATCTCCCTGTCCCCACGCTCTAGACAGCGTCTCCCGAAATGGGGCTCCGTGATTGAGTTCTCGGAACGTTGCTTGCACGGCGCAACCCGGACTCATATTCCGGCGATGACGGTGACCGCTGACCGAGAGTGAGCTGCGATCGAGACTCGCGAATCTCGCCGAGGTCGCACACGTCCTACGTGATGGCCGTCGGCGCACGCACTGGCCGTACGTACAGAGAACTTGCAGGCACCCGTAGGGCGTACGCGTCGGAGGCACACTGAGCGGTCGTGGCGTGACAGCGACATCGGCCTCGTCGTGAGTCGGGCTGCCGCAGTTCTAGGTGCCACTCGGAGACGGCGGTTGTCGATCAGCAACAGGCAGGAGCCTGAGATGCAAGACGCCACAGCACGCCCGAGACGGTGTGAGTCAGTGCAATAGCACTGGGCCAGGCGGATGAGCAAGGGGAAACAAGCAAAGTCGAACCTTCGCGCGTCCTGCAACCGAGGCACGTGGCCGAGTACGTCCAACCGCGACGGCAAGTTGAAGGTCGGCAGGACGTAACGCACTGCGTGCTGCTGGTGAGCCGCGCCGTCCTGATCCAGTCTCCGGTATGTGCTCACACGGGCTCTGTGGTCGCTATGCTGCGAGCCATAACGGCGTCGGCAGAGAACGCGCACGTCCTCACTGGTGCGACTCGGAGGCTGCTGTAACGAACCCTGCGCCGGATCAGCAGGTACATGCCCGGCGTGAACGGGCCTCGAAGCACTTTCCATGTGCCTCGCACAGTGTGGACACCATGCATTGCACGCGACGAGAGAGCATTGGTGCGATATCATACAATGACGGCGGGGTCCGATTCCGAATGGTAAGTGGTTCCGCTTTGTTCTGTGACATCGGACTGACCTCGGCAGATGTTCGTAATGGATACATGAGGTGCCGGATTGGGTCGATTGCAGCTCGTCGGGCTTGGTGAGTGCTCACCTGCGTTCCGCGCTCACTCACCGTAACTCAAACGCGGACGAGACACCAGGTTAGGTATAGATACAGGGAACACACGTACTTCGCTTGCGAGGTACGGTGGTGGCAGTAATGTCACTGCCTCGGTACGGATGTCGGACGACCCGACGAGACCATGCGAGTAACGTCAGCACCAAGCACATTTCGTGGGGTGGGTCGTGTGTCGATCGACGGTACCAATTTGCGCTGTTCGTTTCGGAACCCGGGACCTGAGTCATGGTGTCTACGCGATCATGTTCGCGGGACGGAACGGTGAGTACGTCGCTGAGCTCGCGATCTTGCTGTTGACTCACAGTCGGTTCGGTACTAGCTCGAAACTCGGTACGCTGCAGCTTGTATTGGTGAGTACGTATTCTTGGTCTGCTTCATGATAGCTCACGACCGTGACGAGCAGCCGTAGCACGAAGCTGACGTGTAGACACAGCAACAAAGCTTCGGATGAGCAGACGAAACGACGCGGAGGAAAGGTGGAGTGCAACTTACACGATCTCCGTATCGACACTGACCATATAGCACTTGACCAGGTCAGGGTATTGGCCTGCGAGGTGACGGTGTGCATATGGTCTGGCCGTACGTGGTAGTACACCAAGAGTACGGTCCCATGTACCAATGCGTTGCGGGCACCGCACATCGACAACGCGCCGTCATTCACATTCACTACCGAGCACTGCAGCGGCTGCGCAGTCTCTGCTCGTCCGAGTTCTTTCAGGTATATGACACAGAGCAGGAGAGTACTTGCCGAGCTACCGACGTTTCGCGGTTCGCGTCCACTCCTCGCGCATATGACTGACATCGACCACGTTTCCTCTGTCGTGCATGCGACGACGAAGCTTACCTATATCCCTTCTGTCCCACCTATTGTATTCCCCATGCCCGTCGTGACTCGTGCCCTACGCTGACGCTTTCTCCCCTCGTGCCCTTCTCCCTAGCCACCGAGAAGTGACCAGTCACGCCTAAACGCGGCGCACGCAGACGCGTCACGAGCGCGCGGACGACCCGCATGCAGGGCGTCGGGGCTAGGCGCATGTGGATGCGGGTTCCCGTCGCGGACGTCGACTCTGCCGTTCGACTTTGGCAACAGCGCGCGGACGAGCGGACGAGCGGGAGAGCGCGGTAGTGCCGCACCGTGTGCAGTTTGATGTACGCCCGACGTCGCGTGTGCCTGGCTACGCACTCCTGCTCAGCTCGGGCCGCTGAACTTGCCGCCTCGGTGCACAGAGGGGTGCGGAGACGGAGAGGGCGGGGATGGGCTTCAAGGTCGAAGACGCGAATGGACATGGTCGCGAGTGAAAGGTGGACGCACTGACGTGTAGCGCAGAGCGGAGATGGAAGTGGAAGAGAGGCAGGAGAACGGAACATGGCACTAGGTGAGCACTCGACACAGGCTCTGCCAGCGAGCCCCCCGTGTCGGTGCAGGCGGATCCGCAACGCGGGCCCGCATGCTCAATCGCTGGCAATAAGACTTGCCACGGAGCCGTCTCACTGGAGGATCGCCGCCCTTACCGCACGATGGACACCAGATGGACGCAGTGCGCGGACGGGACGGAAGCGATGGACGCGCGGAACGAGACCCGTCCGCCCGCACCACGGCGCAGCGAAAACTATGAATAGCTATGGTTGACAGGCAATGAGCTACCATAGAACCGTCTATATAGAATCTCAAAGAAAGCAGCCACCCAATTTGACTCGACGCAGTCACAAAATCGCTCAGGAAAGAAATACGATCAACGAGAGCAATGTAGATGTGAGTATGGCGTACCCAATGAAAAACAATTATTAGCTAGATTAGCTAGGTGTGATGGGGGTATGGGAGGATGTATGAAAACAGGGGTTTGATGTAACCGACGATATACTGTAGTGTTCCTTCCGTTTGGTCTATTACTACTCTCCGAGAACGACGTAATGTACTGTACTGCAAAGCAATTAAATGAGAGGTGTCCGTGCAAGTGGTGTCGGGCGAGAACGAACGGACAGATAACACGGCTATATGGTATGGTGGTATCGCGGCGACGCGACTGTTAGAAGAATGTATGATACTTTGACGTGAATATGCAGCGAGCGGAGTGTATGAAATGAGTAGCGCGAGGAGAGGAGCAAGGGACAAGTAAGAGGCGAAGAAAGCATGAAACGCACGACGAGAAGTCCGGTATACAACCACCAGCAATCTGGGACACCGCCGGGTTACCGTGATGCCCCCAGCGCCATCATGCTCCTTCTCTTCAGCTTCCTCGTGAACGTCTTCGCGCGCGAGAGCCATTTCCGCTCTGTCTTGGCCTCACCGTTCGTCCCGGGCAACGACGCTCTCGAGCCTTTTGCCTTTAGCTCCGTAGGCGCAGGACCGCTCGAGGTTCCCGGCCCCGGTGTCAACGGACTCCCTGGCGGCGGCCCGTTCCCAGCGTAGACCACGCTACGGCTGGCCGCCCTGGCGCGTCCAGCCCTGCTCTCCAGCCCTTCGACCGCCAGCGAGGATGCTGCTGCCCCCGCGCTGCTAGGGCCGGCCTCCTCGGTGGCATCGCCCTCGTCAGAGTGGTGCTCCACGGTGGCCTCTTCGACGGACACGCCGATGAGCACGCCCTCCAGGCCCGCTCGCGACGGCGTCTTGCTGCGCGAGAGGCCGCGCGTGAACGCGCGCGAGAGCGACTGCCGCCCTGCGATGGTCGCCATCTGCACGATGGACTCTTCCTCGTGCGCGGGCGAGCTAGGGGAATGGGCAGAGACAGGGTTGGCTTCGGCGGTGGAGGCGAGCGAGTCCGCGGAGCCGTGTTGCTGGAAGAGGGTGGGTCAGCACCGGGCGGGAGATGAGAGGAGGCGGAAGAGACTGACGTGGTCCTGTACGGCGTAGAACGCACCTTTGTTGACGACGTACGCTGCCGCAGGCGTCGGTGTCTCCGCGCGGGACGCGTCGCCGTTCCTGCTAGCAACGGAGCCCTGCATCTCGCGTCAATGCTGCTGACCACAGCGCGACGCAGACGAGACGTACCTGCCCAAACCTCGACACCGACACGCTCCCCCGTCTCCGATCTCCAACGACCGGCCTTGCCGACGTCACAGCGACGGGTGACGACGTGCTGGTCCCGGACGTGTGTGACGCTGCGTCGTCCGGGAGTGTCTGCGACAGGCGCGACGCTGCACGCGTCTGCTCTGCTGCTGCAGCGGCCTGTGCGCGCCGCTCGCTTTCCTCCTCGACGCGTTGGAAGATCTATCGGTGTATTAGACATGGATGCCGGTCGCAGCGACCATAGCAATGAGACGCACCTGCTCAATACGCGCATGGCGATCCTCGCCCAAGTCCGCCTCTTCGTGCACGCTCATCTTACCCACCAGAACAGCCTAAGCAAGGGACGGAAGTGAAGCTCGAGGTCGAGCTCAGTAGCACGCTCGTGTATGCCAGCAGAGAAAAGGCGGCACGCGTAGGCTCTACACGTATACGACCACGCAACTGCGAGGGATGGTGCTTCTGGAAGGCTTGCCGAGAGCGTTCCGGTGTACGAGCTACCAGGGTCGCGGCGGCGGTGCGAGCGGTGTCCGCCGGAAGCGCGCGCCTGCGACGACAGAGGTGAACAATGGGTTGGAGGAGGAGGGGAGTTGGGGTCGCAGCGACCACGGTGTTGACTAGAACGTCGTCGGCGACGAAGACGCGGTAGCGACGTTGGTCGGCGTCGTTCCTTCGCGACACCGTGACTGCGCGAACGCGTTTCGGCGCTTACATTATTTACACTACTTGCCGATCGCTTACCCCGACGATTCGCCTTGAGTGACAATGAATACCGTACATATCACCACGGTGAACTCACAGACTAGAGGCGCAAGTCTAAAGCATGGAATTTGCCAGAGAATATGGAGAATGCGTTGTTGTAAGTATATGGAGGTGTGGTACGGCGCTACAGATTCGGTGTACATCGCATACATCATGCGGCTTTGACACATAAGACGACTACGTCGGTGCGAGCAAGTCTTTGTGCACGGAAGCCGGGGCCGATGGCGAATTGGGGGTTCATGAAGGGAACCCGTTCCGCAGCTCATATGGCCATGCCTGAGTTGCTGAACTCACGATGTCAGTCCGTTGTCTACGAGAAAAGATCATTGATACCAACCTGCACAATGTAGATGGTCGACCAGCATCAGATCGCGTTAGGTCTTTTCGCATAGCTGAAGCCAGCGGCGAGTTGGAGCTTCATGGAGATGACTCGGTCCGCAGCTTGTATGCGATCCAGAAGTTACTACAACATGCCGTCAGTTCGTTGCCTGCAAGAAAAGACCATACATACGGACCCGACCGATGCGCATGCACAACCAGGATCACACACCGCTACCTCCAGCACCTTGTCGAATCCCACCTGGGTCCCTCCGTCTCGTGTTCCCACCTCCGTGTCGCGCTTCTCGGTGCGCAGCGTGGATGGACCGCCGCCTTTACGCGGTCAGTACCACGGCACCGGCGTCAGAGGTGGCCACTTCTGTCTGGCAGAGGTGGCGTCCGGCGCACGCACGCGATACAGCCCCGCTCCAGCCACAGTAGCTCTGCCGCGTAGAGTCAGCGCCGACTTCGCGACATGCGGGGAAGCGCTTTTCCTGGCCAGGAACAGAGGTAAGCAACAGGCAATGATCAGGAGCTAGGAGAACGGGGCGTACAGCGGTTGGACTTGTTGCGTGCATGGGATGCGCATTCTTGACGATTGAATCAGGACGCTCATAGCGCATGCGTAGACTTGCTAGGCTGAACGCCGGTCGAGTTTGGCGCGAGCGCATCGTGTCTTCGTCAATGGTGCTCGACTCGGGGAGGTGCAGTGAGTTAAGCGCTCCTACCCAGCATCCCTGCTGCTTATATACGTTGGTCGTCAGGGGCTGTAAACGCTTGGTGTTCTCAGGAGCATCCCTGAGATTGTCATGCCGCGCCACGATCGTCACCGCTTGACAAAGCGGGATGGATGGTAGATCTGCCGAGGTGACACGGTTCTCATAGACAAAGGCGCTACCAAGCCATATCAAAGCGTCGCCACACGTCAGTACAACGACCAACCTGGAGGAAAGGGGGCAGGTTTGTCACGGGGTATGAGAGAGGGCCACCTCGAGGCGGCACTTTGCGTTAGCTAAATGGCTCGCGAGGCCTTACCTATCTGGGACGGCTGTGGCCTTGACATTTAGGAGGCACGGTGACCGCATCTCACACGGGAGACATAGAAGTATTATCGAAGCGAGATTTGGGTAGTTGTACAGATCTTCTGATGCGTATTCCTTCTACTTCGGTCAACGGGCGAATCGGTGGTGACGCGCTTGGAGCTATAGCGAAATTCGATACTTTGGGGCTGCCATCAGGAGCTGAGTAACATGAGCATTGGCCATAAGTGAGATACAGAGATATTGCCGTAGATGGAGCCGCTTACCAAGGTCAATGTTTGGATTTGCCTCCGGTTGTTGTGGCACAATTATGGCCACCAGTGCTCCGCGACACGACGCCTCTCGCGTTTCGGACCGTCAAAAGCGGAACAGACCACACCGACACGTGTGCCTCGAGCGAGGAAGTTAGGGAAACGCGCTGAGATCACTTTGATCCAGTCTTCGAGACGATCAGCAGGCGAACGTGTGTCGAAGATGACCTCCACTGGAGGATCTTCCAGTGCGAGGCTGCCCAGGGTAGAATCCAGCCTGTCGGGAGCACGTGGGGACATATCGTCAACAGATCCGTCGACGACGAAATGGATTTGACGCGCTGGGACGAAACACCATTCAAGGAGCTGGACTAGGTACCTAGGGAGCATGTTCCCTGTTTCCAGGAGTGTCGGGCAGTCAATGCGCAAGGAATGAATGACTAAATTGGTCAATCGCGTGTAGCCTCCCAATATACCTGTGGGGAATGTGAGTACAGCCCAGTGCCAATATAAGGGGATTCACGGACGACATACCAGGTATCGCTGGATTGACTCCTGTGAGCATGCTAAGGTTCACGGAGGCGAGGAAAGCCTGGATTTTGCTAGCTTCGTCGGGGTCGACATCCTCAACGTGGTCACAGTTGGTATGTTCCAGATGAACTTCCTTGATGGTCACCGAGAACGGCGGCTTGATGGTGGACGCCGAACGCATGGCAAGGCAGAATTCGGTGTACCCGACGAGATCACCTCTGAAGGTATCGATGCTGACTTTCTGATGGATTGGGTAGGTCTCCTTCATGAGAGAGTACTCTAACGTGGGTCGCTTTGTGATGCACACGCAAGACCTCTGTGGCGCGGAGGAGAGTAGGGGCACCATGTCATCAATATCTTTGAAGTAGGCGTCGTACAGGTATAACCGGGCGGCCTAGAGACAACAGTAATCAGAAACTAATAAACGTGTCTCTTGAATCTCAGCAATGTACATACCTTGCGAGATACTTCTACGATCGCCTCTGCGACAGCCGGCGAAACACGATGCGGAGTCCACCAGGGTCGGTCCAGTCGTAGTGTGTCCAGAAAGTTGAACCTTCTCAGTACATCAGGGAGCCTATCATGCTTCCACAGCGACGGGGACCCCAAAGGAATTGCCGACGCATCTTCACTGATGCAGACATCATGGACGAGATCAACGATGCAGTCCGAGCGGAGCACATGCGAGGAAATGATAGCCAGGAATGCGGTGACGTCGTCCCAGTCCTTGAATGTAACGACCTTGAAGATGTGCGGGCGAGAGGTCCGCACCCAGGAGCGCGCGACAGAGCTACAAGCCCTCATTGTCGACTGGTCGTCGGATGCGAGGTTGATGACCATGTCACATAGCTCCTGGGGGAAGACTCCGCGGAAGATCCGGGCAGCGCCACTCCGACGAGCCTGAGTGCGTCGCGCAGGACGGCGCATGACTTGGGAATGTCGGGACAAGGATCAAATTTGCCAAGATGGTACAGACGTCTCAATAAACCCAGGTTTCGAAGCGATGTTGTCGGTCCGACGACGGCTCGGAGTGGTGGGAGGTGTAAGTCGACACGGGTGGCTGTCGGGTTCTCGGGTTCGGCGACTCGGACGCGGGCGCGTGCTTGAGCTTGTAGACGGTGAGCGGTCGTTGGGAGTCGGGCAAATGCTGATCGATGGTCGGGTGGTGGCGAATGAGAGAGTGAAGTCCTGGTGTCCTACAATCCATTGTTTCGAACCGCGCAGTACTTATACACCACCGAAATGTGAGCCACTCCGAGTTACCTCCGAACCTGTACCCGGGTACAATGTAAGCATTATTAGGAAGAGCATAAAGGTAATGGCGGTGGCACACCACCGCCCCCAGGTGCTTCAAAAGAAAGAATGTAGGCACACTAGACCATAGCGATCAGGTGGCAAATGTATGCAGACCGCCGTCGGCCCGCTGGAATCCTTTGTGAGTGACCCAGTAGACATCCAGGATGACATACGTACCAGGTCATTGTGCCCGCTGTGACTGTGACCAGCAATGCTCCATCGTGTATTGGAACCCCGTGTAGGTCTGCACAGAGCACACTAGACTCGTTCGTGCGCAACTGCACAGAAGCCTGGGTAAGCAGGATGAGATAGCCCCAATCCACTCGGACATCGAATCGCAGCCGCGAGCCATCTCTATACGGAAAACGACTTCGAGGTCCGAGTTTTCCTGCGCAAGCTGTGCGAGTGCATCGTCCAGATGGCTATCGGACGTCCAGTCCCAATGCGGACTGGCGTCCCGAAATCGAAGCATATATGCTGGGCACGCAGAACGCCGATGTTGAAGAGGTCAACAACGGTATGCGCAAAGTTTGCGTCCCGCAATTCTTCACCTCTGAAGTCGACGAGGAGCTCATTGATTCGAATGAACGTAGATGACGTCGACGTCTCCCCGAAAGTCCCTGCGTGGCAGTCAGTCTTGAGCCTTCGGGGTGATAATGTACCGTGACCACTCACAGGCGACTGGATTTAGTGAATGGTCAACTCGCCGGCGGAACACCTCTTCGTATGTCCGGCTCAGAAATGCGACTGTTTCGTGCAGCATGAATCGTCTTTGACGGTTCCCGGCGGTAAGCTTGAGCTCGTCGACCAGGACCACCAGTTGCGTGCGGGCTAAAATACCTCGGTAGATGGCCATGCAGAACCCGACATACGAAGTTGCGTCTACAACCAACCTGCCGAGGCGAATGTCCCTCCCGGAGAACTCGGCGAGTGACGCAGCCGGGATGGAATGGCTATCCGCGCTGCACCACGACAGGACGAGGGACGCGCGCTCCGAGTCTGGCGTGGACAAGAGCACACGGAGCATATCACCCATGTGCAGAAATGCGACGCTGCAGATATGGAGATGCTTCACCTGGTGCAAATGATGAGAGTCCGACCTCTGAGACGCGCTGGACGATCACCTTCCGTGTGTACGTGAGGAGGTAGTCGGCCATTTCCTGCGAGAGTAGCGACGGATCCCACCAGAGATTCTCGAGCCGCAGAACCTCCAGTTCCGTGAGCTCTCGCAAAAGCCTGATGAGGCCGAGGTCGTGCCATACCGCACGCTGTAGTTTGGGCTCGCAGACGGCATTGTCTTGCGGGTCGACGCCGATATGGAGCTCGTGGACATAGCGCGCAAGGCTGCACGAGTTGAGAAGGGGGGAGTCGAGAAGTTCTTCAAATCCCGTGCGCTTGTAGCAAGACTGTAAGCTTACAGTACGGAATTTATGCGAGCGCGCCGTAACAAGCCATGTATGCGACACCAGGCTGCACACGCCCAGCGCGGATAGGTCGTCCCATAAGTAGTTGATAACGTTGTCGTGCAATTCGAGTGGAATGGTCGGAAGCTCTGTATCCTCCCGTCGTCGTTGCATGATGGCTAAGTTGAGGATGAAGGGCGGCAGCGACTCCCAGTAGGAGTAGGTACGTCGTTGGAATGGCACAGCGGGTGGGTGGACGTTCTCTGATCCGGGCAGAACTCGTCGTTATCAGATAATTTATGATTGCCCAACGACCTGTGTGGTACTCACCGTCATGTGCCCATCTTGTCGAACGCTGGACTACGCCCCCAACACCGAGCTTCCTCCTGGTCGCAGCTGCCAGTGATCGTCGAATCTTGCAACATATGACAAGCTCTGATCTAGGGTGGAAATGGGGGACTCTTCACGAAAAAAGGTCAACAAATGCGAACTTACCAAGGTCTTGGCGGCGACTGTGACATTAGTGCTACATCTGATATCCAGCCTGTCGTCGACTGGGCGTGCTGACTTGGAAACCTCTTTAGTCGACGAGCGAGCGAGAGATCGAGAGCATACGTGAGGGAGCAGATATGCGCGACAGTCGAGAGGGGAAAGATCCGTGCAGAGACGGGCACCATGGTCAGCTTTTATGTGCACAACGCAGACACGAGTGGAGCAGAAAATGACGTCGCAAAAAGGTAGTGTGACGTTCAAAGTCGAATCACGACGAGCGAGGCAAACGAATTAAGTATGACGAGTGGAACTTAACAGCATGGTTGGACGAGAAGGAAGGCGTTGTACCAGAAAAGGAAAGTACTGTGCAGAGGAAGTGTCACGGACATGTCACGAGAATGTCACGGACATGTCACGAACATGTCACATGCAGCCTCGCCGGACGCGGCGCGGTGGCTCTCGTGCACTCCGGATCCCACTCTGCGCGTTGCCCTCGCATACTTACAGGCATTGTGTGGGCATCATTTTGACCCTTCGGGGACAAATGACGACTCCTGGTCTGGCTGCGTAGTCAAGATGCATGGGCTGCGCTGGTTAAGGGTGGAGAGTGCAAGCCTTTCCGAGTCTCGCATCGGATGTACGTCCCCTTTTCCCTGTTCTCTTCACCTATAACGCGCTGATTTGACCTTTCCCACCAGCAGATGTTCGAAGTACCGGACCTGACACGGTCAGGTCGTCTCGCGAGGACAGCCGCGTGGCGCCCGTACGTGGCCTAGGCGTAGTAGGGCGTAGTGCGATCGTGCCCCGCCTGTGAGTTAACAGCGGCGCGCGTACGGTAATTCTACGCTCCGAAACCGCCTGGCAGCCCGACATACGGCGAACATGCCCTCGTTTTGCTCTATTCTCTTCGGTATCATCACCCGCGGCTCGTCGTCCAGCCCCGCCATCCGTGGCTTGTCGCACCGCCATCCTCTTCGGCCCACGTCTAACCTCCTTCATGACGTCCCGAGTTGAGAAGGAGCTAGCGCGACCGGGCTGGCCTTAGGATGCTCGAGCTTCCCACGAGAAGCTGGAAACGAAGGAGGGAGGATACGAGGCCGGTGGACAAGGAGAGGAAAAGGTCATGCTCGATCAGTGTTCGTACATTGATCGTTATCGTCGCCTTGGCCGGGACGCTGACTGCATGCTCGCAGCTGTTCGACTTGCCTGGCAAATTGGCTGGGGCTGAGGTGTCATCATCTTTGGTCCATCGACATGTGCCGTGTCGCATGTCGGTCTGGACGGCTGCGCCACGGCCCACACGTCAGTCACAGAAGGTTCCTGCTCTGATCAGCTCTTTCCGCCTGGTTTGCGTTGGTACTTCTGTCATCGCCGAGATTCGCTGCTTGTACACCGGCTTCTACTACATCAGCCGTCTCGCGCTCTCGATCAATGGCATGCTATGCACACCGTCTTGTCTCGCGACGCGCGAGGCCATCATTGCTCGTGTCGGGGCTTCTGGAGCTGCCTTGAGCGATTTGGGCGTGCACAGTATTGCGCAGCGTCCGCCCATGAGTCACGCTACTCCAGTATAGGTGGTGTCGTTATTCGCATGATGCATATGGGGCAGCCTACCTACTGGTATGGCACATGGCAGTGCACGCGCCCCAAGGCTGTCGTTGTTGGCAGGCCAAGACCTGTCTTTGATTGATGGAGACCGTGACTTTGGTATGTATGTCGTGGCAGTGTCTGTCTGTCCCATTTACGCGAGTGCTGTATGCGCGACTCTATATAAGTAGAGGCAGCTCGCTACAACTTATCATTGTACTAGCTACCCTTCAACCAATAGCAGCTGAGACCCTCTCATAGTTCCAGCCCCGCTCACACATCCCGTTCACCCTCACATTCTCGCCGATAATGCGACCTTTCGCGCCGCTCCTATACTGTCTCTTGGCCTTTCCTTTCCTTACATACGCAGCTTCTCCACCGGACAAGCTCACACTCCTGGTGCCACCTAGCCAAGTGCAAGTGAACTCAACCGTGTGCTTCGGGTGGGCAGAGCCTGTAGACGAGACGCGATACTATGGTACGTCGCATGCTTCCCAGCGCCATTGCGACTCATGACACCTGAGCTGCCCAGGGTTCATCGAGGCCGTGAACATCAGTATGCTCGCACCGAATGGGACGAACGTCGGGAGGGTCGGGGTGAACACCGACAACAACACTGGGCTCGGGTCGTGTGGTTCCTACCCTGGCACAGGCTACTCTGGCTGTGCCGTCGCTCCCGACACTGGCACGTACACCGTCGTGTGGAACTTCACGTACACGATGTCGTCCGACCCGGCGAAGGCAAACAAGTCGTACTGCGGTCCCGCACCGTTCTCGACGCAGACCTTTTTGCTGAACCGGACATTTGAGGCGAGGGTGATCCAAGGTGAGGCTACTTCGTTCACGAATCTGGAATACATGACGACTACGACATTGCCGACGAAGCCTACGGGGGATTTGAAGGTGGCTGGAGCGTCTGCCGTGCACCTACCGGAGCTGATCAGTTGGATGGGCGCGACAGCTGTCGGGGTTGGGATGATGTTGACGATATGAACATTCAAATGGCTCGGGTCATGGATTACAGACTACGAACGAGTATGCGCTCACGAAATGCTATATGATATCCGAGGATGGTATGCAACGTCTGTAAAGGGCGCCGTGGGTCTGCTGAGCGCGTTCTGGTGGAGGCATGTCTCGTCAGTACAAGCATAACGTCCTAACATAGCTTATGGAGGCCAACTTCTTGAGAATATTCATCACGGCGACTTCGGAAGATTCATTTCTGAATCCAGCGAACGGGTTCAAGTTAGGCTACTGGCCATTCGTGAGCGCGTAGACAAGGAGGACGAGCCGTTTTACCACCTTGTACTACCACCTTGTACTTAACACTCCTTCACCGCCCTCTGCTCGCCGTGCCCTTCGCCCTCCCGTCGTGCCATGTTCGTCTCCCGCGCAGCGTGCGCCCCGCCCTCCATGCATCCTCGGCCTGGGCCGTGCCTCGCCGTGCTGACTTCTCTCTACAGTCACTCGGTGCACGTCGCAATGCTACGGGCTGCTCCCGGTGCGCCTCCGCTCTCGCCAATCACACTCAAGTGAGGTACATCCGCCCATGCGCTGACCGACACGCTCCGCGAGTGACCTATCCGTTGCAACTACCTTGGAATAGCATCTCACCTGCATATATCCCGGTTAACGTTACTTCAAGTTTCCCGCGCACCGGAGAGAGAGGCACAGCACTTACCTGCAAGTACTGCTTACGCAGTCCACTGCCGGTGCCACGAGTAAACACAACGGCACATACGGCTCCGAGTGGCATAGTACTCAAGAGTGTTCGTTGGTCTATAGGAGCCCGACGAAGCTGGTCTGAGGCTGGCCAATTCAGCCAGCCGTAATAGGCATTCCCTTTGGTGAGGACAGTCGCGGCGAGCTGAAAACCACCAGTGCGAGAGGATGAGGAGAACCAGAGAGCGCCAGACGAAGTTCACTTGCACGCATTCAACAAACTCGACGAAGTGAAAAGTCATTTATCCTCTCTACGCCGTGCAGCCCACGTCCATGGATTCACTGTCTCCGTAGTTCTAAAGGGTTGATGTACGTAGGAAAACTCCAAATGTAACCGATCTATGCCGACAAACGTGCCCTAGACCCTTGCGAATCCGAAGAAGTCTGAGCTGCGCATGCGAGCAACGACAGTCCACACGCCGTTTCTGAAGTCAAGACAGTTGTTCGAGTCGCGGCCGACATCGAGCTAGTACTTATTGACGTGCTGTAAGTCCAACGCTACGGAGTCTGCCTCCTTCACTGGTAATTACCGTCCAAGCTGATATGCAACCGTCCTCACCACTCAAAGAGGTCGTGTTTAGAGTCTGCCTACGGAAGAAATGTCCAAGCAGGTTCCAAAGCCGCAAAGCTGGTTCCAGAGACTCCAGGCAGTACGTCCAAGCAGGTTCCAAGGCCGCACGTCTTGTTTCGGTACTGTACAAGTCCCACGCCCCTGCAAGCTGAGGCGCAAGCGGAGGCGATCGCGCTTTCTAAGTTTCTTACCCTCAGTGCGCTGCTTACAAGCTCTCGCTCATCTAAACCTTCGTTTGTCGCAAATAACAAGTCGATGCCACCGCTTGGCTCAGAAACGTTTACAAAGCTCTCTGCAGGCAAACTTTATGTAGGCGGCGAACGCTCATCGTCTCGTCCGTTAGCACCGGCTACCGCTATACCGGTGCCTCGACCCCCCACTACCCCGGACGCGGGGACCATGATTACCGGCGGACACAGCGACCTGGTGATCACCACAACGCGGGGTAAGAGCGGGAAGAGCCGGGCGAAGATGCGGGGCGGGTGCGGAGGATCCACTACCGCCTCCTGAGCGGGCGGAGACGCGACGTCTTCGCGAAAACATGTGCGGTGAGTGCGGAGCACCTCCCAGCGGTCTTGCGCGGCCGAGACGTCGTCGTTCGGACGTCTTTCGGAGCCGTACGTCTTCCTCTGCTTGCGCCCTGCCCTGGGCGATCGCCGCCAGGGCCTGGTTGGGGTCTGGCAGGCGCATTGAAGATTCACATGTCTAACCCCGCATGTTTGAATGCGCGACCCATGACTCCGTGACAGCGAGCTGCACCATTGCAAGTATCCGCTAAAAGGCTCTCGCCCGCGCCCGCGGCGTGTAGCCACAACGCCCTTATACCGCTTCGCCGCTGCCCGGCATCGGTGAGCACCCATCTTCCCCGACGCGACTCTGCAAGCTGACGACGACGCGTTCCAGATACCCTCGTTCGCTTTCCCCTGCCTCGTAACACGCAGAACACAGTCACTCCCGCACTTCCTATACCAGCATGTCGAAGGCGACGGACCCGAAGAAACCCGTAGGGTTTGCCATCCAGCTCACGGCGGGTGGTATGGCGGGCGCGATGGAGGCGGTAAGTCATGCGCTCTTCCTGCGTGTAATGGCTGACGAGCGTAGACTAGATATGTTGTCAGCCACTAGACACCATCAAAGTCCGAATGCAGCTGTCGCGGTCGGGCAAAGCACCAGGGGTGAGTGACCTGCCCGCCAATGATGCAGGCGCACGAACAGGCCCGGGCGCGCGTGATTCTGTGCCGTATTGTACAGACGCAATGGTATTGGCCATGACGTCATACAGCGCAGACATCCCTGCTTTGCCGTAGGCAAGCGCGAATGAGTGCCTGCAAACAGGTGTCCCGCTACGATGTCATTATTTGCTGACCGGCATCTCACAGACGAAACCTCGCGGCTTCATAGCCACCGGGGCGATGATCGTCAAGCGCGAGACACCACTCGCGCTCTACAAGGGTCTCGGTGCGGTACTATCGGGAATTGTGCCCAAGATGGCCATCCGCTTTGCGAGTTTCGAGGCATACAAGGGGATGCTCGCAGACAAGGAAACAGGCGTCACCAACCTCGGTGGCATCTTCTTGGGTAAGCGATTGCCGTTCCTGCTGCGCAAGAGAGAGAGAGATCAGTGCGACTGACATACCGCCCATCCAGCTGGGTTGGGTGCCGGCACGACAGAGGCGGTATTTGTAGTGACGCCGATGGAGGTCGTGAAGATCCGACTGCAAGCACAATCCCACTCGCTTGCGGATCCTCTTGAGCAGCCGATGTACCGGAACGCAGGCCACGCCGTATACAAGATCGTCAGGGAGGAGGGCTTCAGCGCTCTATATCGCGGAGTGTCCTTGACCGCCCTTCGGCAGGCGACAAATCAGGGTGAGTCGCGCCCTCGGATCACTCCCGTCGAGTGAGCTTCGCTGCGGTGACTAATGCGCATGTTCACGGGGTGTAGGAGCGAACTTCACGACGTACCAAGAGCTGAAGAAGTTCGCGTTGGCAAAGCAGCCAGACCTGCAAGAATTGCCGTCCTACCAACACATGCTCATCGGCCTCGTTTCCGGCGCGATGGGCCCCTTCTCGAACGCGCCGATCGACACAATCAAGACGCGTACGTACTGCTGCATTCCCCGCCTCCATGCCCCGCGCGCACTTCTCGCTGACTCACGTTGATCCGGCGCAGGCTTGCAGAAAGCGACGGCCGTCCCAGGGACGAGCGCCTTCGAGCGCGTCGCGGCGATCGCGCGTGACATGTGGGCGCAAGAAGGCTTCCGGTCGTTCTACAAGGGCATCACGCCGCGCGTGCTCCGCGTTGCGCCCGGCCAGGCGATCGTGTTCGCGGTGTACGAGCGCGTGCGGAGGGTCATCGAGACGATGCAGGGGAGCACCGAGGAGGATCGGTATAGCGAGTAGACGGGGCCGGCGGTGCGCGGTGCGCGCGGAGTCGGTCGGTGGATGCGCGGATGGTAGGACAGATCAGTAGTGTAGCATAGTGTACTATGGCTCAGCAATGTTTCAACGTGTTCGCGTCTTGTTGCTAGGCTTCGAGTCCCTGAGCGGAACGGCGCGGAAAGCGGTTATTTTCGTGGCCCTTCCGCTTTAACTCTGCAGTAACCAGCCCGACTCTCGATGCTCCGTCGACGTCTTGCGGACTGCCGCTCTTCGTAGACTGTCTCCCCGCGATTCGCCTCTGCCAGTGCTTGCGGTCCCTTATGCGCAGTCTGCCTTCCTTCCGGTCTGCTGTTGCAACTGGTTCCCTCCGCCGCCTTGCCATCGCGTTTCGCCTCTCTGTAGTTGGCCTTGCTTCCGGCTCGCCCTGGGTGTCGCACGTCCCCTCCGCTTTACCGTCGCAGTCCACTTTACCTCGCAGTCCTTTGTAGTGCTCCTCTCGTTCCTTCCGCCCGTTAACCTTCCTTCCGCCAGTTGACCTTCCTTCCGCCCGCTCCTTCCGCGGTCTGTTCCTACCGCCCGGGTTCCTTCCGCCGCCCATACCAACCCGGTCCATCTTTGTGGACCGCCTTCAATCTGTGAGGTCTACATGCCTTTCTTTGAGTTCGCTTTTGTCGCGCGGACCCTCCGAGTTCGCTCAAGTGGTCGTGCGGCATCTTCGAGTCCGCGGGCGGCATCTTCGAGCCTGCGCGCCGCCCTGAGCGGCCTATGACAGCGGCCTCCGAGTCAAAAATTTCAGTCCGCCTTGTAGTGTATGATCCGCCTTTCAACCAGATCGCTTCTCTTTGCAGTCTGCGACTATCTTATGGTGAATGTGTAGCCTGCTTGTATATTGACATCATCATATTCAGTATGTTGTCAGAAGCCGGGACTCTCTGCTTGTACAAGCTGATCGGCTTGAACTCGCTGTCGAAAGGCCGCCGAATCACCGACTCGGATCGACTGTGGACATGCAAGTTGAATGGTGTCTTCGTGACCGGTTTTAGGGATGACGAGCAAATGCTTTGAGGAATTGCCTTGAGCAGTATGAGCATATCTCGGAGGGGAGATGCAACAGTTCGGAGCTTGGGCAGTCCAAGTCTCGCCTTCGACAAAAAGGTGGGACTTGAACTGCACAGCTCATCATGTCCCATCTCCACATGATTGAGCCCAATAGATATACAGGCATAGCATAGCTTATTCTTGTACCATGTATGTTGGTTGACAAGCAAAAGATGAGGAGAGGCCTGGGAACATGTCTCGCGGCCTCTTGGTATCTTTCCCAAAAAGGCACTTGCTTACTAATTGGGCTCGCTACTCTGCCTTGTTAGGCAACTTTGTCAAGCAAGTCTCAGAAGCAAATCTCTCGACCATTGCTCATGGTAAGTATACCATTTGGTAGCTCCAATCAAGCTCAATGCAACACACATGTGTTTTGCCAGAAAGATGCAGCCTTTATTGTTCAATGCATTGGTGGCCGACTGGGATGTTCAGCAGCTCCAGCCGAGATTCTGACCTATTATAGTAGGTTGCTCCGATCAATTTCCCACAGTTAAGCAGCGAGGCCGTCGGGCAATGCCTGAGAGTGCCTGTATATGGCAAGTGCTCACCTGGCCTCGGCTTCTCGTGCATGATTTATGTGTCACTCTACATGTAATGATCTACAGATCATGCAACAGCCCAAATATATATTATATGCACTTCTTGTGCTCGATTTCCCCCCAAACCTCTGTAGCATGTCCCAAGTGTCCACGTCCTCCACTCATGCAGCCTCGAGAGGGCACCCACAAATGCCACCTGAGGGTGAGCAGCTTCGCCGTGGTTTGTTCCCATTCTTCTTGTTACAGTAGTGACACGTCACAGGCAGTAATCGGTGGCAGGATAGCTCACTTAGAAGCTGTCCTGCAACAGATCAGTGTCTCAGAATACTATGAATGAGTAGCTGAATATTCTATACAGAATTTGAAGAACAACATAAGAATGATAATCCTTCAGCAGAGGATTGTGAGGGGCTGTATACTGCCCTTGTGGGCCTGAAGATACCGTGGTTCACTCGCAAAAACCATACAAATTGGCTACACAATTATAGAAAGAACAAACAAGCAAATCAGCAGAAAAGAGCTCAAGCTGGTATGTTGAAGTCACATATACTTGAGGATCAATTGCATTATTGAGATATTGCTATCAGCATGTGAAGTACAGCTCCTCAAGCAATGGCTCAAACAGGTGCCAAATCCTACCTTGTCAGAACTCAAGCAGTGGGCTATATGTCTGGGGATCAAGACTGCCCACTTGGTGGAGCAAATTGAACAACTGCAACAAGTGAGTATACAGCTCTGATTCAACTACAGGACAATGACAGACATTAACATGAGTGATTCCTAGGAGCAAAACAGTTCTGAACTACCTCAGTTCATTCAAGGATCATCCATGTATAGTTATGATGATGCTCTCAGCCACCCCTCCTTTATACAAGATAATGGTTCTCAGGTTGTGCCCCAGTATTACTAGGCATCCTATTTCCTCAACATGAACTACACTTTACATTATATCATTTTCATCCAGTATATCCAATACTTGTACAGTCATGCATGAAAAGTAGTTACAATTCTTCAGAAAGTATACACACATTTGACTGCTACTCTAACTACACCCAATATCTACGGGGCAGTATACTCGAAGTCCGGGAACTGATCCCCATAAGGATCAGGACCGAAGGCGCCATACTGCATCGACGCATCGATCTCAGGGTACCGCTCGAACCTACGCACCATCCCGGATTAATACACCGACAAAGCGAAGAAGGCGATGGAATACGCACGCGCTAGCGTCACCGTCGCCGTTTATCCTCGGAAGGTACGGCGCTTGAATCTCGCGGTTGCGGAGTTTGTCCCAGTCGACTTCGGAGAACCACCGGTGCGCGAACACGTCGCCCGCGCCGTGTCGCAAGTTGCCGTATCGTTTTGAGGGGTCGGCCTCCATGAGCTGCGAAGACGCGTCAGCGGCTGACAGGTTCCGAGCACATGCGCGCGACGTACCTTCAGGATCAGGTCTTTCGCGTTGGGATGGAAGTCTGGCCATTTGATGTATGCGGGACCGACGGTGATCTTCTCATACAGCTTGACGGGGCTGATGTCGGGCTCGTGGAACGGCGGGAGCCCGGAGAGCATCTCGAACGTTAGTACGCCGAGGGCGTACCAGTCGACCGACTTGTTGTAGCGCGCGTTGCCGATAATCTGAGAACCGCGCGCCGATCAGCATCCGTTCGCAGTCTACATATTTATTGACAACGAAGTATTGGGCGCGCCTTATATAGATGAAGGCGAGATGCATGTGCTTCGCGCGCAAACATGCCTCGAGCTGTCTCATTCACCTCCTCAATTACATGAGGTACTCGATGACCGCGGAGACGGCTCCGCCCGCCCACCTTGCACTTTGCAAAGTGCACTTACCTCTGGCGCCAGGTAATCCGGTGTCCCGCATAGCGTCCACACGGTCGTCTCGCACCATCGCGCGAACCCGAAGTCTGCAATTTTGATGTGGCCGTCGAAGTTAAGGAGGATATTCTCCGGCTTGAGGTCGCGGTAGATGATGTCGAGGGAGTGTAGGTAGTTGAGCGCGAGGGCAACTTCCGCGGCATAGAACTTGGCTACCGGGTCGGGGAAACGCTGCTGATGTATCAGCTGAGCTGTGTGGTATGGAGGGAGATGGGTCAAAAGGGAAGACACGACTGGAAGTCGCGAAGAGCGTCGACGGCACTCAGAATAGAAGGGCCCGCCGGAAACGCATGAAAGGAAGTTGGTGAAGGTGATGATGGGAGGAAGAGGACAGAAAGAGAAGATGTAAATGGCGATCGTAATGAGACACGCACGTTGGATCTCCTTAAAAGCGTGAAGAGTTCCCCACCAGGAACGAAGTCCATGACCATATACAAATTTGTTGAGTCCTGGAACGTCCCCCATAGGTTGATGATGAACGGATGCTGAAGACCACGGGTACACAAGGATTAGAGATGCATGAAGGGTGAGCAGAGGGAATGGTTATAGCGCACCTGGACCGCGCAGAGCATTCTTTGCTCATTGCGCGTGTGTGATACCTGCTTGGTCCGCACGATCTTCTCTTTGAGCATCACCTTGACCGCATAGAAGCGCAGGTTATGCTTCGAGCGCACTGTATGCGGATATTAGTCCTCAGAACACGCAGATCACTACCGCAAGGGCATGAACGGCGAAGACAAGGCCCAGAAAGATCGCAGGTAACGCGGTCATATTGAATATTCGAGTAAACACGAACCGAGGTGAACTCGACCAAAACTCCCTGTCCCGAGTGTCCTCTGGATGATGAAGTCGCCCAGGCGGTACGAGCCTTTTGGTCGCAGCGCCAGAAACCTCGCGGGTAGGGCATCCTCAACGTACATACTCTCCTCCCTATCGTTCCGGTCTCTCCTCTGCGCAGTTGCGCTTGCACCTGCGCTCGCGGCCGGAATGGAGGTCGCCGCGGGGACCGGCTTCGGGATGTTCGAGTTGTTGTTGCTGTACCCGCTCAGCGATGTGCACTCGGTCGAGATGCTTCCGCGCTGATACGCGCCGTACTCGCTCGCATACGGGTACGCAGACGTCGAGAGGGTATTGGAGGTGGATGCGTAGGAAGACGCAGGCGAGGCAGGGAGGGCGGTGGCTGAGGCGGTACCGCCTGTGGCTAGGTTCGCATGTGAGTGTGCGGGCTTGGGCGAAGAGACCTGCAGGTGCCCGAGCTTGTCGGTCATGCGCTTAAACATCGACATCGCGTCGCAGACCGTCCAGGTGTAGCGAGGGAGTCGTAGGGGAGGGGAAGGAGGAGAGGATGGTTGTGTACAAGACGCCCGCGCTCTGGTCGTCCTTGTCTTGTTCGACCTGCCATTGTTCCCAAATGGGCATATCCAGCCCCCGGTCACCTCATGTCAGGGCCTCGGCGCACAGCGACAGCGAGAGCGAGCAATTCGTCGAGGACCTGCTGAGCAAGGCTGCACAAAGCTGTGGCAAGCAGTTGACTGGAGCGAAGAGAAGTGTTGCGCCGCGTGAAGCAGGCCTGAAACACTGGTCCAAATCGGGCGAGTCCAAACTCGCTAATAGTTACTTCAAAACATGAGTACAACCTGTCTGGCGAACTTTATGGACAATCAGCCAACTCGAAGCCGCAAACAGTTCGAGATGCGCTGAGCTACGACCGGAATCCAATAGGTTAGTAACAGATGATGCTAGTACAGTTACACACAAAGCTGACTTCGTCTTCCTACACCGTTCATCAATGAGGCTCAACGAGAGCCAAAGGCACCACACATTCGTACGCACCCAGTCATCGTGATCAGACTCGCGTATGTTGCTCTTGTCGTAAAGCGGCTGCCACTCGCGCGTCTAGCCGGTGACACACCCATAGAACCGCCAGGACGTGTGCGACACCCGACACCGCCAGCATCGACAGCAAGGTAGCAGCAACGACGAGGAAGCGCGTTTCCACAATGCTCTGGGTACTCCCGCCGGACCCCAGGGCGAGGCGCTCCCAACAGAACGCGATATAGTATATGACGAACGTTATCGAGGCCCTGCGCATATGTCATTCACTCAATTGCCCATGCGCTAGCAGACCTGACGTACCAGACAAACCATGCGTCAGGGACGGCAAACAGAAGGGGGATGGAGGCCCAGCGGGACTGGTTGACGGTATGCTGCGACGTCAGCAAATGATCAGTACCTAACTGAAGATCGCGTGCGGACCGAAATACACACCGCAAGCCACACCTTACCGTTGCCGATGACCGTGTACTCTTTGAGGTGGGTGCGCAATAACACGGCCACAGCCGAGCACACCATACTTGCAAACACGCAGACGATGCCGCATATCACGCTCATGTCGACGATTCCGGGGAACGCAGACAGTAAACCGATGGTGATCCTGTACGACGGAATCAAACGAATCAGCGGATACACACAACGAGGTAGACAGTGACGCCGGACGGGACGTACGCGTTGTATACGGTGGAACAGCCGAGGAAGACTTTCCATCGGCCCCGGCAGCGCGCTACGAAGACATTCCAGTCCTTCTCGAGAGCCACTTCGTTGTCGCCATCGACGTGACGCCGAACTTCCTCGTAGTAATCGTTGTAGAGGATCGCGGGCCAGTGGACGAGCATGATGTGTCTATACGAGGCGTACAGCCAAAGGGACGGTGAAGGCATGCTTAGCATGGCAGGATCCACGGCGGGGAAGTGCAGTAGATCTGTTGCGCGCGAGAGGGCATTCATATCTGCGTGGATAGTTAGGGAGGATTCAGCCTTATATACCTTTCATACCAGCCTACGTTCGGGGAGAGAGGACGGTGTCTCGGCATGCCCAGTAGACGCCTGCGAGCGCCGAGGTACTTGTGAGCGTTCACTGGACGCTGTATGGATGGCGAGTATTGGGCGAGTACTTACGTTGCAATGATCCAAGCTGAGAACCAAGCAAATGGGTGCCCAAGAACATCGTCTGATATCACATCCTGTAGCCACGGATCACTGTCGGGACGAGGATCCGCACGAGCGTCCAGTGCCACTGTGTCCGTGCTTAGAAATACACAAGTTTCTCCACTGATGAAGTCGGAAACGCGGCGCAAGAAAATACGCACCTATCTGCTGAGTGCCAGCTTCCACCATGAATGTAGTAGGCTTCCTGACTGCGGGCATACGAGGGCCACATTAACGAGATCCTTGCTTGGAGACACGTACGTAGGCATTAGCCGTTTGCTATACACTAGACAGGTTCGAGAAAGTTGCCACGGTAGATACGCTGGTCGTATACGGGCCCAGCAACCCCAGGGGACAAATATCAACCACCGTTTCCTCCTATCTGGCCATGATGCCTTTGTGAGCAACACTTTGCTAGTGTGCGACGCAATAGTACTCACAAGTCACCGTCGCACGCGCAGCCCACACTGCCAGTGTGCCATACCACGAGTATGAGTGACTCCGTAACGGTACACTGGAGCGGTACCGTGATAATGGCGAGACGCTTCCGATCCTCGGCGTGCTAGTATAGCATGCACTACTGGGACTTCGGACAAGCGGAGCCAGGGTGAGGGCGAGTGCGCGACGACATAGTACTGGCCGAGGCTTGCTTGGAGCTGATTCCACGTGGGAAGCGGCCGGGTGTTGCGTGAACCAGTACACAGCGTTATATCGCATAAGATTGTCTTGTCCTCGCCGAGTATAACATTCAGCTGCAATAGTGTCATGAGGGGCCTCACACAACGCCACTGCGACTGCTCTGCATCTTTGCTCTGGTCTCCGGGTAGGCAGACCCCATACTCTCAGTTCCCCCCATTCTTCGCATCGCCCTCGACACTTCCTTGCTCTACGCTCGTCACGGTCAGGCGAGTTGAATACCTAATCAGCATATTGGAGAACGTAACGCACCAGTGGACGTCCGTTGTATTGAGGTCGGGGATGCAAAAGCAAGCAGCGCAGAGGTTGCCAAGGTGTATATAGACTGAGCTCTCACACGCGGCCGGCGGCGGGCGCGCCACGCGGAGTAGCCTGGAGTAGCTGAATCAGTACTCCAGTACTGTGGTCCCTTAGAAGTATGTTGATTCCGTCGAGAGCATGAAAAGCACCCTCGAGCTAGTAGCCGTGAAGATCCCATGGTCTGAGGCGTTTCGCAGCGACGTTGAGGCACCCTCGGATGAACTGAACTTTGCATAGACTGTCAAATATCTCGGCGCAAAGTACTGTGGGGTTTCCATGGATTATGGACGGTCACAATACATGGAGTTGGAAGGTGGAGGACACAAGAGCAGGATCGTGTCGCGTCAAACGCGTCGTGCGCGACGAGACTTATGCGCGTCTTTCGGAGATCGACCTGCTTATGTAACTCCGCAACGAGAGGGAGGAGGAGGAGGGCCCGTCGACTGTACATAAGTACTGTCACTGTTGACCCGCATATTGAAACAAAGTATCTTTGCTCTGTGACAACACGTACGTCTCAGCGTTGCTGCTGGCCGCTGCAGTACTGAGGATTTGGCGCAGTCTGTCCACTTATATGTCGATGTGGCTGTTGAGTGGTGGCAGGGCTGGCAATCATCGATTCTGAGACCAGTTATGTGCTCAGGAACTGAGCAACTGATTTCAATAACACTACCGATAGCGAACTTGAACCACTCTCATCACTTAGCATCGCAGTCTGGTCGCAAGACTTGATGTCTCCGAGGAATAGCGTCTGCACAGGGCAGCGTACCCCGACTCTTCCTCAGGAGCTCTGCGAAGCGGTCATTGACTTCGCGTGGGAGGACTCTTCTACGTTGAAGACATGTAGTCTTGTATCGCGTGCATGGCTACCGACATCCCGCATGCACAAATTCTCGTTTGCCAGATTTGGCGAACACGGGGACATTATCTCTTTCCAGGCGATAATTTCTTCGCCACTATTGGATTCATACCGTATACCTTGCCTTGTGCGTGATCTCTGCTTGGGCAAAGAGGAGGAGGAAGAGATCGTGGATAGCCAGCCGTCGGTGCTGCATGACGCGGAGCTACTCAGCCTGCTCGAGAAGTTTACCACGGTGCAGACGTTGCGACTGAACTACGTCTGCTGGTCACTATACACTGTCTTGCCTGCAGTATCGGACGCCGTCACAGTAATCGCGAGTCAGGTATGTGCTCCTTGCCGCCCGCTTAGGCCTGCACGCTCTGCATGCGTGGGTTGCTGATAATCTTTCACCGTGGACATTACAGGTGGCCTGCCTTCATCTGCACTGGTCCGATTCCGACGATAGTGAAGACTTGGTCCATATACTCTCTTCATCGCCTCGAAGGTCTTCCGTCTACTTCACTAGTTATACTTTACAAGATAGCAACCTTCCGTGGCCTAGGCTCACGAGGGAACCCATCAACCCGACGATCAGCATCGGCAGGATGGTAGCCCATTGGGACTCTTACATCAGGTTCTACTCAGCGATGCTCAAAACATATGCACTCCGCTGGCCGTTTGCGGCTACCATCGAACGACTCACTCTGACCGAAGACGCACTTGGACATCCTTTGTTCGATCGGCCGCCGTATTCCATTGAGCTGGAACAGGAGTTGTCATGGAGGGAAAGTGAGATGTCTGTGCTGAGGTTTGGTGCCCGCAGCTCTGGACGAGATGACAAGGGTATGCCGCCCGACCCAGGCAATACATCGTGGTGTCTGACTGCCCCTTAGGCTTCACTGCTACCACTCTAAACATCCGGTCCATAGAGATCAACGCCCCTACGATACTGCGGTCTAAGACCATCTTCTCGAAGTCCTTGACGAAGCTGTTGGAATGGAGAGCGCTGCTCACGCCCCGTATGCGCTTCATTCTAGACGGGTCCGAACCCGAGAGCGCTGTTCCGGAGCAGTGCGCCGGACTGGACCATACCCTCGCTGGTCTGGCAGCCGAAGACCACGACATGGGGATCTCCTTCGACGTGCAATGTACCCCTGAACGTCTCGCGAACTGGATCGCGGCCATCTCGGCTTGCTTCCCTACCCTCGTCGCTTGCGGAACGCGCGTCGAGATGGTCTGCAGTACCACGAGAGATTGTCCAAAAGGCGATCGGCGTCCCGTCGCCGAGCATAGGTGGTCGTAGCGTATCGCGCTGAGAGTTCCTGCATACCACTGCATGTCTGTGTAAGTACAATATGATCGCGGTCGTGCTGCCAGCTGGTGCGCTCATTGCGCCTCTGTTCACAGATTACAATACCCATTCATTTCACCTCGTCCTAGTATTATGTGTGCGTTTCGCTTTTGCGTCGAGGACACAAGCCTTGCCGTTCCGTCGCGTTGTTCACGCTTGCACTCATGTCTTCACTGTTTTGGATCTCCTTCCATCTTCTCGCCGACGTTGCTCGAACGTTGCATCGACAGTGCATCGTCTCCTGCTCAGGAGTTCCTTCCATTTGTACGTGGCCACGATAGTTTTATCGCCACATTACTACTGTACACACAAGCAGCTACTATCGTTACCCCAATAAATTCCAATTCTCTTACTGTACATGTACACACCGGGCCCGAACATTTTGAGAAAACGGGCGTGCACGGGGAACCTTTATCGGGCATGTTCGGAATCCGAACATGTGGGGAATATGAAGTATTTTCCGTCGAAAAGTCAAAATGTTCGGCATTTTTCGCCGAACATGCTACGAACATGCTGAAATTTGCAGTTAATTTCTCATTTTAGGAGAGATCTTCTACCTGCGAACATGCTCGTTATTGTTTCCCCGTGCAGGCCCGTTTTCTCAGGATGTTCGGGGTCCGAAAAAAGTGATTTGCCCCCGGTGACATACCCACGCTCTCGCTCCGACGACGAGCATATACTGTAGCGAACCCCACAACCCGGATGGGGGTGTGACGTGTGACAGGCTGTACACGATCCGGCGCAGCGGCGGGGACGCGTGTGACGTGTGATGCGCCCCCGGATGGCGGTCTTGTCGCTGTGCCCGCCGCAGGCGCCGCTCCTAGCGCCTAGCGACAGTGTTGGCGCCGGCGGCGGGGTCGGGTGTGACGAGTAACATGACATCCTCGCCGCGGCGGGCGGCGGGCTTGTGACGCGTGACATCCGGGTTGTAGGGTTCGCTACAGTACCCAGCTTGAACCTGACAACCCGTGTACGCACCGTAACCATCCGTTTACTGCTATGTAGAATGATGACTACATAGGAATCAAGGGATTCTCTTCAAAGTCTTCACTTCGGTTCTACATATCTGTCGGCTTTGGTTGGCGAGCGCAAACCTGAGGATGGCGTGGCCTCAAGTTCTGTCTTCGGATTTTCTTTCAAGGTCATGGGTCGTTTGTCTAGTAAGCGGCGCTGACCCGCGCTCGCCTCGCCGCGCTGACGGCTGTCATATTCAGTATGCCGTCCATCCTGCGCTAAAGTCTTCCTCACCTAGTTTTTCCCTTCACTTATCGACTAAGGATCCAGATGCTAGCTAGCGGATCGCCAGTCGTGACGAATTGTCTCGGATGCCCCCGGGGCGGAACGTCGCACGACGTACCACCGTAAGTAGTACTTTTTCTTGCCGTAAACTGATGACTTATAAGCGGCAGAGAGCGGAAAGAAATAATCGTTACCAAGAACAAAGAATGGTACGCTCTAGAACGAGACAGTGCTACTACGACGTAGCACCGCCGGTGAGCTTCCGCGCTGAGCGCTGAGCGCTGACCGGTGAACAAGAAATGATTTATTCCACACATGATCGAAATTTGACTTCACCCTGGAAACAAATAATGAGATTCAGAGACGACGAGATACTTACTGTATATAGCGGTATCCACCTTGTCATCATTGACAGAATCACGGTGACGTCTCTCGCTGCGGCCTTAAAGCAGCCATGATCTGCCCGTCTAACCGGTGGCACGCCCACAGCACTGCTAGGACGTGCGCGACACCCGAAGCCGCCAGCACCGACAGTAAGGTAGCCGCGAAGATGTAGAAGCGCGTTTCCGCAACATTCTGTGTGCCCGCGCTAGATCCCTGGGCAAGGCGCTCCCAGGAGAAGGCGACGAAGAACACGACGAACATGCTTGACGCCCTGTACAACAGTCACTGATCGGTGCATCCGTATACCAGTAATCGAATAGGTCAATGGACGTACCATACAAACCAAGCATCTGGGATGGCGAACAGAAGCGGGATGGAGGTCCAGCGCGGTTGAACGGCGGTGTGCTTCGATAGCAGCGTACTTATCATTAGTTCCTGACCGAAGATGGTGCGTGCCGGAAGACACACCACGAGCCACACTTTCCCATTGACAGGGTCCTTATGTTCTTTCAGGTGAATGCGTAACAGCACCGCAGCAGCCGAGCAGACCGTGCTAGTCAACAAGCAGACGATGCCACTTATCACGATCATGTCCACAACGCCAGGGAATGCGGATAGAAGGCCGATAATGATACTGTGTCATCGTCCAGTCAGTACTGGGGTCTGGTATGCATTATGGAAAGATGGTGTAGCTAGACGTGACGTACTCGTTGTACACGGCGCAACAGCCGAGGAAGAATTTCCATCGGCGCCGACAGCGCGTTACGAAGACGGACCAGGCCTTCTCGAGGTCAGCTTGAGGATCATCCTCTGCGTGGCGCCGAGCTTCGCTGTAGTATTCGTCGTAGAGGAGCACGGGCCAGTGGACGAGCATGACGTGTCTATAGAAGGTATACAAACAACGCACTGCCAGAGAGGGCGACGGAACGAGCATGCTGAATATGTGATGGACCGCGACGGGAAGAGAGTGGCTCCTTTAGGCGGGGGTGGAAGGGGGGGAACACACGTCAGTGCAAACAATCCTAAAGGCGTTCCGGCCGCCTTTTATGCTGTGAGTATGGAGACTACTGTTTTGGGGTTTGTCAACGTTCCACGAGTGCTGTATAACCCGAATTTGCACAACGTAGAGGCTATACTGCGAGCAAGCACCGGGAAACCACATACGCAAGAAGTCTCGGCAGTAGGTCTGGACGAATCGACCCCACAAGACTGCATAACACGATGGAGTCACTTTGACCCACCGTTTGAGCAAAGTCCGGTTTGCCATTAGCGGCGACGACACTGGAGTCAGCGTACACAGGCTGAGTAGGGTGCTGTGCGACCGGTATTGGCAGTAGTGGCTATTCGCCTGCGAGGCTGCTTGGGCGCCGGGATCGGGGTTGGCGGAGACCGATCGGCTCTCGGAGGACCTAACATTCAACGTACAACGTTGTCAACGACGATAACATACGTGTGCAGCGTAGATCTGTGAATTACTCAAAGCTGGAAGTCAGCACGAAGACTTTGTTGAGAGGAATGCAAGACCCGATCAGTAGGTCGTGCGTGAGTACTTACCAGGCTCCCGACTGAGTGCGGACCTATGTTGCATTGCTTGACGAGGCAACACTTGAACTGCGAACTTCAGCGAGATTGATGGAGACATGGACCTGTATGAGCGATCTATTAGCTGCATAGCCACGGCCACGGAAAATGGTCATTATTCACCTCATGACACATACATGTACTAGCTCGACGTGAGCACTTGAGTACTTGTTCATTCACCGTACTATGTAGACAGCTTCTCGTCGCGACGCGTGATCCGCAGGAAAGTCGCGCGATCATTTGCCTCGATGTTGGGCGACATGCACAATCCTGTCGACGTTGTTGAACTTCGCGGGCCGCCATCGCGTAACATGTCATGATCGCGTAGGGAATTTAATGGGTTCTGCGTGCAGTCTTCGATCCGTGCGCATGCTGCGCGTTCGTTGCATTCTGCTGGGCGGTCAGCCACATGAACAGCAGACAAAGACGCAGGGGACAAGAAGAGACATACGTGGCATTTCTGCCTTCGCGTTTCCAACAGCCGCTTCGTGGTAGTCGGCAGCCAGGCAAGCGCATTGCTCGCGCCGTTCCAGTTTACGTGCCTAGTGGCGTCGACCGTGACGGCTGGTCCAGCGCAGGACAGTTAGCTTGAACGGGGCCATACACGCCGAGGATACCTACCAGCTACCTTCCTCATTCACGTAATGGTCTCGCTGCCCGCGATGTGGGCTTGCCAGTCGGTATCTTAAGTGATCAGTCCTTCAGGCCGGCTATAGCTGTACCATACGTGTGAGTGTTAGTCCACAGAAGGGGTACGATCGTACTACTCGGATCTGGCCGTCTTCATGACACGTATTCAGAGGCATGACGGCACGAGTGGCGAACCCAGATGTTTGAGCGTTCGAGCGTATGGAAGAGCAGGATGTCGGTCTGTGGCAAGTCCATGTGGCGTGAGATTTCGAGGCGGCGACATGAGAACACAGAAAGTGTGCATTCAAAATGCATACTCCTGCCAGACGGCTATGTAATAGTATGTATAGCTACAACAGTGATCAGCGAGCGCATCACGGAATGCGAAGGCAGTAGAGGTTGACAGGTGCAGGACTCGGGTCGCCGCATGTTATATGCGCCAAACATAACCAAATACGCGCATGCCAGCGTCTTTGAGTCGATGATCGCACTCGAGTCGCCACGTTCGAACGTTAACCCTGTCCAAGGTACTGGCGCTCTGCCTTAATACTGCAAGATAGCTGAGTCTTGTCATCGTCTAGGCGACACGCTCGTCAACGAATATGCTGTCCGCCCACAACGTTCCGGGCAACACTAGACGACTTACTCTGATCGAAGTCTTGAAGCTGGATCCAACTACTCGACCAACACCCGCCTTGTGTATTGATTTTTTCGGGGTGGTCCTTCGTCAACTCACGCAGAAACATGGCGACTGCGATTGACCATTGGTCCGCAATACTCACGTTCATACTCTTCGTCCTCTCCAGTACGTTTCTCGCAGTTTGCCTTCCATACGTCGTCTGTAATCCGTTTCTTTCACTCGATTTTCAGATGCAGCCGTCATTTTCCCGGTCCGGGTTCCTATACCAGCCTTGCTCGTCCACCGTACCCGACAACTCCTCGTCGCGACTCGCGTCCTGGCCGAGAACCATTCCCCCATACGGAAGACGCACCTCCATTTCAACTTCATTACAGTGCCACTCGTCTCCGTCTTGCTTCCGTTGGCGACGGGCGCGATCGACGGGACAGTCGTGCGAGATGGCATCGTGGGCGCGAACGGGGTGCAGCCCTTGGATATCATGGCACTGTTCATCTCCCTGGTGAGTGCTCCCTTCCTCGCCCTACGCCTAGGCTTCATCTGGTGATTACTTCCAGGCGTATCTCAGCATCTCACTCGACGCTACCGGGCTGCTGCGCTTCCTTGCGTTCTGGGTCGTACGTAAGGGCGGGGGCTCCGGCAGGAGGCTGTTCACTTATCTGTATGTGTTCTTCCTGGTGTGCGGAGTGATAGTAGGGAATGTACGTGCCGCGACCAGACACCGCGTACTGTGTCGGCTCACCCTCCGTGCTGGTTAGGACCCAGTCATCCTATCTGGAACGGCCTTCCTCGCATATCTCACGCGTGTTTCAGGGTGAGTACCATCTCTTCGTGACGCACCGCCAGCCTCCAAGACCTATGTCGACAATCGCGCACTCTACTGTGACGAATCTGTCTATCTCTGGCTTTGAAGTGGTGGACTAGCCTATTTCATTGCACATTGACGCTGAATCGTGTATCACAGAGTGGCCAACCCGAAGGCGTGGCTATTCTCGCAGTTCGCTGCTGCCAACATGGGTACGTCGTTTCTGTTCTCGCTTCATCGCGCCTGGCGTCATTGAGGGTGGAGGTCAGCACGTGGACGTGCTCTACATGCTCCGGTGGTGCATATATGCGTGGATTCACGACGCTATCAACGCAGATACGCACGTTTCCTTGACTTTGTTTCAGGTGTATCCTCAGCCGATTATCTGTTCATGCGCGTCCATGTTCCAGTCACATTTTGAGAGAAAGCCCTCGATCTCTCACTGTACTGACGGGAGCGCGATCGTCGTTCCGTACGGGACGCGTATTCATTTGCATTTTCATCTATTGGTGCCCTGCTGCAGCGCGAAACGCTTGCGGTTTCTCATAGTTCTGATCCAAAATACTGACGAAAGCCAGCATCTCTGACTTGATGCTCCCCACAGCTTCCGTCGTCCTCGTGTCTTCCAACCCGACCAACCTCGTCCTCAGCGGCGCCTTCGCGCTCAAATGGACGTCCTACATCGCCCACGTCGTCCTTCCCTTCCTCGCCGCCGCGGCCACCGTATACCCGCTGCTTCTCTACATGTTCCGCGCTTCGGACCTCATCCCCGACTCCCTGGACCTCGATCTAGATGAGGTGGGCGACATGCGAGAGTGCGTAGCTGCGCCCCGTAACGCTGAGGATGATTGATACGATGCGGAACTGCACAGGACGCTCGTCGACAAAGGAGGCGCTATCTTCGGAAGCTGCTTGGTGTTCGTGACTCTTGGTGTGCTCGTCGGCACGAGCACGGTCGGCGTACCCGTCTGGGAGGTGACCGTCCCGCCGGCGTGCATCATGCTCGCTCGAGACGTCTGGTGGGACTGGTCCCGGCACCAATCCTTGAAAAGCGCGAGTAGCCGCTCCACGTCTGTGACGGACACGCAGCCCGCCGAGGGCATGGAGCGGGCGGCACGCGAGGAGTCGGGCAGCGGGAAGATCACCAAAGACAGCATCGAGCTGCAGGAGCCCAGAGAGCAACGCCTCTCGCGAGACGCGCCTCCCCGCGTACCATCGACCCTCGCCGGTGTTGTACGGCAAACGTTCACGCGTATAAAGAATACGTTCCCCACAGTCTCCTCTATTGCGTCCCGCCTCCCGATCCCGCTCCTCCCCTTCGCGTTTCTCACCTTCATCCTCGTCAACGCGCTGTCTACGCAAGGCTGGGTGAGCCTCTTCGCAGGATGGTGGGGCGCATGGGTTCGCGCGACTGGCACATTGGGCGCCGTGGGTGGGATGGGTTTCCTCTCGTGCATCTTCTGTAATGTCAGTCGCCCGCGTTACGTCTTCGTTCCACTTGCTGACTTGCTGATGGATCTGTATATCCGTTAGGTCTGCGGTACGAACATTGGCGCAACGATCCTCCTCGCCCGCCTCCTCCAGCTCTGGATCGCCGCCGCCTCGCCATCAGAGCGCGAACAGTACGGCGCCGTCTACGCGCTCGCGCTCGGCTCCAACTTTGGCGCGTTCACGCTGACGTTCAGCGCGTCGCTCGCGGGACTGCTGTGGAGGCGCATCCTCAGGCAGAAGGGCATACACGTACGCGCGCGGGAGTTCCTGAGGATTAACCTCCCGATCGCTGGGGTCGCGATGACGGTGGGGTGTGTGGTGCTTGTTGGTGAAGTGTATGTGATATACAAGTAAGTAGTCTTATATATTAAGTGTGAGGACAGCATTCATAATTCATCCGGCATACACACAAGTGACAGGTGACAGAAGTGCAGAGATCCGCAGGGAGCAAACTCGGATCATGATTGCGCAGATTATGCGGAATCCCGGGAAGCGAGGGCAGAAAGTAACTTGATAACCGTCGTACCGAACGTTCGCGAAGCTGCCGTCGTGCACATGTCCGCCTTTCCGCGCCATGAGATGACCAGTGCGGCCATCACTTCTCCTCACCGCGTCCGAGTCGAGCTTCAAGGCCTCACTATACTCACACTGTTAATGCTTGTCCACCGTGTGTCACGGAGTAAGCCACGATGAGCGGCCACACCTCGAACCTTCCGATAACGCTACGGCATGTCGGATGTACACAGAGTCAAGAGCGTCATCCAACTACACCGAGTGCCTTGCGGTGCGCTGTACACAAGTGATGCGGCTGTTGGGCCGTACCTGTCGCCCTGAACGAGGTGTACGCAGGACCGTCCCAGTTCAAAGTACAGTGACACAGTCATAAACCCCAGGCCCATACGTGCAACAGACGCGATGCTGTTTGGCCCCCTTTGACCAGCCATCTCCGGGACTGATCAGTCCCGATAGCTATGTAGTGTGTAGGCTATCCCAGTGCTTTATTTTTCTGACCATTGAATCCGATATCATATTCAGGACGCTTCGTTTGCTTTCACAGCACGAAGTATGGAGAGAATCAGGCTCGATATGCTGTATCCGCATGTAGTCCTCAGGCTGCCAGCCGGTGTCACGGAGACGTCCATGCGCATCGCGCGGAAATGAGAACCATCGTCCAAAAATACTGTAGCAACGCGGTGAAGGCATGGGACACCGGAAACACGGCGCAGAATGACCTCGTTCTGACGCGTGTTTTCCTGTCGCCGACATTAAGTAGAGTCGGATCTACGCACATTTAGACGTTGGTCGCCGGAGCTGCCTCTTTAGGCCTTAGGGACTGCCTAAGGGAGACTAGCCTTAATTAACGGGCCAGGTTCGTCTTCGAGGACAATAATCGACCGTCTTAGATTTGATCAAGATGAAGATGCGTATCTCATTGATTCATTCGACGACATTGTGTACTACCGTAGTAGATGCTCGTATGGTCACACCGCGTTGTCAGTGGGCGAGTTAGCAGCGCACGCTTTACCCGCCGACCTGGCAGTGTATCACATTCCGCGTCGCTGTCGCGTTTGTGGTGGTGCTCGTGCAGGCCTGAGCCACCGCGGATCCGGATCGAGTTCGGTGGAAGGCGGCCCGGGTGGGGATGATCACGATGCATGACATGCCGCGCGAACTGTGGCTGTGAGTTCGCGGAGGTTTGCGGCTGTTCTCTCGCCGCTCTGATCCGATAACACTGGAAGCCCAGTAGCAGTAGTCTCCCCAGGCAGACGTAGACAATTCCTTCAACCTTCGTCCCTCAGGATATCCTTGTCTGATGTTGCCTCTTTTGCCCACCTGCTGTGTACAGTGCCGTGCCAATTGGAAGGATGTCGATGACCACTGGTCTAGTGCGGGCTATCTTTGATATGAGTGTGCCTCGCGAATCGTGTCTGTTAACCTAGTAAGTTTGCCAAGTATGACCTCTCATCCCCTACACAGCCGCTCCCTCCGCTTCCCATCCATCGCCCCGTCAGGCACTCACGATCCTGCTTATAAGGCTTCCCCAGAGCACGGCAAATACTCTCACTCTGTTCCCTCATCCGTCTTTACTCCGAAGTGCACCAACATAAACCCACTCGTCAGCGTCGTCGCTGTTTCCTCCCTCCTCGGGAGAGTACCCGATACGCTGGCCGGGCTCCTCAGCCGAGGACCGTTCTTTGCCTACACACTCGTCGTGCTCCTCCATTGGCCAGTGACCGTCTACAGCGGTTACTACGACGATGCTCGGCGCCACGCAGAAGACGAAGACGGGACAAGCTTCAGCAAGGACTGGGCCGACTTTCGGGAGGGCTGCAGCGCACGTTGGGAAGTCGTCCTCGGTTTCTGCACGGTCTACAACGCGTATGCTGCTACTGCTCGTCCATGTACCCTCTAGGCTGATGCACTCAAGTCTCACAGGATCACAATAGGCATGCTTTCCGCACTGCCTGGCATCGTCGACGTCAGTATCATCTGCGGGATCGTGTGCATGTTCGCAAGTGTGGTGTGCTTCGCGATAGCCATGCTGCTTCGCACGCACTTGAAGAAGCACGAGGATCCTGCCCGCGGAAAGGTTCGGCTCGCGGTGAGTCTTCCGGTGTGCAAAAGATTATTAATGAGATTAACTTTGATTTCCCAGCGCACCACCGAATCCCGTTGGACGTCAGTTCCGCTTCTCTTCGCCATCCCGGATGCGTGGTTCGTCTGGTAAGCGCGACAGTGACACCGCCAACGCGCATACATACTCACCCGTCGGACATCCGCACAGGGCCTCCATCGCGTTCTTCGCGTTCTGTCTCACGTTCTACTGGGGACGCCTCGCGCACGCACCCGGCGGTGCCTGCGGGGCGCCCATTCCACAGATCGCGGTGGGCGCGCGCTTCTACGTTGCTGCCTCCGCCGCGTTCTCTGTGCTCGTCGCGTCGGGCTTCGCGCACGTCGCGTTAGTCATGTGGGCCTGTCATCGGCCGGTCGCACGAGACGCGGCTACGCCCGCGGCGAACATGCCATAGCGATAGCGCGGTATATATGGCGTGGTATGTATTGAACCGCTGGACGGCCGGCAGCAGATACGGACGCGCTTCGACATTGACAGTGATACGATAGGAACCTTGGTAGGTCGCTGCACCGGCCCCGGCGAAGCCTGGCGCCGCACTGCAGGGGCGCAGCCTACCAGGCCCGAGCCGTAGCCATGGGATCAGCGCCGTGGCGGGAGCATCTGCACTGCTTCGTTGGACGTCATTCTTGCCAGATCCGCGCCCTGGCGTTCAAAATTCAGAGGTCGACATTCACTAGTGATCAAGAAGGCAGATCCACGACTGTGCCGTGTTGTACAAAGACGATCACACTGCCCAGCCACCGCACCTTCGGTGTAGTGTGTTTTTATTGATCTCTCTTACTGTTACTGGAGGGCGATCGCGAAGCCCTATCATGTAGACGCTAATTATCCGTGCATACTACTACAATCAATCAGGTCGTTGGTATCTAGCTGTGCTTGGGCTCGGCGCACCTCCGTAGACGTGACTCCGCCGGGTGGGATGGGATTATAGAGACCTATAGCGCATGTATAGTAGAGCTATGAGCGTTTATTTACGGTCTATGTACAGTCTTTGATCAAGGTAGTATGGTAGTTGCACACACCATCCAGTGAGCGCGGCTGCAGCTGGGTACAGACAAAACCCAGCCACGCTGCGAACCTCCGCGAAACATCCGCGCGTTGTGAGTGAACACTTCACTGTGAGTACAGCCTACAGCCTGCGCCGTCGGTCCAAGCGGCTGCTCGAGTATTCAGGCGCAATGACGCGGAACAACACCGCGTGCCAACCCTGTGCCCTCAGGCTGTGCGCTTGCGCCTTGAGCTAAGCTTTGACAAAAGTAATTCGGAGGCAATTGAGCCCGTTAAGTTACCCAAGAGCGCGAGCAGGAGTGGCCACACATGCACGTCCACGCACTGAGGGCTTCGCGAGAGACATCCTCGATGTCAATCTCTCGAATGCCGGCATGACTCACGACTACGTGCCAGAACATACACGCGAACAAGCATGCATGGAGTGAGAAGTAAAGCGTATTATATCAGTACAGATAGACGCATACATTGCAGCATACCATCCTGCGACAATAATCGAGGAGCACCCCTACGGACATCAAAGACGCCAATCCACGAAGTGATCCATATCGAAGCGCACGAAGGCAAGCATGTAGTCGACGGTTGTGCCGCCTTCCTCCTCATCCTCTCCCGCCTCTTGCTCTTGCTCCTCCGCGAAATGCACCTCCGTGTCTTCAGCAACCGCCTCGTCCACCGGGATGTCCTCGAACGCAACCCGTTTTTGCTCCTTGTCCGCGCCGCCCTCCGCGCCAAAGTCGCGCTCATCCTCGCCGATGAGTTCGACCTCCTCTCGCGCCGCCACCGCCGCCGCAAGCGCGTCAGCCTCGTCCTCGACGTCGCCCAGCGCCTTCGTCAGCTCCTTCTCTGCCTCGTTGGACAGCAGCGAGTGCCAGTCGAACTCGCCCTTCTGGATGACGATGTTATCGAGCGTCCGCTTCTGGTTCGCCTTTCGCAGCAGTGCCTCTTCGACGGTGTGCGTCGAGATGAAGCGATAGATGTGCACGTCCCGGATTTGTCCGATACGGTGGGCCCTATAGTCGGGTTAGGGCATGGCAGGCACAACGGAGCAGGGCGATGCTCACCTATCCTCACATTGGCGGTCCATTTGTGGATTGAAGTCGCTGTCATAGAAAACGACAGTGTCTGCGCCGGTCAGACTGGACAGAAGTCGTCAGTATACACGGGAGCTGCCAGCATAGAAACCACGCACTTGATGCCGACACCTCCGGATCGTGACGAGGCAATGAAACAGAATACGCGTGAATCCGAGTTGAATCGCTCCGTGATGTACTGCCGGTCCTCGATCTTCGTAGCACCATCGAGGCGCAGGTACAGATATCCGTGAAAGTTCAGGAACGTTTCCAGTATATCCAGTATCCTCGTCATCTGGGTGAAAATAAGGATGCGGTGGCCGCCCGCTTTGCGTTCTCGCAGAAGCCGCGCGAGTTCTTGCAGTTTACCGCAGTCGTACTGCAGCAGGGACGGATCTGGGAACGCAATCTGCAACTTGACAGCGGCACGATGGAGAGTCTGGTCGAACTTGGCATCCCGCTGTACGGCTAAGACGCTCTCTTCACGACCAGCAAGTGTGATACGAGGAAGATCCCGCGCGATGACAGCTGGTGTGACGAACGCGAACCTGGCGATGGTGTCGGCCATCTCCTCAGCTCGTCCAGCATACGACTTGACGGCGGAGTTTATCCTGTCGAGCACAGTCCAAGGCCGCTTTTCCATCGACGACAGTGGGAGCAAGGGAGAGTACAGCCGCTGACTGATGCGGATGAGTTCTTCACCATAGATCGGCTGCGGCGAGCATCGCAGCCTGTTGATGTATCCAAAATGACTCCACTTCGCGATCTCCGAAGCCCGCTGGGACCATTCTCGATAGCGCCTGAACCCGGAAATTGTCCGCGTGTCGTATGGCGGTGGCTCGCCCGGGAGCTCAGTAATCATGGGTAACCGCGGTGTCCCATCCAGGGACCGTATCTCGGCAGAAGCGAAGGAAGACGTGTTCTGCTTCTGAATGAACTGCAGGCCGAGTAGGTCCAAGTTACAGTAATCGTTATCACTGGCAGCAAAAAGGCGCCGGCGAACGAGGAGCTCTTTGATTTCGAAGTCGGCGATGGCGGAGCGTTCCATGGCGAAGGAGGTGACGATCGGGCGAACCTCGAATAGGTCCGGATGGTTGACGACCTTCCTCAGCTGCATGAGGATGTTCGCGATCTTCTGGTAGACACCCGACTGCAGGTCGTACCTAGTGTCTGCACGGGCCATGAACTCGTCGTACAGGAATCGCTGTCGTTTGGATAAGGGGCACATGACGAGGTGTTCGAATTTCTGTGGCAGCTCCTTCTCGACATCCCGCTTGAGCCGACGTAAGAGGTAGGGACGTAGCACCATGTGGAGTTTCGAGACGCGCTGTTGTGTCTCATCGTCCATGGTTCCCATCTCGATCGCCTTCTCAAGAGGGTCTGTGTTCAAGTCAGATAACAGGCAATTCATAGAGGAACCGAGGACGTACTCGCAAACCACTCGCCGAATTCTTTGAGGTTGGCAAAGTTGCTTCCTGACATCAAGAACTGCAACAGCGCCCACAGCTCCGTGAGGTTGTTCTGCAGCGGTGTGCCGGTCAAGAGGAGGCGTCGAAAGGAGCGGAACATGAGAAGGATATTCCATCGCTGCGACCGGAAGTTCTTGATCATGTGCGCCTCATCGAGGATCATGTAGTACCACGCCTTGCGTTTGAAAACATGCGCGTCTCGGCTTGCGAGCGTGTACGAGGTCACGCAGACGTTGAAGTGGTACTTGTTGTTCCACCCCTGGCGCAGCTCCTTCCGCTGTTTCGTGCTTCCATGGTAGCTGAGGACCTTGAAGCCGGGGAGAAACTTCTTGAACTCCATCTCCCAGTTCAGCAAAACGCTCGTGGGAACTATGATCAGGTGAGGGCCCCAGATTCCGCGTTCGCAGGCAAGATGAGCAAGGAGGGAGATCGTCTGGATTGTCTTCCTATGGTACTCGTGTTCAGCATCCGACTTTCTAAATACAGAAGGATGCGTTGAGCTTACCCAAGGCCCATCTCATCAGCTAAGATGCCGTTGAGGTTGTTTATATGAAGACTGGCCAACCACTCCAAGCCTGCTTGCTGATACGGCCGCAGATTGCCACGGAGGAGGAAGGGTGCTTTGACAGGCGACGACGGATCCCATTCGACTGGTGCGACGGCATACGGCCTCAAGTAAACAGGTATTGATGACAGCTCTTCCTCTGCTTCGGCAGCAACGTCCTCGGCATCGTTCTCCGTCGGAGTCATCTCTAGTGCAGCCAAATCCGGTTGAGGTTCCTGCGGAGATGTCACCATTTCGTCGTCTGGAACGAAATCTGACGATGGTGCAACATCCTCATGCGGAAGATCCTCCGCCATAGACTGCGACTCGGACGTGCCTACATCCTGGCTATCCTCGGGAACAGGGGTGGCTTGGTCAATATCCATATGGTCGAGGGTTCCGCCATTCGTCAGATGGGCAGACACAGACGAAGGTCCCACCTCACCATCCACACTCGAGGTAGTCTTCGTGACCGCAACGGAAATGGCTTCATCGTCATGCGCCGAGAAGTCAAACGAACCGGACGAGGCAGCGAACGGGAATATGTCGCCCCAATCAGCCTTGCCAGGGCTATAGCTGGGCGGTATGGGTGTCTCCGAATCCGCATACTCGATGTAGTGTTCCACAGTAGGCGTCGGGCTAGGCGAAGGTGTTCGAACCGGTATAGACTCGACGTGTATACTGGTCGATACACTTCGACTGCGTCGCGACTGGGACGCGATCCCTGAGTCGGGCTCAGGAGTTTGTTCCACGGACGCGTTTTCGGTCGTCGTCGGTCCCAAGGACGATCTAGACCGAGAGCTCGGACTGCGAGGCATCGACTCTGCGCCATCACCGAGTAGGAGACTGATATCAGCGCCTTCCTCTGGTTCGGACTCGTCGCTCTCCTCGCCCTCTTCGTCAGAGACAGCTGCGCCATCTGCCTCACTCGACAATGCGTCGTCTGGCTCCGGCGACGCCGATGCCCAGCGACTAAGTGCCGCCGATACGCTGCTGGACCGGCTGCGCGGGGTTGCCTTGCTCAGATCCAGCTGTTGAGCGGTCAAGATCTGGCCAGACTGGTCGAGGATGGCATCCAGGTGTTCCTGCCCGCGTATCCGTTCCTCCTCCTCGCGCCTGAGCTGCTCCTCCCTGCGAATATGCTACCACGACGCTCAGTCATCACGAGTCACGCGTGAGAGTACTGGGCACTCACATGGACAGCCTTCTTCCACTCGTCGATGACGTGCCTGATCGTCGCCTTCGCGAGCGCACGCAGCCGCTTCTCTTCCTGCAGCTTCAGCTTGTCGTCCTTCACCGCTCGGCCCTCCCAGTATGCCCGCACCCTGCTTGCAACCTGGGCAGCGACCTGTCGACCGCTGGTAGGGCGATGCGTAGCACGGTCCTTGACAGCCTCGATAATATGCGACCATGTATCTTGACTGGTGTTCATGTTTGGCCCTCTCTGGGGAGGACTGACAGGCAGAGAATCGTCGCCGACGCTCTCCGGGAAGAACCGCCCCTCCTCGCGCAGTTCCCCTACGCGTCGCCAAAAGTCTGCAACTTGCTGGATGCGATCCTGGATAGCATCCTCGTTCACGTCGTTGCCGTCCAGCGTGGTATACGACGAGAGCAGCGCAGACAGCGAGGATCCGAAGCGTGGCGGGGGTGGCCTCTGCACGGGGCTCGAATACACCGGATCTGGACGGCGAACGATGAGTTTGATGCGCTTGAGGGGACTTGTGCTCGGTGAAGTAGGCTCAGCCCGACGAGTAGCAGAACGGGCACCATTGGGCGACAACTTGCGCTTTGTGGGTTTGCGACGGCTGGACAGAGTCGCGGATATCGACTCCGGAGGATGCTTCGTATGCGACAACGGTGCGTCTTCTGGACCGGCAGCGGAGAAAGATCGGCCGTTCGACTCGATTCGTCGCCTTTTTGCAGGGGGTAAATCCTCCACTTCAGCTGCGCTATCCCGTGCGTTCTTGACTCGTTGTTGACGTTTTATGGGAGAAACAGAGGGTGGGTCCTCGGTGACGGCCTTTGCCTTGCCCTTGCCCTTACCAACGTATGTACTGACGCTGGCAGGAACTTCTGGAGGAGGCATCAGGCGCGATGGTCTGGGCCTCACAGGAGCAGATATCGACGGCGTTGAGGCGGTGGGAGCAGGAGCTGTGACGGCGTCATTGTCCTGCCCTTTCTTCTTTGAACGAACTGTCTTCGACGGTGCTGCAGTTGTCTTCAAAGCTTGCAAACGCTCGGTGCGAGCCTTTCGCGTGAGCCGTGATGAGCTTGCACTCTTCGAGTCCTCGACCAAATCGTACTGCGATTTATACTAGTGAAGAAAATGAGCATTGCACACACTACGGTCACAGTTTTGGCAACAACTCGGCGATGACTCCGCTGCACCACACCGTTGATGAGACAAGTATGAGCGCAATCTGCGGTCGGTTGATCCCGCCAGAGGGTGCTCGCCCAAACTCTTCTGGTGAGTGAAAGAAAGACGGGCACCCTGGCAGATTGCGCACACACGTCCGACGACAAGGGTATCTTCTGGTCGAACGATGTCACATCACCAGACCAAATGAGCGAGCGCGGACCGTCAGCACAGGTGTCCATAGTTAGTGCACTTGCTGAACTCTGACAGTCGATGCCAAAACTCTGTGTGGAGTAAGACGTACCTCGCGAAATACGGTCGAGCTGTCCTGTTTGGCAATCTTATATGCAGCGTCAAAGAAGAACGCCTCGCTCGCGTCGGATAACACACCTTGGGATCGTACGAAACCAATGTCACGAACTTCTCGAGGTGAAAGCGTTCGCGCACCTACAAATTAGGTTAGAACTCGCGCCTCCACGGATATGAGATATGATCCTTAGGGAGAGCATATCATCACACGCAGATAAAATGAGGAACGTACGTATGTATCATGCCTGTCAGAGACCTGGTCCAACTCTGTTTGCCTATCCTGCACCATGCGAGCGCGTTCGCGCGCGACGCGTTCCTCTACGCCACTCGCCTTTGCCCCGTTCTCCGCCGGATGGTCCGCATCCTGTCTGTGCCTAGCATCTCTTGCGACTCCAGAGGGTCCTGAGTGCCCGAAACGTCCCCTAGTGTTCATCGCGCGGGGACACGCATGGGCAAGCGCGTGAGAAGAGGTCTTGTCGGTCGATCTGCGCAGATACTGAACGGTTTTACGAGATTCTTGAACTAGAAGCCTCCCAGGATGATATAGAGACGAAAAGAACAGTCAGAGGACGTGTTGAGGCCGCCAGTGCTCGGCGTACGCGAATGAGAGTTAGAGCATCCATATTCGTGAGCATCCAGGAGGTTGTTTGGTCGGTACAAACAACGGGATGCGCGCGACCTACCGGCGGCAGCACTTCGGTGTCTCGTCGACAACGAACTGCAGGTCGGTATGAGAAATCCGAGTCGGTTGCTGTCGCTGTTTGCAGTCTCGATGACTATTCTTTGAGGCCGACGGAGTATCCTTGCTATTCTTGCCACAGCTCGTCGCGCGGGGACCTCATCAACATTTTGCACAGGCCAGTGCGTTGTAGACGAAGCTCATATTGCTCGCACACCATTGCGTCCCATCATGGATTGCCAGACTTGAGTTTTAAGCACACAGTGAGCCTCCATGCTACATTTTCACACATCGTACATCGCATCATGGTACACTCAGTGAGCACGTCCCCTGGAAAGTGTCTATCACCGTCGAACTTCGAAGACGTCGTATTCCAGTTGGTCGAGAGTACGTTCACTGCGGACAACCCGGATTGTGCGAGGCGCTTACATAGGCCTAACATTGCAAGGGCGTGTATATTAGTAAGCCATCAAGTGAACTTCCCTAACATGGGAAGTACATTCCTAGAACATGGCACGATTTCGGAACATAGGAAGAACATAACACTTACATTCCCGATTCTAGGAACATTCAAAATGTTAGGCCGAACAAAGGAATCCCATTCTCTATGTTAGGAGCTCCGACTTAGAGCCGTAAAAATATACACGCCCTTACAATGTAAGTACCATGTGAGCGCTTCGCACAACGCGGTTTGTCTGCAGTGGTTCGTTTGATATCTCCACACCCTTCACGTCGGCGCGCGGTGGACCGGTGTGCAGGACCTTCTTGCTGTATAGTGAAGTGAAGTCTGCCATCAGTGAGTGGTATCTCGTACAGTACTGCAGAAGTGACCCACAATCTATCCAGGGCGCCTTCGCTGCCCTGAGCTTCTCCAACGACATGTCCCGTCTGCCACACTCGCGGTGAGTATCATCATGTAATCACTGGTAAGTAGTATCATTGACTACTTACCGTATCGTTGGCCACCCAACCTACGACGCCTGTGTCGTGGGCCACATCCTTGGCAAAGGCTCTGTAGAACACGCCTTGCACCTTGCCGCTGACGATGAAGTTGAAAGCGCGGTACGCCATGGTGATGGTTGTGACGATAGCCCTCGGTGAGTTTGTGAGATCTTTCTGTTTACGGGGCCTGGGCTTGTGCGTTCCGTTTGCCAAACCAGGATGGGGCTATCTCTCGGCTATGACATCATGAGAACTCGCATGAGCCGCTGTTGGTCTGCTTTGCAGTTCACTGCAATGTTCTGTCAACGCATTATGCATATCTCGTTACCTGGTGCGTTTACTCCTTTATCATTCAAGTGCACATTCGAGTCAACCTAATCCATAGCCATCAAACCGAAGGCTCATTGAACTACTTTTCCGCCGTACGTCCGCCTCATGTATGCGATTCTTACAACACTGAGTAGCTTCGCAGATTGGTGAACTGCTGTTCTTTCTGGCGTCTATCCTTGCCGTAGTCGTCCGGGCTTGGCCAAGTGTCTGCCCAATCCTGCGACGTCCGGATAAACCGCCGAGCGTGCCGTGAATGGGCTGCCTCGCCTGGGATGTATGCCAACTCAGGCGTTCTCCTATGATGAGTAAGGCGCCAGAATAGGTACCAGTAAAGATCTCTCGACGATCTCTCGACGATGCAATGATGCAGTTCGACTCGGGAATTAGAACGTATCGACCGGCCCTGGGGATTCAAGTTACTCAGTTTACAGGATGATGCCGCTGTGTGGTAGCATGGGAACGCTGTGTTGCAGTGCATAAGTACCTTCAATCAATTCGAATAGTATTTGAATAGGTCCGATGCGAAGTCACTTCATCGGGTTGAGCGTTGACCGCCCTTCGTCTCGTTGACAGTTCGTTGGTGTTCGCAAGATGTTCGCGGGCATTGTTTGGGCATTGTCCTTGACTCAATGGACTGACTCTAAGTATGTATATGTCGACAAAATACACGATACGCTAACGTAAATAATGCAAAATTAATTGATGAGGGCGAGATTCGAACTCGCGCCCTTTCGGACCAGATCACGTGACACGTGAATAAATGTTCGTACACAACACCTTAGTCTGGCGCCTTAGACCGCTCGGCCACCTCACCATATTGCGGATTGCTCTAATGTTTTACATGATCATGAAAGGCCCTGCCCGGATGAACGAGATCATCTCAAGCCTGCCAGCCTGAGTGGATGTCCTTCCGATGTCAGTAGTATTTGACCAGTATGATGTACCCCCACGGATGTCGTTGTGTACTTAGTTTTGGTACGTATACCACTGCAGTCAACTAAGCTATCGCCATAAGCTTGTGCCGCGAGGCAGGCGACGTGGGGGTAGTACAATGAACGCCGCATGGCAACTCAAGTTTGCGTAGACCGGTAAGTTGGACTGTTGCATCCACGCGTAGCTGTGCATACTCACCTCAAACCTCCCTGGGGTCGCGTGTGGGATCTATAGAACTTTCCGACAGCACGGAGGGTTAGCTGTCAATGCTGAAGCAATGTCCGCACTCATCTATTCTTTGGCCATGCGACGACACGAGACGAAGTGAATGAGGCATGTAGGTCACACCATGAGTCGATGACCCACTGTGAGACCAGTAAGTGCATACTCCTCTCTTTGACTCGGAGGAGCGTGCAATCACACAGGATATGCCGTATCCGTGAAGCCGACGTATGCTTACAGCGACGGGCACACTTCCGAAGCAGAACACTTGAAGCTAGTAGAATGCGCGCGTCTGCCTCTGCGCCGTGTGGATTCGACGCATGAGGATTGGTCGTATGACTCGTATCATAGTAGGTCCTCGTCGTGCATATTGTGCGGCGCACTGATGCTAGCGCAGATAGCGATTAATATTGGCACCTGTGGCATATGTCGGATGTCGCGGTTTGCGGCCTGTCTGAAGACTCAACAGCGAATTTTCCTGGTAAGTGGAAAGCCGTGATCCTCTTGTTGAGCTTACCGTATGAGATTCTTGTTGATTCGCATAGAATGATTCTCTCTGAGTCCCATAATTTTGCGGTGCTCATTGACAAAGAATCTCGTATGCGAATGTTCTCGATCGGTCCGCGTCCCTTTGACTGACCTGAAAGCCGTCCAGATGAGCACAGGGAAGGAGCAACATGGGCTCCTCCCATCATAATGTAATCACCAAGAGCATCTACTCGCCAATGCCTCCGCTCGCTGCTGGTCATTATTGTGCCTTGGGGGGACCCAGAACACGGGAACTGACCGCGAGGAGGGTAAAATTATACTACCAGAATATATGTGAGCCTGGATGGCTCGCTCATCACAGTCACCGAGTCCGACACGAATGTCTCTACCCGGGTTATCAGAGCAGAGCTAGTAGACATACTTACTAGCAGACAACGTATACTTGTCACTAGTTGTGTTCATGTTGAGCGATTACCCTTACTAGAGTGTCCCCGACAGCAGGCTACAAGTAATTCATTAATAATGGTGTGTCATTCATCAGTGTGAAGGGTCGCACGCATCGACTATATCATAGCCTGAAGACTCATTTTGGAGCACCGCGACGGCAGACAAGGGCTGCTTCAGTGTCTGGCTTGCAGGGCTGTTGCTCGTACTAAGAAAATGGGGTATACACCACAGCGCGCACTGGCGGCGGCGGCGCACAGTTCAAGCTACCGGCCGGGATCTGGCGGCGAATGTGAACATATGTAACGCAACATAGCAATACATAGTCTGGCGGGCGAAGACCGCGAAACAAGTGTCAAAGTTCAATATGGAGTACAGTGTAACGGTGTTACGGACTATGGACTATGACCACGAGAAACTGGAACAGTATACTATTGCATTTCCTGAAATCACTTCTCGCTCTTCGGGGAAGTCCATACCATATGTATCTCCACTGAGTCATCCATAGATCATCACACCGTACGAAGTTATGCCTGAGCTAGTACAGATGCAGCCAGCCTCCCGTTCAGCTTGATGTCTCTATATCTGCGACGATCACGTGTTCGACACCGTGTCTGATGGGTCAAGTGAGTCAAATCTGGTATGCAAGAGTTTCAGAGTACTCACTCAGCCCGAAGATGCTCTTCTACGGCGTCTTTAGCTATTGGTAGAATCGCCCCTTCTCGCTCCTTGGCTCTGGCAATATCCCGAGCATCGGCTAGGTGCCACACCGACCCACCCCATAGTACCTGTTGCATATCAGAGCGATACTCAAGCAAGATAATAGGATATACTTACTGCGGTACGCCATGTCACAATCGTGCGGGTCACGTTCCTGACCCACCTAGCATCCAAAGCATCCATGTCCTTCGCAGTCGCAGTGTCCGGGTCCAGGCCACAGCTCCGTATGATCTCGGGCGCGTTGCAGTCACGCATTAGGCAGAGGTCAGGAGTGGGAGGTACATAGCAGTGTATGTCCTTTCGTCCATATATAAACCTTTCATACATGTTTCTCCCCTCCTCCCGAGTAGCAGAGCGAACGCCACTTGATGCGACGATGTTTGGGAAGAACGCGGATGGAGACTTGTGTGGCTTATATATGGCGAATGCCGTCGTCGCGAGATCAAGCGGGTCCACGCCCCGAGGTGCCTTGACCTTGATTTTGCCCTCGACAAAAGGTTTGCGGAATTCCTCGCAGACGCGTGTCCGCCAATCTTCAATGATCACGTCTATCTGCTCCTCCAGCGCCAGGAAGCTCGTTCGGTCCACGACCTGATCTGCGGGCGCACACATGATTTCACGGAACTCTGTTGTAAGAGCAAGGTCCGCAATGTTCAGCCCGTAGTCCAGCATCTCCGGATGTTTGGCGAGATGACGGTCCAAGATCTCCTTCCCCGCGCTCTCTAGAATGGACCAACGCTCGGTTAACATGGGCGTATTCTCGTGTTCCAGGCGCTCCTCGCGTATCCCTTCCATGCAATGTATCAACTCGCTTTGTATGTTCAGCCATACTGAACAGATCGATCAACGGGAGTTCGCACATATACATACAGGAAAATTGTTCTGTTACTGACCTCGGTCGGTGAGCTTCTTAGCAACAAGCACAAGCTTATGTTGAGAGAGTGGCGTGTAGTCTCGGGCCTTGACAAAGTCAAGCTCCGGTCCCCATCCAAGTTCACGTAGCCTCGAAACAATGCTGTGTCTCCATGATGAGCAATATTTAGACAATGAATGAGGCTCCCCTTACCCTTTGAATCGTTCACGAATGACGGATACTACTTCCTTGGTCCGCAGGCGCTCTTCATCATCAACCCACTTTCGGCACAGGGCCGCATACTACACATGATATTTATCAGGTCTATAATCACCGCACTCAATGAAGACCCTACCTCTTGTGACCGTCTCGCCTGCTGGACGTATTTGATAGCGCAGTCACTTGCCTCCTTCGACTTCCCAGATTTATCAAGTGTTCCGTAAGCTTCGAGGACTTCAAGGATTTGTGACCACATGTAGCAGTGTCGCTTGAACCCAGTTACCGGTGCCTGCAAGCACTAGTTGATACACAGAGCTCAGACTGTTGTCAGATACTTACTTTGATGAAAGCCTCTTTTGAAATCATGCCGAATTGCCGCCACTGTTCATTTGTGAGGCGCAACTTATTCTCGGCGACGACCCTAGCGATTCAGATACGAGAGTGGCGTTAGTGAACGTGATCAAACATATGGGTGAGAGACTGACATTTTATCCCTACAACTCGCGCAAAATCGGGCGAGAAACTCCCAAGCTACTGTTGCAGCTTTGCCCTCGCCGCAAGCCTAGAGATATAAGCCGTCGGTGCCAAAAATACGCATTAGATAAATGCGGCAGTCTGTCGTATATCAATTTACGCACGGTACAATACGGAGAGAAGACGAGAGATACCCATGCGGGTTCAATCCATCCCTCCGGACAAGGGGGGAGTCCATCGAGCTTCTTCAAGGCGTCCTTCCACAGATACGCGGAGCTCCTCTGCATGAGGAACGCATGGAACGACTTCGTCGTTCGGGAGAGAGTCAGTAAGTCGCGAGGATGCAGATACAAACAGATCTATCGAACGGCGTCATCAAACACATATTCAGGCACGGTACACCACGCATATTTCGTGCTTTACCTCCTGGATGACGTCCATTGGCATATTGATCATGCTCTTCAGGCCGCCCCGACGGCCGCGCACATTCTTCCACCGCGTCAATGCTTCGGCAGTAACCCCGCCCGCAGATGTGTCGGAGGCTTTTGGGCCTTTGGACTTCTTTGGCGGCATGTTCGAGTGCAAGATTCGTAAACAGTAGTTAGTAGAGAGAGAGGGAACGGTGTCCTAGCTAGTATGTAGTGAGTACTTGAGTGCTGAAGATCTGCCAAAGACTGACGCGACACGGTTTGGCCACCGAGCCACACGGTTCGCGGTCACGCGTCATGAACGTGAGACGCACGCGCTTGTGGCAACCTGAAGCCTGCTGAGCGCTGACCATGGGCGTCGAGCTCACTATGCGACTCTGTCTGACTCGACCGTAGCGAGTTTGTTGATACAATCACCGAGTAGCTCTCATCCAAATCATGACTTACGGTAAGTAAGGGTATGATGGCATTGACGGCCTTGCGTCTGTACCTGTACTTTCGACACCACTGGCAATAGCATGCGATCTTCGCCATACTGCAGGAAGCGTACGGGTGTCCACACATTTTCGTCACGACCATTGCGTAGAACGTAAGTAGCACACGATCTGACGCAAAGAATCAAATCCAACGTTGGATCGCACGTTGCTAATGTACTCATCTTCGCCTGCGTATTCTAAACTCTGTTCACCTCAGCACGAGATGGTGGAAACCCACAACACGACAAAGTCCAGGGCGATGACAATATATTGATACACGAGTAACCACAAACATGTCGTGGCCTCTATTGCAGGATGTTATGGATGGTACATCGAAGTAGCGTAACGAGAGCAACAGTGCACGTTGCACAAATGCAAGACGACTGAACCCCGGGACGGACTCACACCGTCGTCGCGTTGTTGAAGATCAGCAGGTTGGGCGTGCCCGATGGCAGGGTCTCGAGCGCGTCCTCCGTCGAGAGCGCAAGCAGCGCAATCTTCATCTGCGTAGGCGTGATCGTCGGCGGCACGGGCGCGACGTCGAGGACAAGCTCCAGCGGCGGGAGGAAGGTCGCCACCCAGCTAGGAAGCACAGAGTGCGCGAAAGCGTATGCGGAGCCGATGGAACGAGCGGGGCGCTGCTGGAAGAGGGTCGAGAAGTCGGGCGCGACGTCAGGGTTGAAGGTCTTTGAGCCGTAGAGGGAGACCAGGTACGCGAGGATGCCAGCAGTGTGGGGCGACGCCATCGAAGTACCGGAGAGCGACGCAACAGCTGTGTTGCTGCCGATGTACGTCGAGAGTACGTTCAGACCTGCGAGTGACTTTGTGAGATGTGATCGGATGATGCGTAGTCCATGAAACTTACCGGGCGCGAAGACATCGACGCAGGGGCCGTGGTTAGAGAAGTAAGCACGCTCATCTCCGAGTGTGGAGGCGCCAACCGTGACAGCCTTCGCTGCAGCAGCAGGTGAGTTGTTGCACGCGTCCTTGTTGTCGTTGCCTAAGATACATTAACATTGAAAATCTCTACGAGAACATGAGCCGGACACTTACCAGCTGCAACAGCGAAGTGAACTCCACGGTCGACGGCCCGGTTGACGGCATCATCAAGAGCCTTGGACTTGCCACCACCAAGGGACATGTTCGCGACGGAGCCCTTGTGCGCAGTCCTGCCGGTCTTCCTGAACTCCTCAGCGGCAGCCTTAGCCTTGGCTATGGACTGCTCGACAGTCCAGACGACACCAGCCATGACATCGCTCATCGTGCCACTGCCGTTACTGCCGAGGACCTTCACCGCGATAACATGCGCAGCCTTGGCGACACCGTACTTACGCGATGCGATAGTGCCTGCGCAATGCGTACCGTGCCCATTCGCATCGATGTCCTGGTCGTTCTGGGGAACAGTCTTGCCCCATTCCGCACGACCCTCGAATTCGGCATGCTCGACGTTGATACCGGTATCGATGACGTAGACATCAACACCTTCGCCACCGTGGGAGTCATACTCGTACTTCGTGAAGGTGCCGAAGGTGAGCTTGGGGCGGTGGCTTATCCGTGCAAGGCCCTGATCGGTACATCAGTATCCAACGCGGACGGTTCCAAAGCCAGTTCAATGGCGATCGCGCGCGAAGACCGCCGCTTAAAGGGGCATGTTGCAACGACACGGTATAGCAGGTGGACGGAGTAAGTAACTGGTGGACAGCACCAGTAACGCCCAACCAACCCGCCAGACGTAATACCGCCTGTCCGACTTCGCACGCGACCACACACATCTCCAGAAGAGTCGACACTTACCCAAGGCGCCCCCTTCTGTGTCTCAATGCTCGTGCTGTCCACGTCGATCTCGAGTGTCCGAACGATCTGGTCCCGCTCAACGTAATCCACCTCAGGCATCTGGCGGATGCGGTGAACAGTGTTGTCGCTGAACTTGCCGGCGTAGCCCTTGACGTGTCCGTCATACACATGTCGGAGGCCCGCATCGAGGTCGCCCATGAGCGGGTGCTCCTCCTCGACGCCCTGGAGGAAGTTCATGTGGTTCGCCATGAGCACAGGGGCGACGTCGTCCTTGAACATGACGATATAGGAGTTGTTGACGGACCCGTGCGGGTGGTGCTCCGCGACGAGGGGCGCGTACGAGAACGCATTGCCGCGCGGGACCTCGTGCGGGATCGTAGAGAGCGGACTGGCGAGGCCAGAGGCGGCCAGGGACACCGCCAGCAGAGTGTTGAGCAGGAAAGACATGGTCGTCGGCGGTAAGGTGTCTGACGACGCGGGCTTCGGCTTGATAAGGATGCGCCAGCGTTATTTGACCCTGTTTGGACGGGTGGCGTCTCCCCACACCGCCCGAGGACTGCGCGAAAAGGCATCATCGCTCGAGTCACCCCGGTTATCGCAGGGAGACTGCAGAGCCAGCTGTAGAGTGCATACTGTGCCCGAGTAAGGGCGCTGAAGTTTCCTGGAGGAGGCATGAAACTTGTCTAAGTTACCTTGACAGGCGTGCACGCACCATCCAACAGGCAGATTTGATTCCGGCCTCGGCGCTCGTGGAAAGCTTCAGCGTCCGCGGTCGCAATCCTATTGCGCCCTATCCCGTCATACACAAGCCGAGATACACAACTCAACGGCATCGAGCAAAGAACGAAGACACCCATTCTGGCCTCTCTTCGAAGTTCCAGCTCGACGGGCAGTCTCGGAGCATCATACAAGACCGGGGGCTGCGCATCGGACAGCAAGAGAACCGCCACCGTAGTGGCGCGGGATCTCACCGACGGTGACTTCCATACGGACCACAACACAACGGCAACGCACGAGTCTCGGAATCAGAGAGGGTCGCCTCGTGGAGAACAGGAGGCAGCGACTCTGCGGTTCATTGACAAGTCAAACAGCTTCGGAAGACAGACAGGTGTACCGTTTCATCACGTCCGAGGTTGTTGTATTCCCCGATTATCGCATGCGTCCCCGCATTCGCTTTTTGTGAATATTGCACGCCGGTTGCGCGCGGACCCATACATAAGGCGCTCGTATTTTGACCGAAGGGAATGTCGTATGCGTGCATTTGAATCCCAGCTTTGGCAGAGCTCGACAAGATGGACCATGTGCTCTCGGTATAGGGCCCTGGGTACGACCGGTCTGCCAGTGCTGAACCACGCGAAGATTTGTTATGCTCGTGTGACCACAGACGCCCGGTCGAACTTCGAACTTCGCGATCTAGTGGCATGCTTCGTTGGAGCAGGTCACAGCAGCATCGACTGCGAAGCGATGATAAGGACGGCCCGCGTAGTATGCAAAGCCCAACGGGAAGAGGGACGGCATGTGGCCAAATGAACAGTGCTCACCTGCAATATGTTACCTTGGAGGAGGATGCAGCCGAACTGGTTTCGACGTGCGAGGTTCCTTGTCAAAATTCGCGGTTCGGACTTGGGACCGACTCGAGGCACGCTGTTCGATGCGCACTCAAATCCTACTACTGAGTGGAGGAGAGAACGTCAATTCGTTTTGTAGGCACGTATGTATGGCCACGATTTACCTGACGATTGAACGGGAGAGCAGCATAGAGGCTGAGGTCCGTGTCTGCTGCTCTGAACATCCTTCCAGGCTCGCGAGGCAATGTCATGCGATCCGCGAGATGAACTAAGTTTCTCTGCGCAGCGGTGCAGGAAGTAGAGTGCGTGTCGACGTCGGACTCTGCTTGATAGCGATAGGTCCACCGAAGTAATACGTTCACCTCTTCAATGGCTTCGCATTACGAGGACTACTGTACGGCGAGCATATTGAATTTGACGAGCAATAAAAATGAGGTAAATTAGGCGCTCACCGTTACGAAACTAGAGCTAGCTAGAGGCCTGACTACGAAGTCTCAGCAAGACTGATACCTCCGGGGCATACTGTAGCGTGCAAAATGAGAACGAGAGTCAAGTCCAAGAGAGGTTCACTCCGTCGCAGTAACACGGCTGCCTGCGATGGTCAAGTTCCTGAGCAAGAGAGATTGCACTAGACCCAGGTCGAAGGATGCTCTCGAGGTATATGTCAGTATGTAGCCCAAAAGCTGGAGTCTCGAAGCAGTCAGAGGACGGACAGAAACAGAGACGAGGAAAATTGGACTTTGAGACACGATCGAGTGGCAGGGCTTGGGCCGGGCCGTGGAGGGCCGTGGTGAAATCGGCGCTCAATGATTGGACAATGTGTGCAGTGCACATCCCGCAGAGCTCGTCGAGCAGCGTGAGGGCAAGCGAGGGCACGATGGCTGACGCTGGCGTCGACCCCGACGATGAGTCCTGCACAGCGAGCACGACCGTCACAAAATTGACCGCAGCGACACAGCACCAGCGCCTGAGAGCCTCCGCCTAAGCCGCCTCAGTCTACTCCAGCTCCAAATTCACACCTATCGCGATCCCCTCTGCCGTGCACGGCACTCCGCTGGACGACCTCGACCAACCCTCTCGCTGACCGATAAGCTGCCCGAATAAGACCGTATCATGGACTCGCAAGGCACTGGAGGAAGCGTAAACCGCGCCCACCACCATCCGACTCCACTCACTCTCTCAGGCCGCACGTCGGCGTCGTCGTTGCGAGCAATGTTTGCTTCCGGGGCGGCCACGCCCACTGGGCTGAAGACCCCACTTTCACCGGGCCCGCAGGCGGAGGAGACACCGATCCTGGGAGTGGACGTCGAGCACGGTCGCACGGATTATGGCGCAGCGAGAGCACGAGGTGAGCCGCAGTTAGGCTACGGTTGGCGGGATAGTACGGGGAAGGCAGAGACTCTGTCGTGGTGGAGACCTGTGAGCCTGAGAGTGGCCTGAACGAGCTCGTTTCCAGCCCAGGATGCTGCACGCCTCCGCACCTGCGGTGGTTGAGTAAGAGAAGCCGGCCGCATGCGCGCCTGCAGTTGCGAGAAGTCTCGTCTGAGGCCAGTCTGGGTCATACGGGTTCGCAGGCACTGGGCAGGAGCTTCTTCACACAACTGAGGTTCGTGCCAGATTGAGCGGGAGTGAGCACTAGCACCCCACCACATCCTCTCTAAGCTTTGTTGCCGGCATGATCATAAGCTCAGTCTGAGGATGTCATCTTCTGTATCATCTCATTTGCTCTCATCTTGTTCTCATCTCCCATTTACCGAACACATGTTGACAAGGTTCCAGCTACCCGTCCCACTCTTCATCGCCGGAGGACATCGAACTGGGCAAAAGTCAACTATTACGTGCCCTCCACCGCTTGGATACCCGCATATTCATGGTCATTGTGCGTCTCAAGCTGTTTCTTTAGGTTAGGAAGGTGCACGGTGTTCACCTTGAGTCCCATAGATTCGGTGGTGATCTACTGGGAGGGCTCACAGTTGCCTGCATGCTGATACCCCAATCTGTCTCGTATGCAACATCTCTAGCACGATTGAACCCCACCACTGGCCTGGTACGTCCCATCCAGTCGGCAGAGTGTTGATATTTAACTGGCTATGCGCGGGCAGTTCTCTGCATCTGTCCCCGGCTTGATATATGCGCTTTTTGGTACATCAAGGCAACTGAACGTATCCCCCGAAGCGTCACTGTCACTCCTCATTGGACAAGCAATCGATGACTTCCTGCATGACCCACACTTCGCACAATACGGGCGAGATCAAGTAGGCATCGCGGTGGCGACCGTGATCACCTTTCAGGTGCGCACAGTGAAGTCTGAGACTGTGAGATTGACTGACGAACTGCTCCTAGGTTGGACTCATCGCCCTTCTGCTTGGCTTGTTCCGCCTCGGCTTCATGGACGTTGTCCTCAGCCGTGCGCTTCTCCGCGGGTTCGTCACCGCCGTGGCAATCGTCATCCTTGTGTAGGTCCCTTCTTCTATCTCAGCCCCGTGATGTTCTTCTCTGCGGTGCTGATTGTCATCCGTACACAGCGAACAGCTAATACCCATGTTTGGTTTGACTGCACTGCGGAACGAATATCAATTGCATACGACCCTCGACAAATTGGTTTTCATCGTGGAGAACATGTGGACACACTCGCATCGACTGACAATGATCATCGGGTTCGGCGCCCTGCTGATCCTCCTCGGCATACGCAGCTTCAAGGGCTTCTTCAAGCGTCACACCCTCATTTATCGCATGCCGGAGGTCTTGTTGGTGGTTGTCTGTTCAACAAGTGAGGCGTTCGGTCCCATGTAATGCACTGCGAACTCACGTCTGTCAGTTCTGTCCGACAAGTTGGACTGGGACGATCAGGGAGTTGAGATCCTTGGAAGCGTTCCGGTTAACACGGGCTCCCACTTCGTCCAGTTTCCGCTGACGAAGATGACGTTCAAGTTCCTGCGGAGGACGACGTCCCTCTCCTTGTACGCGCGTCTCGTTTTCTCTACGTGTTGACAGCAGTCTTAATGCGAGGTTCTTTGTAGTGTCTGTGTCATTGTCGGATTCCTCGACAGCATCGTCGCGGCAAAACAGAACGCGGGGATGTATGGCTACAGCATCAGCCCCAATCGTGAACTCGTCGCGCTCGGTGCTGGCAACTTCATTGGCTCCTTTGTCCCAGGGACGCTGCCCGCCTTCGGGTCCATCACCCGGTGCGTTCTGTCATTCAGCTGTCATATCGTATATTGTGGCTGAGCCCACGAACGGATAGGTCAAAGATCAACGGCGAGGTAGGCGCGCGTACACAGATGTCGTCGATGGTCTGCTCCGTGGTCGTCCTCCTCGCTGTGTTCTATCTCATGCCTTGGCTGTACTACCTGCCGAAAACCGTGCTCGGTGCTGTGTGAGTGGCAACCCCGTCGGCCAGTGTGACCGGGGGCGTGAACTAATGCATGATATCGGTATCAGCATCTGCCTGGTCGTGTTCTCGCTCCTGGCAGAAGTGCCCCACGACCTGAAGTTCTATTGGCGGTATGTCGTCTGTCGCATTGATAGGCTCGTCGGATGTAAGACGCTGATTCGCCGTTCACCGTGGATTAGTATGCGGAGCTGGGTCGACCTGTCTCTTATGGCGCTCACCTTCGCGTTGACCATCTTCTGGGATTTGGAGATGGGTGTTGCGGTCAGTCTCGTCATATCGTTGGTGCTGGTCGTGCACAAGTCATCCAAGCCACGCATGACGATACTGGTACGTGCACATCTCGTATGGGCCTAATGTATCAGGCGTCTGACGGCCTGTCAGGGTCGTCTACCCGGCACCGACGTGTGGAAGCCTGTTGACGAGAACCCAGAAGCGCAGGAAGACGCAGCTGGTGTGCTCATCGTGAGGATCAGAGAAAACCTTGACTTTGGTGCGCATACTCTGATGGTTGCTACTCGCGGCTATCTGACTGACGTGCTATGGGTGTCGTGCACAGCAAACACCGCACAATTGAAAGGTGACTTCCATTGGCTGCCGCATCATCTGCGCATAGCACGGTGGACTGACGATGGGTATACAGAGCGGCTCCGTCGGCTAGAGCTGTATGGCATCAGCAAGCATCATCCTTCGGACGAGCCGCAGCGCGAACACGCTAGCGTGCTTGTCTTCCACCTAGCGGACGTTGACAGTGTTGACGCGTCGTGCGTTATCTTGTTCACCTGCGCAATACTTTTTGGACTTATCTGACTGCTGACAGAGCTGCCATGATCTTCTACGAATTGGCCGAGACATATCAGGTATGTATCGAACCAGGTCCCCATACAGCCGTCCATTAATTGCCGTCATCGAACAGAGCCGTGGGGTGGGGCTGTTCATCACACATATCAGGAAGGGCCCCCGTGAGTCCTTCGAGCGGGCGGGGATCATCAAGCTCCTCGGGGAAGACGCTATCTGCAAGGATGTCGCGAGCGCCATGGTCCGCGTAGAGAAGCTCGTTCGGGAGCGAGCGGACCCGCAGAGTTGGTAACGAACGGGAGCCTCGGGTGTCCGGGCAATGCGAAGCAGCGAACTCGAGACGACGGCGTCCTCGACGACTCGGACCTTGACGCCTGCGTCTGACGATGACCGGCGGATTGACTATGTAGCACATGATATTGCCTGGTGGATACCAGGTCTAATCTACGATAGATCTATGCTCTCAGACACTTCATTCTGTCATTCCCATTGGTGGGAAACGTCCTGTGAGAAAACGAGTCGGCGGTACGCGGAGGACTGCATCCCCCCAAGTGGCCTTAGCGGTTGCAGAAGTCAGCGCTCCGCGTGGAATTAAGTCTGAAAAAGAGCCGTCGCAAGCCATGTACGGCTGATAGAAGCAGTACTTGTCCAATATGTCAACGACTCAATTGTGCGGGCTGACATGCTTACACGCCGCCGGATAAGGTCCATAGTCAATGGCTACTTACAGCTCAGGGCGGGAAGTACTTCTACTGTACAGTACTGTACAACGCGTCAGAACACAGCCCTGGAGAGAATGATGCAGCGAGAGGGGGTGGATTCTAAGAATAAGAGCAAACGCATCAAAGAGTCGTAAGGAATGCTGTGATAGTAGATAGTAAAGTAACGTCCGCGGATAATACGCGACTACTTGCACTTGCGCCTGGGAAATCTGAAGGCCTTGAGTGTGGAGATGTGCATGTGGAGGGGACTGATGATTCTCGAGGCTCGCACCGGTGCCGCCACCGTCAACTTCTGATCATCAGCGGAGAAATGGGATGTGCGGGCCTTGCAATGAAGTTAGCACCTGCATGGACGACTCAGAGAGGGCGAAGGCTGGATGCGCACCTTAAAGTTCACGATGCTAGCGCTGATCGTATCTTCTGGGACATCGGCGCGTGGTCTGGCGACAGGCACAGCAGGGCTGAGTGGGAAGGCTCTGTGCGTGTCGGGAAATTGGTCCACCGACGCCGTCCAGCAGAGCGAATCGAACGCTTGCCATGGGTCGAGCAGCAGCTCGTCGTCCATGCAGGCAAAGCACGAATGGTCGAACGACTTCGATCGTCGCATCAACGCCGTGCGGTGCAGCTCCGACTCGAGCATATTGATGGTCTCCTCCGCAGCAGGGCTAATAGGGTCTTCAAATGGCTTCTGGTCCTCCATGACAGAGGATGGGCAAGTAGACGTGTCGGACCGCTTGCGTTCGTGGTTAAATAACGCGGAAGAACGGGAGGATACCGAGCTCGCAGAGCTCCGAGAGGACGGACTACCTGGTCTGCACGGCTCGGCAGCAGGCGGCTCGGGCTCAATGTCGTTGGTCTCTCCGTCAATGTCGTCTGGGACAGGGCTCTGAGTGCTTTGGGGGCTCGGAGCAGACATAGGTTCGTCAGAGACAGGCGTGAAGAGGAAGCCTCTGCCTGACGCGTCCAGCTCCGCTGTGAAGGTGAGGGATGTTTGCGGAGTGTGCCCTGGATTTGGTGTTGGTGGTGGCAAGGGGGTCTTGGGAAGTACCAGATGAATCCCGCTCAATAAGCCTCTCCTACGCATCTTCTTGATATTCAGCGGCGCGACTGGGGCTGTCTGCAAGTAGAGCGAGCAAGTCACGTCAGTGGCTAGATCACGATCTGAGTGCTGAACTTACCGGTGCGAGCGCTAGCGGAGAACGTTCGGCTTCCTCAAAGGGGGTGCGGGGGCCCTGCACAACGTCCCGTCCCAAGATCGGGGATTCCAGCATGCTCCAGGCATTGTCCGTGCTTGACGGAGATGACACAAGGTCAACAAAGAGCTCGGGTCGCGCCGCGACCATGTCCAGCGACTTGTCGAAACGTCGTCGGGCAGCCGTTGCGTGCATGGCAAGGCAGATGAGGGAGAGACGACGCACGGCAATCGTAAAGGGAGCTCAATCAGGAAGGGCCGAAGAACGAAGGGCGAAGGCGAGGAACATTCCACGACGGAGAGTGGCTTTTAGAAGCATCCGTCGTGAGCGCCAGATACAGGTACGGGTAGCATTGATGATATGTGATGGACGTCGTAGCGTCGTGAAGCGTAGTAGATCCAAACACCATTCGACGTCAAGGCGTCAGGGTAGACAGTGGAAGTCGCGCACGGTCTCCATCCGGAGTGGCAGGGATGTCCAGTTGTCGTACTGCCACCCAACGATCTGGTAGGCATCCATGACATCGGTGTAGGCTACGGCGCCGCCGGCGTACCCATAGCATGGGCTCGCCACCAAGCTGTTGATGCTAATGTCGCAGTCACATGATATCATTACAGCCACATAGGACACCGTCTCCTGATGTCCAGTGTACCCATCTATGATGTACACATGCTGCAGCGACAAATGAACTCACGCAAGTACACGGTGCAAGGAATCGGGAATGGGCGTACCAGTGCTTCACACGCGATGTCTTCGGTGGCGGTCGACTTGATGTGGATGCTCCGGCTCTCATACTGAGGATCTTCAGAACAGATCGATAGAGGCAGAGAGCGCGGATGCCAGTGGTAAGGCAGCATGAGGAAATCTGTGGTGTTACACCGGTGACCGGACGTGCGTATCATGCATGAACATTTGTTGATACAAGTCTCGTCCACCATGACGCAGAACACACCCCGCCCTTTTCAACAGTATGTCTGCCTGAGACCCCACCGCTGCGGAACTCTATCTGAGTCATCTAACGAACACTGTCACGAGAATAGATGCTCGGTTTACTTACCCCTTTACCGCTTCCGTGTCTTGATTCTCCCAAGGGACAAACCGTCTCTGCCCTCGGCCATCATGATGACCTCACCGAGACTATACCAGAGCTCTGCACTCATTTGGCGTCGGCGAGACTTCACATCCATTCGGATGTCCATAGGACTTCCAGGCACTATGGGCGCAGGCTTGTACTGATCATGATTGGGCGGGAGGTCTGGCTTCCACCGTGGCCTCGGGATATTCTGATTCCATAGGGTGTGGTGTTTCAGTGCTTGATCGTATGACCACATGAGTTGGCTCAGGTTACGGGTGACATGGTGTGCTAGACCGCGGGAGCGGGCAGAGCTCGACAGTAAAGTCAACGTCTTGTCCACTGTGCATCACGAATTTGTGAGCGTCATCGGCGATGTATAACGGGATACTTACTCCGGACCTCCCAGGCACTGTACCACCGCTGCAGAGTCGTCCGTTCATTTTCAGTCAATGAAGTACCCCGCAGGTGATGTAGCACTCCGGCCGCGCGTTCAAAACCCGGTCTCCAAACGCTTCGCAATCTTCCCGTGGCAGGCCCTTTGTTCAACACAGATGCAGCGCTGGCTCGTAGAACGAGCCGATAGAGGCTCGTGAACTCCGCAGGCAGTCGTGTTGAGAATGTCATCGTAGCCCGTAGACACGAAGAGACTTGTCTCCGCCCGCTGGAAATGATGTCGAATAGTCGGGCCGCCAGTGCGACGTCCAACTGCTGTTGGCCAAGTCGTCTCCCCAAGATGCGTTCAAGCTGCAAGTGAACGTCGAAAGCGAGATGCAGACATTGAAATGTCGCCAGGCGGCACGTGCAATGGAATTAAGCTTTGCGGAGCGAATCGTTACCGCTTATGTACAGTATGCAGCAGCCATGGTAGTAGTGACTGTACACAACGTTTCAACGCCACCGTGACGGTATGTCCGATGCCTCTGAGCATCCTTCAGTATATGATCATCCATTCGTACGTGCAATTGATTCGCGTCTGTCCAACGGGCTGCCATGCTAACATAACATATCGTCTGGGCCCCTCAGGCTCACTGCAATACACGAGTTTCAACACTCCAGTCTCCGAGCTACGGAGGTGGAGGTGCGCGATTTCTTGGTCCCAGTCACATTGGTCCACACCTGGACAGCCGTTGACTACAACCGTGGCTTCGTTGCGCATCTTATCGGTCAAGTAATGACAGCGATGGTAAGGAACATGCGAACACAATGTACTGATTATGAGCTATGCACGTTACAGTTCCGTACTAGCCAGGTCAAAGTCCGTCAGAGAGCAAGCACGATGGAGTACTGTGACTGATGGATCGAAGCTTCTTCAGGTCAATACACGGCCGTATCGAGGAGACTTGTAAGTAGTTGCTTGATGCGGATCGTACATGGAGCCTGTGCATCCGATTGGACGAATGAGACGCTGTTTGGTTTTGACAGTTGGTTGATGTGTGCAGCCTATAGCTGTATCGAGCCACCCGACAGAGAAAGTTACCTCGACTCGGACGTTTGTCGTTGGGCGATACATACACCAACCTGCGCTGAATGTTTGCCAGCCACCGCCTTACACCCGCGTGTGTCCGGGGTGTCGTTCGGAAGCCGAGCTGGCTGTCGGAAAGCAGTCAATCGCCAACGCCCCGGTGACAGATGCTACTCATTCAAGTCCCACAGGCAGACGCAGCTACCGACGTGGCTGCGCGGCACACCGCTTCTCCCAGCCTTCATTCGGCTCCGTCCTCAATCACTATCAGTAGTAAACGGTCGGTGCTCTCACCCATGAAGCTGTAGCCACCAGAACAGACAATTATCAGCCTGACTCGCAGACGCATGGTACAACGACCGGTTTGCACCGCTTTCTCGACATAGCAAGGTCATAGTCCAAGTCTGTCGCTGCGGTGCACATAGCAACTGTAGCGCCGGGCCGATCTGGGACGCAGACAGCCAACTTTTGGCATGTTTCTAAGCTAAGTACACGTTCTTCTCTGCATTCCGAGTTTGTTTGCATTCCTACCAGAAAAAAATGGAGACATTGTCAACAGGCAAATTTGCCTTGGCCGGGAGCGCTGATAGCTGCCACGCCACCGTCCGCGGCGGAGGACGTGCGTTTGAACCCAACAACTTTAACTCTAGGTACGTGGTGACGCAAAATTCTTGCAGTCAATCATCTGTACGACTGAGAAAAGTGAGCCCGGCTCGTTCTTGAAACCGAGTGTCGCGCTACAGCATGGCCCAGGCTACGGCTGCCAGCCCGAGTCTCAGCGCGTGGTAAGTGGCTATGGCCCGAACTGTCGCCTCTTTCCAAATACATGCATCCATGAACAAAGCAACACCTCCCGAGGTAACAAAAACAGCAGGTGACCCACATCACTCTTATAACTTTCCAACCATCGCGCGACTTCTGTTGACCTTCAAACATCGCCACAGACCACCTCAACCAGCTCGGCCTTCCGACACTCTGGCAGGAATCCGAGATGAGCGCCACACAGTACGAACTACTCCGGATGTCTGTGGACGACAAGGCCTGCGTAAGTGGATGCTCTTCATTGCGCTTCCATTGTCTGATCCTGACCTCGCCCCAGTGGACCGTTCCCGTACTAGACAGCCGGAGCCGACCCGTCCCCTGGGCGGCGTTCGGTGACTACAGCGCTCCCGTGCTAGCTCACTTCGCGGACGACGACACCGGTTTTTACACTGAATCAGACCCCGGACTGTACTCTATACCTGAGACCGTGGACGATGACCTCACGGGCTCTTCTTGTTATTCGCGCCGGTCCCTGCCACTAGACGAGGATGGCCACACGGAAGACCTTGAAGCGCTTAGCGAGGAGGAAGAGTCCGTCGACGGGCCGCGCGAAGTGGGCCACTCGTTCGTCTTTCGCGGCGCGCAGCACGAGACCGTGCGCACCATCATCCGCGCAAGCAGCGAGCCCACCCTGAGCGGACTGGACACTTTCGAAACCGACTCGGAGGCTTCGTGGACCAGTGGCGACCTGGATGACTTCTCCGACCCGGGAACGGAGACGCCCCTGCTCTCTCGCTCGCTGTCGCCAGACCCGCTGGACGCTGTGCGCTGCGGGATTGAACGGATCGCCGCGAGGCAGCACCTCGAGGAGGACTTGGACTTCCGCGAGCACGAGTGGCTGTTACAGCAGATCGGTTGTGGGCGGATGGAGATCTGGGTGACGGAGGAACGGATAGAAAGGACGGAGCAGAGCGAAGACACAAGGCCGAGGGTGTTCTTTGCCCCCCCTTCAAGTTCAGGCCGACGCCAGTCGCTTGGCGGTATGGCGTAAACTCGGTGGCAACGGTGCAACTCAAACTATCCGATGGAGATGCTTCACTGGTACTTCCAAGCTCCCTCGAGCTGCGAATCGATGGTTGGCCTCTTCAAGTCCATTTCGCATGGACGTTCTGCACTGTATCAAGTCTCCACATATGCCTCGCCTGGACGACTTAATCGGGACGACTGGGCGTGGAGCTCATTCATTGTTCTCCTCGATCGATACCACGGCCGCCGGTCGTTTTATGACGATACCCTCAATTGGCCGTATGTTGTTGTATAATTGATGTTGGACAATAGAATTCAGACTTTCAGACTGATGGGCCAGGTCGACGCCGCATCGCACTGTTGAGGGACTGCAGAATATATACCGCTTACATCTCCAAGACTAGTACAACACAGCATGCGTAAACAAGACAAAAACATAAACGTCCGCCAAGAGCCAATCGAATGTGATTGAGAACATACAATGGGTGCCACGTACTTTGCTATGCGTTTTCTGCGAGACCAACAGCCTTCTAGGCGAAACAGCGAACTTGAACGAGCAGAAATACGATAATGACAACGAGGGGGGAGTGGGAGTCGAACGAAGACGAAGCGATGACGTGCGGTTTGTGATCTGGACCACCGGGAGGGATTACGACTAGTGGAACAACTTCGAGCAGATGGAGGAGCAGAGCCGGTCCGTGGATAAGAAGCATACGAAGACAGTGGGAAAGAGAGGATGCGTGTGCTGGGAACGGATTGAGGAGCGTGTATGCGCGATAACAAGTGAGGCAGCCTATCTCCGCAGCGTGTTAGCCCCGTTGTCAAAACCCGCATACACGCACAGAACACGCACATTCCGGGATTAACAAGCAATCACTTGGCGCCATAGACCATAGGCATGGCCGGTGCAGGTGGATACGCCGCATACGGCCCGGGTACGAACGTACCTGCACCCCCAAACCGCATGTAGCTCGTCCAATGATCGTGCTGCAGCTTCTGGATGTGCATTAGATACTGCGCGTCGCTCATCCCGGGGGTGCGCGGCGGGAGCGCGTATGGGAACCCGTTCACGAGAGGTGTAGCCGCAGGCACGGGGTAGAAGCCCGCTTGAGCTGACATGGGCGCCGGCACAGGGAGGCTCGATTGCACCGGCGTCGCGGGCGGGGCAGACGCGGCGGTGGAGAGCGAGCTCGCGCTGCTGGATGAGCGCTTATGTGTGTGTTTCTGGGTGCGCGGGCGGGAGTCCTTCTTCGGCGTTGCCACGGCGGGAGTAGGCGCAGGCGCAGGCGTGCTGCAGGGCGCCGGACCGTCGATCCAGCCATCGTCGGACGCCTTGGACGAGGGTCCGCTGATCCAGCCGTCGGCGTCGGCAGTCATCCCCGACGAGACACTGCTGCGCTCTGAGGATGCTGCGCGTTCCTCTGACCGCTCCTTGGTCGGTTTGCCCTCGGGCATGTGCTCGAGGCTGGGCGGGCTCGCCTTGTCGCTGCCCTTCTTGCCGTTCCAGCGCCCGGACCGGAGCCGATCGACCATCTCGCGGGTTCGAGAGGCGTTCCGCGCGCGGATGCGGGTCGTGCTCGAGCCGTCGGCGAGGAAGGCTGGGAGGAGATCAGCGGAGGGGCGAGCACGGCGCGGGGTCGAGCTGCGGATGTTCTCGATGCTGGCCTCGGCGGAGTGGTAGAAGCCCTCGCCGTCCTTGAGGAGGAGGGAGCGCTTTCGAGCAGCGGGCGACGCGGCCGGGTTGTCGGCGCTTAGGGACGGGAAGGCGAACTCGTGCGTCGGAGAGGGCGACTTGGAGAAGGAGGAGGGCGACGGTGCAGCGGGGATGAAGGCGGCGGCGGTCGCACTGAGGGGCGTCGGGTGCGGCTGCAAGACGTCCATCGATCCGTGCTTTGCACCACGGGGAAGGGAGGAGGGGGATGCGCGGGGCGTAGACGGTGGCGGGTCAGACTCGGCGGACAATTCAGACTCACTGAGCTCGGGACTGTCGAGCAGACTGAGGTCCCATATCTTGCCATCTGGCCCACCTGCCGCGGCGACGATCTCCTCGAATGAAGTCGACAGACGCTTGCTGATGCCGCCTAGGAGCTGCTCGACGTGATCGTGCCACTGACGCTGCACGGTGGCGATGTCGTCCTGGCTCAGCGTACCGCAGAACAACGGTCGCTCGTCGGCAGTGGATGCGTCGGTGAGAATGCCCACGTCGTTCTCGTAACGAGAGACGGTGTCCTCGACGAGCTTGACCCCAGCTAGCCTCGAGCTCAGTTCGACATCGTCCTCGATGCTGTCCGGCGTCTTGCGGCGCCTCGCACGGTATAGGAGATCGTGGTAATGCGGTGGCCTAGCGAAGACACCCGACCCGGCGAGAAGGGGTTTGAAGACAGGTATCCTCGACGGGCGTTGCGGACGCCTGCCCGGATAGGACCAGGACACACAGCGGTACGATGATGTTCGCGATCGGTCCTTCGATGTTACCCTTGACTCCTGAGCCCTTTGAACGTCTTCATCGGGTCGTATACTGGTGGTAGACATCAGAGAAACGATGACGCCTCTGCAGAAAGGTGTGTCGAGAGAAATACAGGCAAAAAACAAAGGATTGGTGCCACTCGGCGGCAACACCGCCTCGAGGCTAGGCCGGGACAAAGGAGTGTCGTGGACAATGGGATTCGCTTATCAGTTATGCCTTGAACATATGCTCGTGCAGGTCGGGTCTTCCCCTAGCTTGAGCGACGAATGTGCGGATGTAGCGAGATCGTCGTCGTCGGCGTTGAGGAACACGACGGCGGGGCGTCGACGATAACCCAGCATTTCCGACTAAGTCACATGCGGATAAGGAATCGATTCTGCACAATAGCTTTGTGGAAAACTCACAAAGATTTATCGGAACCTATCAAGAACCTATGCTATCTTTACTTCAACTTTATCTCAATTGCTAAACAGCGATAAATGGCCTCGATCCGGATGCCTCGGTCGAGTGCTACACATCTTCCAACTTGGACCACTATACCGCTAAGTACTTGCCTCGACGTGTTGAGAGAGCTTGCGTGCTGGAGCTGAAGATTTTGGCTCCATCTCGTGCTACGATTCTCGAAGTGAGTCGCAGTTTGTTCAGATACTGGGCGGATTCATACCGTTCTTTCAGACTAACCTATCGACATTCTGTTGAGTACTAAAAAAACAGGCGATTGGGTAGGGCAGGCGACTCGGAAGGTGTCGAAAGTCGCTGAAGCACCTGTGCGCAACAACTACCCACTGCGAGGTCACGTATTACTTTGGCAGTACTGCGCGGAAGCATCAATCGCCCGACCCAGCACAGCCGCGTTCGCTGGCGGATGCACAGCGACTCTACTCGAGCTTGAACCCTGATGCCCGTCCGACATCGACCAGGAAGTCTTGTGAAATCGCTATCTCCTTGTGGCCCAATGGCAAATGCATCTATCTAGTGGGTTAGTATTTTTTCTCAGTCATACAGATTCAACCTTGACCGATCATTCAACACGGTAATGGTTTCATTGTGACCTGACTATGCAGGGGTTTATTCCGCAGACCATTGTAGACTCGTCTCGACGCTGTCTCTTATGCGCGACGCTGGACACCAACCACCAACAAAAGCAGCAAACCGTTTCGCAGCACCGACCTGGGTGTATGCGATAAGGTAACGTGGGGTTGTCAGTTAGGACCCTTCTGGTCACTTGTGCTACATTGTCCATTGTGTGGCATACGCATGCCGTGGATCGGCCAGAGTATCAAGGCTGTTGCGTGAGTGCCGCTAGATCATTGTTCATTACCACAGCTTACCCCTCTGTTATGTCAAGCTCTGAACGCTACAGCGGTGCCAACTTGAGTACAACTCTCGTGGCCTTTGTTTCGCACCCTCCCGTTCCTCTGGGTTACGGTTACAAGTGCTTCGACCTTTTCCACAAGAACGTCGTCGCGTTTATGGGGTCATTCATGAGGATCGCAATGAAAATTCCAATGTAAGCCGCATCACTGTTCAGATTTCTACGATAGCCATACGATGTCTATATCGTCCGTTGACAGACTTTCCTGTTGCAGATTGGACACACCCGTATCATCTCGTCAGCTTCTCTGCAATGGCCTTGGCCGACATCTCCGCCGCTTTCCAGCAGTCGCTTCGGAAATATGAGGCCTTTCGATCTCCTGAGATCAATGCATTCGCGCATTCTCCATTTCGATGTTTTCTGGCGTCCAATTATCGAGATCGCGCTTCTTCGAGCTGATTGTTCCCGAAGTGATTGAGACATCGAATAAACTCGTGTATAGCCTCATTTGTCCCCATCCATATACGTATATGCGAATGTCTCCAGTGCTCATACTGTACACACGGTCATCAGGGAAAGTGCCTCGCGAGGCGACCATTGGTACACAGGCGCGTACGTCTCACGTGTATGACGCGTGACCGTGACACCGTGTGGCTTTGTGTAGGGTTCAGCGGCTCTGTTCAGCTTTAGACTTGATTTGACCGCTAATTCTGGCTTGCCCACCGTCCTCTTTCCCCCATCATTACTACGAGCTCCTATCACTTACAGGCGAATATGGTGCCGAAGAAGTCCAAGCGAACAAAGACATCTGCGGCCACGGGCAGGGTTACTGCCAAAACGGAGGCTCGATGGAAGAATGTGCGCGGCCGACGCGGCGGCCTGCAAGATATGCTCAACATGCCGATCGATGTTATCCAGGAGGTAGAGTGGAGTCGTGCGCGAGGTATGTAAATCATTGACTGACGATATTGTGCAGATTTGCTTGTATCTCCATCCTCGCGATCTACTGAGCCTCTCCCGGACGTCGAAGTCGTTCCACACGTTCCTCATGCAGCGGAGCTCCGCCTATTTATGGAAGGGCTCGATCAAGAACATTGTAGACCTACCTCCGCGTCCAGAGGGGTGGATTGAACCCGCATGGATATCCCTCATCTTCTCCCCATATTGCACGGTAAGTGGTACGGCTCCTGGTGAACTGCGTCATGTTTCTGATGTATATCTGCTCCCGCACGCGTTGTTTCTCAAGGCTTGCGGCACAGGTAAAGCCACAACCGTGTACTGGGAGTTTCTGGCTCGGTTCTGCGCACGTTGCAGGCCACAAATGTCAGCCTTTCGTTATCGACATTACTTACTCACGTTCGCTGAATGTCATTCCTACGTTCGCGTGTTAGGGTTGTTGCTACGAATAGGGTAGACAAGATCCTTAACTCCGATCAATGGCGGAATTTCCATTGGATACCAAAGGATATATTCCTTACAGTAAGTACGTCTACACAGATGTTTCGAGCTCTACTAAGTGTGTTCGTAGGCCGTGGAGGTTACGGGGTTTAAGGGCCCGTGTTATAGCCAATCTCAAGTGTTCGAAGCTATCGACACTTACGGAAAGCTTTATGCGGCTGGGAAGTGGGATTCCGCAAGAAAGCTCGGTGATGAAGACATCAAACGAGCACGACGGTCCCGTGAGGTAGATCACGTCGTTCATTCATTCTGTACCATCTGGTCTGATCCAGCCATGTCCGTGTAGCACGCGATCTTATGCCAAAAATGGGCCGAAAAGGAAGAGCACCTGCATACGGAGGAGGTTGAGGCCGTTATCCGCGAGCGCCTCGAGGAGTAAGCAGCATTAGACAGTCGGTCTGAAAACCACTCACCGCTAGACGTAGCATTGCCTCACGCCTACGTCCGCTTGGATGGGGTCTTGAACTCGACTTCGTACGAGGAAGAAACTACACACCACTCTCAGAACATAAGCATGTTCGGGTTGCCAAGAAACTCACTGAGCGAGGTGAGGCTCAGTCATCCGTCTGTAAACGCTCTCATCGATGACGTCCCATTTGTTCAGTTTGGCAAAATGCGCAAGATGAGTTAGTCCAATGCATGAAACATATACGCAAAGAACGCCTGGAACACGAGTACGAGGCCATGCTGACGGCTCGTTGGTCTGTCCTGAAGAGCGCCGGCGACGAGATGCTAGACCGATCTTTTGGCAGGCGCCCGGAACTAATGGACTACGGGATCGGCTTCGAGGACCTCGCTCTCTTCAAAGAGTTTCGCGATATCATGTGCGCGCCTGCTGACGAGGTCGTTGATCGAGCGCGTTTTCTGGCGCTGGAGGGCCAGTTGGACACACTCGTCGAGAAATGGCGGACACGCATATGCAAGCATCTCCGTGGACTCCTCAGCAAGTACAAGATCAAGTCGCCTAGAGGAGTGGATCCCCTCGACCTCGCCACAACGCTCTTTGAGTTCACCGAAAGCAGCTTTCCACGTATAGAGCCCTTCCCAAACGTCATTGCACCCAACGCTCTCCGCTTCCCGACTCCGAGGACCAGGAGAGACGCGTATGAAAAGTTCGTGTATTGGCAAGCACGTGCAGACCTGTCCTTCATAGGTACTGCGCTGAAGCCACTGAAACCGAATGCCTTCGTGCGACGGGTCATACAACTCTGTGGCAAGGATCCAGACACCGCAACAGCGAGAGAGATGGATGCTCTGGATGTCAGATTGGTCTCTGATGAGATTGTGACCTGGCGCGGTGCGGTGAGTGTTGCTTATGTCTTATATGGCCATCTGTCCTAACAGGAAATATTCATGCAACAGGTTGTGAAGGCCGCTAAGTGTGAACCGCACAACGTGCTCAATTGGCGGCTGGCCGACGCTCATGAAATCATCGAAGTGAAAGAAATCGAGATGAGAATATTGACAAAGGCGAAGGTGTGGACGTGCACCAGATGTGAGGAGTCACGTATGCCCGTGGCACGAGACATTGTCATGGAGCATCTTTGTACAGAGTGAGTGTTCATATTCTCGACTTTGCTACCGAATCAAGCATGACCCGTGATGTTTAGACATGGGATCGCGCGTTCGGAGATTGTAGATGGGGATGTTGCGATGAACGAAACACTGGCGTCCTCTGTTCTGATGGGGTGTCGTATCGGGATTTACTATCTGAAATGTACTCAACGCTGATCGATCCTGGAGCGCGAGAAGTGATCGGAGGCGAGGCAGTGAATCACCGATCCAGCTTGTGGTAATGGGTAGTCCGTTACATTGTACGCTACTATGTTGACACTTATTTTGCCTGCTGGATTATTCACTAGTATGCCGTGTTCCATATATTCACGTCTCAGCGACGTAGCCTAGTCTTGCTGTACAGTTTTGAACTGTAATTCAATTGTGAGGTAGAGTCAGGATTGACACATACTGTACTATGCATGAATGAGATGGGTTAGACTCTATGTTATGTCGTGTTTTGGCTGTAGCCGCCTACTAGCTTCTGGCAGCGTTGCTGCCACAGGCGCGTATGTATCACGTGTATTATGCGTGACCGTGGCGTGGCTCTGAGGCTCTCACTGGCAGCACTGTGGCCAACCAGTTCGCGTCAGTCTTCAGATCTTCGGACTCGGGACTCACTACTTGGTTCTCAGACTAGAACGCTACATACTAGCTCATACATCTTTCCCTCTCTTTGTCACCTTTGCTTACGAATCTCGCACTCGAACATGCCTCCAAAGAAATCCAAAAGCCGAAAAGTCTCTGCGAGCGGGGTTACTGCCGAAGCATTGACGCGGTGGAAGAATGTGCGTGGTCGTCGGGGCGGCCTGAAGAGCATAATCAATATGCCAATGGACGTCATCCAGGAGGTAAGGCGCGACTTACTATGCGCGGCGTAAGGTGCATGAATATTTGTTTGACGACGCTGTTCGACAGATCTGTTTGTATCTCCATCCTCGCGGCTTACTGACACTCTCCCGAACGACGAAGTCATTCCATGCATTTCTCATGCAGAGGAGCTCCGCGTATCTATGGAAGGACGCCTTGAAGAAGGTCGATGGACTCCCTTCTTGTCCGGAGGGATGGATCGAACCCGCATGGGTGTCCCTCGTCTTCTCTCCGTATTGTACCGTAAGTAGGATGTCATACAACGGAATGCCGCAATTATCTGATGCGTGTTTTGGCACCGACGGCTTATATCTCTAGGCTTGCGGCGAGGGCAAAGCTGCGGCAGTAGCTTGGGAGTTTCTCGCCCGATTTTGCACGAGTTGTAGGGATAAAATGTCAGTCTCTCACCCCATATGTTTGATCACGTTCACTGACGCCGTTCCCGTATCTGAATCGCTAGGGTCGTCGCCGAGAATAAGTTGCGTCTCACACATGAACAGTGTCGACACTTCGGCATGATTTCAAAAGAGGCTTTCATCAAAGTAAGTATTTGACAACAGTCTGAGCTCTGTATATCAACTAGTGCTTTCAGGCACCGGTAACTGGGTTCAAACGACACTGCTATATGTGGTCACAAATTCTTGAAGTCCTCGAAGCTTACGGAACACTTGATAAATCTGGGAAGGCGAAGGAGGCAAGTGACTGCGCTAACAAATACGTCCAGCAGGCGAGACGGTCACAAGAGGTAGGGTCTTTGCCATCATTGAGTGGGGTGAATATAGACCTGATGAGTATCATCTGTAGCATGCGGCCCTGTGCCGAAAGTGGGCTGACAATGAGGAGCGCCTGCGGACCGGGGAAGTAGAATCCATTATTCGTGGACGATTTAAGGAGTAAGGGCAGCCTCATTAATTGTCTTTATAATGCTCATCATGGGGATATAGCATCGTTTGTAGGCTACGCGCACTTGGATGGGGACCGGAGCTTGACTTTATCAAGACCCAAGACTACACGCCACTCTCTCAACACAAGCTTGTACTTGTTGCTAAGAAGCTCACCGACCGAGGTCAGTAACAGAGCAGTGTTCCTGTATATATATGCGCGAACTACCGCTGATCGATCTGTTCAGTATGGCAGAACATACAAAGCGAGTTCATCCATTGCATGGAAGGGATACGCGAGGAGCGCTTGGAACATGAGTTCAAACCCGTGCTGGCGAAGCGCTGGCCCATCCTAGTGAGCGCTGGGAACGAGCTACTAGACCGGTATCTAGGCGAACATCCAGACCTGCTGGCTTACGGATTCAACGTTGGGGACCTTGCTATCTCTCAGGAGTTTCGCAACATAATGAACGAACCTGCCGACGAGGACGTGGACATCACAAGCTTTTTCGCCCTAGAGGGGCATGTGGGCACGATTGTGGAGAGATGGCGGACACGCGTCTGCGAAGAACTGCGCGGATTATTCGTCAAGCACGAAATCAAGTTGCCTGAAGGCAGGGACCCGCTTGAGCTCGCCACAACACTGTTCTCCGGCACTAGCACTAGCACTAGCTTCTGGCAACATGCATTCTTTCCGGACGTCGTTGCAGATCGGTATCTGCGCTTCTCTGATAATTTCAAAGCGAAAGACGGGTACGAGAGGTTTGTGTACGACCAACCATCGGCACGGCTACGCTGCTATATATCGTGCGATATGCTTCGCCCGATACAACCTGGCGCAAAATTCATGCAAGAGATAATAGAGCTCTGCGGAAGGGATCCGGTCACCGTCACTGCGGAGGAAATGGATGTGCTGGATGTCAGATTGGTGGATGAATGTAGACATATATGTGTCACTTGGCGTGGCGCGGTATGCTTGGTATCCTCCATGTGGCTATGTCTTTCTGAATGGTTCCGTTGCAGATACTACTATCCTCGGCCAGAGGCGGCTGGTACAAATGGCGATTGGCCAGCATAGATGAGACTGCCAAGGTGAAGAAACTCGAGATGGTGAAATTAGAAAAAGAAAAGCTGTGGACGTGCACCAGATGTGAGACATCGCGCATGCCCGTGGATCGACACGCGATATGGGAGCATCTCCGAAACGAGTAAGTACTACATTGTCATTCACACTCGAGGCTGACTGCGTGCTGCTGTAGTCACGAGATTGAACGTCCGGAGACAGCGAATGAAGCCATCAAGATGAACCGGATTTTGGCATCGACAGTATTGGGGCGAATCATGATCCCTGTCGGTAAACTGCCAGCGTGAATCTTACAGGGCGCTCGGTCAGGATGCAGACAGACATCAGAGAGGAACCTGATCACGGCGATGGCCACATCATCTCCGAGTCAAGATTATCGGTGAATGCTGGCACCGGTACGGCTAGCAGCCAGTGTACGAAGATGGTATTCTAAGCGAAGCGAGGCACGAGCGTCGCGTAGAAGTGAGTCTACGCATGCAGGAGGAGATTTAGGCGCGCATCGCTCTCCTCTGCGCGCCCACTCGGACGACCGCTCTCGAAGGCTCCGCGGCCGCTACGCCCTTCGAATAGCTCTCGTTTTCTTCCACTAAGACTACACCACTTGTAGCTTACAGGAAGGGGACTATGGTACAACCTTCGCTCATCAATCCCGATGGCGACGAAGAGCCGGATTATGTGAGCAACGACCAAATGATTGTACCACTCACAAATGCGTGGAGGATGGTCAACACAGAGTCGTAGTCTCTGTCTCGCAAGCTTGTCCGACATGAGCATCCAGCTGAGCGAGCAGCGGTTGCCATTGTGGACTGTCCGACTCCGAGTCCTTCGACCGCCGCCCAGTGCTCCGTCACCAGCGCTCTCGCTCACTGGTCGCCGGGCGGGACCAACCCGCTGAGTTTCTTTCATGCTGCACGCAACACGCTTACACTGGCTCGCGTCGGCACGAGCATCGCTAGCTCGTGTCATGCACACGCGAGTCAGGCTGGAGGCAACATGCTTACACTGGACGCAGTATGCTTCACTGGCTCGTGTCAGCACGAGCTCATAGCCAGCGAGTGTCACACACGAGTCAGGCTGGACGCAGCAGGCTTATACTGGCTCGCGTCAGCACGAGCTCATAGCCAGCGAGTGTCACACCGGGTCAGGCTGGATGCAGTATGCTTACACCGGCTCGTGTCAGCACGAGCTCATAGCCAGCGAGTGTCACACACGGGTCGGGCTGGACGCAGCACGCTTACACTGGCTCGTGTCGGCACGAGCATAACACGCTCGTGTCATTCACTGCACACGAGTCAGGAGCATGCAGCAGCAGCATGCTTACACTGGCACTGGCTCGTGTCGGCACGAGCGTAACGAACTCGTGTCATCCACTGCACACGAGTCAGGCTGGACACACCGGGCTCGATGAGCACGACGCGGCACTGCTCCTCCTAGGGTCAGCGGAGCGATGTTTGCTTCGCGGCGCCCATCCGGCGGGACTCTGCGAACCGGTTGATCAGCAATACGGGTCATTGGCGTCGTCAGTGTTGGACACTGACTCACAGAGCATGTACGACGAGGCTCGTCGGCTTCTGGACTGGGGGTAACGGCTTCGCCGCAACGCGCCGCCGTACTCGACGTCTTCATATTGGGTATCGCGGCTCACCCGTTGCCCCTCAGGTCCAGGCACACTCTTCGAGTCGGGCAGCCCTGCGGGCTGCGCCCCACACCGCCAATCATTCCCCTCTCGCTCTCTTGCAACTGACCATCCAAGCTCACTCAGTAATAATGAGGCGGGCTGCTGGTACGCCTCGCTTCACACGTGACCGTCATATCCGCCACGCCGGTCATCGTATCCCAGTGCATAGACTTGAGCTCTGTGTATTGCAAGTGTGTCGCATTATATGAAGCATGCTTAAGTAGCCATGTGGCATGCGCAGATGCGTACAGTCGGCGGTTACGTCGTCACTAAGACTCACAAATTTACTCGGATTGCGTACTTTTAGTAGGACGTTGCGACTTCAGGTATCCGACGCAGCTCGTTACTTACTACATTCTCAGTGGTCATCAACATCCCCCATTGACGTCGCGTTGCGAGAGACACTTCTGGCTGTCAAAGGTATGCGACAACAACAGGCCTTCATGGCCTGTCCGCCCTGCGCATGCGCTATGTCAATGAAGGTCACGGTGCGTTTTAACAGCTCTCCAACCTCAGCGAGATTGGCTCACGCGAATGCTAGGCCTGTCCACAAACCCCTGTTCATCTTCCCTACGCTGCCGGTGACTTCGCGTAGTGACAGTTATCCCCTGCTTATTACATTTGTTGCCTAACCAAAGTGACTCTGCATGGCGAGGGGCTGTGTGGCCTACTACACCAGAAAAGGTAAGAGATACCAAATGCGACCCTCGGTGGCTGTCACGGTGCGCCGGGGCGATTCGTCTGCGCATTTGCCTGGCCGCATGCTCCACAGTCTTCTAGTCGGGTCCGCCGTCTGGTGACTCTGGTGCGCAGCAGGGCGGCAGCGATATGTCCCGCCCAATATGACTAGGCCGCGCCCTATATAAGCAGTGAGTTCTTCGCTCACGGCCCTCAGACTCTTAGCATACTCAGCCACAATGTCTTCCCCCCAGCTTCACATCAAGCTCTTCCAGCCTAACGGCGTCACTCGTGCAATCGTCTTCACCGCCCTCCCGACTTGGGACGAGCTCGCCAATCGTGTCAAGTCTTTCTTCGACATCCCTGAGAACTCCGTCGCTCTGACCTACGTCGACGCCGACGGCGATGAGGTGACGCTGGACTCGCAACCTGAACTCCATGAGCTCTTCACCACCCTTCCCGGAGACACCGACTCTACCACCCTTAAGTTCGCTGTCCGCGATATGCGCGACCTCCGTGAGGGCTCGTCATCTGAGGATTCGGACCATACGATGTCTTCACCGTCAGTTCAAGACGATAGCGAATCACCGGTTGACCGCACCGCCGATCTCGTCGCCGGAGTGGACGCTGCTCAAGGTGAGCAAGCACCGCCTCAGATCGACGAACCTGTCGTTCGAGACCCTTCAGCCGTAAACATGTCCCCAGGGGGCTTCGACTCTCTTCGAGGCCGTGGCGGTCACCGAGGCGGGCGGGGCGGAGGACGGGGCCGCTGTGGAGGTCCTGTCCACGGCCATCGCGGCCTGCCTCGCGGTCCTCCTGGCAGGCCTCCCGCCGATCTGCCTTTCCCCTTCGTCCATGGTCTACCTCCTCGTGCTCGCGGCCACATCGTAAGCCACGGCCTTCCACCGCCCCCGATGAGTCATGAGATGACCCGCGCACACAGCGCCCCTCCTGCGCTCTACGCCAATGCCCCTGAGGGCATGTTCCCTTTTGAGATATTCGTGGACATGGGTCTGTCTCGCGAGCGCTTTCCTCGGTCCCGTAGCCCCTCTACTTCTCCGTCTCGTAGCTCAACCCCGAACGACGGGTGCGACCGCCGCCCCCACGGACATGACCATCGTCAGCGGCATCACGTCGACAATCACCGTCGTCACCACCACAACGTCGGTCATCACCATGGCCATGGCCAGCACCAGCGCGGGGGGCCTCAGCATTTCGGACGTGGTAGGGGATCCGCCTTTGCTTTCGACATGCGTGGTGGTCGCGGGCGAGGCGGCTTTGGAGGGCACGGTCCATTTGAGCACATGCGCTTCGAGATGTTCCCTGACTTGCAGCAGCATGCGTTCGGCTTCGGTGGGCGCGGTCGTGACTGCCTCCCTCCCGGGTTCGGCGCGCGTGGTCGCGGTTTGGGCTCCTTGGGCAATCCTTGGGCATGGTAAATCCACATGGGTTCGGATTTGAAGCTCGAGGGCCCGGCGCCGTGACGGTCGGTGTGGACGTCTGAGTATTGTTCGAATGAATTCATCATCTTTTCCCCCTCGAGCTTTCAGAGAGAAAACAAGAAAAACACCCAGGACATCATTAGCTTCTTGTACTTATAGTAAGCCGCACCAAGTAAACCATAGTAGGATACACGAACCTTCCGTAATTAATGATGTGGCTCCGTAACATCCTCGTGCGAGTGAGTCTGGACTGTCGCCTTCTTGGAGCACTCGACGACCACGTCGTGACACATACTAGCACGGGGACTCAGGTCTTACCAGCTGATAGCACAACATCCAACCAATAGATATCAGCAAGGCGCAAGTAAGTACATGCAGCCAGGCGTGAGCACCGACAGATATGGCGACAGCCGACCGACCGACACATCAAAGCTTCGCCTTGACGCCCTTGTTCTTCTGCGCGCTCCTTGCCTTGTCGCGCAGGAACCGCCTGAGCAGCTTCCCGCTAGGGTTCCTCGGGATCGCGTCGATGAACTCGACGCCGGCGGTAAGCTGCTTGTAAGAGACCTTGCCATCCGCGACGTACTGCAGGGCGCCACAAGATTCGTCAGTGCTTTAGACCTACGAAATCGGATCAGAGGAAACGCGCACCTTGATGATCGCCGCCTTGATCTTTTCAGCCTCAGCGGGGTCCTTGCTCATGCGCTCCTTGGCGCTCGCGTTCGGCACGACGAATGCAAGGGGGAGGTCGCCGTTAAAGTCGTCGAGCAGACTGACAACGCAGACGTCCGCAACGTCCGGATGGTCGAGGATGAAGCCCTCCAGTTCCGCGGGAGCAACTGACGTATGTCCACACGTGAGCAATGGCAAAGCGGACGAGCACAGCCGGCGACGAACCCTGGAAGCCCCGCACTTTCAGGAGCTCCTTGATGCGGTCGATGACGAACAGCTCGGCCTGGTCGTTGATGATCACCTCGTCGCCGGTGTTCAGCCACCCGTCCACGAATGTCTCCTTATTCCTACACTTCGCGTCAGCTCCTTGCAATCTAGGAAGCAAAGCGTAAATGACACGCACGCCTGCTCGTTGTTCAGGTACCCCAGCGCCAGAGAGGGCATCTTCACGACGAACTGCCCCGGCTCGTCCGGCGCACAATCCGTGCCGTCCGGGCGGACGACGCGTGCGGTGACGCCAGGGAGGAGGACGCCCGCGCTGCCCAGCGTGCCGACCTTCTGATCGTGCCGCTGCAGCGCCACGATCGTGAAGGTCTCCGTCATGCCTGCATCAGTGGAGCGCACGATCAGTCAAAGGCGAAAACGAGAGCGCCGGAGTCGAGCGCACCGAAGCCCTGGCCGATGGTGGCCTGCGGGAAGACGCTCGCGAGTGCTGCTTGGAGCTCGGGCGAGACGGGCGCGGCGCCGATCATGAAGGACTTGATCGAGCTGAGGTCGTACTTCTTCACATCGGGGTGCTGCGGGTGCGGACGCGTGAGCGAACGGCGGAGTACGTGACCGACGTGAACATGCCTTGACGAAGAGCACACCCATGGGAGGCACGCAGCTGCACGTTCGGGTTCAATCAGTGGTCAAGGGCGTGGGGAGACGGGACGAACGGGAGGGTGGTGATGCGGTAACGCTCGATGCTCTTGAGCATGTCGGCGAAGACGAATTTCTGGGAGACCACCAAGGGCATCTGCAACGGACTTCTGTGAGTTGATACGCGTATTGAGCAAGCGAGGACGTACCCCGAGGAAGAAACCGAAGTGCATGATGAAGGCCAAGCCATATGCGTCTGCAAGCTGTTATCACACCTGGGAGACCAGCCCTAGCTAACGAAGCTTACGAAAGAGGGGAAGCGCTGCAAGGCAAGTGTGACTTCCTACCCAAGGCATATGTGAGAAGGGACGAACCTGCGTAGATTCTGCGGCCGGGTATGAAAGTCTTGCTCTCCACGGGCTTAGTGTCTCCCTCGGCATACACAGTACACTGGATGATGTTGGCTATCAACGCGTAGTGCGGGATCATGACGGCCTGCGAGGTGCTGTGAGTTACAATCATCCATACAAGACAATAGACTACCTTCGGAAGCCCCGTGGTCCCGCTGGAGAAGTTCAAGAACGCAATTTTCGTCTTGCCCTCACCTGGCCTGAGCTTTCGCTCCGTGTAGCTCTTGGGCTTCTTCGACCCCTCCTGGATAAGCCCCGAAACATTTGCATATGGGGCCTTCCCGCTGGCTACGGTGTCGACTAGGACGATGCGCTCCGGCTTGAGCCCGACTGTGCGCGCGGCTGCCTCTGCGACTGCGAGACCGGATGAGTGCGCGAAGATGATCTTGGTGCCGGTGGTCTTGAGCTGGTGCACGAGCTCGTCGTGCGTGTAGGAGGGGTTGGCAGTGCTGCGGGGCGGTGAGACTGATAATCGCAAGTTACAACTGGTTATATGCGCACCTGACGATAGCTCCCAGTCGGTGAACGGCCCTGCAGCGCGCATATCAAGGGTGATTCCGATGGGTAGCACGCAGGGTCAGCTTACCAGACTATCACTGGGTAGTCTACAGGAGAGTCAGTTGTTGGCTGACGTTAAAGGCAGTCTGGACATTGACGTACCGACGTGGTTCGAGCTAAACAGACAGGCTATAAGGACGATTAATATGAGTCGGTTTGCCTGTCAAACTACAACTGAGTCCATATCGTCAGGCCCCGCGCTTCTCAAGCACACATAAGCGGGCGGAATCCGACGGTCAGGCTGAGCCAGCCAGCCGCGACCTTGGCTACGGCAGCCCAGGTTGAGCGGCAAAAGATCACTGAATACCAGCGTCCGACGACCTCCGCTCCTAGAAGCACCTTCTGTGCGGGGCACAACGACGTGGACCTAGTTGTAAATTAAGTAACGCACCAACATCATCCTCTCCTGATAGCAGGGATACGCCGTTCAGTGTGTGACATCAGGGACCAATCAATGTCCGGTCACTCACCGATGTTCCAGCGGATTTTGAGCGCATTTGCGAGACTGTCGGTGCGCGAGTGCAGCTATAGTATGACCCTTGGTTAGTTTCACGACAATTGAGTACTTTCGTGTCAGAAGAACATATATGTGTTCGTATATCGCTGTGTTCGGGTTCCTCAGACCGACGACGCCATGGTCGTCAGTACGTAGGCCAACTTTGACATTCGCCGCGCAGAAGTAGCACGCGCTACACACACAGCTACTGTAGAGATGCTCTACCACAGCATGACGGCCAGGCCGAACGAGAATTGAGGCAGACACGGGAGGAGGAGGAGGAGGAGGAAGGGATTGTACCGCCTCCCACGTGCCGACCCCAGGTAAGCTCAATCCAGAACGAGTCTACTCACCTCTGCTTTCACCACCTCCCTGCCTGTGGTCTCTTCGATCATCCATGGCCGATTCCTGTCTGTCTTTGGTCTGCTTGGGTGGTCGGCATCTAGCATGAACTGCGGGATGGTCAAGTCATCTGGGATAGCTGGCAGAGCACCTCCGGGACCGTGGATTACGCGCATCCTAGCAAGTAGCTTTCAAGTTCGTAAAAGGAGTGTTGGCGATGCTGGTTGCGAGTAGGTGAACGGGGCAAGGACCTTTATATGAGCGCGTTGCTGTGAGTGTACTTAGCGTGTTCGCGATCAGCTTCGAGGGCCGATGTTTGATGCAGATGGACGAGGCCTTGCCGGGCGCGACGGGGTACGGAGTTTCGGGAGGCACAGCACTTCAGCGCAGGTTGCATATATCTCTGTCTCAACGCTATTCTCCGACGATGCGTGCACCAAACTGCTGGCCTTCTGAGCTCCGGTATGCTGTGCATCCCTATTAGACTATCTCGGTCTACTTATCTGGAGACGACGCCGGCCGAGTCCAGGGCCCCCAACACGCGATCATTCTCTGATCATCCTCGTGTAAGATCTCTTCCAAACCCACCAAAACGCTAGTACTTACGTCTGCCAATTCGAGTGCAGGTTCGGGCGAGTGCTGCATACTAGTTACTTCGTTCGTTTCCTGAGCGGTCCTCGTTCGGACTTCGCGGTGCAGGTCAGTAAGCCATATCAGTGGGACATCGTTTCGGGATTATCAACCAGCTGTGCAGTTGCAACGTAGCCGTGTCCTACGCAGCCATGAACAAACGGACCTCCTACTTCAACGCGTCTGCCTCTATAACTCGGAAACGACACGAGAGGTTCTACTTGTCGGACGGGAATGTGATTTTTCAGGTACGTTCAGCCGTCATATCTTTGCACATAGATCGGGGACCGGGGATGTGGCCGACTGCTGGCCACTTGCGATCATAGGGTAACCTAAGCTGAGTCAGGGTTGTCCTGCATTTTCGAGAGTCGGTCATCCCAGGCACAGCGAAGTCATACCGTCGGGCATATAGCTCTTCAGATTGTCTTGTCATTCGTATGCTTTGCCGGTTACTGCAGTTTGCCGTAGGCTCGGGTCGCACTGAATATTAGCCCAGGTGTGCGATCCGCAGCAATCTGGCGTACTAATCCGTCCCAACCTTCTGTCTTCTCCGAAGTTCATCACGCATCATCCACTCGTTCACGCATCTCACGTAGTTGACCACAGGCGGAAGACACCTTGTTCAAGATACACCGTTACTTCTTCCTGCAGGGCTCGAAGGTATTCGAGGATATGTTTTCGCTACCCTCGCCGCCCGGCGAGGACTACGAAGGCGGGTCGGACGACCGTCCGGTCTACCTCGAGGGCACGACCTCGCTCGACCTCGCTCGCTTCCTCACCATCTTCTACCCGAGGTGCGTCAGCCGCCGATCTATGTACCCTGCCCTCGCTCACACCTAGCCTCGGGCAGAAGCGTGTGCAAGCCCGACCTCGAGACGACGGACGAGTGGGCATCCGTGCTCGCGCTCGCGGTGAAATGGCAGTTCGACGACGTGCAGGCACTCGCCGTCGTGTGGTTCTCGGCGAACGCGCCGCTCGTGGACCAGATCCTCCTCGCGCGCGCGCACCGGCTCGCGGAGTGGCTCTACGACGCGCACGTGCGGATCTGCAGCAGGTACGAGCCGCTCTCGCTCGCCGAGGGGCGCCGCCTGGGCGTGGACGAGGCGGTGGTCATCTCGGACGTGCGCCAGTACAGCATTCGGTGCAACCGCGGGAACGTTGATCACGACAAGCTGAGGGCTGCGCTCCGGCTGTTACAGCAGCAATGAAGCTGTGCCTTCTTAGACGAGCAGCTGGTGCTGCTTGGATGGTCCTCTTGTGGCCGGAGCTTCGCGCTTCTATCTTATCTGGGCCTGTATGGGATCATTATAGATGTTCGCCGGGCCTTCTTTCTCGTGCAGTTGTAGAACTCACTCGTTATGTTTGGACATATACCCTTTTATCTGTAGTACCACGCGTGATCCGCATACACGACAGGTTGCACCGTGCCCGCTGACCATCTCAGCAAGGACAAGGTTCAAGAAGGTGTACACTCTTGTTAAACTACCGAGGTGGCATCGTGTTCGATATATCACGATCGTCTTGGACAGACCATGACTTGCTCCTACGCCCACATCTCAACGCACACCTGCTCACAGAACAATGGCTCCCGCACGCCATGAGCGATACTACTTCGACGATGGCAGCCTGATCTTCCTGGTATGCCTTGGTACATCCTCCGATTACGTGCGGCGCTGATTACGCACGAGTCAGGCAGAGGATACGTTGTTCAACGTGCATCGATACTATTTCCAGCGCGATTCGCCCGTTTTTCAGGCGATGTTCTCGCAGTCATCGTCGTCCGGTGAAGGAAAGTCGGATGACAATCCGATCGTTCTTGAAGGCATGAAGAGCGCCGATCTATCCTGTTTCCTGTCCTGTATATACCCGATGTGAGTCGCCAACTCTGTTTGCACTCGTCTTCTAACACTTGTGACTGTCGCGCAGCAACTACGGGCAAGGCGATCTAACGACGTACGAGGAGTGGGCGGCGGCCCTCGAACTGGCTGTCAAGTGGGAGTTCGACCGCATTCGCGACTTTATTGTGCAGCGCATCAAGGATACAGGAACACTGGCCGAGCAGATCGTTACCGCGCGTCGGTTGAATTTGCAGCAATGGTGCTGGGACGCTTGCGCGAAGCTTTGCGAGAGGAGACAACCGTTGACTCTGGAAGAAGGACAGCGCCTGGGCGTGGAGGATACAGTCAGGATTTCTCAAGTGCGCGAGAAGCGACGCGTAGGTTCGAAATTTCGAGGGCCTGGAAGGTGTGAATATTACGATGAGTGGCAAGACCCATGGGAATTAAGTTCGATCTCACTCGCCGCCGACGACGTGCAGTACTACGTCAAGGAAACACTTCATTTACCTGAACTTCCTTTCAATCTCTCACCAAAATGTACGTTTACTGTATGTTCTCATCTGCAAAGCGCTGACCTGCGTGTTCAAAGATGATGGCTTATGATCGATGACGGACGACAACACATTCATAGTGGTTTGCGTATCACGCGCAGACATGGCCATTTGCAGGCACGACTCTACATCTGCTGAATACTATCATATGTTTTCTTGACGACTACATACTCGAATTTCTACGCTGATTATCACGGCGCCAGACCCTCCAAATCAGAGCCCGTGCGGTCCAACCATGCCCATGAGGCCCATACTGCGACCACGCGCACCGAACCCGGGAGGGAAGCAGCCACGACCGCGCCCACCGGATCCGAGCCCATGCTGCTGCAAGTCAGGGAACATCTCGAAGTGCATGTGCCCAAATGGACCGTGCCCCCCGAAGCCGCCTCGCCCGCGACCACCACGCATGTCGAAAGCAAAGGCGGATCCCCTACCACGTCCGAAATGCTGAGGCCCCCCGCGCTGGTGCTGGCCATGGCCATGGTGATGACCGACGTTGTGGTGGTGACGACGGTGATTGTCGACGTGATGCCGCTGACGATGGTCATGTCCGTGGGGGCGGCGGTCGCACCCGTCGTTCGGGGTTGAGCTACGAGACGGAGAAGTAGAGGGGCTACGGGACCGAGGAAAGCGCTCGCGAGACAGACCCATGTCCACGAATATCTCAAAAGGGAACATGCCCTCAGGGGCATTGGCGTAGAGCGCAGGAGGGGCGCTGTGTGCGCGGGACATCTCATGACTCATCGGGGGCGGTGGAAGGCTGTGGCTTACGAAGTCGCCGCGAGTACGAGGAGGTAGACCATGGACGAAGGGGAAAGGCAGATCGGCGGGAGGCCTGCCAGGAGGACCGCGAGGCAGGCCGCGATGGCCGTGGACAGGACCTCCACAGCGGCCCCGTCCTCCGCCCCGCCCGCCTCGGTGACCGCCACGGCCTCGAAGAGAGTCGAAGCCCCCTGGGGACATGTTTACGGCTGAAGGGTCTCGAACGACAGGTTCGTCGATCTGAGGCGGTGCTTGCTCACCTTGAGCAGCGTCCACTCCGGCGACGAGATCGGCGGTGCGGTCAACCGGTGATTCGCTATCGTCTTGAACTGACGGTGAAGACATCGTATGGTCCGAATCCTCAAATGACGAGCCCTCACGGAGGTCGCGTATATCGCGGACCGCGAACTTAAGGGTGGTAGAGTCGGTGTCTCCGGGAAGGGTGGTGAAGAGCTCATGGAGTTCAGGTTGCGAGTCCAGCTCACCTCATCGCCGTCGGCGTCGACGTAGGTCAGAGCGACGGAGTTCTCAGGGATGTCGAAGAAAGACTTGACACGATTGGCGAGCTCGTCCCAAGTCGGGAGGGCGTGAAGACGATTGCACGAGTGACGCCGTTAGGCTGGAAGAGCTTGATGTGAAGCTGGGGGAAGACATTGTGGCTGGTATGGTAAGAGTCTGAGGGCCGTGAGCGAAGAACTCACTGCTTATATAGGGCGCGGCCTAGTCATATTGGGCGGACATATCGCTGCCGCCCTGCTGCGCACCAGAGTCACCAGACGGCGGACCCGACTAGAAGACTGTGGAGCATTCGGCCAGGCAAATGCGCAGACGAATCGCCCCGGCGCACCGTGACAGCCACCGAGGGTCGCATTTGGTATCTCTTACCTTTTCTGGTGCAGTAGTCCGCCGGGAGGCCACGCAGCCCCCTCGCCGTGCACTTTGGTCATGCAACAAGATGTAAGCAGGCAGTAATCGTCACTATGTAAAGTCGCCGGCAGCGTCGGGAAGATTCAAGGGATTACAGGGCAAACCTAGTAGTTGTGTAAGTCGGTCTCGCTGAGAGATGGAGGGCTGTTAGTACGCACCGTGATCTTCAGTCGACGATATTGCGCAAGGGTGGCCAGGACCTGACGTATTGCACACTTGAGACAGCCAGAAGTGCCTGTCGCAACGCGACGTCGATGGGGAATGTTGATGACCGCCGACAATTCAGGAAGTAACGAGCTGCGTCGGATGCCTAGCGGCAAGTCGCAGCGACTCACCGCGTGGGCATCCTGGTTGCCTTGCTTAATGCTACTAAAGACGACTATAGATCTGCCCCGGGCAGATCGCAATGCGTGACAAGGAGGTGCCAACGCACCTCATCAAGATTTCCGAGTCAGCCAAAGACAGGGAGTTGTTACATCTTCCCGAGTGGTTACTCACGGGATAGGCTGCGTGAGTGCAGCATCATCAATCATTCTCCGAGCGGCCGAGCCTCCAACCTCAGGCTGCGTTACGCGACTATGCATTGGCCGACATCGAGGCACACGTTAAAATATCTACCATAAGTGGCTCCGGAGGGCATCCCGGTCATAATACCGCTTCGTGTCATTTAGATCAGACGTCAAGATACCAGTCCCTGACTGGGCTAGCACAGACGCCACTAGGTTCTGGTTCAACTTGATGTCTTCAAGGTTCGCATGTTCGACGCCGTGCCTGAAAACAGAGTCCGCGTCACGGATCTGTCTAGGATATCATGGGAACCGTGCTACTCACTCGTCGCGAAGATGCTCCTGCACGGTATTGTGGACCATTGGTATGTGCGCCGTCTCACACCTGGCGCACGACCACAGTCTTGCTCTTTGCAATCTTGATAGTTCGAGCGTTTTAGTCTTGGCAGTCTCGTCGGCACTCGCTAACCGGAATGGCCAAGGGCCTAGATCGGCAGTCTCCAACATCTTGTACAGAGACTGAGTGCTTCTCCGCAGTGGTCAAAAATGTGTACTCACCGCGCGGCGCCATGTCTTTATGGCTTCATAACGATTGACTAACCTGAGATCCAAAGCATCCATATCTGCCGCCAGAGCCACGTCCGGATCCTTTCCGCACACTCGTATGATATCTCGAATGCGATCCGGCAGAGTCAGTGGGCGGAGTCCGTCAGGGGCCACATAGCAGTGCACATCCCTGAGCCCGTAGACAAACTTCTCGTATGTGTCTTTCCCGCTCTTTGGGAGAGCAGAACGGAGATCACTGTGGGCGACAATATGGGGAAAGAATCTAGACTTCGAGAACCTTGGATTATCATTGACGGCGAACAGCGTTGTTGCGAGGTCGAGCGGGTCCACGCCTAGCAGCACTTTGAGCTTGTGCTTGGTACATGCAGTGCGCAATTCTTCGCAGACGCGTGTTCGCCACCTCTCCACGATCGCGTCCACTTGACCCTCCAATGCAAGGAAGCGTGATCTGTCCACGACCTCGTCCGCAGGTGCGCACATGATGTCGCGGAACTCTTTTGACAGAGCGAGGTCCGCGATGTTCAGCCCATAGTCCAGCATCTCCGGATGTTCGCCGAGGTACCTGTCCAAGAACCCAGTCGCCACGCTCTTCAGAAATGGCCAGCGCTTCGCCAGCAAAACCATGTATTCATGCTCCAGACGTTCTTCGCGAATGTCTTCCATGCATTCGGCCAATTCGTCCTTCATATTCTGCCAGGCTAGAGAATTCTCTGTCGTCAGTGTACATGCATGAGTGAAGAATCGCTAATACTGACCGCGTTCGTGAGCTTCTTGGCAACCTGGACGTGCTTGTGTTGCGAAAGCAGAGTACTGTCTCTTGTTGAAAAAGTCCAACTCAGCCCCCCATCCCAGAACACGTAGCCTCGAAGTGACCCTTCATCGAAATTCAGTGATGTACAATCAAATGCAATGACCTACGTACTCTTCTAAACGCTCGTTTATGAGCGCCCGAACCTCCTGGATGTGTCTCAGTTCTTCCTTCTCGGCCCATTGCTGGCATAAGTCCGCGTGCTGCATTAACATGGCTGGATCAGACCAGATGACACAGAATAAATGAACTATGTGACCTGCCTCACGGAACTGTTGCGCTCGTTGAATGTCTTTATCAGCGAGCTTTGCCGCGGAATCCCACTTCCTAGCTGCATAGAGCTTTCCGTAAGTGTCGATAGCTTCGAACACTTGAGATTGGATATAGCACGGTCCCCTAAACCCTGTGACCGCTTCGGCCTATGAGCATAGTCAGTAGGTGGAGCTCGGAGCATCTGTGTAGACGTACTTCGAGAAATATATCGTTTGGTATAGATTGGAAATGTTCCCATTGTCTACAGTCAAGAATATTGTCTACCCTATTCGCAGCGACAACCCTAAGAACGTGAAGACAGGAATGGCTTCAGCGATCGTGACGAAGCAATGCCAATAATGAAAGGCTGACATTTGGGGCCTGCAACGCACGCAGAACCGAGCCAGAAACTCCCAGTACACGGTCGCAGCTTTACCTGTGCCGCAAGCCTTGAGATAAGACGCGTGCGTGGTTCAATATGCATCAGACAAATGTCGCGGTTCGCCGAGAACCGTACCACGTACCGTGCAATACGGAGAGAAGATGAGGGACACCCATGCGGATTCGATCCATCCCTTCGGGCATGGAGGTAGGTCTACGATGTTCTTTATCGAGCCCTTCCATAAATAGGCGGAGCTTCGCTGCATGAGGAACTTGTGGAACGACTTCGACGTCCTGGAGAGACTCAGCAGATCGCGAGGATGGAGATACAAGCAAATCTACACGAGTAGTATCGTCAGTCTATGGTTCATATACGGCGCGCATGACTCCACTCTACCTCCTGAATAACGTCCATCGGCATGTTGAGCATATCTTGCAGGCCGCCGCGTCGGCCGCGCACATTCTTCCATCGAGCCTCCGTTTTGGCAGTCACGGTAACTCTGCGGCTCGCAGGCGCAGATGCCTTTGTTCGCTTGGACCTTTTTGAAGCCATGTTCGCGTGTAGTTGTTAGAGACGCGTGGTAAAAATGGGGGAAAGAGAGCGATGGGCAAGCCAGTAGTGGTCAAGTCTAAAGCTGAACGCAGCCACTGAGTACTGAACCCGACGCGGTTGGCCACAAAGTGGGGAGGGGCAACGCCTGCAAAGCCACTGTTTGTTTGTTCATGTTTGAGATCTGTGGCGACGCGCGAGGCAGTGGTACACACTCTTGCAGAAACTTCGTAAGGTTCCACAGCCTCTAGATACGCAAAGTGAGCGTGTAAATGGGGGTTTTACATCGCCCCCGAGATAGTGTTCAATCTGAATTTTCGAACTTCGGATTTCTTTGTGCCGAAATGGGCTATACCAGTAGTAGATCTGATGCAAAAACAAGGATTTTCGTGAATCTCAATTGGACACTACCTGCAAATGGTCTTAAGCAACAACTTTCTCATAAGTGACTAGAGGTAGAAGTGCATGGTTTGTGCTATCAAGTTGCGACAAGGTCACAGGCTCAGACGCGCTGAGATCTGTGCCACAGACGCGTCGTACCGATCACGTGAGCGCTCGTGGCCCATACAGCCGGGCGTTGCGATGTATATTCCTGCTCATTGTCGGCCCCGTCTGCTTGGAATACACACCATATACCTTTGGTGTGTTCAGTGATACTCTGTTGTACATCACAAGAGACACGGAGTGCTCTGCGTAACATTGAAGACATGTCCCGAGATACCTACAACCTTGCGAGAAGAGCCGAGGAGGAGAAGGAAAGGTTAGCCATTCAAGTGCAACAGATGTGGACGAAACTCGAGCAATCGCGAATCCCTGATAGATGATGAAGTCAGGCTCGGGAAGCTGACTAGGGATGAGATTGACACTCAGTTGAAGGTTCGCCGACTCGACGACCCAGACATACCGTCGATCTCATCCATGAAGAAGAACCACGTTAAGAAAGCGGAAGCTCTCGCCGAACTTCGCAAGGCAATTGCACGCGCAATGGCACGCGAAGCGGCAGTGCAGCCTGGCTCGCAGTCACAGACGGTGGGACCGAGTACTCACCAAGACGATACTGTACAGCTTGATCAGACGTACTAGTCGTTGATAATGACCTTGATTCGGACACGGAAGAGTAAAATTTTGTACATACTTTTTAGTGTAGATGCATTGTAGTACCTATAGAAGTGAATTAGTATCCTCCACACAAGATCGCCGAGGTATCCAGAGTAGATATGAGCAGGGGAGGCATGATCGACGTTGTGCAGAGACGCGATCGAGAGGGCCCCAGTCTGCCCATGTTTTCGGTGGCGCGTTGCTGACTAAGCGACCATCGGCGTCAGAGGCCTTGCCCCTCCCCATTAACTCGATGTCTTCGTACTAGTACTAGTGGTCAAGCTTAGTACTGTACGGGAAGATTCAACTCGAAGAAACGCGATCTCGATGATTGGACACCAGAGAACATTGAAATGGAGGGTGCGCGAATGCATTGATCTCAGGAGACAGGAAGGCCTCATCTGTTTGAAGCGAGTGCAAGAAAGCGGCGGAGATGTTGGCCACGGCGTCCAACATCTGAGTATATTGCAACTCACTCTGAGAATCGCAGCACGAGATAGAGTAAGCGGCACGAACTTTAGCACGCAAGCTCTACCAACACGTCGAACTCGTAAGCACTTATCTGAAGACGACGCCGGCCGCATTGAGCGGCAGTTGCAACGTAGCCGTGTCCTGCGCCGCCATGAACAAGCGGACCTCCTACTTCAACCCGTCTGCCTTAGGCTGTAATTTGGAAACGACACGAGAGGTCTCGGACGGGAATACGATTTCTCAGGTACGTTCAGCTTGCGTTCAGCCGTTATATCTTCGCGCGTAGATCGGGGACCGGGGATGTGGCTGACTGCTGGCTACTTGCGACCATAGGGTAACCTAAGCTGAGTCAGGGTTGTCCTGCGATCTTCATCCTCGAGCCGGTCATCCCAGGTACAGAGAAATCACCCCGTCGGTGCAACCGCGGGAACGTCGACCATGACAAGCTGAGGGCTACGCTCCAGCCTGTCGAGCCGGCGCTGCGTGGGTTGCGTCCTCTGGTGGCCGGAGCTTCGCGCTTCTATCTTATCTGGGCTTATACGGGGTGTCATTACAGACGTTCGGCGGGCCTTCTTTGCTCGTGCACTTGTAGAACGCAGCCGTTATGATTGGACGTATACCCTTCCGTCTGCAGCCTCACGCGTCATCCACATACACGGTAGCTTGCACCGTGCCCGCTGACCATCTCAGCAAGGATAAGGTTAGAAAAGAAGTCGTACACTCAGGCTCTCGTTAAACTACCGAGGTGGCCTCGTGTTCGATATATCACAATCGTCTTGGACAGACCATGACTTGCTCCTACGCCCACATCTCAACGCACACCTGCTCACAGGACAATGGCTCGCCAACACCATGAGCGATACTACTTCGACGATGGCAACGTGATCTTCCTGGTATGTCTTGGTATACCCAACGATTATGTGCGGCGCTGATTACGCACGAGTCAGGCAGAAAACACGTTGTTCAGCGTGCATCGATACTTCCTCCAGCGCGATTCGCCCATCTTTCAGGCGATGTTCTCGCGGCCATCGTCGTCCGGTGAAGGAAAGTCGGATGACAATCCGATCGTTCTTGAAGGCACGAAGAGCGCCGATCTGTCCTGTTTCCTGTCCTGTCTGTACCCGATGTAAGTTGCGAGCTCTTCCGGCACTCGTCTTCTAACACTTGTGACTGTCGCACAGCAACTACGGACATGGTGATCTAACGACGTACGAGGAGTGGGCGGCAGCCCTCGAACTGGCTGTCAAGTGGGAGTTCGACCGCATTCGCGACTTTATTGTGCAGCGCATCAAGGATACGGCAACTCTGGTCGAGCAGATTGTCACTGCGCGTCGATTGAACATGCAGCAATGGTGCTGGGATGTTTGCGCGAAGCTTTGCGAGAGGGCTCAACCGTTGACTCTGGAAGAAGGACAACGCCTGGGTTTGGAGGATACAGTCAGAATCTCTGAAGTGCGCGAGAAGCGACGCGCACGCCCGAAGGTCGAACGGTCCATCGTAACAGGCTATTACGATGGATGGCAAGACCCAGAGAAATTACATACCATCTCAGATGCCAGCGATGACGTGAAGTACTACGTCAAGGAAACACTTCAATTACCTGAGCTTCCTTTTACTAGCCCGGAGCCAGATTATTACATACTGTAGCACCTGCGGTTCCCACACTACCCCATCAATTAGGCCTGACACATGATACCACGTGAGCGCCCTAGTTAGGCTTCATCCACCGCGATCGCCTTACACTGCGTTAAACAGCGCGTTAAACCTGGGACTTATCAAACGAGTCCCCGGGCCATCCGGCTATTCCGGGTACGTCCCGTGCGAGCGCTTGGCCCCTGCCAGCGAGGCAGGGCGCCCGATGCCATCGGGTCCCGTGATGGACGTCCCGTATGGTTCCTCGCCGGATATGGCAGTGCCTCCGGCCTCGCCACATCATCAGGCGCGCTCGCCGTCAGCGCGCTCCCGCCACCCGCCCTCTTTCCCGTTATGGACAGCACACACGTGACTGCCCATCTCGGTCTTCCCGCGTGATCCCGGATCGGGGCCCCGGCGCTCCGCAGCGTGTTCGCTGGCCCGTGCGCACCGGCGCCTCCCCCCTCCTTGCTCACCGCCTTCACCGTCGTGCTCGCCGGCGCCTCCTCTCCCCTCCTTGCTCGCCGCCTCCACCGCCGCGCTCGCTACTCGCCCCGCCCGTCGTCCCTGTCCTACCCCAGCTCACGGCCACTATCCGGCGCTCGCAACATCGTGCCAGCTCATCGCCGCCACCGTCGTCATCCTCGCTGGCGCCTTCTCTCTCCCTCGCGTGCTCACTGCCCCTGGCACCGTGCTCGCTGTGCTGGCCTCTCCCTAGCCTGGTGCCACGTGTGCCACTGTACTCGGTCCCCCATCGTCGTGTCAGCTCGTAGCCCCCGGCGTCGTCGTGCCAGCTCGTTGCCGCCGCCGCCGTCGTGCTCGCCCGTCGTTGTTGGAGCACAGCACGCATGATCGACAGGAGGCATATAGGGCCAACGAATAGAAGGCGAGTGCGTGGGTGTGAAGGGCTGGCATCGAGCAACGGTGAGTGCAGACGCACCCGAGCGAGCAAACTGACTGTGACCACAGGACGCGGCGACGTGCACCACAACACGCGCGTGGACCGCGAGCACGCAGGATTAATGTCCTGCATACAAACGTAGCTGACGGGCGGACCGTGGACACGGACGCGAGGGTTGCCAAGTGAGCAGGCGGGCAGGCAGGCGGACGGGCGAGAAGGCGGACAGGCGAGCAGGCGGACGGGCGAGAAGGCGAACTGGTGTGCAGGCAGACAGGCAGACGGGCGGATAGGTGAGCAAACGGACATGTTGGGGATTGAACACACAGGTAGGAGATCGAGCAGACGGGCAAGTGGGCAGGCGACGGCACATGCCCACCGCGAGCGTGCTGGGCAAATGCCCGGCACGCAGACGCACCCGAGAAGTGCAGACACAGGCACGCGAGCAGATGAAGAGCAGGAAGGCAGATGGATGAGCGGCGGGTGGACGAGCGGGAGGGCGGATGGACAAGCGGGCGGGCGGACGAACGGGCGGGTGACGGGTGGATGAACGGGCGGGTGGATGAACGGGCAGGTAGACGAACGGGTGGGTGGGCGAACGGGCGGGTGGGCGAGCGGGCGGGTGGGCGAGCGGGCGGGTGGGCGAACGGGCGGGTGGACGAGCAGGCGGAAAAGTGGTGGGTGGGCAAGGAGGCGGGAGGGCGAGAGGGCGAGAGGGCGAGCAATTGGGCACAGAGCGCGGACCAGTACCTCACGCACGGCGATCGCGAGCGTGCGGGGCAAATGCCCCGCACGCAAACACGGCCGATGAACTGAAGGCGGGCGCGTGGGCAAAGAGCGGATGACCGCGGCGATGCGCAGAGCAGGGGTGCGCGCAACGCGCCGTCCGTGAGCACACAGGGCGACTGCCCTATTGTAGTACAGGGACTTCGCACTGCGACGAGAGGATGGTATTATAGGGCTTGTAGGGTCGTAGGGTGTCATATTCATACTGTAGATACAGGAGCTTTGTTGTACATAGGGATTCGAGAGACATTGAGTACAAAGGATATCTGACACCAAAAGCGTGAGGTCCGAGCGATTGTGTGGCAATTGCGTCAAAGCAAATGTAATGTCAAAGCGTGCGGCACACTGTCTTGGCCCGACAACTCAATATGCCCTGCTGCACGCATACACGTTTGTACGGAGAGATCTAGTAATGATGGTAAGAACATGTTGTATAGATATACAGAGTTACCGCGGCCATACTGTCCGAAGCGGATGATTCACGAATCACAACTCAGAGAACCAGTACACTAGTATAGGTAGATATCCCTGCCATACACGAGAATGGCTCATGTGTTATACTGCACCTCATGTGCTGTATACTTTCAGCAGAAGTCACCGAACATGTATCTAATTCCTATCGTAGCATAAAGGACGTTCATACAAAGTGCGAAACGGCCAGAACCCAAGTCGCCGATATGTTGCAGGTCTAAGTAGGACCTTTAAACACATTGTGATTGGCCAGGAATGGCCCGAGCACATCGGGGTTGCCCAATTTGGTGAGGTTCTCTGAGTAGTGGTTCGTGAATGGTCCACTTCATACGGATTGGTCGCGATCACTAGGTCTGTACATATATACAATATGTTTCTACTACTCATACTAGATCTCCATTCAATACTTCGTCTGCGTGCAGGGGCGACTGGCAGTTGCCCTGTGCACTCCGTCGTGATCGGCGTGTCGTACGCGCCCCTGGTCTGCCCGCCGTCGCGGTCACCCATTTCTCGCTCACTTCCGTTCGTCGGATGCGCTTGCGTGCTGGGCATTTGCCCAGCACACTCGCGGTCACCGTGCGTGTAGTGCTCATCTACGTTGTGAGTCTGGGCCTGCCCACTTTCCTTCTCACTCATTGATCCTCTCGCCCACCTGCGCCCTCGCTCGCTCGCCCATCCACCCGCTTTCCCGCGTACTTCTGGTCTGCTTGCCTCCTTGCTCGCTCGTCTCCTCACCTGCTCATCCGCCCTCCTGCTTGTCTGCCCTCCTGCTTGTCTGCCCGCCGGCTCATTCGCCTGCCCACCAGCTCGTCCGCCTGCCCTGCCGCTCATCCTCTCGCTCGTGGCTCGTCCGCAAGCCCTCCCACTTGTCCACACACTCGCCTACCTGCGCGCCTGTTCGCCCGCCTGCGAGCGCATTCTTCGGCTGCGTCTGCGCGCTGGGCATTCGCCCAAAGCGCAGCGCACTCGCGGTGGGCGTGTGCTGTTGCCTGCCCACTTCCCTGTCTGCTCGGTCTCCTACCTGTCCGCTCACTCACCCGTTCACTCGCCCGCCCATCCGCCTTCCCACCCGTCTACCTTCCCGCCCGCCTGCTGACCCGGTCGCCATCACACCCGTGTCCGCAGTCCGCCCGTCGGCTGCGTTTGCACGCGGGGCGTTAGCCCTGCGCGCTCGCGGTCGACGCACATATTGCGGTGCACGTCGCCGCGTCCTGTGGCCATGGTCAGCATGCTCACTCATGTGCACCTGCACTCACCGTTGCTCGCCGATGCCCGTGCTTCACACATGCACCCGCCGACCATTCATTGGCCATGTCATGCTAGCTGTCCATCGTGCGCGCTGTCCTGCAACGATGACGGGCGAGCACGACGACGGCGGCGGCAATGGGCTGACGCGGCGATGGGGGCGCCCGGTAGTGCAGCATACGTGGCACGCCGCACCAGCCTGGGGAGAGGTGATCACAGCGAGTGCTATGCCAAGGGCAGTGAGTAAGCGAAGGGGAGGCGGCGGCGAGGATGATGACGGCAGCGGTGGCGGCGGCGATGAGCTGGCATGACGACGACAGCGACGGCGATGAGCTGGCACCAGCCACACCACGACGGGGAGCGCCGGGCATGGCGACCGCCAATGTGCATGGCCAGGAGCTGGGGTAGGACGGGCGGGGCGAGTAGCGAGCGCGGCGGTGGAGGCGGCGAGCAAGGAGGGGAGAGGAGGCGCCGGCGAGCACGACGGTGAAGGCGGTGAGCAAGGAGGGGGGAGGCGCCGGTGCGCACGGGCCAGCGAACACGCTGCGGAGCGCCGGGGCCCCGATCCGGGATCACGCGGGAAGACCGAGATGGGCAGTCACGTGTGTGCTGTCCATAACGGGAAAGAGGGCGGGTGGCGGGAGCGCGCTGACGGCGAGCGCGCCTGATGATGTGGCGAGGCCGGAGGCACTGCCATATCCGGCGAGGAACCATACGGGACGTCCATCACGGGACCCGATGGCATCGGGCGCCCTGCCTCGCTGGCAGGGGCCAAGCGCTCGCACGGGACGTACCCGGAATAGCCGGATGGCCCGGGGACTCGTTTGATAAGTCCCAGGTTTAACGCGCTGTTTAACGCAGTGTAAGGCGATCGCGGTGGATGAAGCCTAACTAGGGCGCTCACGTGGTATCATGTGTCAGGCCTAATTGATGGGGTAGTGTGGGAACCGCAGGTGGTTTCTTACCACTGCTAGTGTCACGCGTCACGATACATTGGTTGTTAAAAACACCTGCGGTTCCCACACTACCCCATCAATTAGGCCTGACACATGATACCACGTGAGCGCCCTAGTTAGGCTTCATCCACCGCGATCGCCTTACACTGCGTTAAACAGCGCGTTAAACCTGGGACTTATCAAACGAGTCCCCGGGCCATCCGGCTATTCCGGGTACGTCCCGTGCGAGCGCTTGGCCCCTGCCAGCGAGGCAGGGCGCCCGATGCCATCGGGTCCCGTGATGGACGTCCCGTATGGTTCCTCGCCGGATATGGCAGTGCCTCCGGCCTCGCCACATCATCAGGCGCGCTCGCCGTCAGCGCGCTCCCGCCACCCGCCCTCTTTCCCGTTATGGACAGCACACACGTGACTGCCCATCTCGGTCTTCCCGCGTGATCCCGGATCGGGGCCCCGGCGCTCCGCAGCGTGTTCGCTGGCCCGTGCGCACCGGCGCCTCCCCCCTCCTTGCTCACCGCCTTCACCGTCGTGCTCGCCGGCGCCTCCTCTCCCCTCCTTGCTCGCCGCCTCCACCGCCGCGCTCGCTACTCGCCCCGCCCGTCCTACCCCAGCTCCTGGCCATGCACATTGGCGGTCGCCATGCCCGGCGCTCCCCGTCGTGGTGTGGCTGGTGCCAGCTCATCGCCGTCGCTGTCGTCGTCATGCCAGCTCATCGCCGCCGCCACCGCTGCCGTCATCATCCTCGCCGCCGCCTCCCCTTCGCTTACTCACTGCCCTTGGCATAGCACTCGCTGTGATCACCTCTCCCCAGGCTGGTGCGGCGTGCCACGTATGCTGCACTACCGGGCGCCCCCATCGCCGCGTCAGCCCATTGCCGCCGCCGTCGTCGTGCTCGCCCGTCATCGTTGCAGGACAGCGCGCACGATGGACAGCTAGCATGACATGGCCAATGAATGGTCGGCGGGTGCATGTGTGAAGCACGGGCATCGGCGAGCAACGGTGAGTGCAGGTGCACATGAGTGAGCATGCTGACCATGGCCACAGGACGCGGCGACGTGCACCGCAATATGTGCGTCGACCGCGAGCGCGCAGGGCTAACGCCCCGCGTGCAAACGCAGCCGACGGGCGGACTGCGGACACGGGTGTGATGGCGACCGGGTCAGCAGGCGGGCGGGAAGGTAGACGGGTGGGAAGGCGGATGGGCGGGCGAGTGAACGGGTGAGTGAGCGGACAGGTAGGAGACCGAGCAGACAGGGAAGTGGGCAGGCAACAGCACACGCCCACCGCGAGTGCGCTGCGCTTTGGGCGAATGCCCAGCGCGCAGACGCAGCCGAAGAATGCGCTCGCAGGCGGGCGAACAGGCGCGCAGGTAGGCGAGTGTGTGGACAAGTGGGAGGGCTTGCGGACGAGCCACGAGCGAGAGGATGAGCGGCAGGGCAGGCGGACGAGCTGGTGGGCAGGCGAATGAGCCGGCGGGCAGACAAGCAGGAGGGCAGACAAGCAGGAGGGCGGATGAGCAGGTGAGGAGACGAGCGAGCAAGGAGGCAAGCAGACCAGAAGTACGCGGGAAAGCGGGTGGATGGGCGAGCGAGCGAGGGCGCAGGTGGGCGAGAGGATCAATGAGTGAGAAGGAAAGTGGGCAGGCCCAGACTCACAACGTAGATGAGCACTACACGCACGGTGACCGCGAGTGTGCTGGGCAAATGCCCAGCACGCAAGCGCATCCGACGAACGGAAGTGAGCGAGAAATGGGTGACCGCGACGGCGGGCAGACCAGGGGCGCGTACGACACGCCGATCACGACGGAGTGCACAGGGCAACTGCCAGTCGCCCCTGCACGCAGACGAAGTATTGAATGGAGATCTAGTATGAGTAGTAGAAACATATTGTATATATGTACAGACCTAGTGATCGCGACCAATCCGTATGAAGTGGACCATTCACGAACCACTACTCAGAGAACCTCACCAAATTGGGCAACCCCGATGTGCTCGGGCCATTCCTGGCCAATCACAATGTGTTTAAAGGTCCTACTTAGACCTGCAACATATCGGCGACTTGGGTTCTGGCCGTTTCGCACTTTGTATGAACGTCCTTTATGCTACGATAGGAATTAGATACATGTTCGGTGACTTCTGCTGAAAGTATACAGCACATGAGGTGCAGTATAACACATGAGCCATTCTCGTGTATGGCAGGGATATCTACCTATACTAGTGTACTGGTTCTCTGAGTTGTGATTCGTGAATCATCCGCTTCGGACAGTATGGCCGCGGTAACTCTGTATATCTATACAACATGTTCTTACCATCATTACTAGATCTCTCCGTACAAACGTGTATGCGTGCAGCAGGGCATATTGAGTTGTCGGGCCAAGACAGTGTGCCGCACGCTTTGACATTACATTTGCTTTGACGCAATTGCCACACAATCGCTCGGACCTCACGCTTTTGGTGTCAGATATCCTTTGTACTCAATGTCTCTCGAATCCCTATGTACAACAAAGCTCCTGTATCTACAGTATGAATATGACACCCTACGACCCTACAAGCCCTATAATACCATCCTCTCGTCGCAGTGCGAAGTCCCTGTACTACAATAGGGCAGTCGCCCTGTGTGCTCACGGACGGCGCGTTGCGCGCACCCCTGCTCTGCGCATCGCCGCGGTCATCCGCTCTTTGCCCACGCGCCCGCCTTCAGTTCATCGGCCGTGTTTGCGTGCGGGGCATTTGCCCCGCACGCTCGCGATCGCCGTGCGTGAGGTACTGGTCCGCGCTCTGTGCCCAATTGCTCGCCCTCTCGCCCTCTCGCCCTCCCGCCTCCTTGCCCACCCACCACTTTTCCGCCTGCTCGTCCACCCGCCCGTTCGCCCACCCGCCCGCTCGCCCACCCGCCCGCTCGCCCACCCGCCCGTTCGCCCACCCACCCGTTCGTCTACCTGCCCGTTCATCCACCCGCCCGTTCATCCACCCGTCACCCGCCCGTTCGTCCGCCCGCCCGCTTGTCCATCCGCCCTCCCGCTCGTCCACCCGCCGCTCATCCATCTGCCTTCCTGCTCTTCATCTGCTCGCGTGCCTGTGTCTGCACTTCTCGGGTGCGTCTGCGTGCCGGGCATTTGCCCAGCACGCTCGCGGTGGGCATGTGCCGTCGCCTGCCCACTTGCCCGTCTGCTCGATCTCCTACCTGTGTGTTCAATCCCCAACATGTCCGTTTGCTCACCTATCCGCCCGTCTGCCTGCTCGCCTGTCCGCCTTCTCGCCCGTCCGCCTGCCTGCCCGCCTGCTCACTTGGCAACCCTCGCGTCCGTGTCCACGGTCCGCCCGTCAGCTACGTTTGTATGCAGGACATTAATCCTGCGTGCTCGCGGTCCACGCGCGTGTTGTGGTGCACGTCGCCGCGTCCTGTGGTCACAGTCAGTTTGCTCGCTCGGGTGCGTCTGCACTCACCGTTGCTCGATGCCAGCCCTTCACACCCACGCACTCGCCTTCTATTCGTTGGCCCTATATGCCTCCTGTCGATCATGCGTGCTGTGCTCCAACAACGACGGGCGAGCACGACGGCGGCGGCGGCAACGAGCTGGCACGACGACGCCGGGGGCTACGAGCTGACACGACGATGGGGGACCGAGTACAGTGGCACACGTGGCACCAGGCTAGGGAGAGGCCAGCACAGCGAGCACGGTGCCAGGGGCAGTGAGCACGCGAGGGAGAGAGAAGGCGCCAGCGAGGATGACGACGGTGGCGGCGATGAGCTGGCACGATGTTGCGAGCGCCGGATAGTGGCCGTGAGCTGGGGTAGGACAGGGACGACGGGCGGGGCGAGTAGCGAGCGCGGCGGTGGAGGCGGCGAGCAAGGAGGGGAGAGGAGGCGCCGGCGAGCACGACGGTGAAGGCGGTGAGCAAGGAGGGGGGAGGCGCCGGTGCGCACGGGCCAGCGAACACGCTGCGGAGCGCCGGGGCCCCGATCCGGGATCACGCGGGAAGACCGAGATGGGCAGTCACGTGTGTGCTGTCCATAACGGGAAAGAGGGCGGGTGGCGGGAGCGCGCTGACGGCGAGCGCGCCTGATGATGTGGCGAGGCCGGAGGCACTGCCATATCCGGCGAGGAACCATACGGGACGTCCATCACGGGACCCGATGGCATCGGGCGCCCTGCCTCGCTGGCAGGGGCCAAGCGCTCGCACGGGACGTACCCGGAATAGCCGGATGGCCCGGGGACTCGTTTGATAAGTCCCAGGTTTAACGCGCTGTTTAACGCAGTGTAAGGCGATCGCGGTGGATGAAGCCTAACTAGGGCGCTCACGTGGTATCATGTGTCAGGCCTAATTGATGGGGTAGTGTGGGAACCGCAGGTGGTTAAAAAAGAGTGGTACAATAGAGCTGTCACGGTCCGTCCCTATTCGTCCCGCAGCGCACGGCGGCCGCACTCTCATTCAGCGACTGGGAGGGCTTCGCACGCCCTACTAGCCTCTCTCCACAACTCGCCTGCGTCGTTATATGCCCAAATGTTCTCTTCATCGCCACCACTCTGCAATGTTTGGTCCTCATCCCGGACCTCCGCTATGCCCACCTGAGTGCAGAACTGCTTCTCCGCGGCCCCCTCACCCGCCTCCGGTACTAGATCGACACCCAGTGCTTGCTGGACAACGGCTCGCAAGGGCACGTCTGTGTCATCGGACGCCTCCTCAGCTCCGACATTCTCTTCTTCATCCACTTCCTCGGCAATAAGGTCCCTCAGCTTGCCGACCTTGCCCTCGATCTCGTCTCGGAGTGTTTTGTCCCGCCGCAAGTATTCGCGCCAGGCGGCCTTCGCTTTTCGACTTGTAATGCATTCTGCTGACAAGTTCCATTCTTTGACAGTGCACTTCTCCCAGGCTCGACGGATGATGGCCCTACCACTGGGTGTGTCGAAGAAGTCGTAGATGTCAACCAGTGGTGCGACACTGGCATTTCGGAGAGTCTTGATTGACGTGGTGATCTTGACTTGTTCGGGGGTGAGTCCACTGTCCATCTGCTCGGAATGGCTGTTCACAAGGAACTCGAGTGCGGCTTGACGGACATCAGGAAAAATGACAATCCCTAGGTCAGCCAATATAGGGGACATAGTCGGGATAGGCTCATTGCAATCCCCCCTGTGTATAGCATGCTTGTCGAATCCATAGTGATCTGTAGCATGTCATAGTAACACCATGGCCAACATAGAACAGCATAGTGTACAATAGAATGATAGTTATATAGGGCCATAAGCAAGCATACTGTGACATATACCATCATAGTAGACATCTCGAAGCATAGCACTAGTCGTACAGACTCGTACTGGTCGCTCACAGGTTTCGGCAGCTCATATGACAGAGAGAACATTAGAAGAAATTTATTAGATCACCAGATAGCACAGTAGTACAATTACGAAAATAAGTATCATATAGGTCAACCCGTGCTTGACCCATTCCCGTACCCACTCCGGGTACCAACCCGCCGTAGCACGTACAAGTTCCGCGCGGGTCTGCGCAGGTTGTACAGGTTGTGCAGGTCATGGTTGGTCGTGTACAGGGTGGGCAAGTGGGTAGGCGAGATCTGGCAGGCAGGTATGGGTGGGCAGGCGGGCGAGAGCGTACAGGCGGGCGAGAGCAGAAGGCGGGCGAGAGCAGACAAGCGGGCAAGAGCAGACAAGCGGGCAAGAGCAGACAAGCGGGCAAGAGCAGACAGGTGGGCGAGAGCAGACACGCAGGCGAGAGCAAATAGGTAGGCAAGAGTGGACACGCAGGCGAGAGCAGATGGGCAGGCGAGAAGGTGCGCATGAGAAGGCGAGAAGGCGAGCGGGGTGCAACACAGCCGTCCATGTTGCCGCAATGGCGGGTGTCCTACGTACACAATTAGAGGCACGCGCATCTCGACATGCATCTTGTCATAGTGGTAAGTCATAGCGGCGGGCGAGTTCCTCGAAGTGGTTGTCGAACTTGTGGACGGCAGGCTGGCGGAAAATAGCAGGTGAACAGGCGGGAGAGGCGAGGACGAGTGGGCCGGCTGATAGTCGAGCTAGCAAGAGCACGAAGTCGGCCGCGGGCGGGCGAGAGGGCAGGCGGGCGAGAGCGAGAGCGAGAGGGTGGGCGAACAGCAAAGCGAGCGGTTGGGCAAGCAGACGAGGGGGAGAGTGAGCAAGCGAGGGGACGAGGGCGCGAGCAAGCGGACGAGTCGAGCGCACGTGGAATGCATGGGGGGCTTCGTCCGGTGCAGGGGTAGTTGATGTTGCACTTGTTGGTGAGCTGGGAGAAGACGGGAGGCGGGGCGGAGATGTCCGTGGGGGCGTTGCGACGAGGGAGAGCGCTTGCGGGGGCGGTGTGGAAGCGGGCGCGAGATGCGGAGAGGATGACCGAGGTCGAGTGGTAGGCGAGGTGGGTTGACTGGATGACGGTCGACTGTTTGGCACAGATAGAGGCGTAAGACAGTACCCGAGGAGTGCCATCGCTGGCAGTGGCTCAACTAGATGTAGCCCGACTGTTTGAGGCCGAGGGTTGCGCAGAGCCGTTGGAAAGATGGCGTGCGTCAGTGTAAGACGTCTTTGACGAGCGCGCCTGACTTGACGGGGGCCGCTCGGCGTAGGCAAGCTGGACGGAGCCGTTAGAGACGACGGACCGCCGTGCCTTTTCGACGACGCTCGCCCGCTTGAAGGTGTCCTGCCCGAAGTAAGCGCTGTCCTCGACCGGCCTATTCCACCGTGGTGTCGTGCTCCTGCGGTCGACACCCAAGACTGCGACGTCGACTGCTGCGTGACTTATACACAGCCCAGTGATCGAGTCGGGGCACTCACCTCAGGCTAGCGAGCCTCCACTGAGGCACATTGCGGCTGCGTGCCGTGCACCTCGCCTCAGTTGGGAGCGGGCCTGTCCGCATGTATTGAAGATATGCGGCAGGCAGGGAGCGGCCGCGAGGGAAGGGAGGTACTTAGAGTTGGAGGAGGAGCAGTGAGAGGTGTGTGACACCGTGTGTCGTGGCAGTGGTGGCTGCGGTCGGCATTCGCCGAATTGAGCGCTTCGCACTTGCAGACGACGACGCACCTCTACCAGTTGCTCTCTCGCCCACCCGCTCAGCCATCTCCCGCCTGCTTTGTCGTCTCCCAAGTCCCAACCTACCCACCGAATGTCCAGATGCGGCTTATCTTGCGGTCCTCTTGCGCTTGATCACTCCATTGTGGCAACCTTTGGTCAAACACACGGCTCTGGCGACACGCCCGCGCGACCCAGGACTCAAACGTGCGCGTAGAAGTCCTGCATCGAGCAAGAAAACTGGCGAACCACAAGGAATGCAGATGGAAGGACGAGAAGAAAGCGAGAAGAAGCAGGAAGATAATACGTGTAGTACGAATGGATAGAACGAGCTCGAAGGCTCAAAGTTCGAAGGTACGCCCCTACTGCCGGACACATCCCATTCATGGCTGCCTTGCTGGCCACGAAGACAGCTAATCCGTCACTCGGCACGACCTCTACGTCGTACCCGTCGCAACATACGGCAACACGCCAGACGCGCATCGCTGCACGTCTCACGTCTGGCGTGTTCCGTTAATTCACGAATTGTGACCAACGGTCATGCATTGCGTACGTCAAATCATGCGCCTGATGTACATGCCACTGACGAAAATAACGTCTCATCCCACGACGTGCGTACTTGCAGAAGCACCCGACGGGTCGATTGATTCCATACCCATGTGCGACGCGGCAACGGACTGTTGCCCATTCTTCCTCTATGGGTACGTCGAACCCGCTGCATCAGCAAGATCTGCCGTGCTGCTCATTTGATCCTGACCCTCGAGCACAGATGGCCTGGAGTCTGTCAACTGCAAGCTCAACGGGCACGACGCGGGCGAGCCCGACGCAGGTGGGCATGGCACGGGCGAGCGCGAGTTAAGCATGTATGCAAGCGCGACCAGGACAAGCACGACCAGGACGAGCGCGACGGGAGCAAACACAACGAGGACGAACACTAGCAGGGCAAACATGGCCAGGGCCAGTCAACACGTCCAGGACGCGTACGACGCTTGCGACGCCGTTCAAGTGCACGGAAATAGAGAGCTTGACGACCCTTGCCTGCAGGTACCGAGTCAAATTTGCAAGCTGACGGATCGGGAGTGTACACGCCCGTGTTTATGGAGACCGAGGATGTGTTGCCCTGATACAGAGTGCATAGTAAGCTCAAATGGTATATTGTCTACTATGTATAGCCTATGGCTCGTAGTTCCACGTCTGCCTGTAATTCTATAACTTCAGATTGCAGAATGAGTGTAAGCTTTGACTCTCGTAGCTTTGGTGATATTACAGTGCACCAATGAGTATCACCGCTATGCCGAATTTGTTTTTGCATCCTCGTCAATGGGTTGATATACACAACGGACTAAAGCTATTGACCCCTATGGCCCACTTACACCCGACTACGCTGTACTATGGAGAACTATGGATTAACAAGTAGTCAATGCTGACGTCTACAGCCCTCTATAGCCCCTATGACACCTATCATGGCAATGTAATTTCAGTGGGTGCTATGGCCCCAAAAGCTTTTTCCTGATGGAGGCGGTGCTTGATGACGCGGTTCAACCCAACATCGGCGGGCTGGAAGATTCCGATGCAGTTTGCGGGAATGAACATCAAGAAGATGTTCGGGAACTCCTTCCAGACGTAGAGGCGGAACTCTTCACTTGTATGGACAGGATAGCAGTCGATGATCAGAATCGCACGTTGGTCGCTCGGGAGGTTTAGTTCTTGTATCTTTCGTTCGATGTAAGGCTTCAAGATGTGAATCATCCACTGTGGTACCCGACAATGAGTGATGGCATCTTGTCTCAATGCGAAGCACGAACCTCTTTCATTGTCTTCAAGGTACTAAAATGACTCGTTTTCTTTGCGCTTGCAGCTGACGAGAAGTTGAATCCACGGTTCTGTGCATCACCCATCCTAAGGCTCCAACTATTTACTATCCATATACAAATATTGAGGATATATACAGTATACAGTATATATATAGTATATATATGGATATATATGGTTTATATGGTTCATGTGCTAGTACAGAATAGTGCCTAGACTTCTCCCATTCTCTCCAGTGTAATGGGCAGAGTTGGCTCAGGCAATTGTAGTTGCTGCAGTCACATGGAACTGATGGAGTGAGCAAGAACTTGAATGGGCATGGAATGAGAACTATGGTAACTATGGTACAGGCTCAAGCTTGCAAGCTCGGCCATGATAGTACCTCACCAAGAATGATAGGGGGAGGGGTATAAATACAGAGGTTTTCAATGTACATACCTCATGTGCATCAGGAAAGGTGATTCCCTCAAAATGAGTGTTGCATCTTGCCAATGGCTGCTTGTGATTTTCTGGCTCACAGATGATCCAATTTGAGCCAGTGTCTCACAGCGTGAGACTGTTGCTCAGCCGGCGCTATCGGCAACGTACCAAAGGGCGCTCACACTTTATTGCAGACCCACTTGAGACTTGAGTGTGGCTGGCTTGCAATGGACATGGAACAAGGCTGTCGAGAAGTGACCAGGGAGGTACAGTAGAGTTTTAGAAATAATTGTATGTAGTATCAGAGGTGAAATGGGCTCACAGTCCAAGACTGTCAATGGCAACTAGGCATGATGAATGTGGGCGGGAACCAAGCAGGAACACGGGTATAGGTTGTCGGCTGATTGGCCTGAGCTGGAGTCTCGCTGTTGCTTTTTGCTGAGATAGGTGCTCACCAAGGAGCATTCCTGAGCAACAATCTTGCCCATGATCGAGAGTCTCACATCTTGCCTTTCACGAGAAAATCCTGTCATTCAGTTTTCCTGATGTGATTGCCCTTTGGGCATCATCCATGCCCAGGACACTTGCACTTGTCAGATGCTGTTCTGCTTGTTTCTCACATTTGTATGGGCCTGCTTGGGGGCTCTATACTGAGCAGGGCTCTGGGGGAAGCCTATGAATGCCTGCCGCTCACTGGGAGTCCAGACTGAGGTCATATATGAGTCAATAAAGTGAGTGGAAAAGAAACAGGAAACAAAAAGAATAAAAGAATGCAGTGAGTAGTCTTGACAATATTTCAATAATACACTGAACAACATCTCTGTTGTATCTGCAGGATCCTGACAAGGCAATTCAACCCAATACCTCATCTGCCATTCCCACCAAGAAGACCACCATAGCATGGCCTGCAAACTGCACAGCCCATGAGATCACACAGGAGCAAGTGTCTCCAAGTCAGTTCACATCTGACCATGACCAAGATGTTTGTTCAACACAAATGAGAATCCGAGTCCACTCTCAATGGATAAACTAAGACCACCTGTCAGTGCCAAAGCCATCACTGACAATTGACCTGAACCTGACCAGCATGCATGATCAAACCCACATACCAACAAACAAACTGCAAACCCAACAAAACTTCTGTAAACCAACAAATAACCTGTGATCAACAATTGACACAATGACACTCAGTAAGGTGACCAGACTGCACATATGGATGTTGGACCTTACATAATGTACCATATATGGTAACCTGCAGGACAGCAGGGTTACACACTCTTGAACACACCAATCTTCATCTGTCTGGTAAGCTGGAGATAAGATAGCTGCTCATGGAAGGCAGTGATGTATTGAAGTGCCCAAAGCCCCTCCTGGTCAGCTCAGAGCCTTGTGTTAATGTGCCTTGCCATACTTTGGAATTAACCATATACTGTATACTATATTGTATATATCCATATACCCTGGACATGGTACATACATGGATACAGTATATGGATAAAACTGTATATACCCAGTATATACATGAAATGGTTGGAGCCTTAAGGTCCCATCCCATTGGCGTCTGAATCGGGAAGTGATCGTGTGCTTTGCCCGCTCCATACTTGTTGAAAAGGTAGGATATCTCCGTCGGCACTTGTGGCAACACATAAAGTGTAAGCCCGCTTTTCATCCTTCGCCGCAACATTCACCTGACGCACTCCTGTCTCTTCGTAGGTGGTGTTGTTGTTTGGTAGGACATACACGCCGGTCTGATCCATTCCGACAATGAGTGTGGCTGGGATGTCATACATGACCACAGCATGCACAATGCGGAAGAATGTGCGCTCGCACAGCTCTGTGGCGTTGTCTGGGATGTGAGCTGCTGCCCGTGTCCCCTTCCGAACAGACCAGCCAAGAACACTGGAGAAGAAGTCGCCGACAAAGCGCTCGGAACACTTGAATGTGTCCAACAGCGCTGGCTGGAGCCGTTTAATCAAGGCGAGCAAGATAGACCGCCCAAGTACACGATTGACAGGAATTCCAGACTTGCGCAGGTTGATCAAGCGCGTCTTCGCTTCGAAGATAATCTCCGGGTACTTCGTAAGCACCCCCGCTCGGCCAGATGCTGTCAAGACTCTGCGATTTGCAACACTTTTGAGGGTTTGTGTCGACCAGCGCTTGCCGTGCTTCGACAACCAGTGCTGAATGGTTCCCTTTGACAGACGTGAAAAGAGCTCGGGGTGATCACGCTGGAGACTCCGTGCGAGAAGCGTTGCGGACCAGCCAACCTGGGGCGCCATGCGATTGATGTGAGTCCATAAGAATGGGTGGAACCAATTTGTCTTCTTGTGTCGCTGCTGTACGACTCCGCCGTTCTTCCCATTCCGGATCTTCTTCCAGGCCGCACCGTGCGGCCGAGAGATCTCGGCAAGGTCAGCCAGCTCCTCCCGGTCATCACTCCCTCCCGTTTGCTGGTGTTGCAGGCCAGTGCTAGCTCTGGCATTTGGTGTACGAGGTTGGTCCTTCTTCAGAGCTCTTGTCCGTGCACGATGGCGTTGCTGACGAAGTCGGTCAACTTCACGTTTGTGCGCAGCCTTCACTTCACGCCGCTCCCGTTCCTGCTCTGCCAACTTGGCACTCCTTGTGTCGCTCGCCTTGGCTTCGTTTCTCCACTTTTCATGTGCTTCGTCTCGTGTCATCGATGTCCATCCAAACATATTCAGCTTCCCTTGCTTGTTTGGTGGCAACTGATCGATGTCCGAGTCATTGCCCATGTCAGCCTTCTCCTTCCTCTTCTGTCCTCTGGTGGCCCTCGGAGGTGGCTTGAGTGTGGTATGTATGCTGTCATCCTCTGATTTGCTGCTACTGCTGATGAGATCAATTGTAGCGGAGGGCTCCGACCTGCTGGCTGCAGTGGGCTTCGGGACAGGCCGAGTTGGCTTCTTGAAGAAGTCATGGACTCTAGGCTTCAAGTTGAGAGCTTCATCCTCAGAATCGGAGCTCGAGACGATGACGCGTCTGCGAAGGAAATCAATGCATTGTCAGTTAATGTACTTACAGAACATGGAATGCCCGTGCTTACCTTTTCTTAGGAATACTTCCACCTGTCGCCTTCGCTCCTCTGATCAACCACTCAAGCCATGCGGTCCTGATAGTCTCGCGTTCACTGCCAGTCATTGGCCGCATGCACGTCTTGAAGAAGTGTATTAAATCCTCGCAACGACGACCTCGCTCGGTGAATATAATCTCCTCATCCCGGCCGAGCGTGTGCGTTTGGAACACACATTCCAGGGTGCGTGAGAATGCGGCGAAGGTACCCTCCTCCTTTTCGAAGTCTGCATCCAGGCTGAACTGATACATTGACTTGGATGGTTCCAGCGGCAGCGAAGACGGGAGATTGCGAACGAGTGATGCGAGGTGATTGATGCGAGCAATGAGTGTGTTCGAGAGAGCTGGTTGTTGCTGATTAGACAGCTTGGTTTTACGGGTTCCTTGTAGCATAGACATGGTGGCTGAACAGAAGACAGATTTATTTCTCGTCAACAATGCGTAGGGGGCCTCGCCGCTCAGCGCTCAGCGCTCAATGTTCACGGCCACAACTGTGTCACGTGGACTGTGGCTACACTGAAGCGCCGAAGAGTGGTTGCAATCCTGGCTCATGTCACGCATAACGGTAGTACGGTTGCTAAGATCTAATCCTATTTGAGTGTCACGCTGGGTATGGCGGTTGGTACCATACACTCCGCTACAGTACGTTCAGTTCAGGAGACTGCAACATTGTAGGCATTAATGACTACAGTATCCGAGTCCTTCGATTCAATCCACTTCGTTGAGTATAAGCATCAGCAACTGTATGGGTCCTTGTGTGATTGCCGGCAATCATGTGATAATGCGCCGTTCCGGGGCTGCGGGGCTTTGCGGGGGTGGCTGTTGTTCCGGACTTCGTCTCGCTCGAGCCGTTCAACGCGTTGAACGTTTGCTCCCTCCATCCTCCTCGCGTATTATCTGGCGTATCTTTCACAGATTTATTAGCATGTCCGTCGCGCATGGAATACGAAGACTTGGTGTCCTTGGGGCGGGTCAAATGGGTACGTCGACGTTTGAGCTCATGCGACGCGCACCGTTATTCCACGTCCGCGAGCCAACTCGCCAGCCGCGATTTCCTCATCAACGGTAAGGAAGAGCGACTAGCTACGCAGTCCGGGTGTGCAGGAAATCTCATCGCTCAGTTGGCCTGGCAATAGTTCAAGGACGCTTTGATCTGACATGTGGCGACCTCCTGGACGTCGAATTGACCGTCAGTACGGAATACTTCTCATCAGTTCGAGGTTCGAGCAAAGGCTTCAAGGTCGCATAAGTCTTCTACTTTTCGAATGCTTGCTCTTGGACCCATTTCACGACGGCATTTGACTGACATGCGATTTGTTAGGTCTTGGAATAACGTACGTCTCGGCACTGCACGCACGAGTACCTGTCTTGCTATATGACCGATCTACATCGCAAATCCAAAACGGTCTCAACCTAATGGATAAGCTGCTCGCGAAGGACGTCAGCAAAGGGAGGCTCACCCCAGAGCAAGCAAAGGAGGCCCGTGACAGAGTCACCGTTGTTGGTCAAGAAAAAGGATTGAAGGGCATGAGAGATGCTGACATGGTCATCGAGGTAAGGTGGTCTTTCCCATGATGCTCCTCAACTTATACTGTCGACAGGCTGTGTCTGAGAGCCTTCAATTGAAGCAATCGATATTCCGCGATTTATCGGCGGAGGTATCTCCTAGCGTCATCCTGGCATCCAACACGTCCTCGATTAGCGTCACGAAGATTGCTGCCTCCACTATTCCTGAAGGTAGCTCCGCCGCAGATGAAGCAGGAAAGAAGAGTGCATCGCGTGTCGTCGGTATGCTCGCCCTGTTCTGTTAACTGTCAATCGGCCGACTCTAGTCTAACTAGGCTTGCACTTCTTCAATCCCGTTCCTGTTATGGTGCGCCGCTTGCCGCAGAGCCATACATGAACGTACTTTTTGATATAACCCACAATATAGAAACTGGTGGAGCTTATATCGGCGCTCCAGACATCGCCGGAGACTCTTGACCGAGCACGCGCCTTCGCCATTGCGTGCGGTAAAGGTGCGTGCGCGCAGGTTAGGCCTTACAAGATGCCATATCCGGCCTGACACGTCGCGCAGAGGTCACGACATCACAGGACGTCCCCGGCTTCGTGTCCAACGCACTTCTTATGCCATTCATCAATGAGGTGCGTAGAACGTCCTTTGGAGCGCACGGTCTGGAAGCGCTGACTGCGTCCCGATCTGCGGCTCTTTGGCTGCAATGTCCCCCGTATAGGCGATTATGTGTCTCGAAAAGGTCGGTGCGCAGGGTGCCTTTCTCCGCCCGTCTGACGAAGCATGTATCATTAGGGCACTGCCACTCGCGATGACATTGACAAGACGCTCAAGCTGGGTATGAACCATCCCATGGGTCCGTTGCAGCTAGGTGTGTATTCTCTGCTCCACAGCCAAGTTCGTTACTTATCGTAAATCCGTCGTAGCCGATTTGTGAGTGTCGTACGCATCGACTACATGCACCGTTCTAAATCTGAGATGCATCGTCGATCATCTGTGACGCCCGTTTCTCTATCGATCCACCCTGGTCTCGGAATCCTCGACCAATCTGAATCCGCCGCGCCGCAAAAGCATTGGACTCGACACCTGCCTTGCGATCCAACAGACGCTCTACGTTGGCACCGCAGACTCCAAGTATCGGCCGAGCATACTTCTAGAGCGCATGGTGGATGCAGGCTGGTATGGGAAGAAGAGTGGCAAGGGCTTTTATGAATACCCACAGTGAAGGACTGCAAGGGGACTGCAGCGTGAGTGTGGTAGTCTTTGAATTGACGGGGCGCTAGGAGCTAACTTGGACCATTCTGGCAGCGACTTTCGGTCATGGAGGCGCATGGTCGGAATGCTTCAGTCGGAACGTGTGTCTAACCTTCACGTGGGGAGACGTCCCGTCTTGGTTGCCTCACCTAGGACGCGTGTTTTCGGCCTCAAGTTAGGTGAGGAGACGTGGTATAGCTTGTAAACTCTCTTGTAGCCATTGCTATCAAATCGCTGCGGCGCATGCATCAGTACGTCAGTGTTGTGCATCGGATTGCTAATTGCGTTAGGCCGAGGAGCTCTTCGAACTCGCTTCTCGTCTTCATGACACCCAAGACTTAGCGCTATGCACCAAGCTCACGGCGGCAGCGGATCCGAGGCCCCTGCGTGCAGCGCTTTGGAGTGAAACGTATGCACGGCTTGTTCACCATACATCCATTTCAATGCCAGCCTGGACACCTATCCAGTCGTCAAACCATCTTCCAACGATTACTATTGCGCGCGGAACTTGCATGTTATCGATGTCCGTGTAGCTCACGGAGCTTCCCCTAACTTCCGATGGACCAACTCTACTCTGTGTAGCAAAGTCCGTCCGCCCGCGACCGCCGGCTCGGAGTCGGATGCGAGTCTTGGGCCCTTCTCGGGCAGGCCGGCTCAATCACGAGTGCTCCACAAGATTCGACCTTCCAATCCCAGGATTGCCCTGGCCCCTCCGTCCCGTCTGTACATCGTAACACGTTCACATTGTTACCGTCTTTCTCACAAACCCTCGGTCCGGAGGACCTATCACCGTAGACGCTCACGGCCTCGACGGACTACGCGATCCTAGACACTTGGCAGTGCACAGTGTGGCGAGGGGCAGGCAGTCCACGCAGGTGGTCTGCCGTTGCTGCAGGGCACCACGGAGGTGGCAACAGGCCCATGTCATTATGCTGTAGTCATCGCTATGACTTCCACCTGCGCCCACACCCACCGGGGCCACAGGCTTGTCGGATACATTGATCGCGTATGCTTCCATCCATCTGTATTCGGATCGTTATGACCTCCCACAAAGTCATCAGACATGAAGACTCATGGCGGTCGCTTGACGCTCATGGGTGCGGTGAGAGCCGCAAGGACCGTACACCATGCTGTGCTGTGTCTAACCCCTGCCTTCTCGCCGGTCTCCCACTGTAATTTTAAGACATGCATAAAAGCCCCCGTCTTCGTACGCTTGCTTATACTCGCCTTTCAGACTTGCACGCCCTACACCTTGACATCGCTTTCACGTCGCATAACGCAATGTGTACTACCGAGTGGTGAGTTCGTTCTACTTAGTCCCACCTCTTGATCCAAAGGGTCTGACGTTCGAGTTCGGCTAGCTGGGGCAATCAACATCGTTATGGTAGCTGCAACGTAAGGCCCCGCCTCAGTTGTGGCGAAACACGCGCTCCCTTAGCTTACCCAATTTCAGCATTATGTCAAACAATACGAGACCGGTGTCAAGAAGGACTGTGGATCACCGACATGCGGGCTAAGTAAGGCCCATAAACATACAGCTCGGCAATGTAACTGCCCCAAGGTGTGTGCTGTGCCTTACCGTGCATGGGTTCTGCGTGCTCATCAAATCCACTAGGTATACCAGGAGGAGCGACGGATCCTAAATCTCATCCGCTATTATTGCGATGCGTGCCTGGCTCAGGGATGGAAGACGTTAGAGCGCGAGTCTGGTCGGCAGTATTGAGATCGCTTATTTAGTTTCGGTTGATCACCAGTATTCTAGCGCTATTTATGACAGGTTCACGACGACTTACTGCAGACCTTATCGCTTTACGGCCCAATGGTTGGCAGTGCCATGCGACCAGAGCTTCGTCCTGTCAGTGACGGCGAGGTCTCAGACTGACATTGGCATTCGGTAGCGAAGTGCCGTGATGTTACATCGATACTCTACAAATGGAAAGCATCAATAAGATGTATCCGCGCTCGAGTGTATCCACCATTACACCAAATCCATCCTACAGTTCTTTGAGCCGCCCTTCCGACTGCGATAGAAATTTCCCAAGGTCTTCATGGCCTGTCCAAAGGTCTCTGTGACTACGGCATTCTCTGCGATCCATTGAGGAAGCTTCTCGCGAATTCGCGGAGAACTATAACGGCAATCGACTAGCACGAGAGCAGCCCAGTCATCCCGATGCCGAATAGCGCGCCCTACAGTAGCTAGGTTCAGCTGCGGCACATACTGTTACACAACAAACGCACCAATACTTTGGTTCACTGCGTTCATACACATGTTCTGATACAGCTCGGCGGCGGCGTCTTTGCAGCCATTCGCTAGTCTAGTACCAGTCTCGTTTGTCGTGAGCTGTTGTTGCAGCCTGTTGACGTATTTCATGCGTTCCTGAAGCTCTGGGGAGCCAAAATTGGCGTAAGGAAGCCCGACGATGACCACAGCACGAGCGAGGTCATCTGTGAAGTTGAGACCTTCGGACAGTTTTGCTCCGATTACCGCGAACAGCAATGCGCCACCTTTCCCGATTACTTCTCCGGTGGCGTCTGATCGATTCTGTAGTTTCCTCAGTGTGATGCCTTACGTGGCGATGCAGTGACCTGACTGACCTCTACGACGCGGGCTGCAGCCGAGTACTCCCTCAGCACTGTCTCCACTTCTCCACTGTCATGGGGTTCAGAGAATACCTGGTCGTCATCGGCTGGGTCAGCTTGTTACATAATTTCACCTAGAAATCAGACATACCTTCTTCTTCCCGTTCAACTTCGCAATCAAGCCGCTCTTCTGCCATTCTGCCATAACCCCATTGAGAAAGCTATACGAAGGAAGGAAGACAACGATTCCCGCAGGCGCAACGTTGACGAAGTTGAGTAAGATCTGCCCGAGTTCCGTAATCTGTAATGTCATATTCATATAAAGTAAGACTCAGATTGCACAGATGACGGTCATACGGTTTGTTTGTGACTCCGCTGCTCGAACTTGAATTGCAGTTCCCCTCCTCTGGGGCCTCTCTTCAGCACTAGGGTCTGCAGGCTTGTCGGTGGTATAATATGTCCGCAGGAAAAATTAGTGAGCCGTTCGTTCGGTACTGTAGAGAACAGTTGCTGTATGACGTCGGAGATCTAGCATACCACCGCGACGGCCACCGTTAGTTCCTCTGACCAGAAGCAGGGTCCGATGAAAAGACCTCTCACAGGAGACATAGTACCTCCTGCCAGTACGACCGACCTGGCAGAGTCAATGACATCTTGGAAGTGAGTGGCAGGGTTCAGCTGTTGGTACTTTATCTCGACTTGGCCGTCCACAACCGCTAACGTCACTCGCCCGTCTGCTCCCAGGACGGACCGTGTCGTTAGTATTTTCGTCAACAGTTGTAGCAGCAGGCAGAACCCACCGTCATTAGCAGAGGTCAGCGACGTGATAAAACCTTCCACGGCATGGAGGGGTGGGGTCGTCGTCACCAGCCGCGCGACTTTGGCTAGTTTTACGGGATCTGGAGTGCAAGGAGCCGAGTGAGGTCATCGAACCTTGAACATCAGTACGAACATGCGTATTGGTGACTGCAGCCGCTCACCCTCTCCCGCAGCCTTCTCCAGCGTCTTCACCGTATATCCAGATATTTTCCTCGCGATCTGGATGACATATGGCAGACCTTCAGTGACTCAAGAGACCAACGAGCAATCGTCTCGTCGCACCCTACTGCTCCGGAGATAGGTCTCCACCTCCAGTAGATTCACACCCTCTGACTTGCGCCCGAGCCTCTTGAGAAGCTCACCAGGTGTCATGACCTCCACGCCCTGTCCACGCGTTTTCTCTGATCCTCCTTCTGTGGGCAAATTCTTCTGGCCCGGTTTCTGCTCCGCCACCTGATTGCCCAGCTGACCAGCAGTTGTCCCTTTGTCGGGGTCTCGTCTTGAACCTTCCGCCACTCCTCTACGTACCGCTGAAGTGCGTCAAGCAGGCCCATCAGGCGTGTCAGGTGCAACGCATGATCGGTTGACAGCCGGGTGCGGAAGCGTGAGAGGTAGACAGAGAGCTGCTGGCGCGCGGCAGAAAGGGTGCGTACAGGTAGGCGGGTGGTTGAGAGGGAAAGGAGGGTGGATATGAGGTCTGCATGACGCAAATGAGCTTGGGGTTGAACTAAGCACGATACAACCGTCTACTTACTGTGAGCCTCGTCTACGATGACAATCTGATTGGTTAGATCGACTCCAAGGGCTTCTCGGGCGTTCTTTTGGAGAAGCAGATTATAGGGCAGCAAGACAAGCTGTCGGACAAACATCGGAGGTCGGCCTGCAAGAAACGGTGCAGACAAGCTAGAACTCACCTGTGCTTGCGGTATAGCTTGGCGCGAACCGAAGTACGGGCAGACATCCGCGTTCTGACCCATCTCCACCAAATCCTCGATATCTTTAGGCGTTGCCTTTCAAGTTGCATGCACCGCCTAAACACAGCATCAACTGGAAGATTATTATTGCTCACTAGAATTTGATCACGAACGTCGAGCATCCGCACTTCATCCTCGAGTGGAGGAAGATGCGGGCATCGACGCTTTCCTTTCTCTGACGATGCAACATTGTGATCAACAAGATGCCAATGAACAGCGAAAGGAATCTTACCGCCGAGTAATTGTCGGCATGCCTCATCAATATCTCCAGGTCGTCTCCGTAGTTCTTCATTTATACACAGCTGTTTTCGTGAAGCCAAGGACACTGTCCGTGCCGAACTGCTCAAAACATCCGCTGCCTCAGCATTACTATCTTCCGTCAGCGGCCGTTTGGCGTTGGCCTTGATGGACGAAGACGTCGTTGCATCAACCGACCGGGTATGATTCGGGGTTGGTTCGGGGTGAATGGTAACATTCAAGTCGATTCGTAGCTTCCGGAGCTCATGCATCACCTGAGCTAGCTGTGAATGTGTCCGCGAAGCATAGTAGATTTTGGTGCAAACGGGTTCATCTTCCTCGTTTGTCCCAGAACGTGACCCATTCTGCAACCTGTGAATGCAGCATGTCAGATAATACAATATCGGGCACTGATTAGGCTTACTTGTGCATTAGAGCACGGACAGCAGGCGAGAGATTGCTATACTCGTCATCTGAGCGCCCTTCATCTGTATCGTCCGGAAGAAAATCGCCGTCATCTTCTCGCGGAGTATCCTCGTCTGCGAGTTTCTGGTCCAGTTTGTAAGTGGGAAGTTGAGGATATCAAATGAGAGGGGGTCAATCAAGAACATGAACATTGCGTCACTTTGCTAAAGTGTCCGTCAAGAAGGATCTCACTGCGGCAGCTCCACTCAACAGTACCAAAACAGTTCCGATAGTGATGCCTGAAGGAAAACAGCTGGGGATCAAGGTCCACACCGCGAATGAATGCTTCATGGATAGTATCCCCCAATACTAGCCATATTCGCTAGGAGACGTCTGGAGGGTCCGATGGCATCCACCGTACCATGATCCGCATGATGCACGAGCCTCCCCAATTCATCTAGCCACAATTCTTGAGAACATATTAACGACATACCTGTTTCTTTCTGACGTGTCCACGAGCAAGTTTCCTCATCTCTGCCTCTTTCTTCCGCGCCTTGACCAATCGTTCTGCATACTCGCGATCCGCAGCTTCGAGCTCCCGTCGCCGCCGCTCGAGAGTCTGCTCAAGCACCCAGTCAGGACCTAGAAATTCAGTTGCAAGGTTAGAGTTTCATATATTTGCATGGGGCATACCGTCAGTAGCCACCGACAATGCATCAAGTTGTCCCTTCCGCGCGCGCTCTTGTTCGTCTTTCAGCCATGTTAAGGAGGCACAGAGCAGGCTAAGAGTCTTTCCCTGTGTTGTATAAGCACGTTAGCCACAATTTACTTATGCCTTCCAATATATGGCTCACAGTTCCCGTCGGACTCTCAATAATCGTCACCTTTCTATCCTCAATCGCAGAGTATAGATGTCGCATGAGGTCGAGTTGAATCCCATACGGCTCGAACGGAAATGCAGGGAAGCTCGGTGGTGTGCTTAGTTTCAGCGACATGTGGTGTCTCGTTCGATAGGTAACGCGAGAATCTTGTGAAGTTACAGGTTCAGCGGCATGAAGGAGGAGGACGAGCTGAGGGCGCGTCAGGCTGCGGCGACGCGTCTGTGGCTGAGAACGCGTAGAACCACGATCACGTGCGTTTCTGCCAATTGTCGGTGCGCAACGTGTCACGCAGGTTGTGTTTAGTTATGTACCTACTCAGTACACGGCACAGTAGTTAGACGGCTCCAGGCACTGTGGTTTATAGCAGCTGTCTCTTCGCTTTCTATATAGGACGAATATAGTAGTAGTACGTCCTTGTGAACATGATCTGGACTTATTTGAGTCATTATGATCCGAGGGGCGTTCCCTAGTAACTTACGGGCATTCACAGCATCAGCATTAGTCCAACCAGAACAGCTGTCGCACCCTTCCAACTTGAACCTGTCCGAAGCTCTGGCGAGCGCAAAGCGGACACTCCAGCGACCCTCAGGTTTCCCGTTGGCTCCGTTGAAAACGTTGTAGCCGTCGTGTACTATGCCATGTTTGTGAATGACGTAGCCTCGCCCTGGCCCTTCGTCGCTTCAAACGTTTCGTTCAACAAGCAGGTCTGCGTCGAAAATGGCGAGGGACCGCAATACGACGCGTTCGCCTGCGACGGGTCTGATGACATAGTGTACGCAACGTTCCAGATGATGGTGTACGTTCCTTCGTCGGCAGCGACATCGCAGCCAGAGGCGCCTGTACTTTGGGCAGGAACACACGACCCGAGTCCTGTGATGTTGTCGGTGTTTGACTGGAAGTGCCCAATCTTCGTGCCGTTAGGTGCGATCAAACTGGTGTTCACGGCTTCCACGAGCCCTAAGAATTTGGGTGTCATCAGCCGTTGGGATGCTGGGGAGCACACGACGTACCATAGTACCGCGTTGGGGGCTGCGCCCACCCGAAGAACACGGTCGACCTGCACTTGGCTGGGTGGCACCAGAAGGGTAAATGTGTCGGGCAGCGAAACTGCATATGCCAAAAGGGGGAGCACTAGGAGCGAGAAAGTGAGAGTCGCGAATGTGGTTACGAACAGAATACGTGAGTAGGCTGGAGCTATGTGTGAGCCTTCCCAGTCTCTGATGAAGGGCAGATAGTACGGTCACCTGAAGGTGAGTTGCCTCTGCATATTGTCTCACTCATCGCAGCGCACCCGTGGGTGGCAGGCACTGCCAACGTTACAGCGAGGCGACCACGCCCACCATCTGTCAATTCCTGGCAGTGGAATACGACTCGGCCCGTTCGGGATGCTTGGTACTGCGTGGGCTGTCTACGTCCGACTGTCAAAGAAGAGCTAGTCAGTCAGGCGCTGTGATACCTCCGGACTGATCAGCACTTCAGTGTTAGACCAACTAATCACAAGATTGAATTGTGACTTATGGGCCTACGATTGAGTTCGCAAATAGCATCGCACATTCTTCCCTGAACCTGACCGCATGTGCCGCGTGCTGTGACCTGGCCGTTCTAAATTGTGAAAAACGGTGCCAACGGTGAGTCTGATCATGTCTCCCCGTAACAGCATCTTGGCGAAAGCAACGATACTAACAGCCGCCAGTGGCAAGCCCCCTTGGGCACGAGAACGGAGGTGCAGCATACTATCTAAGTAGTATCAACTCAACGGCAGTTGCTGCCTAACAAGAAAATCAGCTCGAAAGTTTACATTTAAGCGTATGGGGACCGTACCTCATCTACGAAGGCTTCGGGAAAAAATCGTCCCAGCTTGAGCTGTCTGCTAAGTAGCTACGGTGTTAAGGATTCTATGATGCTCTTCTCATACCGCTGGTGCGCAACGGCATACCCAACGATACAACAGTATCCCATGTCTAATTGGCAATGAGCACCGACTCCGAGGGCGATTGACAGGATCGTGTTGTTCCGAAGTTGTTCGGAAATCCGGCGATCATACCTGGGCACCGGTGCCTTTAGTGCATTCCAAGCTAATCTCGAAGCAATCTGGAGTCGGAAAATACCATTCACTTTCGCACTTTCGCAAAGGGAATGGGAGCTCACCTGTTTGCCTACGGTATTCTTGGATGCCATGTGGCTCGGAGCGACCATTGCCAGTGCACGACTATGAGGACACATTGCTGAGGATGAAGTCTAAGGGTTAGCGTAGACAATCTCCCAGCCTTCACGGAAACTCACCTATCATCCTAGACACTCATAAGATCCTGTACAGGCTTGTACAGCAGGACACTATCTGTCGTGTAAGGCCACAGTGGACACGAACGAGCGACCCGCAGAAATCATGGTTTATAGCGCCACCGAAGCCCATAGAGTGCATCGGCATTAACTGAATGTATATAGAGACAGACGACGGCACCACCGTTACATCCATTTCGACCCAACCAGGTTCCACAGCCTCTCCCTGACTGTAGTCCGCACCCGGTCTTCCTCCTCCTTCTCCTGCATGCGCTTCTCTTCCTTGGCTTTCAGCTGATCCTCGTCCGTCTGCGGCACTGACACAGGCAGCGGCGCCCGTGCGTTCGCGCGCGCACGCGCAAGGATTCGCTGGCGTTTTGAGAGGGGAGAAGCTTGCCTGGCAGATTTTGCCTCCTGCGTAGATGCCGCCGCAACCGCGTCGATGTTTGTACTTGGGTCCGCCGCGTCAGCAGCGCTCGTTTTGGGCGACATTGAGGCGATATAAGCGTCTATGGCAGATGTTGAGGGCGAGGGGAAGGCAGATTCTTCGCCTCGGGCGGTGCTGCTTGTGTAAGGGGCGTGCTGTCGACGTCTTCTACATCCTCCGCAGCCTCTACTGCCTCGTCTGTTGTCCTCTCGCGTGACTCGCGATCCCTCTTGCGCCGCTCCAGTCCTCTTTGCATCGTGGAAGCGGGATGGGCAGCATCGTCGGCGGGCAGGTTGTAGAACCCTCCCCAGTAGTAGAAGGCCCCTTGAAAAGAACGGTCGATTACGGGCCTGGACCTGGCCATCCCGAGTAAGAATGGAGTCTCTGCGATACACGACACCCGTCAGGCGCTCCATACAAAGAGATGTTGCTGACAGGGTGGACGCACTAGCTCGTTCTACCCGGAGGTCAACCGTGATCATCTGACGCTTGTCTGCTGAGTTGCGGAATCTACCTCGTGCATGTCGTCCTCTGGCGAGACGTAATCCTCAGGGTTGAGAAGGCCTTGAAGGTCTTCCAGACCGATACCGCCTGAGCGGGCCAAGTCGACGACCGGCGTGTCGACCTTCAGCAGGTGGGGGGTCTCCGGGGTGCGCTCGAGAGACGCGGTGTCCTCAAAGTTGATCCAGAAGTATGGGATATACAGAGAGCGGAAGTCATAGTCCTAGAGTCACATTTATTAGTCTGGTGACACAGCGGTCGGTGCGCACCGCCAAGCAGCTGAACTCACTCGCATGACTTCGTACTCGCGAATCCGCCCATAACGACGCTCCAGTCCCCGAATCATCGCCAGTAGCTCAGGCATGGTCTGTATGCCGTCCCATGGTCGCACAAAGATAGTTGTTTCTTCTGGAGGTACCGGGTCCCTGACTTTTGAGTGTCGTGACGAGGATTCAGGGAGTGGTGGTGGGAGGTCGAGGTCAGACTCGATCGACTCGGTCGTCGCTGTCTTTAGCGTTCGTCGAACACATTGTCTGACGACTCGCAAGCGATGAGAATGATGGAAGGGAACTGCGCTGCGCCTCAGGCCTGCATGGTTCATGCTCGTGGATGCGAAAGGTCAAGGTCGTCGGCAACTTCAGGGAATTTGTGACAGTGAGCAAAGTCACGCTGTGACTTTACTTATCTCTGATTGATGACATAAGTAACACTTGTAGTCTGTTAACAACTTCCAATAGTGTACAACTTACTTACAGTACGGCTGTAAGTAAGCAAATCAAAGGCGATGATACTATGATAGTAAGTATCAACTGCTCGTTCATTCAGCACAACCAGCGGAACTCATTGCTTGGTGATTTGACCTTTGTTCCTGTCTTCCATGGACGTAAGAAATCGCTACAGGACATTCCAGCTATGTGCTCAGCACCGACACTCATTCCTCCCGAGTTATCCAGGATTATATGCAGGCTTCAGACCATACACCGCCGGCCCAGAGCCTCAGCCGTCCACAACGACCACTCCTCCTAGTCCCTCCAAAGGTCGATTCGCAGCCTACAGACAGGCACTGAATGCCCTAGCAGAGCGTACGCGCACCCCTCTACCCTCGCTGATATTCTCCTTCGCGGTGCTGCACGAGCTGACCGCGATCGTCCCGTTCGCGGGCATCTTCCTTGCCATGCGCACGCTCAACGTCGGCGAGCGCGTGCTCAAGTCGTTCCCGAACAAGTTCATGGATGAAGCTGCCTTTCGTGCGCCTCACGACACGCCGCCCGAGGAGCTGCCGGACTTCTGGGTGAGGCTGAGGAGGCGGTGGTGGCTCGAGGGCAGGCTCATGGCAGAGCGTGTGGGCAGGCGTTATGGGATCTTTGGTTTCTCAAAGAATGGCACAGAGGGTGACGGCGTTCACCCTGATGTGGCCTCCCGACAGGAGCCGGTGCTGAAGAAAGCAGTACCCGATATTCTCAACTTCTCGATTGCATATCTCGTAACGAAGGTATGTGGAATTATGTGCGCGCTGCTTGTGGGGAAAACAACTGAACATTTCTTTTGCAGTCATTGCTTCCTGTGCGCGTCGGTCTTTGCTTGTACTGGTCCCCTCCGTTCTCCCGCCGGGTCATAGAGCCTACACGGATGGCGATCATGCGACTCGTCCGTCGCGCCTCCACATGTCAATCGCGCGCCCGCCTATAGGTCCGCGCGTTGCATAGGTTTCGCGAGATTTCGCGCGCAACGCACTGTCAACCAGCGAAGGATCGTCGGCGTTTCTGTCTGCTATGCTCGCATCAGAGTGCTCCTTCATTATCCCTCGTGGGGCCCTCATCTGCAACGGATACTACTGCCCCTCGGGCGTGCAGGGCACTGACGTTCGCAATCAACTTTGAAGGCCTCCTGGGACAGTCCTTACCCTTATGTCCGACAAATCCACTTAAGTACACCAGATAGTTCTCAAACAGCAATGCGAATTACATTGGACATACAGCGAGCAGAGCGTACTAGGGCTACAAACATAGAGCAATATGTACAGCAAATATCACAGCGTAGATCGACTTCCGTGCGATACAGTAATAACCTCGACGTGTCCGCGCACGAATTTCAACTCAGAAGTCCGTCGGTGTCCCCGCCAGCGACCAACCGTAACGACCGTGTATGTTCAATGAAGCTTCAAGCCTTGTGTCCGAGCGAGAGGGTGCGGGTCGCCTTCACAGCGCGCCCAAGGAGGGACGGTTTCGGGTCCTTGAACTTTGGCCATCCTGGCGTACTGACGTACCACGCGTGTCTCCGGCTGGGGTCGTAGCCTCTTCCGTATCCCACGTCTGCGCCGTGTCCCTCTCGCATGTTCTCCCGCGCAGCGGCATCCATCGCGTACAACCTATCCTCCGAGGTGGGCTCCGCGACGAGCGTGGCCGTCGTGGATTCGTTGCTGCAGCGGGTCCCCCTTGCGGCTCCGTTAGTCAACCGGTCAAGCACAATCCACCCTGCCTCGTCCTCGCGGCCGACCAGCTGCAACTCAGTGATCACATCATCCATACTGGAAACCTCCCCGTTCTTGAATCCCAGAGACAAACGAGCGTGCTTCGCGGATTTTCGCAACCGTGGGCGTAAATGAGTGTGGTGGTCTTCCCTGGCGTCTTCCTTCCGGCTCCCTGGACCCTCCTTGTCGCCCGCGACATCCTTAGAACCTTCTTCCGTTCCATTATCTTGCTTGGTGCGGTCCTCACGGTCATGCAGAGGCTGAGTCTGAAGAACTGCGGAAAGAATCAGGCAAGAGAACGTTGAGACGACCAGAGTGGGACGTACTGAGTTCAGAGCCTCTTGCATTTCCACAGGCAACGAATGACGGGAGGGCAAAGCTGGGGTCACCACAATCATGGGGACCCGCGCCTGCTCGACCGACATTGTGCTCATGCTAGACCGTGAGGAGGATCCTAATTATTGAAAGGGGCAGGAGTAGCATACGCTGAGGTCAAAGCGACGCGGACACCCGAAGTTAAATAGCACGAGTCGGCCACAGAGCCACAGAGGCCGTTTCAGGTGCCCCGCAGTGGCCACACCGGAGAAGCGTTCATACGTTTGAGTCGGACCGACCCCGCGACGAGACCACCGGCTTCGTGGCACTAATCTGTTCTGATCAGCGCGGATCGCCTGGCACTCACCATTGTGCATGTAAATGAATTGCGACTCAAGCGTAGACACACGCCGGTTGTCATGGAGTCTGGCATAACACGTCTAGAATAGGAAAGCGATAATACAAGAAGTTGCGTCGGACAATGGAAAGCAGGCAGTCTAGAGTCTCACACCTGGATGACGATCTCCCAGTCGCTGCTGACGCCCACGCCAGGATCCTTGATGACGAGCACGCTCGCCGTCCCCTGCTTCTTCGTGTTGGAGGCGACACCAGGCGTATACTCCCATGCACTTCTTTCCCGCCGACCTGCACGCTCTTCGGCTTCGCGCTGCCGAACACAACCACCCTCTCGACCCTGACCGTGGCCATGTCCTTCGCAAAGTCATTGCCTCCATCGTAGGTGGACAGCGCAACGCCATCGACAGCTTCTCCGGGCTTCTGTGCAGCAAGATCGGTGCTCCGGATAAGGAGACCTTTGTTCTGCTTGCCAGCAATGAACTCGCGCCAAATGAACTTGCCATCGCGATGGGAGAATGTCTCGCCGTCGTCCAAATAGAGCTCGCCCTTGGCCGCACCACTGGTGTCGAGGGCAACGCGCAACGTGAATGGGTCACGCTTCATGAGCAGCGAAGACCTCCGTGGACGCTCGCGTGTGGGCACGATCGATCCGCCACGGATGAGGAAGGGCACCTTGTCCAAGGCCGCAGGACGGTGACGTGCTTGCCCTTGGACGCGCCCCGGTATGCTTCATAGTTGAAATAGTCATAGTAGACCTGGAGAAGCGTTAATCACTTGCGCATAGTGCAACTTACGACAGTACGTGCCTGGTCTTCTGGGAGATAGACGGAGGCTTCGGTCACTCCCTTTTCTGTGATGGGCTTCACGAGCAGCCCGCTTCCGCCCAAGAAGTATGGTCATCGAGTGAGAAACCTGCCTCGTCCTTCGGGAACATCACCCAGTGCGGCCTGAGACAGGCAGACCGGTCACGCTCGTCTCCTAAAGGCTGTGTACCACACGGGCAGAGACTGTAGCGCAGGCGGAGGAACGAACGGAGGATGCTCTTGTATGGCTCATCAAGCAGGTAAGGCTCGCGACGCTTGGTGTCGATGTGGGCGTGCGCACGGAAGAAGGGAGAGAAGATCCCACTCCGTACCAGCGCACGAGCATCTCGGGCTCCGGGTTTCCGAAGAAACCACCGACGTCAGCTAGACGTCATGAGAGTCAGGCCTGCAAGGGAAGTCATGAGAGGGCGACTACATCCGGCGAAGCTGAACCCTCCGACATTGTTCGCAAGAACCATCTTGAGACCCACAGCCATGTGTTCCCAGGTACCAAGGTTGTCGCCCGTCCACATGCACCAAATCGCTGCGAGCCCGCGTAGAATGACCGGGTAGGACAAAGGGCCGCCTCGGCGGATCTGTGCGTGTCGTGACCGCCTGCGCTGTGAGGTTGTGCTACAGGAAAGCAACGTCAGACGGTACATATACGACGGAAACAGATACGTACCAGTAACATCCCGTTAATGTTATGAATGTCACGGTGCTCCCAACCACCGTGGTGAATGTTGTCGCGAGGCATGCTGATTTCGGGACCATTAAAGATCGCTGGCTGGGGACCGACATATTAGTACAATTGGTGAGTTGGCTGGTGGACGTTATGACCAACCTCGTTCATGTCGTTCCAGACGTATGTATCTATGGTGCTCTCGGTCCACGACCATTTCTCACCCGGTTCAATCTTGAACAGAGACGTCCACCAGTCCCAAGAGTTGGGGTTGAAGAAGTCGATCCAGGCACTACTGCCACTCCAGCACCAGCCCTCGTAGTTGTTCTCGCCGCCCGGTGTCTTGACGAGGACACCGAGCTCCTTCGCCTCTTTGTAGACAGGGTAGTCGTCCGTGCGCTTCAGATGCGGGTCAATGATGACGACCATCTGCATCGCAAATGAGTGCTAGGTCACACCCGAATACAAGCAGACTGACCTTGCGACCGATCGCTTCGACGTCATGCGTCATGTCCACTGGGTCCGGGAAGGTCTTCTTGTCCCAGATGAAGTACTTGTGTTCCTCAGCATACTCGATATCTAGCCAGAACACGTCGACCGGCATATCTTCCGCATCGAATCGCCTCTGCACATCGCGCACATCGTCAGAACTGATGTAGTTCCACCGGCACTGGTGGTATGCAAGCGCCCAGTGAGCAGGGAGCGCGGGCGTGCCCGTCAATCGAGTGTACTGAGCGAACACATCTGCGGGCGTCGGCCCAGGCATGATGAATACGTCCAGGATGCCGGACTCGGAGATCCAGTGCGTCTCAGTCGAGGTTGCGGACGGCCGGCCAACGTCGATCCACGTCTCGGAGGCCACTGCGTTGAAGATCGCAACAGTACCCTCCGCGGAGTGTGCGTGCATGAGGGGGATTGAGCCGTACAGCGACATGGGCGAGTCCGGGAGGTACTCGAACACGTCTGCGTTGTACAGCCGGTAGGGTTCAGAGAAGTGCGCGTCCTCGCCAGTCGTAGTCGGCAGGTCAAGCCTCGTCGCGTGCTGAGGGATACCGTAGACGTGTCCGTGATTGGGGAAGTTGATGTCAATGGAAAGGGACTCGGGCCTGCGTCCAGTGATGAGACGGACATCGCATACGAAGAGAGGATACGCACCCTTCGGCTTGGAATCCGTCCAAGAGCCAAACTTCTCCTCCCAGAAGCCGTCCTCTTCTCGCCCTCAAACCATGCCCGGTTGTTTACCTGCATGACAACTGCGAGTCTTCCGCCGGCGCGTCGACAGGTACCTTCTCCTCACCTGCCGCCTTCGTCCGGAAGTGTTCCAAGTGCAGGAGACCACGGCCATTGAGCACGACCTGCGGCTTCCCAGCCCGGAACAACGTCACCGTGAGCGGGTCGTAAGATACCACGACCTCGATGTCCTTCTTTGTGACGTACGTCGCGCGAACGTCCTTTTTGCCCACAGACCACTTGACGTCGGGGCTGATAGTAGGCTCGGCGACGAGGGCCCACGACGACGCCTCGTCGTACCGCTTCCTCAGACCATCGACCTCGTCCATGCGCACGCGCACGACACCGTCATCGTGAACGCGCACGTCTAGTGAGAACTTGACATCGGGATACAGCGACGACTTCACCGCCGCCACGAGCGAGCTTGCTCGGAGAAACTGCCACGCTAGAAGGGTCCACAGAGTACGGAGACCTCCACGACGGGCTCTTGCGCCCTCGCGACAAAGCCCGTCCTCGCCGGCAGAACGCAGCTTGAGAACATGTCTTGAAGTCCTGCTGTTTCACTGCAAGTGCGGCCGGGAGAACGGCCAGGAAGAGCAACGAGCTGAAAGCTCGCATAGTGTACCTCACTCCCTCTTTGGAAGATGGTGTTATAATGGTGTGTTTTGCGCCGTCGCGTACGTATGGAGGAGGAGGAGGAGGAGGATGGTACATTTAGCCACCCACGTAGGACTTACCATCACGTGCATTCGATACTGTATACTTATGTACTGCTAGTGCTACACGCACTTTGCACGTACTGGTTGACTTAATGTATGCCGCAGCTGCTTTATTACTTGCTGGACACAACTACTATGTAAGTAGTAGACAGGAATGTGCACAGATAAGTAGCAGAATGTGAACAATAATTTGCTCGACACAGGCGTCCTGCTGTACACTGTCCGTACCATCCGATGCAATACCCCAGACTAATCTCCCCAAGCGACGGCGCGAATGGGACTGCCATCGCAACCTGCAAGGTTCATAGGCAGTAAGGAGACGCGAATATGACTCCAGCCACTCTCAACTACTTCGCCCAAACCACGAAGGTTCTCCACAATCACTCCCCCGGCTCGCAACACGACCCTGTGCACCATTCCCGTGTCTCCTCCATCGGTCCGCCATTCATCGGGGCTGATAGTATCCGCGCCGATGACCCGCACTCCCTTCTCGAGAATCCGTTCCGCAGCCTCCAACTCCAGATACGGATGGTCGCTGTAATCCAACTTCCCAACCGGGACGCCCAGCCCGTGCACAGTAGCACCGCCGTACCCTCGCGCATCCCGCTCTCGTATTTCCGCATGTCATCCCAGGTGATGGCTTCGTGCGGAGCCTTGTGGCGGACGTCGACGACGATGGCGGGCGCCGCGGCGAGCAGCGACAGGTCGAGTTGGTCGACGGAGCATGCGTCCTCGTAGAAGTGGTACGGCGCGTCTATGTGCGTCCCGGTGTGCGTCCCGATCGTGAGCGTGTGCACGTTCGCGAACGCGCCCTCGGCGAGCTTGAACGTGTGCTCGGCGGTGTACTTCGGGTGTCCCGGGCAGGTAGGCACCCCGTTGGGCACTAGCGGATGGGTGAGGTCGATGACTCGCGGTTTGAGCGCGGTGTCGAGTGCCGCAGGGTCTCCCATGTGAACGCGAGGGGCTTGGATGTGTTCGGGGGCACACAGCGTACATATATAGCCCGGGTCGGTGCCGAGGAGGCTGCAGGTGAATGTTCGGTGGTTCAAAGACATCACGGGAGGACAATACGGACGTCGGTCCGGGAGATAGAATCAACCGTCCACTGACAGACGGCGGCCTATTTTACGGCGTCTTCAGCGACACTTCAGTGTAGCTTGAGTGTAGCCTGGTGATACCTGGAGTAACATACAGCCTGGCCGCGCCAAAGAGTGCACCAGGGATGGGATGATGGATTGATAGAGCAAGCACCCGCAAGGTGAACGGGTCGAGGTTTCAAGTCTCATGTTCCGAGCGGCGAGGAGACGGGTAGCCGATGTTATCAGCGCCGTAGTCAGATACCAAGAACGTCCACCTGTGTCAAACACTATCACGTTGGCCGCTAATCTCAGGCGAAAACGAGCTGCACAGTTTCGTACGCACCAGACGAGTGTTGTGACTCTTTCGAACATCCCGGATACCAGACAGCGTTTGGGAAGTGAGGCAAGTCACACTCCGACAACCGCATTACGAAACACGAGAGTCGCCTCCTGTATGACATGTCATGAGGTCAAAACGCCTGAACTCGGAGGTCCTGATGACAGTATATTACCCCATGAGCATAAATCCCATGAAGTGAACGATCTCGGAACAGGAACTCACATGAATGGATCACCGAGTCCCGGACGTCCGTCTCCAAGCGAAAGCACGCACGGGCGAGCCATCGCATCCGCCGATCTTAAGCGGGACCATGTTGACGATCCAGTCACCGTCCTGTATCGCCCCGAGATTGCTAAGATTCTCCGCGATGATACCTCCAGCACCGAGGATGACCTGATGCACGGCAAAGTCGGCCTCTGCGTGCGGATCGAGGTGCGTCGCGTCGGGACTGAGGGTGCCGATACCTATGGTCCTGACGCCAGTCGCGATGACGCGCTCGGCCGCCTCGCGATCCAGGTATGGATGTTCGAAGTATTCGTCAGTCCCCCAGTACCTTGACCAGTCTGTCCGTACCAACATGATGAAACTGACATCCTCCGAGACGCATCTGCGCAGTCTCTCTTCATATGGTTGCAAGTCGCTCCAGACAATCGGCTCCTTGGCGGCTTTGTTCGATACGTCCACCACAACGGCACGACCGACGAAACGAGAAAGTGGAACATCATCAAGGCGCTTCCCGCCTGGCACGAAATGATAAGGTGCGTCGACGTGGGTGCCAGTGTGCGAGCTCATCGAGATGGACGCAATGTTGGCTCCGTCGTGCTCGATGGTCAGATTCGGACAGCAGCTGAATATGGGGTCGCCAGGATACGCTTGCGTGTTTAAATCCAGGGTCTGCGATAGGTCTATGAATTCAGCTGCCATGACCTCGACTGCACTGGAGATGAGGTGAGGAGGCAAGTTTAAGTATCAGCACGCTGCCTAGAGTCAGAACTTCAATGAGCAGTAGGTTGACACGATCACGTGATCCCAAGACCAACGGACCGCGACGCGACCTCACTCCTGAGTCCTCCTCCTCCCAATCCTCCTGCCTGGACGTTATAGCGCTCCTCCGGACTGCAGCTATCACACGCGTCACAAAAATTCAGCTCGTATACCGACCGTAGCCCTGATTAAGAGATGGACGAATGCTACACAGACGACACGAAAGCCACGCAAACAGCTGCACAATCTACGCACCGACTTCTCTACCGAGGCGCGCTCTCGCTTCCCGACTCGCACATGGTTCTCGACGGGCTGAGCTTTACAGCCCCTCTTCGTGCATCTGCGCTGGACGCGTCGAAGCTCAACGACGCCAACTTCGACTTGTTCAACCACCCCCTCGCGCTCGCGCTCGAGAGTATGCGTGGCAGACCCAGTCTGCATCTTGTGGGCGCTGTCGAGATGCGCAAGCTGTGGGTGGACGAGAAGAGCTCTGGGGTGGTACAACTGTGAGTACTTGCTGTGCTCTTTTGTCGTCATATGTGTATATCCCGCCACGCAGAGACATCCACCCGAAGGCGACATTAAGCCGATTATACTTCGAGAACATATTTTGCCTGGAGCCTTTCACGTCTCCTACCGGACGAAGTGACTACGGAGTACGTGTCAGCCTCAGCGACAGCGGTAAGCACTCGTCCAGCCCCTCTATTTTCCAACTGGTACCCACACACATGCAAAGGCGACTCCAGTGCAGAAGACATCCTTGTCTACGCCCAACTTGAATCCACCTCGTCCGACGTCTTCGACAGCCCCCTCACCCCTCCCTCCACCTCCACCTCCCCCTCACAGCCCATCCGCCTCCTCGTCGCGTGCATCCTCCCCGGCCCGCCGCCCATGCCCATCCCCTCGCGCCCGCGTCCAGACGACCCCACACCCCGGATGCCATCTCTCCCCACACCCACGACGGCCGCGAAGCGCAAGCGGGACGCGTCCCCCCTCTCGCGCGACAAGAAGTCCCGATCCGCGGCAGGGAAGGACAAAGACGGCCCGGACGCGGAGGCACTGCGCAGGGCGCGCGAGACGATGACGCGCCTTCCCAAAGCCATGTCCGCCCCCGCTGTGCCGAAGGCGGGCAGGCAGGCAGAGTTCAAGGTGCCGAGTGTCCCGCCGCGGGCCAGCGCGAAGGTGCGCCAGGCGAGCGTGGACGGGGACGCGTGCGAGAGCCCTGTGGACGCGTTCAACGCTGCGCATGTCGCAGGTGGGGAGTTTGCGACGTTCTCGGCGGACCAGAAGGAGAAGACGAACAAGACGGTGTGTTGATGTTCTCGGTTTGTCAGATGAATCGCTGATCCTTCTCGCAGGTCGTGAAGCAGGCGGTCGTACGCTGTCTCTCGGATCATGCTGTCACGAAGCAGCACCCAGAGTTCCACGACGTGTTCCAGTACATCTATAGAGGGACGTGCTTCGCGTTGGTGCGTGCATGGTTTATCTTCGCCTGATCGCTGAGCTCACTGTGCATCCAGCGGTCACAAATGCGCAGTACACCGGTCGATCTCTGGAGTGTGTACAAGCTCGTGGATTCACATGCAAAGATGTACGTCCCTGCTGGGGAACGTGGGGTTTCATAACAGGCTGCAGGTCATCCGTTTTTGCTGGTCATACAAGTCACCGAAGGTATCATTCACTGTGTACACGTACGGACATTCGAGGCAAGTTGCAATGTATCCTATACTCAAACGCATGCGCATGTACATACGCTCGCAATATGCTTATCCCACTCCATCCGTGCTGCCACGTAGACTCTGGGGACTATGAGATTCAGACAGCCACAACTTCTACATAGCTTCGTGCTATGTCCTGGTTGACACGGGAGAGTGAGCGAAAGGCACGTCTGTTAGGGAGGAACCAAGGCATGTAAGTCCGCCGCGCTCACTGGAGCGCCGCTTCCCTTTCAAGTTCGCGCCCGTGCTGCATTCCAATATCCAACCCGATTGACGGGGATGGTCCGCGGGTGTCACCTCAGCGGGCGGTATGCGTGCGGTGTCGGCATGAGTTGGGACAGAAGGTGAAGATCTCGTACGACCTACTGCTGTGTTCGGTGACGAGCTAGTAATATACAGGGTACCTGTACTAGCCGAGACAACGTTCTGTGCTGCATAGTCATGGTTCATCGCACGACCGCGCTACCGCTGACCAGTCGCCCAGATCAGCGCTAGCTGCGACGCAGCCGATCAACGTCAATTGCCGCTTTACTCGCAACAGCGCGCGCATATATATAGGCCCTCGTCAGCATGTAGTACTGACCCCGAAACGCTGCACGCCCTCACCGACATTCCGTACGCAATAGTATGCGCGTAGTCCAAGGTCCCGGAGGCCCTCTCCCAGCGATCCCAGATGACTTGACGATTCCACAGTTCATGCTCGATGTCGAGCACCCAAACAGACCAAGGCTGGACAAGAATCGACCATGGATGATTGAGGAAGCCACAGGGAGGGAGGTGAGAGAAGAAGAGGTGAGTGGAACGCGGTCACGGTACTACGATCCTCTTGACCGACCCAGAATACGTGCACGTGAGAGGGCAGGACCATCGTCTGTTCCTCCTCCTCTTCGAAGGGTCGAACATGGTTCAGCACCAAATGTCGTACACTTCGCTCTAAAATTCGGCGTCGTGATATGCGTTCTGCGAAAGAGGTCGATATTTTCCGTGTACTAGCCAAAGTGTGCTACATATCGTCGTGGTGGAGACTGTCGCTAGTGCTAGTGCTATGCGCTAGTACATGCAAGTTGAATGTTGAACGTTGAGGCGTTGAGGACCGGAACCTCACTGGCAGGCTCACAACGCACGAGAGCTTGACACAATGAGATTGGTAGCTCTGCGGTGACTGCACCTCAGGCACTAGCATATTCCATGTATAACGGGAATGGAGGTCAGTAACTCACAAGGGTGGTTTGCAGCTTCGCTCGCGCACAGACGGTCTTGCAAACACACTCAAGGCTCGTTGGAACATAGGCGGGTACCGATGTTCTCACTCTACTAGTAATGGTCACTGACGAATGCTCGATTCTATATACAGGAGATGAGGATGTTGGTGAGTCATCAGCATTTCTTCAGGGCGTTGAGCTCTGGACAACGTCTCTTGCCAGTTTGCGTGTACAGTCCGAACCATGTTGGTATGTTGATTCCCATTTAAGTGATGTTCGTTGCATCTCACCCAATAAATCTTAATTCTAAGACTACCCTGTGATGGTCTGGTAAGCTGTCTTTCGACGCCATGCGCCAGATCCTTGTCAACATATATTTCGCAGGGCCGTTCACCGACTGGGTGCTGTCATCAGGTGCGTACTAGCCTATGTCAGTCATGAATACCCACTGAGCCTCAATTTCCTTCTAGCACGGCCAACCCTTCGTACAATCATAACGAGCTCGTCCACCAATTAAAGACCACCAATGCCAAGCTTATCTTTGTGCATCCCACCTGTCTCGCGATCGCAGAAGCTGCCGCACGCACGGTCGGGATCTCGCTGGACCGCATCGTCCTAATTGACGAACCACCGAACGGGAAGTCCTCTTACACGACGGTCCAGGGACTCGTCACGAAGGGCTTGAACATACCGAGAAGCTATACAGAGAGGAAACTCAAACCAGGCGAAGGAAAGACGAAGATCGCGTTTCTGAACTTCTCCAGCGGCACCACCGGGCTTCCCAAGGTTCGGTACATCTAGTGATGGGCTGTGGGTGACGACTGAAGGTTTCTCGCAGGCTGTGATGGTTCCGCATCACGCGCAGATCGCCAACATCATTCAGTGTGTTGTTTATGCCGAAGGCGATCCTAAGCCATGGGAAGACAAGCCCTTCAGACCCGGTCGTATAATTTACGCAGGTTTGCTTCTTTTATTCCCAAATTATCTATGATCGCTCAGAGTGTCGATTGGTGCTTTGCAGCATTGCCATTCTACCGTAAGCTTCCGTGCACTGAAAACGGCCCTTGAGACATCCTGACAGATGGCAGACGTATATGGCCTTGCGTTTATCATGCACTTTGGGTTCTTCCTCGGGGTACATCATCAATTCTCTTCGTTGGCTTGCTGGATCATTGACCGCCGCCGCAGATGCCGCTTGTTGTTTCCCAGAGATTCGTTTTCACCGACATGCTCAAGAGTATCGAGCGTTACCGTATCACAACCCTCCCGTACGCGTCATCTTCTAATCCCGCGGACCAGAACTTGACTCGTTGATCAGCTGCGTGCCTCCTATGGCCGTACTGTTAGTCAAGGTTTGTCGGTGTCCCTCGACGCTCACCACACCCCATTGCTGACACACAAGTCTTATGTTAGCACCCAGACGTGAAGAAATACGACCTCAGCACCATCCAGTTTGTCATGATTGGGGCCGCCCCCGTTTCGCCCGAACTTCAAACAGCTGTGGCCAACGTCTTTCCCCAAGCCAGGGTCGGTCAGGCCTTCGGTGAGCTCCTCTCCTCTGCGTCAGGGCTTGCCTCGATTGACCCTCGTGCAGGTATGACAGAGAGCTTCGCAGTCGTTACGCTCCCGCGACATGACCAGAGGGTCGGCACGCTGGGGAGTGCAGGGGTGCTCATTCCCGGCGTCGCCGCGCGCGTCGTCCGCCCGGACGGCACGGACTGTGCGCCGGACGAGCCCGGGCAGTTCCTCGTGAAGGTGCCCTCTCTGGCGCTGGGATACTTGAACAATGAGCAGGCGTGCGTCTCGTCTGTGCTTTGCGACTCGGAACTGACGAGGAGTGTAGGAATAAGGAGACGTTCGTGGACGGGTGGCTGAACACGGGCGACGAGGTGATCGTCAACGACCAGGCCGAGCTGTTCGTCATCGACCGCATCAAGGAGCTCCTGAAAGTGCGGGGCTTCCAGGGTTCGTCGCCGGCTGTGCTCGTCCGCTTTGTCGTTGCTCACTTGTGGATACCGTATATCTGCCAGTTGCTCCCGCGGAACTCGAGGGCTTCATCCTCGACCATCCGGACGTCTCGGACGTCTGCGTGGTCAGTCTGCTCGACGACTTCAACGGCGACCTCCCCCTCGCGTTCGTCGTGCCCACCGCGAGCGCTAAGGAGCGCATGAGCAAGGACCCCGCCGAAGGTGAAAAGACCAAAGCGGCGATCGTCAAGGTATACCGGTTTCCCTTGATCGTCTTCAGAGGAACCAGATCGCTGATGATTCGTGCGGCCCTTGCAGTGCGTCGCAGATGGCAAGATCTCCTACAAGCAGCTCACTGGCGGCGTCAAGTTCATCGACGCGATCCCGAGGAACCCTAGCGGGAAGCTGCTCAGGCGGTTCCTACGCGACAAGGCGAGGAGTGCACACCTGAAGATCAAATGCGTTAAGGCGAAGCTTTGATGTGGGGCGCTTTCCGTCTGTAACGGAGCCTGTCGCGATACTCGTCGGTGCGCAGGCTGTAGACATCTTTCCAGTATCTATTTGGTAGAGACCACAATGCCAGCTGGTAAAATTCGGGCTTCCTTGGTTAGTGTGCATCAGCTCGTGTTCCAACTCGAGAAGGCAGCACTAGAAACTCGTTTACCCAAGGATATTACGGAACCACGACATTGCGTGTATGCTGCTCTGATTGGCTGGATGCGGCTCGCCACACGATCTCGAAGGGCTTTTGTTCTGTTTTTGCCTCTTCGAAAGGCGAGAGAGGACGACGGTGTCGCAGAATTCAAACCTCCACGCCGACCGTCACGACATGAGGGCCTCCAAATCCGAACGCGCGTGGTCCGCCCATGTCATACTGCGACCCCGAGCACCGAAACCGCAAGGGAAAGTAGCCACGGTCACGCCCACCGAAGGCGTGCTCTTGCAAGCCGAGGATCATCTTGGGGTATATGTAGTCGAACGATCCATGACCACTGAATCTGTCTCTTCTGCGGGCGAACATCGAACATGAGGCAGGCGAAAGCAGATCGCCTACCACGTCCAAAATGTTGAGGTCCTTCGCGCTGACGCTGGTGGTGGTGTTGGTGGTGGTGGTGGTGGTGACCAACGTCGTGGTGGCGAGGGTGACAATTGTCAGCGTGGTGGCGCCAATGACTCGGACGATCATGTCCGTGGGGGCGGCAATGCTCGCACCCGCCGTCCGGGGTGAAGTAGAGGAGCTACGGGTCCGAGGAGAGTTCTCGCGGGACAGACCGTGGTGGTGTAACTCCATGAAAGTCTCCAGAGAGAACGTAGCGTATACAGGGGTCGGTAGATCACCGATTGGTCTGGAAACTAGACTGGTACGAGAGCTTTCAGTCTCTCTGCCAGTGAACAGTCCAAAACTTCGAATGCCACGCACCGTTAGGCTTTGCATCGCCTCTGGACAGCGAGAGCGACGGTGGTCTTAAGTAACATGGGCGGAGGACTTGTTATCACACTCGCGCGCAGAGCAAAGCAGGGTAACGGGCATTATATAACATCATGACACTGACAAGGTATGATGTAAACGTCAAGCTGGTCTGCAATGAGACGAGGAGACGCACCAATACCACAAACTACCACTGCACTGGCATAAAAGAGTACCGTACGTACATACAACGTAGTACTGCGTACATTGCATGGGTTCCTATAGGACAAGTCGTCATAAAGGAGTGGAATCGGCATTCGGCTGGTCAATCTCGCTGAGTCCTGACTCATTGTTCAGGAATGCGATAATGAGAAGACGAAGAAGTGTCACGTAAAGACATGGCAAAAGTGAAAGTGGAAAGGCATATTGCCGGGGAAAGGAGGTAGAGACGTTGACATCGTTTCCCAGTCGGGGACATACTGATGCTGTCGAGCATGCTAGACCATTGAGCGCAGCGCGAGGGCGAACATGGCCTACGCAAGCTCGTCAAACTCGCGGCCGCGGTAAAGTCCGGTACGTGAACGAATCTCCCTCCACGGCCATGCCCGGGTTGATGAATCCAGCTGCCTCTCCCGCTGCACCCCCGACCAGGAGCTACAACGGGTGAGACGCTCCACCAGGATACACCGAGCGCGGAGCCACGTCCTACTACACGATCAGTCCCACGTGTAGATGCGTAAGGTCATTGTGGGGTTTAACTTACGGGTAGCATGTCGTTGTGGCTCCGTCGACATGGTCGAATCCCGATGGTCAGTCGTTCGTATACGAAATGGCTTGATGACGGCGCGAGAATGGACCCCAATCAATGCCTCCATCAGTGGGCAGTCTAGGCAAAGCGGTCGAAGCGGCGTGTAGGAGAACGCGAAAGAGGTCCGGAATACAACCGCGTAGGGCGCGAGCCACGGGCGAGGGCGCGACGTGCGTTCGGTTGAGTGGTGACAAGGGGGTAGGAAAGGATGAGGTAATTGGACATGCGCCAAAACGAAGCAACACGGGCCGCGAATTCGTCCAACGTGTGATGGCGGTTTGAAATGGTCCCATGAGCACAGATGTGCACTCGTACCGTGTTGGTATTCTTTCAGAATAATGCCGTAAGACATGCTGATGGTCTGCAAGGCAAAACCAGTGTGGGGCGCGCCGCGCTCTAGAGTAGCGATGCGCTCGACCCAGGTAACTCCACCGCGGCGATACGTTGTCTGGTGCTGGCCTGATGGACTTTGGCGAGCAAGCAATGACGGGTGCGGGGCTCAGCGGATGTTGGGGCTAGGCTCCTCAGTGGTGGGCACCTGATGAGACACTGGCAGAGGCGGTGAGGCTGGTGGGCTCGCCGTCATCAAAAGAATGTCATGAACATGCATTCCATATGCAGGAGGGGGATGCGGGCTATGAGACCGGTGATGGTCATCGGCTTGGACCGATGAACGGTCCAAGCCGATTCCGCCTCCGTCCTCTATGTCAATAACGGTGCCCGATCGCAGCGCTCGCGTCAGGTCAAGTGCAACTGCTGCACCGTTGGGACCGCGAAGCAGCTGCGCTCGGCCCAACCGCAGCGGTGCTTCATCTATCCACAAGCCCTCCCCATGTGCGAACAGGCTGTAAGGTTCAGCCACCATACGTCGCGCGAATTGTGCTTCAGCCGCGTCGGGAAGCCCAGAATCGCTCTCGTAGGGCGGTGGGGGTGTTGTGGATCGACGCTGTACATCGACGGGCGACTCGTCGGTCAGGAAGGCGGGTGGGCACCTTTGAGAGATCGCTATCTTGACAATGCGATCTCCAATCGGGTCGACAGTACTGTCGTCAACGCTTTCGTCACTAGTACGAGCGATGGCCTGGTCGACGACGTTGACATGTCTGTTACGCACCCGGCACTCCACTGACTGGGCTGAGGACACCATAGCTAGCAATGCCCCCAGTTCTTCATCGTCGCCTACAACTACCTGGCGGCCATCGTGACCAAGATACTGGAGGGCCGCGCCATTCGTTGGGGTGTCGTAGACTGACCATAACCATTTGTCAACGTCTATCCAAGAAATAGATGAAGTCAATGTCAATGTGCGAACAGGCTTGCTGCCGCAAAAGAAACGAAAAGTAAATAAAGTCTCCATGTCAGAGCCAGGATTATTAGGTGAGGAAAGCCTCAAGGGAAGGGGGAGGGAGTGAAAGAAAGTCTTAAGTACGTAGTGCTGACAGTGATTAGTCGGAGTCCTAATGTCTTATCTTCCACGGTCACTGGACCGTGGACGCAACTGCGCACGCGCAACTTATCGTAGCGGCGCGAGCGCCGATCCCCGACTCCTGCATGGAACACAGCTACTCAGCCTGTCACAGCAGCACCAGAGTATATTATGTATGTATTGTAATATTGTACCATCAGAGTGGTATGGAGACTCAATTGGAAGCCCTCACGCCCGCGGCGGCTTCGCCGCCCGGGTGTCTCGGGCTTCCATGACTCCTAGTATGTATCACAGTACTTGTTTGTTTGTTTGTTTATTCCCTTTAATGTCACTGAGGGCGAAGCCCTATGTAGACATTACATACACTACTCTCGGCGTGTCTCGTCTGGTCCGTGGTCGCTGCGCATCACCGTCCGCCGAAGCATCAGGTAGGTATAGTAGAATGTAATGTAGGGTAGCAAGGTGTGAATGTGTCGAACGGAATGAATTCTGGGTGTGCGGGATCTCAGTTCGCTGTGCGTCGGCCTCTGTTCATCGTATCACAGTACTTACATAAGTCTGTAAGTGCAGGCTATCAAAAATGAGAGAAACTCTCCTGCATTTGGGAGGAGTCGTTTGATGGTCAGAGATCCAGGCGTCCAGACACAGCCAGATGCACGGAAGGATCCAACTGCCTCGAGCTGCCTCGTAGGACACTCGAGCATTGCTGCAATACCGTTTATGGGAGCTGCAAGTCACGTGTTTCCCACGGAGGGAGCGGCATCGCCGGCATCGTCTCAAGTTAGGGTGGACAAAGCCCTCCTCTCTCCCTCCGGTCGGAGTCGGGGATACTGAGGCAGCTCACCGGTAGCGTCGAATTCATCGACGCAATCTCGAGGAACCTTAGCGGCAAGGATTTAACGCTGTTTTTCTGTGACAAGGCGGGAAGAAGGCTAAAGGCAGCGAAGCCTCGGCGTGGAAGCGGCTTCTGTCACGACGGTTACTCGTGCTGTTTATCTGAGTAAGTTACATCGATATGCATCTTGTTGTCGACTCGGATGTCTATGAAACGGAGATAATCTTCTCAGCCAGTGTACACTGAGTCCCTTCGGAGTGAGTATGGGTCACAGCGTGGCCGTGGGATGTTCCAAGAAGACGACAGTCGATATTCACCGAGGATGGGTTACGGAGCCATGACATAAATCATGGAAGGTTCGTGTATGCTACTCTCTGCTTTGTGTGGCTAACTACAAATACCGAAATATAGTAGATGACTCAAGGGCCTCTCTGGCTTTCCCTAGAGGAGCTCGAAAGGGGGAAAAAGTCGCTTTCACAGTATATACTCAGACCTCCACGCGCGTCACTTTTAGGGTGTTCAAACAATCCTGAAACCACTGGCAGGCAGTCCGCTCATGCCCATGGGGCCCATACCGCGACCTTGCCGAACCCGCCACGACTGCGCCCAGCGAATCCGAACGCATCCTGCTGCAAGTCGGGGAACATCACGGTCTCAGGACGCATGTGCTCAAATGGGCCCTGCCCTCCGAAACCGCCTCGCCCGCGCTGGGCGAACATACCGCCGCACCCGCGCCCGCCACGCATGTCAAACGCGAAAGCGGATCCGCTACCACGTCCGACTCGGAGATGGTGAGCTCCTCCGCGCTGGTGATGATGGAGGTGACCGACGTTGTAGTGGCGAGGACGGTGAAGACAGTGAATATCGCCGTGATGGCGCTGATCATGTTCGTGGGGACGGCGGTCGCACCCGCCATTCGGAGTTGGCTACGAGACTGGGGAGTAGAGAAGCTACGGGGCTGAGGTGAGCTCTTGCGAGACAGACCGTAGTGCCGCATCTCCACGAATATCTCAGGAGGAGCACTGTGCGCGCGGATCATTTCATGACTCATCGGAGCTAGTGGAAGACTGTGACTCATCAGGAAAACCCTCTTTTGGCAATAACAGCGAATGTAGCATTATTACCGCGAAAGACGAGTAATTGTAGCCATTCGTATGTTCGCTGTAGTAGCAGTATATTCGCTATGGTCGAGAACTCAAATTTGAATAACACGATATTGCGAAGAATGCAGTCGTGTTCGGGGCAGGTTCCACACTATTATGTGGATCATTCCATTTATTCTTTGTGTTCGCAGCACATTCGGCACACAGACGCATAGGTATGAGAAACCATGACATGCATTATAATGTACTGTCGGCAATCCAAGACAATACAGCCGGCACAACTACTTATAGTATATACTTGTCCACTACTCGGAGCACAACGTACCTTGCGACATGCTTTCCCAACTTCAAGTTCAACTCGTACCCGTACTACCTGCCTTAGTACAGACCCACCAGAGCAGGTAAGCGTTTGCGGATCCATGGGTAAGCGAGAGCGTGGGCAGGAGGAAGCAGGACCAATGGGCAAACGAGTAGGCATGCGCGCGGGCGGGTGGGAGCGTGGGCAAGAGAAAGCGCGGAGAGAAGGCATGGGGAAGAGAAAGTGTAGGCAAGTGAGCCGGTGAAGCATGGGCGAGCGCGAGCTGGTGGGTGGGTAAGTATGTGGGCGAGCAGATCGGCGCGAGAGAGAGAGAGTGCAGGCGGGAAGTGAGCGGGCGAAAGAGGGCACGGGCAAGATGGGGCGCAGGCAAGACACAGCGCGGGCGGTAGGGATTGCAGGCGAGAGGCAGTGCGAGCAAGCAGGCCAAGAGTGGGCAGGCAGCGAGTGGGCAGGCAGCGAGTGGGCAAGCGGGCGAGAAGCCGTCGGCGGGCACGCACATGAGAATGTCATGTCGGCAGATGAGCGAGTTGGCACGAGGATGAGTGTACGGGTGGGCAAGAGCGGGCGGGAGAGTGAGGTAGTGAGAAATCGAGTTTGGGCAGACAAGAGCGGACCAGCGAGTGGGCAAAAGGGAGCGTGGATGAGAGGGTGCATGGGCGAGAGGGCCTCAGGGCGCGCTGGCAGGTGAGCAGGCAGGTGAGCGGGCGGGCAGACGAGCGGCGGGCGAGCAGACGAGCGGCGGGCGAGCAGACGAGCGGCGAGTGGGCAGACGAGCGGGCAGATGAGCGGCGAGCGGGCAGACCGCGCAGACAAGAGCCGGTAGACAAGAGCCGGTAGACAAGAGCCGGTAGACAGGTGAGTTGGGCAGGCTCGCAGGCGGGTGAGCTAGCGAGTGAGCTGGCAGGAGAGTGAGTGCACCGGTGAGTTAGACGGTGAAGACGACGGCGAACGGGCAAGAGCAGGTGGGCGAGCAAGCTAGGGAGACCGCGAACCGGGCGGATGAGGACGGGCAAGCGAGCAGGCAGGCATTTGAGCCGGTGAGAGGATTAGAACAAGAAGAGACGAGCGAGCAAGAGCAGGAGGGGGGCGAACCAGCAGGAAGGCAGGGACGGGCAAGCTAGCGAGAGGTGAGAGTGGGAAGGCGAATAAGCCGGCAAAACGGTGAGTAGGCAAACGGGCGAGCGAGCGGGCGGATGAGCGTACGAGCGAGTGGGCGAGCGAGTAGGCATTTGGCAGACGGCAGACGGCAGACAGGCGGGCTAATAGCAAGACGGTGAGGGTGGGCGGAAGACGTGCACGCGTGCGCAAGTGAGCAGGCGTCACTCACCTACAAGTACTGTTCCTGCCATGGTCCGCTTCCCCCGACTCCATGTCTTCCTCGCTCCCCCGTCGCATCTTCTGTTGGCTTTGATCGATGTTACATAGCACCACGCAGTGTTGAAACGTTGAAACTAAGTCGAGCGATTGAACGTTGACCGGAACGTTGACGTGGAGGCTGCGAGTCGTGAGAAGTGCTAAGCGCCTCGGCCACGACACGTCACGCGCGCTTGCCGGACTTCCTCTCGAGTCCCTCCTCCCTCAGGCCTAGTGATGGACACGGGTAGCACCGCGGGTGCGCAGGGTGCATACCGCACCCGCGACCCGCGAACCCGTACCCGTGTACGGTGCTACCCGCACCCGACCCGGGTCCACCGCCGGTGTTGACGGTGAACCGCGGGTTGGCTCACCGTGGGTACACCGTGGGCAGGTTCCGCCCACCTGCACCCCGTTCGTGCGGCGACAGCACCAGCTGTCATGTCTCTGTGCAGGACAGTCGTCCTGCACGCTCGCGGTCGCCTGCACCGTGGTGCCCCGTGCCCATCCGCTTACTCTCTCGCCCTCTCGCCTGCCCACTCGCGCACCCACCCGTCTGCGTGCTCACCTGCTTGTCTGCTAGCGGTGTGCCAGCCCGTCTGTCTGCTGTCCCGGCGCCCGCTCGTCCTCCTGCCCACTCGCTCGTGCGTGCGTTCGTCGTCCGCGTCTGCGTGCCGGGCATTTGCCCAGCACACTCACGGTTGGTGTGCGTGTCGCGCTTCATGTCGCCACGCCGACGGTGCCTTGCGCCTGCCCATTCTCCCTCTTCTTCGCTCGCCCCGCGGTCCAGTCGTTGGGCATGCTTGCGTGCTGGGCATTTGCCCAGCACGCAAGCACTCGGCGTGTACGGTCGTCCGCCTGCTCGTCCGCCCGATGCCTGCTCGTCCGCCCGATGCCTGCCCTGCTGTGGCGTCCCTTAGTCCTCGTGCCCGGTATGCGCTGTATCCAGTCTCTATTCAGAGGAACTGTCTACACTTGCATACATGGGGCGATGAGGATGGTAAAGGACTGAGGTCTCGTAGGTGCACAGGCGCGCCATACGAGCCCTCAGGCAAACAATGACAAACATACAAGACGAGAAATACCGTAACGGGAATATCCGTTACACCCTCCCCCACTGGACACGACCACGGGTCCCAGCGATAACCAGAGAAACAGATAGAAAAAAGGAAAAAGAAAGGAAACACACGCAACAACCCAACGGTGGTAGCGAGTGGCAAAACAAAGATGATGTTGAATTGATGGAGTTATGCAACCAGGAACGTAGACTACTACTCGGACTTGGAGTAGTAGTCTGCGTCTTCCGAGTTACCCTCATCTTCGGCAGATAGTGCAGAAGAACTCTGGATATCCTCCATCTCAGACTGCTCGTAGTAGTCAGAGACTACTACCGAGTTTGTCTCTTCAGACCCTGAACTTCGTGAGTACCACAAGCTATGGTGCTCGGACTCGGAGAAGTACTCCGACTCAATCTGGTCAGGGTACTCCTCACGAGTGGTGGTATGAGGCTCCTCATCAGAGGAGTTATACCAGTCAGAGTCATCCCGAGGTTGACTGCGAGGTGGTACAACAAGCCATCCCAGCTTGTTGTAGGCCCAATATCGCACCATCTCCATAGGTAATGGTGCAATGAGCAGAGGATCAAACTCGAGAGGAACCACTTCCAATTCCCTCTGGAAGTGGTCCCATGCTCGACGAGCAGCACGAGAATATGTCCCCGGTCGCGGGGACATCTCCTCGATGGCCTGTCCACAGCTGAGTGCAGATCTCTTGCAGTGAGCCCAAATGGCCCACTCACCATCACTCGCCGCGGATTCGGCCTCGTCGAAATCGTGGTCGAGCTGGTCCGCGAGGAGGCTGAAACACAACTTGCGCAACACCTCATCCGTGGGCCATTGACTCACGTCGACGATTACTGGACAATCCGGTGTGCATGCTCGGTTCAAGACTGGTACTTCGCGGCACGAAGTACCGGCTTCCCGAGTGGCGTTGTGGCCACGATGGTCACTACTAGTACCCTCCACGTCGAGTCGATCACTCGACACTCGCGGTACTAGTACGGGTAGTACCTGTCTCGATGTTTGACATGAGGCCTCTTCGCGCAACATACTGGTGGCAGTGTGAGATAGGCGGCGGCCACTCAAGGCCCCGCTCCCTTCCCCTCTCAGGAGAGTACCCCCCCTCGTGGAGGAGGTAGCTCCTCCCTGTGCTCGCGCCAGCTCGGTCTCAGTACCATTAGTAGCAGTCGAACGTCGCCGTTCGCCTGAGTCCAATGATTCCAACCCTCGCGCTGGCTGTGCCTTCTTACGGGCGCGCGACGACGCCCTGGTCATCGCGTCATTCGATGCGGGCGCATCACCTGGTAAACTGGATGTGCCTGCCACACCATACGGCATGAGTATTTGCACCCGCGAGGACGAGGGTTCGTCCTCGCCAAGTGTCTCCACTACTGGAGTTATTGACGTCGACTTGTCAGTCGACGTCAATCCAGTCGACTGACCCGGGTCCGAGGAAGGAGACGGCACATTCGTCTTGGATGTGCTCGGCGGTGGGTCCCGGTCTTGTTCGTTGGATGTGCCAAGTACCTCGCGGTACTTGGTGTAGTGTTCGTCGCCGTAAGCCGCGACCAGTCCACGTTGGTCTTCGAGGTGCTGCCAGTGGGCGCGACGTGCAGGTGGCATGTAGCGTCCCGACGGTCGCCATCCGGGCTCGGGTGCAGCCTGTCGCACATCTACCTTTGTAGATGTTTCGGTCGACTGCTCGCGATCCACGGGATCTGGCCTGCCCATTTTTTCGTTAAGGCTCGTTTCAGTGTCGCCCAGCGGTGGCACTGTAATGGGAGAAGGTGGGTGGGCGAGTACCTCGCAGTACTCGCCCTGGTCAGTCAGACGATCGTGTCCGCCTGCAGCATCCTCTGCATCGAAGGTAGTGCTCGATGGCGGTGCCGCACCAGACGTGGATAGGTGGGACGCGTCAGTAATGCGTGTATGCACTCCGGACGCGCCGCCGTGCGTGGCCACAGATACGACTAGTATGTCGTTCTGTGGTGTGAATGGACCACTGTCCATTGCGACGACCTTCAGGGTGGTCGCAATCGGCGCGAGCAGTGGTACGGAAGCGGGTGACGGCGGTCGCGATGCGAGTACTGAAGTGTACTCGCTCTTCGGGTCACTGGCGAGCTCAGAAATGCTGGCGTCGAGCGTAAGGCTCGACGTCATTGGTGGTATCGGGATGGAAGATGGTGACGGCGAGGTGAGTACCGTGAGGTACTCGTTGTTGAGCTCACCGCCGAGCTCCTCCGCGTATGCATCGCACGGTATGCCCGACGTCCGCATAGGAGCTACCAGGACGTTGGGTGCGTCGATCGAGCTCGCCGGCTCGCCGGTCATACCGCCATGCCTGACCATGCCGGGTACGACCTGTAGGTCGTCCCCTGGGCTGACTGTACCACTGTCGTATGCGGTGACTGTCACGACAACCGCCTCGGTTGTCGTGGTCGTCACGGGCGGTGATAATGGGATAGGAGATGGTGGTAGGGGCAGGGGGGGTACGTCTCTCGCAGACGTACCTGTCGTCGAGCTATCCCACTCGACTCGCACACCTTCTGTGCTTGCCCTGCACCCTTCCCCCTCTCCTCCTTCTGCCTGACCCTCCTCATCTACCTCTCGCGCTTCCTCGCCCTCACTCATATCGCCCTCGTCCCGCCCTGACCGTCATTCGGTCCTACGCGCGTCCCCCAGGGTTCGCGTGCGATCTCCGACTCGTGGTGCCCGTCGTAGTCGCCATGGGTGTCGGAAACCATGGAGAAGTCGATGGAACGTTGGGTGGGGTTCCCTAGGAGCGAGCCCTCGGCGAGAACTGTAAAGTTCTCGCCGGGTTGACGGTCGGGACACCGGTCTGGCGTATCGGGTTTCGTAAGCGCCGGCCGCTGCACTACCGGCAGTGCGGCAGTCGGGTCGCGAGCTCGAGCTCGCGCGTTCTTCAGGAGTACGCGATCGTCGGGCTGCGCGCTCGTCGGGGCGCCGGGGTCGCGGAGAGAGTGGTTGCTGGAGAAGTCGAGGTCGAGATCGGGGCTTGCCAGCTCAACCGCACAGGGTTCGGCTGTCTTTAAGCCCGAGACGGAGACTTGCACGCCCTGGAGGATGTGCAGGTTCTCCTGGGAGGCGTCCGCGCGGAATTGATGACCATCGGAGGTGATAACGAGTCCGTCCGGAGGGCCTGCCAGTTGAACCGCAGGCGGTTCATCTGTGCAGGTGCGAACTACTTGTGCTCGCCAAGGGACGGTCCGAGCCTCTCGCAGCGAGGCCATACGCGGCGGTCGGCCTTCCAAAGATCTTGTGGAGTCGAGCGCGTCGCCAAATGGGTCGCCGGGGTCGTCCCATGGCTTGGCCAACTGAACCACAGAGGATTCAGCTGCGTCGGAGCAGCCAGAGACCTGCACTTCCTCACGGAAGTGCGATCCATCTTGGGACGCCGATGTTAGCGCGATGCTACTGTCCGACAAGGAGTCAGTGAACACCGCGTCACAGCCAGTCGAGGTTAAATGGAACACCTCGGACCTGCATCGCTGCTGGTCCGTTGTACCGCCTTGCGAGATGGAAGGTACGACCTCGCGGTCGTCCACTAGTACAGGTGCACCACTTTGCAGTGCGGACGGTACAACCATTGGGTCGTCTCGTAATTCGAACGTGCCATCTTCATGGTCACTCGTGATCATGGGAGCAGCGATGAAGAGACGGTGGCCCGACGAGTCGCGGGCGATGCTCTCGGCGGGCTCCCTGTTCGTCGTCACACTCACTGGTGTGGACGCCCTGGCAGGCGCGGACCTGGCATGTGTCAAAGTGAGTACGTTCCTCCGGGACGTATCCTCACTTTTCGACCCTTCGTGCCGGTCAATAGCGTGCACATCGAGTAGTAGATTCGGTGTGTGCGCTATGAAGCGGTCGTTGTTACCGGAACAGAGCACGTCGAACGCGAAGTGCTGCGTCTCCATCGCGCAGCCTTGCGAACTGGAGGGTACGACCTCGCGGTCGTCCCCTAACGCAAGTGTGCGGCCTTGCGGATCGGAAGACACGACCAACAGGTCGTCCTGCAGCGCGGATCTGCCGTCCTCATGGCCAGCCGCGCGCTCGGTGACCTTCACGTTCTTCGCTGCACTTGCTGGTGCGGGCACGGCCAAGAGGATAGGTATCGAGGTGGATACGTCCGCCTGGGGCGTATCCGCTACTCGATAGCCAGTCATGGACTGGTGGGGCACGTCGGACGTGCAGTACTGCGCGTCCGTCGTATCGCCTTGCAGGGTGAAAGGTCCGGGTACGACCTCAGGGTCATAACGCAGCACCCGTGGGACATCCGGTACGACTTCGCAGTCGTACCTGAGGGCAGTAGTGCCATAGTCGTGGCCAGTAGTGCGCACGACGAGCCTTGAGTTCGTCGGTACGCCTACTGGCGCAGGTACAGAGGGTATGGAGGGTACGACCTGGAGGTCGTCCCGCAGCACAGACGTGCTGCCACACGGAACATCAGGTACGACTTCGCAGTCGTACCTGGGGACGTGGTTGCCCTCTTCGTGGCTAGCAGGATGCACGACGAGCTTCTCGTTTGTCGCTACGCCTGCTAGCGCGGGCACGGGAAGCGGGGGCTGCGATGCAGGAACGTACAGTGAGTACGTACCTGTGGTAGTCGAGCCTTCGGGCTCGTGCTTCCTGCTCGCCCCGCACCCTTCCTCCCTCTGTCCCTTTGTTCCTTCCTTCTCCTCGCTATCGCTCCCCGTCTCCCTGTCCTCTTTCTGCTCTCCTCGCTCCGCGTCCTTCGTGGTCCGCTCGGTCCTGCTACTCGGCGCGGGACTTGAACGCGCATCGTTCAAGTCCTGGATCACGCGGCTGCGTTGCGTGTCGCCAGAGCCGCGGTAGGGGTCGAGGCGCGAGACGAGAGGGGAGAGTCGAGGATCCGGGGAGGAAGGAGGTGGTGATCTGGTACCGTGAAGTACCAGGTCGTCGGTCGCCACTGACTGGACTGGCGGCAAGTCAGACAGCCATTCGCGAACGCGAGTTCGCACTCGCGTTGGGGCCCCGCGCGCGTCTGGTTCGCCAGACGGGCGCTCGAGGTGGCTGCCCAGAGAGTGGGAGTGGTCGAGGACGTGGAGTCGGTGGTGGCGGTCGAGCGCAGTGCGGTGGGCGCTAGCACTCAGGCCGCTCGCCACGGACCCGTGACGCTCGACGCCCGTAGGGTCGAGCGCGTCGCGCGTCGCGTCGAGCAAGCTGCTCGACAAGGCTCGCACGTCATTCGACAACGAATATATGCTTTTTGTGTCGCGGCTCATCTCTGAGCACGCGACGGGCGTATCTACACGCGTGGGCTCGTTCCCACTGCACACAGTACTACTGTAGTACTGTGTGCCTATGCCCTCCCGTGTGCTAATGCGAGTCAGCTCCTGGCGCTGCTCGTTCACTCCGGGCACGAGCTCGACTACGGCTACGTCGTCGAGCTCGGCGCGCTCACCACTCCTCCGAGTGGTGCCGAACTTCATCGGTTGGCTGGTAGCAGGCGGAGAATCAGTCTCCGGGCGGCTCTGAGCGAGCTCGACGTTGGGCTCGAGCTGCTCAGCGCGCGGTGCCTGTTCGACCTCACGGTCGGACGGCGCCTGCTCTGTGAGTGCTCCGGCTGAGTCCTCGCGGTGAGAGGACTCAGTCCGGGTGGTCTTCGTGCGAGAAGACCGACTGCGGCTGCTGGCCTCGGACAGTGCGGCGTCGACCGTTGCCAGCAGGTCGGCCTCGAGTTGCTTGGATTCCTCGAGGGCTTTGTTGATCCGCTCTTGACTTGCGGCGAGCTTCGCTCGGACTTCCTCGCGCAACGCCTTCAGCTTGCTGCGGGTCCCACTGTGGGACCCGCGGCTGCTTCGCGAAGGTGCGGACGGGTTGGTGGTCGACTCGGACATCTTGTCGAGTTGTCGAGTTGGCCAGAATATGATCAGAATAGCATAGAGTTGTTGACGTCGAGTAGGTAGATATCGAAGTCGAGTTTCGAGGTTGTTGCCTAGAATAGATTCCCAGAGTAGAAGCTTGTCTGGAGCGCAAAAAAGTGTGGCGTCCCTTAGTCCTCGTGCCCGGTATGCGCTGTATCCAGTCTCTATTCAGAGGAACTGTCTACACTTGCATACATGGGGCGATGAGGATGGTAAAGGACTGAGGTCTCGTAGGTGCACAGGCGCGCCATACGAGCCCTCAGGCAAACAATGACAAACATACAAGACGAGAAATACCGTAACGGGAATATCCGTTACACCTGCTCGTCGGCCGTGCCTGCACGCAGGACGTTGGCCCTGCGGTCGTCCTGCGCGTCGTGGTGGTCTGTACCTTGTACCCTCCACCAGCTCGCCTGCCCGCTCGCCCACCCACCCGCTCGCACGTCCCGTTGTCCGCTTTCCTGACTCCTCGCCCGCTCGCGTGTGCCTTCGTCGGCCGTGCTTGTGTGCTGGGCATTCGCCCAGCGCGTTTGCGGTTGACGTGGATGCTGCGGCCTGCTCGCTAGCTCATCCGCTAGTCCGCTCACCTGTCCGTCTTCTCGACCACCCGCCCGTCTCCCCGTCTCCCTGCTTGCCCGCCCGTTTGCCCTTTCTCCCGTCCATCCAGTCGGCTGCCCGCCCGTCCGCTCGCCCGCCCGCTTTCCCATCCGCCTTCTGCCCGCTCGCCCGCTCCGTGCTGCACGTCGCCGCCGACTCGTCCTCGCTTGCCCTCACCCGCCGTGCTCCACTCGCCCTCGCCCGTCTTATTTCCACGCACGCGGTACGGTCCTCGGTCGAGCTTGCGTGCGAGGCATCCGCCGCGCGCATGCCCGTCTGTCGGCTGCTGGTTCGTCGGCTGCTGGTTCGTCGGCCGTGTCTGCGTGTTGGGCATTCGTCCAACACGCTCGCGGTTGGCGTGGGTTGCTGCCTGCCCGCCCGTCCGGTTGTCTGCCCGCCGCGCATTCGTCGGCCGTGCCTGCACACAGGGCGCTGGCCCTGCGTGCTCGCGGTCGTCGTGTGCGTCGCGCTGCACGCTGCCGTGTCCTGCGTCTGCGTTAGTGGGCTCGCTCGCGTGTGTCTGCACGCACCTCGTTGAGAGACCCGCGATCCGCTCGCCGTCCGCACCCTTCCCGTCCGCGCCCGTGATCCGCCCTCGTCGCTGAGCACGCGCCCGCCTTTTCCCCGTGCTCGCCGTCCCTGTATCCGCCGTGTTCGCGCATGGTCAGGCCCCAACTGCGGAGAGGTGAGTACTCACTCACCGGGTCCCTGGCCTTGGGGTGCTCGCCTCGCCTGCCCACCGCTGGCGTACCTGCGGTCCATCCGTCGGGCGCGTTTGCGCGCTGGACGCTCGTGGTGGTGCCCGCGCGTGCCCGAGTCCAAGCCGCGTCGTTGCTGAGGTTGAGGGAGGAGGTTGGGAGGAGGCGAGGCAACCTCGCGAGCGCCACGTTTGGGCGCTCGCGGAGTTGCCTCTTTTGGCAACACCGCCGCGGGTCACCACCGCGCCACACCGCCACACCGGACGGCGGGTATGCGGTAGTCGCGGTGTGGCGAGGATCGCACACCGTACCCGCACCCGGGGACACCTCGGGTACGTTACCGCGGGTGTACCCGGTACCCGCGTCCATCCTTACTCAGGCCTCAGTACCTGTTCGTCACATCTGCTTCGCCCTCGCTTGCCCGCCGCTGACCTCCAGTATACACAGGTGGACCCGTCCGCGAGAGACGGTGCATACATTGAACCACTGCACAGACCGAGATTGCACTGTACGCAACAGCAACGAGCCCCAGCGACGCACTAAGAGCGTCGCTGGAGGCTTGCGAAGAGTTAAGATGCAGGGAGGAATGCAGTTTCCGGCCAGCAGGGCCAGCGAGTCAGGTGAGTACCCCGCTTTTCACCTCGACTCCAGGAATGTCCACCAAGGACGAGTGGGTGGAGCCTAACAGCATGGAGACAACCCCGGCGCACGTTTGCTCAACAAGCACAAGTGCATACGAATACAACGCGCATTGGTACGACAAGGGCCAGCTTGCCGCACACTAATAATATGATGCAGTGCCCAAGCTCGGTACAACGCAGCTCATCGAGCTGGACCGCGTTAAGCAACAGCCTGCCAGTGTAACGGGCCTATTTGGATGTCATCAAGACCTACCCGATATGGAATATCTTATCTATATGCTGTTTGCTTATGTTTGTACTCCCCTCGTATGGCGTGCCAGCGCACTTCCTGTAGTCTCCAACTACCCTTTAATCACTGCCTAACGATACACATAGTCTGTAGACTTCTCTTGAATAGAGATTGGATACAGCGTATCTGCGGGTGTGAACTGGGTCGTTACATATTTTTACGCTCCTCTGAACTTCTCAGACTTCTACTCTGGGGAACTCTACTGGCAACAAACTCTCGAAACTTCGAACTCAAACTCGAAATCTATGCTTTTTGGAACACTCTAGTCGACCTCGCAATATCTCAAGAATATGGCCGAGTCGACAACCAACACTTCCGAGCCCACGCGCAGCAGCCGCGGGTCCCGAAGTGGAACCCGCAGCAGGCTGAAGGCGTTGCGCGCGGAAGTCCGAGCTAAGCTCGCCGCGAGTCAAGAGCGGCTGAACGAAGTGCTCGCGGAATCCATCGCAAGTCAACAGCGAATGGAGGCTGCCCTCGTAGAGGCAGCCGCAAGCCAACAGCGGATCAACTCCGCTCTCGAGGAGTCTCAACAACTCCAAACGGACTTGCTGGAATCGGTCGACAATGCGTTGACCGAGGCCAGCAACCGTAGCAGGTCTTCCCGCTCGAAGACCGCCCGGACTGAGTCCTCCGACCCAGAGAACTCAGCCGGAGCACTCACGGAGCAGGTAGCATCCGACCGCGAGGTCGAATGTGCACCGCGCTCTGAGCAGCTCACGCCCGAAGTCGAGCTTGCTCAGAGCCGCCAGGAGACTCCGTCTCCACCTGCTCCAGCCCAACCGACAAGGCTCGGCACCACAGTCAAGAGTGGTGCACGCGCTGGGCTCGACGGCGCCGCCGTCGCCGAGCCCGCGCCCGAGCTCAGCGAGCGGAATACCGACCCGACTCGTATCCGCGCCCGGGAAGGGATAGGCACACTACCTATCCCCCGGCCCAGCGAGAACGAGTCGGAACTCGCAAGAACACGCGTCGCGCGCTCAGAAATGAGCCGCGACAGAAAAAATATATTAATGGCGTCGACCGACGCGCTCGACACGGTCACCGACGCGCTTGACGCAGCCGGCGACACGCTCGACGCGGCCGGCGACGCGCTCGACACCAGAGGCGTTGAGAATCACGAGCCCGCGTCGACGGTGAGCGCTCGCAGCGCTAGCGCCCAGCGCCCAGCTCTCGACCGCCACCACCGCTTCCTCACCTCGCACCTCGTCTCCGATCTCGACTCGGGCAACCACCACGGCCACCCGACCTCTTGTCAAGGCGCTCGCACTGTCCCAACGGGCAGGCGAATTGAAGTCAGCGACTCCCTAGCTGAACTACCGACAGTTCAGTTAGGAGCGCCCGACAACCCCTCTGCGCGCGGTACAAGACCGGCGCGACCTTCCTCTCCCGGACCTCCAACTCCAACCGCGAGACCTACATTCGATCCCCTCACCTCATCTCTCCACCCTGGCGACCTCTACCCCGATCTTCGCGACCCACGCAATACGCAACAAGGCCGCGCGGCCCAGGACTCGCACGACGTGCGTGCAAGCCCAGCGCCGAGCAACAAGGTCGCGCAGCACGCAGAAAACGCGACGCGAGGGAAGCCAAAGAAGGAGGAGAAGAAGGAGGGAAAGAGAGAGGAGGGGGAAGGGTGCGGGGCGAGTAGACAAGACGAGCACGAAGGCTCGAAGACCGCAGGTACGCCTTCGCTGGCCGTCCCTGCCTCGCCGCCTCCGCTCCCAGTGCCCGCGCCAGCAGGCGTATCGACGAACGAGAAGCTCGTCGTGCGTCCTGCTGGTCACCAAGACGGCACCTCCGCTTTCCGGGATGACTCATACGTCGTACCCACCGCCTTGGACGGTACCACGGCAGACGCACAGAGCTGCGCGTCCGACGTGCCCGTTCCATCGCCACTGCCCGCGCCAGCAGGCGTAACGACGAACAGGAAGTCTGTCGTGAGCTCTGCTGGCCACGAAGACGGAACATCCGTCTCCTGGGACGACTTCAGCGTCGTACCCGACATTCTGCAGGGTAGCCCGTCGGACGTACATTGCTGCACGTCTGACGTACCCCGTCCTTCTACGAACCGCTGCACAGCGTGTACATCGAGCCTACTACTCGATGTACAGGTTGTCGACGAGGACGACGCTGCGCCCGGCGTACTCGCAAACGTACCCGGCGCGCTCGCCGACCTCTCATGCGCGAGCGACGGCCCCGAGGTACACCCTGCAAAGGTGCACCCGGTACGCACGTCACCAGCCGCAGTGCCCGCGTTGGGAGACAACACAACGAACATTGAGTACGTTGCGTGTCCCTCCGACGTTGATGACCGGGTACTGGGCCTGTGCAGTAGCACTACAAGTGTGCCTGCTGCTCATACCTCGCGAAACGGCGCGTCTGGAGAGTCGTCGAGCTCTGCCAGGCCGTCTCCTTCTGTTTCCTTACCACCGCACGCGGCGGATACGTCGAGCCTGTCGCTCGATGTATCCCCCGATGCTTTCTTTCTGGATGCGAGCGACGCACTTCCGTCCGCGCTCATCGCCATCCAGCACGCCCCTACTTGGCGTAGCGACGCGCCCGGAGAACACGCTAGATCTACCGGGTCGTCCTTTTCTTCTTCTCTACCATTTCGCGCTATGCGTACGTCGAGCCCTCCGCCCGACGTGCACGCAGCCGAGTCTTGGGACGCGCGCGATGCACCGTCAAGCGTGTTCGCCGCGATTCCTCAAGATTCCATCTCGACGTTTTCACGTCCGGTGCCCACACCAACGCATGGTACAACGAGCATTGAGCTCGCTGCACCCGGTGTTGGCGACCTCACGGAGCCACCGTATCCGTTCGACGCGCTGGCTAACGAGCTCAGCGGCGTCACAACGCACGACGTGTTCGGCATGCAATCGAGCATGACCGACGCGTCTTTTACTTCTAATTCTTATCCTTTCATAGCAACATCCGCGCGTTACGCAGGGAGTACAACGAGCTTGAGGCTCGATGCACCCACTGTCTGTGATAGTCGGACTCCCGTTTCAACGGCTATGTGTCTGCTGCCCAAGCCAGTGGATAGTACCACGAGCCTTGAGCTCGCGGCACCATCCATTCGTGACCCTACATGGGTAGCAGTCCCTCGTAACGGCCTGGCTAGCGAACTCAGCGCCGTCACGATGCACGACGTGTCCGGCATGCCGCCAAGCACGACCGGCGCGTCTCATCCTTCAATTGCAACATCCACTCTTCGTGCGACAAGTATGTCGAGCTCCAGGTTCGATGTACTGGTCGCCGTCGAGTGTCGTAACGCGTGCGACGCGCTGGCTAACGAGCTCAGCGGCGTCACGACGCACGACGTGTTCGATGTGCAGACTAGCACGATCGACGCGTCTTCTTCATTTACTACAACACTTGCTCTTCGTACAGAGAGCACGCCGAGCTCGAGGCTTGACGCGCTCACTGTCGATGAGCCTAGCAACGCGTGCAACGCACGCCCTAACGTGCTCGCCGCGTATTTCAAACCTCATGTACTGGGTACGTCGAGCAACAGCTCGCTCGACGTACACTGTATTATTCCTTTTCTTTTTCCAACTTCGGAGGAGGGGAAGGGACCGCCCACGGTTCTCATTACGAGTCTCAAGACACGAGATATACAGGTACTACACGACGGACTCCGATGGACGTACAGAAAGCACGTCGATCAGTTCGTCGGTACCTGGTGTATCTGTGAGGCTCGCTGCGTCCAGCGATGCGACCAGCGTGCGATCGAGCACGTTTGGCACATCCACCTCCGCCTCCAAGACTGAGACTCACAACCATGACCAGGTCATCGTCGACGTACTCAGAAGCACGTCGACGACGCCTCCTTCGTCAAGGTACAAGAACATCGCCAAGACTTGGTCCAGCGACGCGATCGGCGTACGATCCAACACGACCGACGCGTCCGACACCATGGTCAAGGCATACTCGTCGAGTACGGCGAGTCTCTCACTCACCGTACATAGCGAGCCCAACGCTTGCGATGATGCCGCCATCGACGTACCTTTGAGCACGTCGATCGGCTCATCCGCATTGACGTCTGCCACTGGTTCGACATCGCGAGAGGCAGACTCGCCCACACCTGTCTTCAAGACATCACCGCATACGGAGAGCTCGTTGCTCAACGTATCCGGCGAGATCAACACCGGTGACAAGGCTGCAGTCGACGCGTTCAGAAGCATGTTGACTGCCTCAATGTCAACGGAATGTAAGTCTCCTGAGTCGACGCTGGCCGTGTCGTCCAGCATCAAGGATCCGACTACGATGGACGAGTGCTCAGCGAAGGACAGTACATCCAACTCGAAGGATGTACTGACTTCGTCGGCAGCCCCATCCTCCAGTACCGTGACTCGTGCGCAAAACGAGCCGTATCGTTCGAGCTCGTACGAGCGGTACAGGCCGCCCGCATTACGCGATCAAGCCCCAGTCCACGCACACCAGAAGCCGACCTCGCAGGCGCAGGATTCCTCGATCGACGAGCAAGACCCAAAACGGTCTGCACCCAAGTCGGAGGAGGAAGTACCAGCTTCTCATCAGTCGGATACCTGCCGCACGCACGAGGAGTCGACCTCGGACGTGCGCGGTACATATTTCTCAAGCAAGACATACTCGTCTCGTACGGCGAGCACCTCGCTCACCGTACACGGCGAGGCCAACGTTCGCGATGATGTCGCCATCGACGTACCCTTGAGCACGTCGATCGACTCATCCGCATCGATCTCTGCTACTACTTCGACAATGCAAAAGGCAGATTCGCCCACGCAGGCTGTCAAGACAGGTCCATCGAATACGCAGAGCTCGTCGCTCAACGCACTCGGTGAGATCAATGGCCACAGCAATGCGTGTGGTGTACACTCTCAGGCGTCTGCTTCCGCCGTCAAGACCTCCGACATTGGCGGTACCCCCATCGACGCGCTCAGAAGCATGTCGATGGGTCCGCCTACGTCGGAGACTGCTGCTGTGCCGACGACGTGCAAGCCCAGCACATCGACCTCGTCTCCAACGCTGCAGCTTGGGTATTACACGATGAGCTCGCCGCTTATCGTGGGTCCTACGCGCGACAACAGCTACCTGTCGGACGCATGCAAGAGCGTACCGAGCACGTCTGCTGTGTACTCGACCTTGTGCGTGCACAGTACGTCAACCTACATATCGGAGACCGCGCCCCGCGATGCGATCGGTGTGCAATCAAGCACGACCGGCGCATCCCATTCAATCATGAAGACACGACCGTCGCCTACGTTGAGCTCGTCGTTCTGCGTACACGACGAGTTCGAACCTTGCGACCAGGCCGTCGCCGACGTATTTAGAAGCACGTTGGCCACGCCTAGCTCGTCAAGGCACAAGCTCCTCTTGGTCAACGCCCCGTCAAGCGACGCCATCGGCATGCGATCGCACATGTCCGGCGCGTCCTCCTACGCTGTCAAGACACCATCGTCGAGTACGGCGAGCCCCTTGCTCACTGTACACGGCGAGGTCAACACACGCAACGATGACGTGGTCGACGCGCTCAGAAGCACGTCGACCAGTTCATCAACATCGCTGTCCGCATCCGCTTCGACAACATCTGGCACACGGACCCGCAAGGACTTTACGTCCCTTGCAGGCCGTGTCAATGAAAAAGACCCAAGCTTACGCAAGGCCGACCTCGACGTGTCTGCGTCGAGTTGCTACACATCGGATACCGGCCGCACGTACGAGGAATCGACCTCGCGTGTGTTCAAGTCCATCTCCACCGACGAGACGACCGGCATCGGCGACGCCACTATCGACGTGCTCATAAGCTCGTCGACAGGCTCGTCGACCTCAATTGCCGCTTCAACATCGACAACGTGCACGCTCGGCACCGTCAACCAGGACGAGCAGGAAGACGTGAAGTGCAGTACATCCAGATCTCTAGATGTACTGGCTTCGCCATGCTCGGAAGGCCTGTCGACGGTCCTGCAGCTGGACATTCCACCTGGCGCACGGACCAGCAAGGACTCAGCGTCCATCGCAGGCCGTGCTGATGATGAAGATCGGTGCAAGCACGAAGCCCCGTCTATAGTTCTGCAATCAGAACTGTCGCCTGACGCACGGACCACCAAGGTCTCGGCGTCCAGTACAAGCCGCCTCGATGGCGAAGAGCTGCTCAAACGCAAGCTTGACCTCAATGCACCTACGTCGAGTCGGTATGTGTCGGGTACGCGCCGCACGTACGAAGATACGATCTCGTGCGTGCGCACTCCGTCAACCTCCACGTCGACTGGGCGAGTCGTCGAGCAGCCGACGAGGCACAGTACACCCAAACTGCTGGATGTATTGACCTCGTCGTACTCGATAACCAAGCCTACGTCGACAACCTTCAGGTTGGACACATCGCGTCCACCTCAACATCGCGGCGATACTCATCCCGCAATCAATGCCGACCGCCGTACGCACAGGGATGTGACCGTGCGCGTGCGCAACGTACATTCGAGTACCGCGGGCGCATTCCAACCATCAAACGTACTCCGAACATTGGGTACGTCGAGCAGTAGCTGGCTCGACGTGCGCAATGCTACGAAGAAGTGTACCTCCCCTGGTGTACTCTGCGAAGTACCCGGACTACTACCACCTACCGTCGCACCATTACATGGAGCTATGGTGACCTCGTCGGTCACTATAATTCATGCTGGTGTTAAAATCAAGACGGAGGAGGGGGAAGGGACCGGTACGGGTACCGTTTTCGAGACGCAAGACTCGGAAACTCGAGACTCGCCATTGCCTGTCTCGTCGCCACCGCCGCGACTAGTACCGCCGCCGCCTGTCCTCTTGCCGCCGCCGCTACCTCCCTCGTCGCCGCTATGCAGTACGACGAGCTCGATGCTCGTCGTCATCGCCGACCGCAGCAACAACAACATGTCGGACGTACCCGAGAGCGCGTCCAACATGTCTGTTGCAACTACTATGGTCAGCGACACGGTAGAGGTGCGGGTTCGCATGGTCAACGGGTATGTCATCACAGTGACCATGTCCTGCGATCCGCTGCGACACAGTCGGCGCGCGATCGGGCACGACTGACGTGTCCATCTCGCCCACCATGGCTCGCTCGTCGCGTACATCGAGCATCTCGCTCAGTGTATACGTCGAGCCCATGTACCGAAGCACACGCGACACATGTCATACCCGCGGCTTCATCTCTCGCGACGACCGTGATCAATGCGCACGGAAGCACGTTGATCGAGGTGTCTACACCATGTGCTCGTCGAGTACGTTGAGTTCTGTCCTCAATGTACATGGCGAGACCATTTCCCACCACCCATCGTGTACACGAGGGTTCAACCTTGTGTGTGCGAGAGGATGTTGTGGATGTAGACCCCTCTCGTGGTCGTGCCATGTTCTTCTTTCTTCGAGACTACCTGCATTCCTGAACTTGTTGGATGTTCAGGTGCAGGCAAGTAGTATGCTGGCACGATATAGTATGTTTTCTCTTCTTGTATGTCTTCTCATACCTGTTGCAGTATGTTCTACCATCGATGGTTGAACATACTCAACCCCGATGAAATCATGCTGTGTACATCCATTTGGGATGTTCACTACATGGACTACTCTACTTCAGGTCCGTTTGGGATGTGGTCAATTCACGGAGACCCTGTGGATGCCACATGGATTACTGTGTTGCGAGACCCGGCCCACAGTCTATCCTACCTGGACCTGATGTGAGTACTCTGCTACAAGAAGACAAGCATAGTATGTTATCTTCATTGTCTTTCGCTGGGACTCGTGAGACGAGTCCAGTGGGGGAGAGTGTAACGGGCCTATTTGGATGTCATCAAGACCTACCCGATATGGAATATCTTATCTATATGCTGTTTGCTTATGTTTGTACTCCCCTCGTATGGCGTGCCAGCGCACTTCCTGTAGTCTCCAACTACCCTTTAATCACTGCCTAACGATACACATAGTCTGTAGACTTCTCTTGAATAGAGATTGGATACAGCGTATCTGCGGGTGTGAACTGGGTCGTTACAGCCAGGCACTTAGTGCGGCGTGCAAGGGCCCGCCGAGCATCAGCCCGATGCACATAGGCTTATTGAGGACGGGAACGCCACGGCGTCCCCTTACTGGTTTGTCTGCTAACTTGCTCGCAGCTCGCTCGTCAACTCGGTAACCCGCCCTCGCCCTCGCCCTCGCCCTCGCCCTCGCCCGCCCGCCCGCTATTCCACTTGCCCGCCGTCTCACGCGCCCGCTGCTCCCCTCACCTGTTGTCGAATCCGCTGTCACTCCCCTTGCCCGCCGTCCTGCTCGCCCACCATCTCGCTATCCCGTCGTCCCTCTAAGTACTTGTCTTCCTCTCGCTCGCCTGTTATCCCTCTCGCCGTCCTGCTTACCCGCCATTATGCTTACCCGCCATTCCGCGTGCCTGCTGTCCTGCGCGCCCGCCATCTTGCTTGCCTACGCGGACACTGTACCTGCTGTGGTGAATTTGTACCTGGATGGTATGTGCACGGGTCGAGCCTTGGATATGCATAGGTACACCTGTGGTCCTGTGCTCGGCCCCAGGTGAATGACTCCTGTGATACCAACTTGTAATGATGTAGTCTAGACCCTTGAGCTCAATACTATGCAGACCGTAATTTTATAGACAATATGTACCCAGTGATACGAATATATGCATATTATTGCACATGCGAGAAACAAGTACCGACTTCGGAACAATACTCACGAATATGAGAGGTGTGATGCATTGGATTGATAATGGCAAGGTATTATTGAGTGTTCTACCGTGTTCCGCGTATTATTGACAATTTTAGAACATTACCACGAATTACGGAAAGAGGGTTTTCCTGATGCTTACGAAGCGGCTGCGGTTGGCATGGGGAGACAGATCATGGACGAAGGGGAAAGGCAGAACGGCGGGGAGCATGTCAGGAGGACCGCGGGGCAAGCCGCGATGGTCGAGTAAAGGGCGACCAAACCAGCCCCATCCTCCGCCCTACCCGCTTCGGTGACCTTTCATCCCTTAACATGCCCTCGAGGGGTTTCGACTCTCTTCGCGGCCGCGGCGGCCTCAAAGGACAGGTTCGTCAGTCTGAGGTGGTGCTCGCTCACCTTGAGCAGTATCCTCTCCGGCGACGGGATCGACGGTGCGCTCAATCAGCAATTCACCATTGTCATGGTCATGAACTACTAACGGTGAAAATCGTACGGTCTGGATTCTTACTAGATGGGGAGACCTCGCGAAGGGCCGGTGATAGAGTCGGTCGGGGCGTGTGGTCCGGAGGAGCTCATGGAGCTCGTCTTGCGAGTCCAATGTCACCTCATCGCCATCGGCGCCGACGTAAGTAAGGGCGACGGAGTCCTCAGGGATGTCAAAGAAATACTTGACACGATCGGCGAGCTCGTCCCAAGTCGGGAGGGTTGTCTGCGCAATAAAATGAGGAGGGTATTCGGTGCACTGTCGTCGCTGATACTGACAGTCTTCGCTATGTACTCCGCATGGTAAGTTACAGTCACAGTTGTACTTAGTAACATGGTCATCCAATATGAACTCGTTTCTCATTCCCGAGGTTCAACTTCCTCCCAGTCCCAGCTCGGAATCAACCATCAATAACGCGATGTGATACTATACATGGAAGCCAATGATAACAAGCAAACCATTATCATGCATACTCGGGACACAGTTTCATACAGTACGGTACATAGGTGTCGTAGAACGCAGACGAGCCGGGCTTGTACATCCATACCATAGTCACCTCTCACTGAGTTGTTATTAAATCATCACACCGCAATACGTGATCCTGCGGCCTGCCTGAGCTAGTACAGATGTAGCCAGGCTCTTATTCAACTTGATGTCTCCATCTGCGATGTTCGCGTGTTCAACCCCATGTCTGACAGGTCAACAAGTGAGTCAAATTTGGTGTGCTGCAGTTGCTGCGATGAATTGCACTCACTCAGCCCGAAGATGCCATCTGGAAAAGCTTCATTTGAGAATGACAACGAAATATTGACAATGATCAGCATTTCTAGGTAAAGATCTGCAATACCACCCGTTCTTCGTTTCCCAGATTAGCAGTTTTTCTCTAACCCCCGAGCACTTCCTGTGCAAATTCATGGCAATTACATTCAATACGAACCACTTCTGTGCACTTGCTGTGCATTATCTGACGTGCTTCGGGATTATTTGTTTTGCTTTCTGATCATGCAGCGTCATACAAGGAACATTATGGGATAGAATGCATTGTTATTTATAGAACAGTGACAATGACTCCGACATAGTACTACAATATAGCTCGCATATCACTAGCAGTACCACACCCCAGCACCGAAAGACGAGCCAATAACCTGCGGTTCACTTCCAGCGCGAGGTCACCGAGCTCGGAGAGACCACGCTCAGCCAGACACTCGTCCACGCGACGCTCGTCGCGTACAGCGTCTTCAGGCTCTGCACGAGCACCACCTGCAGGGACATGCTCGTCAATATCATGCCTAGCGTCGGGACCGGGTGTGGCATATACGTCACCACCACATCAGGAAAAAGCTCTCCCGAGAATTGACGTGAACATACGATTATTCGTGATAATACCTGGAAGCTCTGTAATTAGTCCGTATTTAATTGCATTCACAAGCTCGCAGACAGTGGTCTCAGAATAATGCGCGAATGAGTAGTATTGTGGTACTAGTATAGATTATAAAAGTCGTGCGGGCTCTTGTATTGATTCAGATAATAAGTCTTACAGTTATCGAGAACATTCTCACTCGTCCAATGCACAGGTACTGGACCGCCCCACTTCAGATGTAAATGGACACTCCGTTCGAGCATTGCAAGTGGCACTACCGATGCTATCCTCTCAGGCCCCGTCAAAGCTTTGATCTTGTACATGTGATGATGACTGTCGGGAGCGGCCGCGAACTTGGAGAACCATTCGACGTAGACGAGGTGACGCGGACACTGTGGCGCAGTCCCTGGTGGGAACCATTGACGCAGTATCTTCTCTGGGAGTGAGAATATTACGCGGACGCGGCCCGCACGTGTATCTACAGCACAGTATCAGTGAAATGAAAAGACGAATGTATGACTGACACACCTGAAAGACCAATTCAATGGTCTGCTTCAAGTTGATCATCAACCCGCCGCACACGCACGAGCGCAGTATCGAAACGAGCAGGTATGAGGATCTCGCTATCATGCCCCAATTGCCGCGGTCGAGCATGTATAGAATCAAGAGTTTCCTTGCCATGGTGTTCGACGTTGCGGAACTTCGCCTTGTGGAATCACATTATTCAGTGGTACCTACTCGATACTAACGGTACAGCCGGAGTGCATTTCGACCGTTGCAAACGGTAGAGCCGCCTCCGGCCGGAGCTGTGATTTCCTCGTTGCAAACAGGCCGGCCGGACTGGTTTCTAACAAGCCGGCCGAGCGTATCTCAAACCAGTTCAAACGGTCCGGCCGGTGTATCCCTAGGGCACCTATTTTCTGTCTGAACAGGGGGGCCATTTAGTGTCTTGCTGGCAACGGACCGGCCGGGCAATAAGGGGTTTTAATTGTAACAGATCAACCGGGATACTCTTTCTCCTATGGTAACGAACTGGCCGGGAAATGGGATCCTTCATTTGTAATGGGCCGGCCGGAGTGCATAGTTCACCAGTTGCAATGGGCCGGCCGGAGCACATGCTCCCTGGCTAATAACAGACCGGCCGGGTTGCATCATCTCTAGCTGGCAACGGAGCGGCCGGACCATTTTTCCACATTGATAGCAGGCTAGCCAGGCCATATAACCTAGCACTCCACACTGGTAACGGTCCGGCCGGGCAGTGGCACCATCCATTGGTAACGGTCCGGCCGGGCAACAGTATTGTGACCCAGTATTGGCTGGGCCAGTCAACAATAGACCATACTCCCTTAGAACAGCCTACTAGTAGCATGTATTATATGTCCACAGTGCATGCCCTATCACATTGCCTGAGCTGTTAGCTCACTGGCCAGCCATGCAAACACTGGCCGAGGGCATTCAAAAACCTTCGGCCTATTGTATTATGATACAGAGTGTGATTTGAATGATTGTATATGTAAGACCATCACTAATGGAGCCCAACATAGTGTTCCCACATTTTAAAGGGGCTTAGTGAAGCTGCCACCAGCCAAATTAAATGGCCGGACATCTCAAAACATCGGCCGGGCATTTTAGTTCATTGGCCAAAGCTTTTAATTCATTGGCCGAAGCTTTTAATTCATTGACCGAAGCTTTTCCTTCATTGGCCGAAGCTTTTTCTCACTGGCCGAAGCTTTCACTTCATTGGCCGAAGCTTTTCTTCACCGGCCGGCGAAAACAGCCGGTGCTCGGCAAGAAATGGCCGGCCGGTGCGTGCAAAAATGGCCGGCTGGTGGGCAAAACCGGCCGGGCTGTTGAATTACTATATGTGGAAATGTGGTATTGTCTGGAAGCCCTTCATTCATAGAGTCTAGTATTGATTTCCTAGTGTCCAAAGGTACATAGTTAGGCCAGGATATGCGAGACAAGATTTACTCACAGGCTTCTTTGCAAAACATGTTATTCAACTGCTGAAGCCAATATTCTTTGCCCACACTGTTTGACTATCTAGAATGTGTTATTTCAATGCATAGAGTAGATTCCCAAAAGGAATAGTCTTATTCTTCGAAGCTGAATGCAGGACAACAAATAAGGGGTATACAGGTATGGTATACATGTGGACTTCCTGCAGCTAATGTTCTTTCCAAACAGTGTTTTACCATCTAGAATAGTTCATTGACCCACAAGGAATCAGTCCTCCAAAGGAATAGTCTTATTCACACAAGCTGAAGGCAGCACAGAGTTAAGGTGAGGGTGGGTATATGGGTATACATGTTATACTGTGTTCACATCCTGAAGCCAATATGCTTTGCCCACAAGGTTTGGCAATCAAGAATGGCACAGAAACATCTACCCACTGTTGGTAATGGTCCGGCCGGCCAATCCTCATAGGAGATGGTCCGGCCTGTGCATGATCCCCTTAACTCTGTACCACATTCAGCTCATGTGAATAAGACTATTCCTTTGGACGACTCACTCCTTATGTGTAAATGAACCATTCTAGATTGTGAAACTGTGTTTGGAATGTAGATTGGCTGCAGGAAGTCAACATTGTTTGACATGTATACTATACCTTACCCCTTATCTCATGTTCTGCATTCAGCTTCGAAGAATAAGACTATTCCTTTTGGGAATCTACTCTATGCATTGAAATAACACATTCTAGATAGTCAAACAGTGTGGGCAAAGAATATTGGCTTCAGCAGTTGAATAACATGTTTTGCAAAGAAGCCTGTGAGTAAATCTTGTCTCGCATATCCTGGCCTAACTATGTACCTTTGGACACTAGGAAATCAATACTAGACTCTATGAATGAAGGGCTTCCAGACAATACCACATTTCCACATATAGTAATTCAACAGCCCGGCCGGTTTTGCCCACCAGCCGGCCATTTTTGCACGCACCGGCCGGCCATTTTTGCCGAGCACCGGCTGTTTTCACCGGCCGGTGAAGTAGAAGCTTCGGCCGGTCAATCCAAAGCTTCGGCCGGTGCAGAAAAGCTTCGGCCAATGAAGTGAAAGCTTCGGCCAATGAAGTAAAAGCTTCGGCCAGTGAATTAAAAGCTTCGGCCAATGAACTAAAATGCCCGGCCAATGTTTTGAAATGTCCGGCCTATTGATTTGGCCCTGTAGGGACAACCTGGCTAATTTTATGGCCAGTAAAGCAAAAACCTGGGTGAGTGAAATCTCTGGCCAGTTAATTTGGCCAGCCAGTGGGGCTGTTTTGTGTTTTGCAGCTTCACTAGGCATCCCTGAGTCATGGGAAAATTATGCTGTGATCTACTAATGATGGTATACCCCATAGGTGCATAATACATATAGTATTTCAATAGCCCCCAGGGGGCTGTGACCGGCCGGACCGTTTGAAGCAGGACAACTCCTGCCCGGCCGGCCTGTTCGTGGAGTCAGTTTGTTTAGGCTGGCCAACCCATTCTGGACCAGATAGACTTCACTCCGGCCGGTCCGCTTGCAATGAAGGGATTTTATCCTGGGCCGGAACATTTGAAGTGGTGGGGCCTGAGTCCGGCCGCTCTGTTTGCAACGTGGACCGGCCGGCCGCTCCGTTGCATGTGCTAACCCTGCCCTCCACCCGGCCTGTTTGCAGTGATGCTGTATGGGTCCGGCCGGACCGTTGCCTCTATGGCCGGACTGTTTACAACAGGTACATTACCCCGGCCAAAAGCCCGGCCGGCCTGTTGCAAGCGGTGCATTGTTGCTAACGGTAGACCCGGACTACTCCGGCCGGAGGCGGCTCTACCGTTTGCAACGGTCGAAATGCACTCCGGCTGTACCGTTAACAGCGAGGTTTTCCACTGAATGGGCTCGTGGAATACCGGAAGTGTCGAGAAAGGGAATAGCATGTGCGCAGCTCGAGCCTCTACCTCATTGCGCGACAGGGAAGGATTGGTATGTTCGACGACGAAGCGAGCCAGAGCCGGTATGAGGAAACTCGCACCATAGCCATCAGGAGAGACGAGTTCAGCGATAGGGACGGCCTTACGGCTCGGATACTTCGTCATGACATGTTGGAGGGTACACGCCATGTCTGGCGGCCGCCACCGTACCACTCGACGCGCAGCAACTGCATCTTCATGACTGCCGTCCACACGTAGTAGGCGCCATTCGACATAGTTGGCGTGTTGAAGGACCTTCTCGCGGCGTTCGAGCCATCTTGTCATTTGAGGAAATTCATCCTTGTGGTTCGTCGCACGGTAGGCTTCTTTTGCGAAATCGATGTGGAGGCGCTCCGTCGCCTCCGTGTTGTAATTATCTGTTGTTCCATAGAGCTTGATTGCTCGGACGTAGTGGGTTAGCATGTGTAGCTTCGGGATGAGGAAATTACTATGAGCACCGAGCCGTATGAAAACGTCCTTCTTCGCATGGAACACAGAGAGCGAGCTCTCGAGTGCGGCGAGAGTTGCGCTCGAGTGCACGGAGTATTGCGACATGTAGAGGAAGTCCAGCAGCGCCGTCGTTGCACTGATCAGGTCTGCGGACTCGTCCCTTGGTAACGGAACATCGATCAGGAGGCCAAGGATGAAGCGAGCAATCTGCTTATGCTCAGTGCCTGTGACGCGCGATAGGCCGGAAACACCTTTATGAAAAACGCGTATGCTATGATTCGGTGGCAGTCGCTTGACCCGCGCGTCAACCTCGTCCTTGCCAACGATATCTGTAATCCATGCGAGAACGTGCTTGATCACGCCTTGATGTAATTGGTGCAGGATGTCGGGCGTTATGGATCGGAAGATGTCGACGTAGGGGAGATGCTCCCAGAAGGGATGTTGGATGGGCTTGATGCCCGCGATGTTGCAGGCACGGTTGTAGTCGGCAGTACCGGCGAGATGGAGGGCAGCAAACACCTCATCAACATCACGAGGACTCGACAGACAAGGGTAATCCCCTAGTTCATCGTGTGGACACTTGCAAATAGGACAGTCTCCAGTGTAGGTTCCCGTAACGAGAACCTGTTCTGGATAGTCCCCGACGTACACCGCCAAGATAGGATGGCAGCGGCGCACTACCCCGTCGCCACTTGTCATCTCGATACCGTCGACACCGGGCTGTCGAAGAGGCTCGAGTATCATAGAAAGGCAGGCGTGAAATACATTTGCCAGCGTCCGGCGGCGGGCAGCTTTGTTCGTGATGTGCTGCAGTCGGCCTGCTGGCAGGTACGCGAGAAGAATTTGACCACAATGCGAAGGCTTGCGGCGGATCTCCTTCGGCAGATTTCCTATGGTGAGGTACACTGGATATGCGGACTTGCTCCGAAACGTTGTGAGTTGGGTTTTATCGGAAGAGATGATGATGGGCATGACAGTCGCGCCAGGTCTCTTCTTCTCGAGAATTTTCTATCAGATCTGCTCAGCCGCAATACACTCGAGCACGCAAAGACTATAGCATACCTGTGTAGCCCACCACCACTCCCCGGTATCAAGATCGTGGTAGAGTCGCAGGGTGTGGTCGCCATCAGCATAGTGGCGCGCCGGAGCGAAACACAGGTATTGCGTGTGTTCCGGATCACCCCAGAGAGCACGCGCGCACTCGAGTATGTCGCGTTTGAACATGTCAAAGCGTTCGCCATTGATGGTGACTTCGAATTGGTGGAACATCGGGCGTCGGTTCGGTAACTGTTCGTCGATGATTTTGTTTAACCCATCGGAATTCTTGTAGGATAGCCCGAGCCGCTCACGGACCTATAGATACACAAGTGAGCCACGAAAATGAGCATAGGAAATCGCATGACAGACCTCGGGTATGGCGAGTAGATCAGAGAACGCTGTTGATCCAGAGCCGCGCAGTTTCGCCCAGCGTGCGATTTCCCAGTCCATCTTCGAGGCAAAAGGCGCATATGGATTTGCAGCCTTAGGATCGACAGTGCCCTCATACTCGGTGTAGCCTGCCTCGGGTGCTTGTCCAGACTCTGGCGGCACAGGAGCATCAGGAAAAACCTATTTCCCTTATTCAAGCTTCATCCAATTCAAATGTACTTTTGGTATCATTTACTCACATAATCGAACGAAAAGATGGATTGAGTGACATATAGCATTCTGAGGACTACTGAAGCAGTGTTCAAGAAAAATGGAATTGCATCACACGCATCTGAAGACAATAAAGCAGCCTCATGACATATCCATCAGACCAGACTAGTAGTATCCGAAAGACTTAAAGACTTATGATGTAAGTGAATTACTAACACACTGTAGAACCTTCACTACCGTACCCCAAAATGCAGTAACTAGTAGGTAACTCGTATTCTACAATGACATACTAGTGGTACATCAGGAAAAACCAAAGTGTCTTATTATGTCTTTTATTGGCCATTTAAGAAATGAAGATCCTTGAAGACGGTAATGACCGATTTACACAAGTCGGTTTTATAAATGTGCCCAAAAAGATGTGTTAAGTGCTCTTAAACAGGGATCCACAACATTAATGCAAATGAAGCAGGGACCCACAACATTAATGTGAATTAAGCTGTTGCTGGATTCTGGTAGGTTGCTTTGCTTTTATTCGCTTTTCTGGTCTTCAGCGCACTTAATCTTACCTGGTAGGTAGCTTTGCTTTTACTCGCTTTTCTGGTCTTCAGCGCACTTAATCTTACTTATGTTTGCAATAATGATTGTGGGATTTATTCCATACTGGTACAACATGATGATGACACTTGTATACTATCTGGTAACTAAACAGCCCTACGACTGACGGCGAGCGAACGACGGACGGATGACGGGCCGGGGCGACGACCGGCGACGACTGAGAACGAAGGACAACGGAGGGCTACAACGACGGATGGAGGATTGATCGACGACGGACGGACGAAGGACGGCGAGCGACGGACGACGGCGACGAACGGCGACAGCGACGAACGGCGACAGCGACGAACGGCGACAGCGACAAACGGCGACAGCGCGACAGCGACCGACGGACGAACCACGACGACGCACGACGATGCACGACGACGCACGACGACGCACGACGACGCACGACGACGCACGACGACAACGCACGACGACGCACGACGACAACGCACGACGACGACGGAAAGCGACCGACGCACGACGACGCACGACGACGGACTGCCCGACTATGACCGGATCGACTGCCCGACTATGACCGGATGGACGGACGACGGATAGACGACGGATGGGCGGATCGATGGACACCGGATCGACGGACGACGGATGGACGACGACGGATAGACGGAGGATGGGCGGATAGATGGATGGGCGGATAGTGGATAGTGCGGACAGTGGATAGCGAATAGCGGATAGCAAATATTGGATAGCGACAACACGACGGATGGATGGATGTGGACGGCGGAAAGACGACGCAGGGCGAGCCACAAACCAACGCGAGACATCGAGAGACGGACGACGAAGACAGACGGCGACATGGCAGTATGAGGGAAGACGGAAGACGAGACACGACGTTGAGCCTTCGACGAGACACGACGTTGAGCCTTCATACTCAGGCACCTTCCTCAGTGGGTGTGCCCGCAACAGGTTCTAGACTGAGTGAGCAAAGCACTGATTCGAGTCGAGTGTGAACTCACCTTGCCCAGACTCTTGAAGCTCATCTACCTGTACTCCCTCACCGTCATCGACTTCGCTGCGACCTCCAGCATCACCTTCCCTGTCATCGCCACTGCCTGCCTCGCCGCCTGCCTCGCCCTCGTCACCCTCATCTTCCTGGTCACCACGTCGTTTCTTCCTAGACTTCGACGATGCGGCGCCTGCGCTCCGAGGTTTCTTCGAAGGGCTGGGAGGTGTCTTCTTCGAGCTGGGAGGTGTCTTCTTCCCCTTCGCCGACTCCGCGTTCTTCGTGGTCTTTGATGAGCTCGATGGCTTAGCTTTTGCTGCGCTCGACAAAGGCTTGGTCGCGGTCGCGGCCTTTGACGTGCCAGGCTCCTTGCTGTGGCTCCGCGGCTTGGATGCGCCACGGCGTAACTGCAGCAGCGGTATGAAGCCACCTGGCTGCTCGTCCCCCGACGCCTCGACTGCATCAGGTGCGGCATTGAGACGAGTGCTGTAACCACTGTCAGCAATTATCTCAGTCTCAAACTGAACGTTACCTGATGTCCTTCCAAATCAATTCGCGCGTCTCCTCCAGATAGTCGGTGGCTCGATCTTCCAAGGTCTCGAGAACTGCCATCACTCCATCCCATCTAGGATAGGCGAGTGTTAACTGACTACAAGCAACTCGATGCGATGTAAGAAATACTGACTTTCCCGCAAAATTCTTGTTCGAGAACACCGTCACAGTAGCTTGGTTGTGCGATGCCACCTCCATCAATGCTGCTTCGATCTGTTGGTATGCCATTGCATGAGTAGCTTAAAGCGTGAACGCAATAGGAAAGTAAATACTTACTGCATTGCACGAGAGGGCGATAAGGTTCAGCGGTACTTTGCTGAACTCTTCAAATGCAGAGTTGATACTCGCATCTGGGCGTCCCGCCAGGCCATAATACTGGTAGATCAGCTCTGGAATGCAATCACTTCGGAACGGTTCCGTCGGCTCGACCTTCGTACGCTAGGATGGTAGTTCATTCTCATGTTAGTTACTTCTGGTCTTGAATGCTAGTATCGTACCTCTCTGTCCAACTTCTTCTTGCGGTCGAAGTGGAACTCTATGCCGCCGAAGACAAAATTGGCGATGTTGCGTTTACGACTGCCGTCGGTGACCGTCGTGGAGTGTGTCTCTAGAAGCCAGCCGGCGATCTCAGTCCTTTGAGCCACGGACAGACCATTGAGCTTGAAGACCTGCTCAACGACCTGTTTCGCCTTTTTCTTGAGCTCATTTCGCGTCTGTGACGAGCACGTCCAAACCTATAGTTGATCAGAGCCTCTGACATTCTGAACAATGGAACGTTTAGACTCACCACGGTGTAGACTTTCTTTCTCATCGCCTCTCGTTCTTCATCTGTCATCTCCTTCCGAACTTCCGCTTTCTTTGCCTTCGGGTCCCTGTCCTTCTTTGCCTTCGGGCCTTGCAGCATCTGGAATGCGTTCTTCAGGTCTGCATTGTGTTTATCGCTCTTCCCGCGTCCAAGATGCGCTTCGCGAAGGCATGCACCAATCATCTTGTCACTGGAAGGCAGGCGGTTAGAGGTAATCGACGTCTCCTTAGTCCAGGCAGCCTTGAGGGCAATATGGAGGCGCAGACAGTTCTGCGCGGCAGATACAAGGGACTTGACACTGGCGGGCAGGTCGGCTACCTTGACGCGGTTGCTACTGTTGCGTTCACCGACAGTCCCCTGCTCGCGAGCAGGCTTGCTTTTCGCCTTCGTCTCAGACACGACCTGTGGATTATCAAGGCTATCATAATTATTAACCTGAGGATGATACTCACTATGACATCGCCGTCGTTCTCCTCCTGGACATCATCAACTTCATCCTCCCCTTCCTCGGACCCACTCCCTATGACCTCCTCGTCGTCTTCTTCATCATCATCATCGTACTCCTGGTCCTGGTACTCGCCCTCGTCCTCGTCATCGTCATCGCGCGCACCGTCCTCGTCCTCGTCCTCGTCCTCGACCCCGACCTCGTCTTCGTCATCCACAACCTTGCCCTGGCCATCTCCCTCCTCGTCTTCATCGAGCTCATGCTCTGACTCGACCGCACGAATTGCCCGGCCCTTACCTTTCGAGTTGCCCTGCTACGTCCCAGTAGATATGTAAGAGAGGTTGCAATACAATGCATGACGACATACCTTGCTCGAAGACGACTTGACAACGACAGACTTAGGCTTCTCAGACCTAGAAACAGTAGCTTTATCCCGAGTTTGACGTTGTGTTTGACGTTGTCCACCTACTAAAAGATGTTGCGTTAGCCAGTAGTAATGCGCGAGTGTGAATTATCGATCATACACAACATTTGCGCGACATCCTCCTCGCCGGCATCCAAGGAGGTTCCAGGTTTGACGGATTTGCCATATGCTGGCTTCGGTTTGGCTTAGTGGTAACACAGCGAGCTGGTCAGTAATGTGAACTGCTGAATATAATTTGATCACATACGTCGAGGTGCCTTAGGCTGCTCAGCGGTCACATCCTCCATCTCCACATCATTGGACGTGCCATCCTGTTCATCGACGTCTCTGTCCTCGGTGCCAGCGAGCTTCTTCTTTTTGAGCTTTGGTTGCTCTTCGTCACTCGATAATTCTTCTTCCGCCATCATTCTTGACGAGTTTTTGCGAACCCCTACCAACGCAGCATCATCGACACCGATTAAAATCAGTGCGTCAAGGACGATCACGATCCTCACTAGATGTTTGTTGACCCTTCTCTTTTTCCCGCTCCTTCTTGGCAGCCGCCTGGTTCGCCTTAGTCTTTGTTTGCTTGGTGGTTTTCTTCGAACCGCCTGCGGCCTTGGAGGTCTTGGTCGACCGGGTTGATCGTGGTGTTCCGGCGCCTTGTTCGGTTGCGACGGATCGAGTAACAGGCTTGACCATGTCGGAATGCGCACTGAGGAAAGAGAGACAGCGACGATAGACTGTAGTGATGGGTGAGAAGAAACGAAAAACGCACCTCCGATAGCATCCGAGCGTCCGTAAACTTCAACAATTGATGTCTGTGATGTTCACAGAGCCCGCGAGGCGCGCTATTACGCACGGGGAAGCGCTCATCACATTCGATGAAACCACACAAGTATATTGAAGACGAACAAAGCTACGTAGCTATAGGTACGTCAAATAAAATTGGTATTAGTAGACCACCCGTTGCGCTCTTCGAGCCACTTCGTCATTTCGCGATCAGTATGTAATACAATGGAGGCTCTGCGACCCTTGAAGTGCAAGTTAAAGTGGGTAGACTTACAAGACGGAAATATGACAAAGTCGCCATTACGAAGAGGCACGACCAGCCCTGGTTCGTATAAGACAAGCTCACCGCCTTCAAAATCACCAATTGCAAGGACTAGGCATACGCCGTCGTCCTTGCTGTCTCTGTGCGCTGCTGTCACTACGTTGAGGTTAATGACCAGCCCTAGAAAAGGGGCAGAGACGGCGGTGTTGTTGCCAGGCAATATGCGGACATACGAGTCCAGATGTTCGTATGTGCCTGGCATCATTTCCTTGAGCTGAAAAATAGATGTGTATCTTGATCAGTCGTGCTATGGAGACACAAGCAATGAGATAATTCACCTTCTTATCTAGCCAGTCAAAGATGGGTCCTAGGATGTTCTTGACCGACTGGTAGATTGAGTGATTCGTCGTCATATCTTTCGACGGGTAGGGTATTAGCTGATGGTAGTTGGTTTTGACCCCGAACGTCCTCTTCATGGTCATAGGCGGTGCGCTCACTGGAGCGTCATGTCCCTACAAAATGGCGTGTTGGTGAATCAGAGGTCAATCAGTGGAGAGAATGTGCGCGTACAGAAGTGCAATGCCGATTGTACCAGGAAAAGTGCAGTGCCTGAAAGACATGCGCACCGCCGTCCTCAGCCGTGTTGATCTCCTTCAGGGCATTCGGTTCAAAACAAGCAGCAAGACGATCTGGCAGACCGTCTCGCATGCTTTGAGGCATAGCCTTGCATATGCATGCAACAACGTCCAACTGTACAGACTGTATGATAAGCACATCCCTATCGCAATGAATGTCAGACTCTTATTGCATCTCAACATGTGTGCGTCTTACTCGAATAGACTGTTGTTCAGCCTTAGGTATTCACTATTTGCTGGACGTATGCCATCAACGTACATGGTCTGTAGCTACAAAATCGTGGATGAGTTAGATGATCTCGCTGTGCACACAGGCTGAACGTACCATTGAAGTCAGCTCATATAGGCTTGATGGTTCTACGGCTTTGCTAGCCAAGTTCCTCTGACGCTCTGTCCAGGTCGAGTTCTGCCCTCTGTCCCTAGGACATTGAAACCGCTGGTTGGCCAGTTGCTCTGGATCATATTTTGAGGTGACGGTGGTAGTAGAGGTGTCGGTGCGATCTGAGCGATCTGAGAGGGTGGAGAGGGACAATGGTGACATTGATGAAGTAGTAGGTGACAGCGACAATGGCGTGAAGCTGTCGAGTTCAGTTAAAGGCGACATTTGAGAGAATGGTGAGAGCGACGCGATAGGTGAGAACGACGTGAGAGGTGAGAGCGACGTGAGAGGCGATAACGACATGAGAGGCGGCGAGAACATCGGCCACGCGTCTGGATTGCGAGGCACAGCAACAAAAGAGCTGTATGTATACTAGTGAGTTAGGTCAACGATAAGATTGGTTGATGACTGTCACTTACTTCGAGGGAAGAGCACTGAACAGACGGTCTGACGCATTGAGATCACTGCACAGGCAATCGCTGGAGATATCCAGAGATGATAGGGTGACTGCTGTGAACAGATCACCCAGTCTTATGGGGCACCGTTCGCACAAAGACCCCACAGTGGGGATAACAGTTTGTAGGACAAGTCGTCCAACAGGGCTCTCTGTATTGCATGATTTGTTTAGTGCACAACTCACGCAAGAAGAGCAACACTAGTACTCACCTGCATCTGGGCATCGCAGTATATTGGCGAGGTCGGAAGATAGATTGCCATCCGCTTCAATAAACGGCACGCGCAAGTTCGTATAGGCCATCCAGAGAAGCATATAGATTGAACCTGCAGGGTAATAAGCATACTGCTATGTCCGAATGTCGTTACAATATCTCACCTCCAGCCGCTAGCCTTGCTAGCTTGGTACCTCTCGAATACCAGGCTTGTACGGTGCGAACACTGGGGGGTTTGGCCTCTGTCGAAAGGTGCTCGCGCCATAAAGCGGAAATATTGACGTTCACCCATCCTGACAGACTAGACGTGTAGACTGGTGAGTCAGATCATACGGAACTTATGGGAAGCTATTTACCTTGCACACTCAAAGCTGAACTTCATGAGCGCCACCATAAGATGGAAGTCGAAAGCGCCCCTCTTGTGATCCATATCGGTGCATCGTTTGGCCAGCTGCGAGAGTGTCTCGTGCTTGTCTCCGTACGACGCTCGCTGTGGTTCCAAGAGTAGGTCCGCGCAGCTTGCAATTTCATCCTTGAGATCATAGGCTGTCAGAGTGTTCAAGAGATTGACGACTGTGGTGCTGGCCGCTTCGTGGGGCTTCGTCGTCATTTCCCAGGCAGCGCGAGGCTGATTCTCACTGGCAATCCATTGTATGCCAGCTCTGGGACAGGGCGGCAGTGGGAAATGAGCCGGCTGCTGTGCATTTTTACGAGCCGACCTAGACGCAGGATCATACGGCGCGACAGCGAGTTTCCGACGCAACCTAGGGGCTCGCCTCGACGAACTGGATGTCCTAGGCTCAGATTCTGGATTTTCAGTCACGACGGACGAGTGAGATAGCTTTGCAACCAATGTAATATATATGCTGACCTTGTACTGGTACTGAACTGCCTGAATACGGTACGATACACGTACTGTTATGGTCCATAGGTTGCTCAAATTGTCTTTCTGCCAAACACTGTTCAGAGGGCTCGTGAACGACGATAGATGGTCCTTCAGCTTATCATTCATTAGTTTGTTGTTTTCTACGATCTCCTGTAGAGATAGAACGAGTTTACTGACCTGTGCCCGATGGACTCCCATGTGTCGTATGCGCCGCCTCTTGGTGCTCTGAGATCAGTCGCCTTAGCAGCGACAGCATACTTGGACTTAGATCCTGAAGAGACGAGAGGAGCTCAGAGAGCTCGATGACCTCAGTTTGACTTAGCTTCATAGCACGAATCCGTGAGTTACGCTCACGATGGCAGTGCGAACTTGAAGGCAGTGCGAACTCGAGGGCAGTGCTAACGTCGATACCCTCGAGCTTGGGTTAGGTCTTACAGAACCCTAGCTCCTGCAATGACGAAGCTTGGTGGTCATGCACCCAGTCAAAATATTACCCGTGATTACCATCCATTGATCTCCATTAATAGAGCTCCACCGCACGACGTTTTGCTGTTACACATCACCCACTAGATTGAAATGTACCATACTACGGTCTCACTCGCCCGTTTGTCTGCCTGCTCGCCCACCTCCTCACCTACCTGCCTGCGCGTTCGTCGGCCGTATCTGCGCGCCGGGCATTCGCCCAGTGCGCCTGCGGTCGTCGTGCACGCGGTGCTCGTCTGTGTCTTGTGCCAGTCCCCGCCCTGAGCCCGCCCGCTCGCGCACTCATTCGCCCGTCCGCCCGTGCCCGTCCGTCCGCCCGTTCGTGGGCCCCCTCGCTCGCCCTCGCGCCCGCCCGCTCGCACCTCCTCGTCATCCCTGCACCTGTCGATCGTTCGTCGGCCGCGTGTGCGCGTAGACGTCGCAGATGTGAGCGTCGTGCAGCAGACGGGCAAATCGCCCGCTGGTCTGCTTTCCTGTCTACCCGCTCTTCCGCCTGCACGCGTTCGTCAGCGTGTCTGCGATCTACCCCTTGCCAGCTGTCTACTCACCTTGCCCATACCTTGCCCATCCCTCGCTCGCTCGTTTTCTTTCAGCTCACTCACCCTCATACTCATCTGCTTGCCCTGCTGCCCACCGACCCATTCGTGCACCCTCTCGCCCTTCCGCTCGCCCGCCCGCTCTCTCTTCCGATCGCCCGCCCGCCCGTTCTCTCTTCCGCTCGCCCGCCCGCTCTTCCGCTCGCCCAACCGCTCGGCCGGCTCGTTCGTCCGTTCGTCCACTCATACGCCCGCTGCTCGGTCGTAGGCTACGTCCGAACGCAGGACATTGGCCCTGCGTGCTCGCTGTCGTCGTGCGCAGTGGAGGTCCGCACCCTGTACCCTCCACCCGCTCGCCGCCCGCCGGTCCGCTTGCTTACCCCGATGCCTGCGATCCGGTGGGTGTGTGTTGCTGCTCGCCCGCCCGTCCTCTTGTCTCCGCCGCGCATCCGTCGGCCGTGCCTGCACACAGGGCGTTGGCCCTGACGTGCTCGCGGTCGTCGTGTGCGTCGCGCTGCACGTCGCAGCGTCCTGTGTCAGCGTCAACGGGCGCACTCGCATTTGTCTGCACTTACCCGGATGCCTGCGATCCGGTGGGTGTGTGTTGCTGCTCGCCCGCCCGTCCTCTTGTCTGCCCGCCGCGCATCCGTCGGCACGGCG